TTTATTACTAGATATAAGAGTATATATTAATAATAGAATAACTAGAAAAAGGATTTTAAATATATAAATCTTATTTTCTAATATCCCTTATAAAGATACTTATTAAGAATATAGAAATTATTACTTTTTATTTAGAGAAAATTATAATATACTAAAAGATATCTATTCTAGTTAAACTAAATAATAAACTAAATAATAAACTAAGTAATATAAATAAAAAATAAAAAATATTAAAGTATAATTTAAGTTTTAGAGGCATTTATTATATTTATCTTTTTAATAAATAATTTCTGAATAGTAGCAATAATATCTTTATTATTAGTATTATTAAAAGATAAGAAAGTTTTACTAAATCTTAGCTAATAAAAAATACTATTTTATATAATAAGATTATTAATAGAAATTTTATTAGAGCTTTTAACTATAAGTTTAAACATTACTAGATTTAAATTATAGAATATATTTATAATTACTTTCTTATTAGATTTAGACTGCTAAATACTATTCTAATTATTAATTATTAAGTAAATATAAATAATGATTATATAATTCTGATTAAAGCACTAAAGACATCTAATAGCTTAATCTATAATAGATTTGATAAGAGATAAATTAAAAAAGTATATAATGCTATATTAAGGATATAAGTTCAATCCTAGAGTATTAATAGCTAAAAATATAATTAAAATAAAGTATTTATCTATAATAGTAAATTCTATAATTAATATCTAATATTATAATTAATTAAGTTTAGAATAGAATATTCTTACATTAATATTATACTCTTTTAAAATAGTTATAATATATATCTAGATAGCTAGAAAGAAATATTAAATAATTTATTTCTTTTAATAAATAAGGAAATTATACATAATAATAGATAGTATAATCTTTATTTTTAGAAAGCCTTGTAAAAGGATTCTAAATATATTAACTAATAATTAAGTAATCTTTTTTAGGTAATAAATTCTTTAGAATTATTTTAAAAAAGATATAAAGGATTTTCTAGAATAGATTATCTAAGTAAGACTTTAATATATAGTTTTAAAATAAAATAAGTATAAAATATTTTTAAATATTCTTATTATAAGAAGCTCCTTAATAAACTTTATATTAAGCTAAAAAGTTAGTAGTATTAGTATCTAGTATTTTATTATATTTATTATAACTTTACTATTCTTTTTTATTATTAAATTTTTATAATAAGGAATAACCACCTGATTATATATTATCTTTTTATTATATAAAAACTTAATATAAATTATGTATATCTAGGACAGGAGAATATAGAAGCTAATAATTAAGTAATTAAATTTAATTTAGATAGATAAAAAAAAGATTCATTTAATATTTAGATATTTTAGAATATCTTTTAGATAAATACTTGTAATCTAAATAGTAATATTATTTATAAAAATATATTTCTTAAGTATATATATTATAAATCTTAAAAAACTTACTAAATACTTCTTAGATAATAAGAAAGGATTAATAATATTTATAATATTAAAGCTTTATAAAGTTTATATATTCTTCTAAATTATATTAAATTATTTAAATATAATAAAAGATATATAGTTTTAGAAGTCTAGAATATTATTATAGAAAATAATAGCTAATAAAAGAAGATGAAAACTAGCTTTAAGTTATTAAATAGCTATAGATAAGTTATTATTAGTATTATATAATATATAAGCCTTATTAAGAATAATATAATAAAAAAGTTTATTAAGATTATCTAACTATAATCTTATAATAAATGAGTTATTTTTTTTTTATAATATACTTTCTTCTAGTTTTTTTATTTCTTATAAGCTGAAGGATCATAATAGCTTTAGAATATATTATAATTTATTATAATAATATAATTTAATTAAGAAAATAAACTATTAAAAAGCTTATAAGAAGAAGTTAATAGATCTTTAATAAGCTTTATATTTTTAAAAGTTCTAGTTTTAATAGTTTTAAGATTTCTATATAATATATATATCTAGAGATACTTTATAATAGTATCTATCTTATTAACTTATTAAATAAAAATAGTAGAGGGAATAATAAGAAGGAATAATTAATAGATTAGCTTAAAGCTATATTTATCTAGATTTATTTTTTTTAAAAATTCTTATATAATTTACTAAACTTTTAATTAATATAATAGTTAATAAAAAATTAGAGAAAATTACTTAAAAAAGAATTTTAAAATTTATAAAATCATTATAAGAAAAAATTAAAAAAGAGTTTTAGAACTCTTTTTTAATAAATATAAAGCTTATTTTTAATATAAAGATTATTGCTTAAAAAGTCTTTTTAAGTCTTATAATATTATTAAGAAATCTACTATATAATAATAAAGATCTATTGAAATAAGTCTTTTCTATTATCTTAATTAAATAAGCTATATTAAGTATTTGCTAAATCTCTAAATTCAGATTAAAATATATATATTTATAATAAGTCTAAATAAAAGTATTATTATCCTTCTTAACTACTATAAGATAGAGGGCTTTATGTACTTTATTAAAATTAAAAAGCTAAAAACTAAGATTATTTAATTATATAAGCTTTTTCTAGTAATTAGTAAGAGATTACTCTAAAATATTAAAAAAATAATTTAAAGAAATATCTTTCTTTTTATAATCTTTTTATTTTATAGCTATATCCTTAAACTTTAAATAATTAAGAGAATTAGAGATATAAATAGTTTTATTATAATTTTTTTTAGAATTTAGATCTATAAATTCAAAAATTAGAGTATCTATTATTATATTATACTATATAATTTTACTTAGATTTAATCTAGTAGATTTATTATTTAATTAATTAATATTATTATTCTTAATTTTAAAAGATAATAGAATCTAGATTTTATCTTTATTATCTAACTTTATATAATATAAAGCTATCTAAATAAATATTAAATGCTAATATAAATTACTAAGATTGAACTCTTTAGATTATTTTATTAAATATTTCTCTTAGATATAAGATTAGATTATTTTCTTCTAAGAATTAACCAAGATAATATTAATTAGAGCTATAATTTTCTTAATATCTATAGAAAGTAAATTAATTTTATTATTATTAGAGCTAATATTTATATTAAGTTTTAAAAAAAAGCTTATGCTATTAATAGAAATAATATTTAGATTAAAAAAATTAAAAATAAGATTATTTAAAATAAGGTTTTATATAAAATTTTTTTTAGACTATTTTTTTAACTTATAAAGAATAAATTTAATAGAATAATTCTTTTTCTTATAAGTTTTCTTATATAATAATATATGGCCGCTTAAAAGCCTATATTATTAAGATAGTATAAACTTATATTAAATATATTTCATAGCAGTCTAAAGATAGTATTTAGTCTTATTAAGATCTATAGAACAAAATCTAAAAAGTTTATTTATATAATTAAGATTCCTTTGCAGGATTTAATATATAAAATATGTATAATAATAAATATTATTCTAGCTATTTTTATTAACATATTTCTTATTAAAATTCTTTATTTTAGTATATATAATTAAAAGAATCTATTTAATATTAAGATTATAATATTGCTTTTTCTGCTTAGAGAGCTAGTAATTTTATAATTTTTTCTAATAAGAGAGAAAGTTTAGATTTTATAACTAGGTTTTTTATTCTTTATTAGATATAAGCTTGAGATATTATTATAAAACTAAAATATTCTTATTCAGATTTTTAAGAATATTTTTCATTATTCTTTATATTAGTAGAAAGTTAAATTTAAAAATAATAAAAATTTATAAGTAATGTCTTTCTAGGCTATTATTATTTTTTCTATAAGCTTCTTTTTAAGATTTATCTTATTATTTAACTTATTACTTAATAATGGACTAGATAATTTATTATTTAAAGATAGATCTAAAATTTTAGGATTATTTTTTAGTAATCTAGAAGAATTATTAATAAGATTCTTAGGTCTTATATTATTAGAGTTTATTTTGTTATTATAGCTTTTAATTATTAGTTTCTCTATTATTTAGAATACCATTATAAAAAGGATTCTAAAATTTTTATATCTTAGAATCTTTTTTTTAATTTATTTAAAATAAATATTTACTTTTTTAATAGATAGAATAAGTAAGAAAAGAGTTCTGTTTATATATTAGTTTTTAAAAAAAGTTACCTAAGAAGGTATTATTATAAAAAGAGTTCTAAAATTCTTATATCTTAAAATTCTTTTTTTAATTTAACTACTTAAAATAGATATTTACTTCTTTAATAAATAGTATAAGTAAAAAAAGAGTTCTATTTATATATTAATTTTTAAAAAAAGATTACTTAAAAATAATCTTACTAGTTAGATAGAATATAATTATAAGAATTATTTATTATCTTATTTATTATTTAACAATTAGTAATTTTTAGTATTTTAAATTAATTAATTAAATTAAAATTTAATTTTAAGTTAATAAGCTAAATATAATTTAATTAAAATAAAATAATTATATTATATTATTTACTCTGCTTAGTAAAGAAGAATTTTTAGTAGATTATAAAAAAAATGAAAGAAGATAAGTTAATAGATTTAAAAAAATTAGATTAAGCCTTAATAAGTCTATAAATTAAGATATTTTAATATACTAAAAATCTATAAAAGCATTTATAATATTGATGAATTTTAAAGTTATTAAAGAACTCTATATAGAAATGAAATTAGGTTATATAGTTCTATATATATATAGACTAATCCATAAACAGATTAGCTCCTGTTATAAGTAAGTTATATAGGCATTATTTTATTTTCTATAGCATTATCATATTTCAATACATTACGAATTTTGGCAAGGTTGTACGAATAGGCTGCCGTACATTTCGCCCTTTTGCCGAATCGGAAAAATCCACCAAACGTTTCTCCCCACTAACCGTCACACCGGTCAAAGAAATCATTTTTCGCCATTCATCCGGTTATAACTCCAGTACACCAGTCATACGAGTAAGATTTACTGTATCGGAGGACTCAAGACGTGAGCGAAATGAAACAAGTCAAGTACCCTAGCGGCATTAAAGCCGTCTTCTTCGACTTCATGGGCACGTGTCTGGACTGGTACTCTGGGGTCATGAAAGCTTTTCCCACGCGGTTGGATGAACACACAAGACGCTCCCTGTCCCTCTCCTGGCGAGAAGCCTTTTTCGCAGAAATTCATGCTCGTTTTCAGCAGGGCCTGCCAGTGGAGTCGTTTGACGTGACTAACGCACGCCAATTGGAGCTCGTGTTGGAGCGGCACGCCATCCCTCTGTCGGAGTCAGAAAAGGTGCAACTCGTCCAGGCATGGCATCACATGCCGGCATGGGAGCACGTCGCCGAAACGCTCGTGGATCTCAAACGCCACGGTCTCGAGCTCTTCGTTCTAGCCAATGGAACAACAAGACTGCAACTTGACCTCGTACGGTCATCCGGCCTGTGTGAGTTTGACATGCTTTTCTCAAGTGAGCTTCTGCATTTGGCCAAACCGGACCCAGATTTCTACACATCGGCACTGAGTCTGACGGGATACCGCCCTGAGGAGACTGCTATGGTAGCAGCGCATGCATATGACTTACGGGCAGCGGGAAAGCTGGGTATAAGGACAGTCTACATTTCACGCTGGACAGAGGATACGCATGAAGATTTACGTCAGGTCTACCAGGATGTGGATGGATTTCTTGGATCCCTGAGGGGGTACAAGTATGAACCGGATGACCAAGAGACCTATGTGATGCGCTCTCTGCCAGTTGCTTTGGGATTGACTAGTCCGGCAGATATCTGATATATAGACAACGTTCTACAAAACTCCAGTCATGCAGGCGTTTGATGCCTCTAGCTTAATTCATCCTCTTTCATTCTTAGGTTGAACTTAGGTTGAAGCGTTCAAAGGGTGATTTACCTCTACCTACACCCGCGGATTTTACAGTGATTATATATATATAGTAGTAACCGATTGGAGAAAAGGCAGCCCGCAATATGTTCCAGGACGCATTCCTGTTTGTAAAATACCCCTTCTCGCTCTTATAAACAATTCTGACAACATATATATTTTAGATTCGCCAGAGTCTACCTAGGTAGTGCTAACATTACTAGATTATTTTGATGCCTCTACCAGTTTGACAAACTGCAGACAGCCCTGAGGGGATGCCTTGTATGGTCCATGCTTCATGCCAGGCAGTCTGTATGCGTAAGCACCAATACTCCAGGCTTGACCAAGGCTGACATCCTCCAAGCCTCCTTCGATAAAGCAAACTTCCTCAATGTAGGTGTGCGTGATGACCTCGTCCGTCACTGATGTGGCTCCTGGCTCGTACCACTGAAGCACTGATTTATTGTGCGACTCCCGTTTGCCGTTTAACAGCAACTCCCAAATTCCAGGTCCGATCGAGTACCATTGGCCTTCCTCGGGAGTCCAAACTGCAGCCGCGCCGACAGGTGGGTGATTGGGTCTGGAGGAGAACTCTTGCTGCTGCAGCGGCATGACTGCAATGCAAATAGATCGGTTTAGTTTGAAAGGAAGTTGATGAGCTCTGCAAAAGGAGAGATTGTCTAAGTGAGCAGGTTAGTTAATGTCATTGTCTCGGTTGCAGGTCTGACGTACACAACAAGTGATCCGGATTGATTGATCAAAGAAGAGGAACCTTAGCAACGCAATGCAGTATCTGTCGTGAAAAAAAGAAAGAAAAAAAAAAAAAAAAAAAGACAGATAAAGAAAAAAGAAAGCAAATAAGTTCTGTCGACAGTCGAAGGTTTAGATATCCCGATATCGTTTGATACCAACGGAGTTTTGCTTGCTTTCTCCGATCGTTTTTATTGCCGATGCCGATGCCGATGGGCGACTTAGAAATCCGCTCAGATTAGTTGGTTATTCTGGACTCTTGATACAAATCAAAGACGCTATGATATACTATCCGTGAAAAAGGCGATTAAGACAAAATATAACCCGCTAGAATAAGCATATGCAAAGAATCACACAATTAAACCGAAAGAGAGAGTATAGAGTTTTCTACTGACTGGTTCGGTGACTCGGTGATAATAGATAGCAAAAGCCAAAGTCCTATCACAAGATTGTTAATCGCCCTTCGTATGCACATAAAACGGCGTATAAGAGCTACACATGGAGCTACCAGTGAAAGAAAACTACTATCTTTACGGTTGTTGGAGACCATATCGAACAGCTGGATGCCAGCCACTATTCTCCTCTCAGCCTGTGCAATATGGATGCCAAGGAGGAACAAAGCGATGTCGAAAGAATGGGTACTTATGAACGGGAGAGAGGGTCCTATCATACGTATCAAAACGGGCAACTTCAACGGGGCCTGAAGGAACGACATGTTCAATTCATTGCTCTAGGAGGTACTATCGGTACGGGTTTATTCCTAGGCATTGGCAGTGCGTTATCTACCTCGGGTCCATTATCCCTGTTTCTGGGCTACCTGTTCACTAGCATTGCAATTTGGGCTATGGTAAGCCTAGGGATCTTGCGCTGCATATTTGGTTCTTGTCCGGCTGACATTATTCCATCTGCGCGACTAGATGCAATGTCTGGGAGAAATGACTTCACTTCTGCCTTTGCCTGGCATGATCGCTCAACTTGGTTTGCGTTTCGTAGATCCAGCATTAGGGTTTGCGATCGGATGGAATCAGTGGTATAACTGTGCGATTGCAATTTGCAGCGAGACCTCTGGGGCCGTTATCTTGATACAATATTGGTCTGATATCAACGTGAGTGAGATCCATTGACACACTGCTTGGCAAATATTGAGTGGATATATCTTCATAAATGATACTGAGTCGAGATTATGTGTGACCAGCCCGCAGCGTGGATATCGATCATCCTAGTAGTGATAATCATCCTCAACATCGTTGCTGTCTCGATCTATGGAGAGGCCGAATTTGCCTTTGCCAGTATCAAGATCATCACGATCATAGGCCTCCTCATTCTGGCCGTGGTCATTGACCTGGGCGGAGCCCCGACGCATGACCGTCTGGGATTTCGATACTGGCATCATCCCGGATCCATGCGAGAATACATCGGCCAAGGCTCTACTGCTCGCTTTCTCGGCTTCTTTAATACCTTGATCAACGCCGCGTTTGCATTTGGTGGAGTCGAGCAAGTCGCGGTGGCAGCTGGGGAGACAAAAAACCCAACGCGCAATATTCCAAAGGCAATTCGTCGTGTGTTTTGGCGTCTGCTGTTCTTCTACGCCTTAGGTTCTCTTGCGGTGGGAGTTTTAGTCCCGTACGATGATAGTCATCTTCTGTATGGCAGCAGCAATACAGCCAAGTCACCGTGGATAATTGCTGTTTCAAATGCCGGCATCCCAGTCCTGCCTCACATATTAAACGCCGTTATGATCACTTCAGCTGCATCGTCTGCAAACGCTAATTTATACACTGGTTCACGATATCTCTTCGCTCTAGCGCAGCAAGGCCAGGCTCCCAACTTTCTGCTGAAATGCACAAAGCACGGCGTACCAATCTATTGTAAGTGTTAACATGCAACCACTTGTGTTCCTACTGATACCCATTCTTATAATCTATTTTAGGTGTTGGAATTACCAGCGCCGTTGGGCTTTTGTCTTATATGGCCGTCTCATCTGGCGGGGAAAGCGTGTTCCATTGGTTCTCATGCCTAACCACCATCGCCTATTTACTCACCTGGTCTGCCATATGTTATGCCTACACTCGTTTCCGACGAGCTCTGAAAGATGCCAATATTCCCTCGAATGCATTACCCTTCAGGGCACTTGGCCAGCAATATGCAGCTTGGGGTGCGATGGGGTTTTTTGTCATCATTCTACTCTTCAATGGCTTTGGAGTTTTTATCCATGGTAATTGGAACTCACAAGACTTCGTTTCGGCGTATGTCGGTCTTCCGTAAGTACTTCTTCCTTTTCTCGCTGTCTTTTGAATCATCTCTTTGTTCGTTCGAAATGTAGCTGATGCGTGAAAAGAATTTTTGGAGTGCTTTACGGTGGCTATAAGATTGTCACGAGATCGAAGATGGTCCCCATCTCTCAAATAGACCTTGTTACTGGTCAAATTCGTGGGAGTCTCAATTAGGATTCTGAACAGACGAAAGTAATACAAATTCTTCCAGAGAGACCGAACTCTGTATCTCTCGTTTTGGCTACGAATACGGATGAAAGATTAGACGCTGGTGATATAAATGCATAATGTGGCCTTGTTTGGCCAATTCTATTGGCTAGGACTTTACTTTCCATCATATACATCATACTTGTACTGGCTCCCAGCATGGTCATCCCTCAAGGATTTCTGACCTTCGCCATATATTTTTTCTCTCAGCGTGCTTCCTGGCAAAGCGTCGTATAGCCCTCTTCTCCGTAGTTCCGGTACCAAAAGTTCGGTGACATCCTCGAATGAAGCCGGTGAAATAATATAACCGATATTAAACCCATCCACGTCTGCTACGTTCACCCACTCTTCCAGAATATCTGCCACTCTCTGAGGTGTTCCAACTGGAATAGGTCCATTTGCACCAAGTGCAATCCATTTCCCAATGTTTCGCGGTGTCCATGCCGGAATATCAGGACTAGTATGCTGAAGGTGACTCAGCGTTGTATGCACACGCGCATCCACATGAACATCGGTTGGCTTGATTTCCTGATCCAGGTCAAATTGGCTTATATCGATGCCACTTCCGCCAGACCAGAACGCAAGACCAGCTTCGTGGTTGGCATATTTTAAGGCCTCTTCATACTTCTCTTGGGCCTCCTCCTCAGTCCGGCCAATGATCGGGGTGATCACGGGGAATATCTTTACGGAATTCGGATCACGACCTCTCTTAGCAGCCTCTTCACGAATCGCTTTCACTTTCGGAGCCACGGCTTGTGGGCTGATTCCTGCGACAAAGATTGCTTCCGCGTGGGTAGAACCAAAGGCAATCCCTGCTGGGGAGGTTCCCGCTTGAAATAGGAATGGCGTTCTTTGCGGCGAGGGGTCTAGAATATGAACACCATCAAGTTCGAAGTTTTCTCCATGGTGATGCACATACTTGATGCGATCAGGATCGGTATATTCAGCCGTCTCAACATCTTCCTTCAACGCATCGTTTGCCCAGCTCCCTTCCCATAGCCTAAAAGGATTAACAATTCTGCCACGCAATTCCTACGAAAGGGCCTAAAGGATTAAACGCACTTGTATAGGACACGTAGATACTCGTCTGCAATTTCATACCGTTTATCGTGCTCCACTAGAGGCAGTCCAAGCTAGACCAACTTAGCATCGCATCATCAAGTCGCGTAGAGCAACGAGACTCACAGCTTTCGATGCCGACGCTTTCCAAGAAGTTACAATGTTCCACCCAAAGCGACCCTGGGTCAAATGATCTAGGGTTGAGAATCGCTTTGCAACAACATATGGTGCCTCATATGATGTGGATGTGGTGATGGCAAATAATAGGTTCTTGGTTACGGAGGCCATTGCCGTGATTGGCTTCACTCGAGTTAGTATTGGAACGAACTGGCATACTTGATTGAGTAGCCTTACAATAGATGGGTCCCCCATTGGTACTTGAGCACCATAACGGATGGCTGGCTCGGCGCTTCCTTTGTAAGTGTCATAGATTCCATAGGTATCGGCGAGGAATAATGCGGTAAAATCCCCCTTTTCCAAAATCTTTGCTAGGTCTGTCCAGTATGAAAGATCGCGGCGCTTTGTTTTCGACCGGTCTTTGGGGTTTTGCCATTGCCCAAACGACAAATGACTGACAGTAAACATGTCGAACCCGTTGAGATGGATTCTCTTTTTCTTACGAGTTTCCGTAGGGCCGACCATGCTCTCAGTACTTGATTGTCCTCGTCTCGTTGTTGCGTTAAGGGCAGGAAAAAGCTTGAATTATGCAATTGCAAACTTCAGGATGATTGCCGTCCTTATCATCCACGCTCTATGTTAACTAGCGCTCATTGCTGTACTCAGGCAATGAATGCCTAATCTGGCGTGCTGGTCACGACATCGCTTACCTGCGCCACATCCTCTTCATGTTCGTTGGTTCCAGTATTAGAGAGAAGACACTGCAGGCAAAATGAAGCAGGTATTCTAATGCGATTCCGAGGTCATATTCATTATTTCATGGCGCATTACTATACGTATCCATATATCCTTATATTCATCGGTATCATGAAGTAACTAACCGCAGATCCGAACAGGTAATCGGAGACGTAAACAGCAATGCCCATGGATAAGCATTACATTTCCATTGGTAGCGCCCAGTATTGCGTAACCATACTATGCAGTCTAAGTTTGTCGAAGTCGTGTTTTTCCCCCGATTTTACGGCATGGGAAGTTGGATAGTTTAAGTATCAGCTACGTGGCGCAAAAAAGCTCATTGATTGCTTTGGATACGATAAAAGCCGTTCTTTTTGTGAATACTTTGCTTATCGAACGACGACATTCAGTCTAAAAGTGTATCATGGCGCTTTCGGTTTATTGCGTGATTTGTACATATTTTCTTAGACTCCGGAGGAGCTCCGAGTCCTGCATCCTGGACGACGTTCGCCTTTCTGTTTTTTTCATTTCTTTTTTTTTTTGTTTTGTTTTGTTTTCGTTTGCCATAGAATTTTGAATTTTATTCTATCTCAGAAACACACAATTGTTGACCACATCCTTCGTAGTCGACATTGGGAAAAGTAGTACAGTCTACTTGATTCCAAGATAGATCGGAACGATGGCGCGCGCTCTCGAGAGACTGAAACAGATACAAGAAACAATATCACAGCCATCCCTTGCTGAGGGGACAGATGCACTTAAGGAGTCATCAGGGAATCTATGGAAACCGAGAGACCGGCCCTTTGATTCAGCTCCTCCAGTCAAGGTGGGGTGACAGCTATAAGTCTAGATTCATTGAAACGGTTTTGACTCACTGCGGACCAGGTGATCATTGTCGGCGCCGGCATTGCTGGTATTGCTGCATCTATTCTAATCCCTCGGAAAGTCAAAAATCTGTCTTACAAGGTCTTTGAGAAACAAGATGCCGTCGTAAGTCTTCAATTGTGATTGTATCGCATTGAATTTCGCGGTCAGGTCTAATGGTGCCGTAGGGTGGTACTTGGGCGCAAAATCGCTATCCTGGAGTGAGGTGTGACATCCCATCTCACAGTTATCGTAAGAAACCCTTGGTTGAATGATCTTTTCGCGGAGTCATTTTGTTGTTGCATCTAACACGAACGCCATTGGATAGAATTCACCTTTGCTCCAAACACTCACTGGTCAGAATATTATTCGTCCGGAGCCGAGATACAACAGTACTATGAAAGGCTCGTGAAAGAGTTCGGAGTCCAGGAATATCTGAATCTCAAACATGAGATTTTGTCTGCTATTTGGTCAGACGACATTAAGCAATGGGTCGTCGAAGTGCAGAATTTGGCCACCGGAGAGATCTTCACTGAAACGTCGGACTTTTTCATCACAGCCGCTGGAAGGATCAGTGTTCCCAAATACCCAAAGATACCAGGCCTGGAAAGCCTTTATAAAGGAACTGTGGCCCATACCGCAGAGTGGACAGATGGGCTTACAAAGAGCCTAAGCGGTAAACGGGTAGCGGTAATAGGCAACGGGGCCAGCGGACAGCAGATTATAGTCAATATATTGGACGATGTCGCGCACATTGATCACTATGTAAGGTCGAGACAATGGACCGTCTCATCATTCAATCCAAGTCTCGTCCCCGCCAAAACCGACTTACCCGGAGCACATATCTACACTGATGAAGAGAAGAAAACATTCCACAACGATCCGCAGGCATATCTGGAGTATCGCCGGGAATTAGAGAAATCCTTCCACGGAAGATATGAAGGAACCATTTCTGGAAGCAAGGCAAATGATCAGATACGGCAACTGTATGAGGAGGAGTTATTGGTTCGACTAGGTGGTGATAGGTCCTGGTTCGACCGCCTAGTCCCCGACTTTGCGCCTGGATGTAAACGACCGATTCCTTCCGCGGGATATATCGACGCCGTTCGGGATCCAAAGGTTGACTACGTGGATAACGCAAAGATCACACATGCTACCGCAACAGGACTAGTTACTGAAGATGGAAAAGAGAGGCTTGTGGATATTGTCATCGTAGCCACTGGTTTTGAAAATGGTTATCGGCCATTATTTGCCACAATTGGAAAGAATGGGGTAGACTTGAACAAACTCTGGGCCGAAGATGGTCCGATCGGATATCCTAAGACATACTTTGGTGTCATGGCTCCCAACGTTCCGAATTACTTTGCAGTTGTTCAGGTGAGTCGAGACAAAAGTTTGTGACATAGAGTCATAGCACTAATAATGGCACAGGCAAATTCCAACGGCCAGGGTGGTACATTCCCTCTTCAAACAGAGATTTCTGCTACGTATATATCAAAGGTTATTCGAAAAGTTCAGAGTCAAGGGTATCGTGCTATATACCCATCGCAGGAGGCAACGGATGACTTCAATGAAATAATAACTGGGTTTTTCGACAACAAGGTGATAAGTGATAATTGTGATGGTTGGTGGAAAAGCGGATTTGGAAAATCCCGACCGTTGCTCGCGTGGCCCGGGACTGGTCATCACCGGTTTGATATCAGTCGAGAGCCACGGTGGGAGGACTTTATCTTTGAGAGATCCGAAGAGGCGAAGAGGAACAGGTTTGAGTACTTTGGCAATGGATGGACCGAGCGTGAGAAGAGTGGTGGCGACGCTTCGCTAACGAGTTATCTGAAAGAAGTCGGGAGGATTGACATTGCGACTCTGCATGAAAACTGGAATGATTGATGGCTATCGGTGTATGTAGATGATCATGATTCACTATAGCCATCGTCAGTGTTAAATCGATCAAAGTACATAGCTTATCTCTCTGGGAATATTGCTACCCATGTGCTGAAAAGCATGGACGTTGATAAAACTGTATGCTTACTACACGGCATTGAATCTTAGAATGCAACCCAAAATGTCGTGGATTCCATTCCTCTCAGGAGCGTTGAATATGTAGAGGTAAACTGCAGATTGTTGGGAAATAGTTATTGAAAACTCCCTGAATTGCTGACTGAGCCTGACTGATCAGCAACACAGTTATGGTCCCTGACTCGGCCAATCTGTGATCGATTGCGTATTAATGTGTGTCAAGTTGTACTGCTTGTCTTTCCTATTTGAGCCACTTAGGGCTTAGCGTTTCAAGGAGATCTGATTGGTGAAAGCGATGTAGCGCTATGGTTGGTCAGGCACCTGAGAACTAGCACAAATCGGGTTTAGTGTCATAGCCAGTTGCATGATTAGCCAGGCACAGCAACAGCATTTTGGCACGGTACAATGTGTTTACTATGCCGAGATTTTAGTTTCTCGCAAATAATATTCATTAAGTATTTGTCCGTAGCTGAGTCTCAGTACTATATAGTCTACATGCCAAACTTGTAAGGTAATTCAGGGTTATGCTTGGATTATATAACTAGAATTGGTTTAGATAGCTAAGTTAATTGCATACTAATTACATAAGAATAGGGATCAATAGGCTTCTACCATGTATTCCAATCTATCAGGGATTATAACATGTGCTTCTGGAAGCAATTCGCTGCTTTTTGATGTAGAATTTAAGATTGTCATGATTTTACTTTGTTGCAGATTTTTGCAGGTACTACTCAAGGGCTTCTCGAAACTAGGTGTCGATTAAAAAAACAAGTAATTGAACCGAAACAAATGTGGATGATTTCCAAAGTTACATGATAAACTCAAATGTATACCAGAACCATCGTCGTAGCCTAATCTCAGTTATATCATAAGCAACAAGCCAGCACCTGCCAATCCCGAAAGAAGGTGTTTCGCATTTCCCGTGGGCAACGCTGCCATGCCAGAAGACGAAGAGCTGGTAGTCGAAGTGGCCCCAGTAACGGACGCAGAAGTAGTACCGGTAGCAGCAGTAGTGGTAGAGATTTCAGTCGTAGTAATCGTAACAGCTGTCACGCTCGCCACCTCACTGGTCACGGTGCCTTGCACTCCATTGCCCGTCGCCGACGACACCGCCGATGGTACTACACTCGCACCGGGCACGGCATCAGCGCCAGTGCCAATTTCCAGGATGTCATCTTTAGTAGAATCATATTTGGCACTTGCCAGCGAGATTTCGTTATTGTCAAGATCATAAACAACATACGCACTACGCAGGAAATTGTCACCAAGAATGTTCACACCTGGCTTACTAGGCGCAATGCCGAACACGCAAGTGCCCTCTGGAAATCCCTTTTCAGTGCCGTCAAGGACGAGTTCGCTCATACTAACCGTAATAGTTGCACCTGAGAAGCTATATGTCACGTTTGCGTCTGTGTTGGTGGCCTGGTCGCAGTCGACGTACGCATAGTTAACTTCCTTGACGTACGTCGCGTTTAGGGCGGTGTAAATCTCGTATGCGAGGGCTTCGGGCAGTAGAGTGTCAGTTGTTCCCGAATCTAGCGAGACGGAGAGCGGCAGGTTTGTTGTTGTTGGGTTGGTTGAAGATCCGTTGTTGATAGTGATTTCGGTCAGTGCAATGGCCAAAGAAGGGTACTCGTTGTACTCGGGCACGATGGGCAAAGTCTGCAGTTCTCCTGAGTATTTGGCCTTGTTCACACCACCGAATAAAATAGTTCCTGTGCTTGCTGACGCGGAATTGAGGAACAGGCTGTACGCCGTGGATGCGGTGATGCCGCTCGAGGTCAAAGCATAGGGCAAGTTGCTATAAACTTTGCCCTCGTGCGAGGCAGTGTAAGTTGAGATGTTGTACCCAACGCCAGCAATGCCGACTAATCATGATACATTAGCAGGAGGGCCTTTCCAGGAGTTTCCCAAAGGCCTGACAAACTTACCATTAGCACTGCTCTCGTCAACAACAACAAACTGAAAGTCCTTTACAGTTGCACTTCCCAAGCCCAAGGTGTCCGTTGCATAAGTGCCCAGCGCAGTAGTGCCGCCTGCGTATGTTGCATTGTATGAGGAATGAAGCGATTTGTAGGTAGATGAGGCCGTTGCGTTGTAGGCGTCGTCTGTCTGCACGGAAGAGTTGGCAGAAACAACCCATGTATCACTACTACCTGTATCTAGAACGAGGGTGAATGTCTGTGCGGGGGTGCCCAAAGTCAAGTTCATTAGGTAACTTAGTTCTCGCTGTAGCTTGTCAGGTTCGAGGTCTTTCAAGAGTCTTAACGAAGGGTCTACCCATACGTTGTTTCCAATCGACACGCCGAGGGACGACGGGTCTCGCTTGACTAGAGGCTTATCTAGATGTCTGCGTTCCAGCGGCGCTTCTAACACGCGCGGAGCATCGCGTCGATGTAGAGAAAGTGCATTGCCCACTGACGCCGTGGACAAGACGATGAAAGGCAACGATGTTGCGACGCGCATCGTATACTATGCGATGAAACTGCCGCAGTAGAATAAACGAAGGTCTTGATATATCATTAAGAAACCAAATTTAACGAAAGTGTATTTTTAATTATTAGCGAGATACTGGTTCACTTCGGTTATTATATTTAGGAACCTGTGGATTACGATTATTTAGGCATTGACAAAAAGTCATGGAGCCGCCAGCCTAAACTCCCCTACGCCACATTCATTTCACCATAATCAGAAACTCAATCTACTGGAGGAATGAAGTCACCAGCAGCCTGTACTATGCAAGACTAAATACATCTATTGAGCCATGGCGTCAAAACCCAAGGTGTAGTTCCTGCCGCTAAGCCCGTAAGCAGTCTAGATAACGAACACCTCCACGAGCAGCCAGTTGCAATGACACAAATAAATTAACCCGAAATCCAATTGTGACGGTGGCACTGAGGCAGTGTAGCCGCCGCGTTTCTCATTAGCGAAAGACGACAAACAATTGAGCAATTGGCTGAGGGCTTCATACGTCTTTCCTAAATAAGCTTAGAGGCCCATTGTTAGCGAGTTTATTGGCCCTAATTCTCAGGCTCCATACATAGTTGCCCACTTTCAGTGCTGCGTTCTCCGGGCCATCCGGCCATGTGAAGTGACATCCAATCGCGTGACTGGAGTGTCAAGCAGTTTAACAACCCCTCTTAGTCGGAAAAACGTTTAGCCCTTGCGGCTGGTTTGACCTCTGAATAAATGAGTTTGTCGTATTCTAGTCAGAATGTAGTGTTATTCACATGTCGGTTTTATGCTTTCTCGCTGCATTCCTAGGTCTTTCCTCTGCTCATTTCAATACATATAGAAAAGTCTCTGTTTTCAAAGCGTGAGACAGAGATCACCATGGCAAAATCATCGATCCCTCTCCGCGCTGTGCACGATGGTTCCTTGTACGACTTTGATACTGCCACTGTTGCTAGGATGACTGCTCGTGTCCCAGTCTCCAACATCCCCCTTATATGTAGGCAGTGGTTGATGAGAAGAAGGTAAAATCATTTGCTCGTCGCTGGCCGTATTCCACTGAATCTCCGTTGGCAACGACAAGGGATGCCGGAACTTCTTCTTACGCTTGCTTGAAGAGCTAGCAGTAAATCCTTCAGAAAGCTCGTATGAATCACCATTGCTGATGGAAAAAAGCCCCTGCCGACGAACGAGGCGCCGTAAAAGTGGATATATCATTGGCACATTTCCAATAACGACAGCGACAAATGTTTCGCGACAAGCCCAGCTGCCTGCCGCCTCAGCACCGTTAGGACCTGCCTAAGAATTTGTCATGTTTGTTAGACACATATAGAGCCTTTCCAGAGTTTTTAGAAAGCGATTTTTCACCGTTAGGATTAAAACACAGCGTAAAATGCCACACATCATGACAAACAGGCCACCGCTAAAAAGAACAGCAAGCTCAAGCTTCTCACGCCATCCCAATCGAGCTTTGAATAATATCTTGTTCTTGCTTGTCAGACTCTTGGCTTTGCAAATTCCCTGAAAATAGACTCACCGGGGTTGGAATGCTGATCAGATAAATATCTGTACTGACATTAAGGATTACTGTCACGTATATGTCAATCTTGGACACAGCAGGCTGGCAAACGTCTGAAGAGAACGAACAAAGTCAAAAAAGTCGTTTTAAGTGAATCAATTGGCGGGACGCTTACTTCCCGGATCTGGATATATCTGCCAATTTTTGTGCATAGGGTGACAGCCGAACAGGATTGAGCAAACAGTGGCAATGTATGTTGAGCCTATTAACACGTAGGCAAGATGTATTCGGATTCTCATGTTAAACAACCCCATTCTAAGTAACGCAGTTAGCTCTTAATTCAAAGAAGAGGACGAGATATGTACAGGAGCATTAGAAGCTACCATGAGATACTCACGTCAATCGAGAATAAAAGATAGCCAGGCATGTTTTGAGCAGCCATAGCAAAAGAGTATACAGGGACCAGCCAGTCACTTGAACCTTTGATCCGCCAACACGTAAATGATATTCTTTGGAGTGTGGAGATATACTCGCCCGTTGTTCATCGGTCATGGAATTGTTTGCCAGTCCGTCGAACCACGCTCCGACAATATATGCTGCAGCGGTTTCAAGGCCGTACACCACCTAGAGAGATATAATTTTAGCAAGAGGTTATAATGTTCGCATGAAATTACTGACACACGCTAGTAGCATTAGATAATCATCAGCTTGGAAGTTTCGAGGCCCGACCATGTACCATCGTGCAGCGGTGCGAAGGCCGATAATTATAATTGCTAAACCTAACAAGGTGAATGCCTCCCTGGCGAAGTCGCTCATTCTTGACGATACGGTCTATTCGATTGTGACTTCGAATTTTAAGTTCTTTTACAATTTTCAAGGAGACGTGTTATATTTGTTACAAGAGTGAAGACTACTCCGTACTAAGCACCCTGCATCCAGACAATAGACACTAATCCCAATATTATCTTGTATCTCCGGTGGGCCCTTTTGCACCTATCCCGGCTGCTTGCCCTTATTGGGCCTAGGCGTAACGCTAGAAGGCTTCGGACCGAACGGGCCGCCTCTTTAGTGCATCTACCGTTAGGCTAAGACGTAAGTAGTTAGTTTCCCGATCAAGGGTCCTGCCCGTCTCGGGAGTAGCACTGGTAAATAATTAATATATGCAATACTTAATACCTTCCTCGCAAGGCCCCCTCCTATAGAGTATATAAGTTATGCACGCAGCAGCAAGCCCCTCAGGTCTTGTGGTGATTGGTGGGAATAAAGCGAATAGTCTACCAGTGATCATGACTAGCGGTGAGATGTGTTTTTTCTAGACAAGCGCAATCAACTAGAAGAGGCCACTAGTAGGTTTCACTGTCTGTCCCACATGCGCGATACGAAAACAAAGTAATAGTGAATTGCTGTTGGGGGCAAGCCGGTTCCGAACGTGCATCCGACAGTTTACAGTGACATTTGTAATCTTGGATAATTAAGAAATATAACTGGGTCATGTGCAACATGTTTAGACCATTTTATGCTTCACTGTGTACTCTGTACAGCACTGCCATTATGATTGGCCATTCCATTTGCCATGGTCAGGGGTAGATTTATGAGTCTTATCTTATACGCATGTCAACTGAGCCCACTAGTTAGCAGTTACGATTTGGCCTAGACTCTAATCGTGCCTGCATATCGATACTCCCAAAATTGCAAGGTATAAGCGTCTCATCTAATGCCTGCACAGGATCATAGGATCATACGTTGACAGAATTATACTATTGGCTACACATAGTCCACACATTAGCACCGACGATGGGCCCTTTCGGCCTTGCATTCTAGCCCTTCTTGCTTGGTCCCCTCGTAAGAGTCCCACATATTTGACCATCTCCGAGCAACATTTCTCTGTTTGCCGTTTTCTCTTTCCTTTTCCTTCCCGGAAGTCATCCGTTTTTGTTGACATTTCACGTACCGAGGTGCGTAGCTTCCTGCATTAGCCTTTGTTCCGAGTCCAACACTTTATTCATTGGTTCCTATTCTCATAAGCAAACAATGGCACCAAGTGCTAAAGCAATAGAGACTGTGGACCTGGTAGTGATCGGCGCCGGTGAGTTGGTAATCACAATAGAACAGAATAGTAACTAGTCTAATCGATCGTCATTGCTATCTTCTAGGCTGGAATGGGCTCGCGGCTATCAAAACCTACTGTGAGGTCAACCCACACCACAACGCGGTTTTGCTGGAAGCTGCCAGCTCCATTGGTGGAGTATGGGCCCAGCACCGACTGTATAAGGGCCTCAATGCAAATAACCTGCTAGGCACTTATGAGTTTAGTGACTTTCCAATGGATGAGAAAGTCTTTGGTGTTAAACCAGGTCAACATATTCCAGGGGACGTAGTTCACCGATACCTGGAAGCATATGCAAACACATTTGGAGTGCTTGGCCGAATTCGACTCAACCACAGTGTTGAAAGCGCCCAGCGGAACGTGGATGGAACATGGCAGCTCAGAGTATGGCATGAAGAAAAGTTGGTGACTATCAACACCAAGAAGCTTATCGTGGCCACGGGCATCACATCGCAGGCGTACCTACCCTCCTTTAAGGGCCAGGAGGTTTTCAATGTGCCACTGTTCCACTGTCGTGACATGTTACAACATGAGGGACAGATCCTAAGATCCGAAGAGCGAGTAACTATCTTTGGAGGTACGAAGTCTGCATGGGATGCGGCTTATACATGTGCAACTTCAGGAATGAAGGTGGACTGGGTCATTCGTGAATCTGGACACGGCCCCGTTTGGATGTCGCCGCCCTATGTGACGCCGCTGAAGAGGCATTTAGAGAAACTGGTTACCACCAGATTTCTGACATGGTTTAGCCCGTGCATTTGGGGTGCCGCGGATGGGTTTACCAGCGTGCGCAACTTCCTGCATAGGACCTGGCTGGGACGGAAGATTGTCGATGCCTTCTGGTCAGTGTTAGCCAATGATGTGGTGCAGCTCAATGGTTACGACCAACATCCTGAGACGAAGAAGTTAAAGCCATGGGTCAGTCCCTTTTGGGTTGCCTCGTCGCTAAGTATTCTGAATTACCCGACGGACTTTTTCGCTCTCATCAAGGATGGCGCCATCAAGGTGCACATAGCCGACATAGACCACCTGTCAGACCACATAATCCATCTCTCCACAGGCGAGGATCTACCGACCACGGCTCTTATTTGCTCAACCGGGTGGCGCTGTACCCCGAACTTGAAATTCCTACCCGAGGGCATTGATCGCAAAATGGGATTTCCTTGGAGCGAAGACCCCCTAGACGCCGCCATGGTCCAAGCAGCAGATAAAGAGATATTGCTCCGCTTTCCAAGTTTGCAGAATTACCCAGCTCCTAATCCCAAATTCCGGCCGCTCGATGACCACGCTGAAGCTGCCGTGCCACACCCTTTTCGTCTTACTCGCTTTATGGTTCCGCTATCAAGCATTGAGGATCGCTCATTGGCATTCATGGGCATCGTAAGCTCGATTGATACGTCCTTGATAGCACAGACTCAAGCTCTTTGGATTGCTGCTTATTTTGGTGGCCAACTCACTCCAACAGCGATAGAACGTTGTCCTCCAGCGGTCCGTGCAGCAATAGATTTGAAAATTGACGACGATGACGAAATCGATCTAGCATGGGAGACCACGCTACACTCCGAGTTTGGCAGATACCGCTGCCCGGGAGGTTTTGGCCGCCGAAACCCAGATTTTGTTTTCGATGCGATTCCGTATATCGATCTGATGTTGCGTGACCTAGGTCTGTCTACTGAACGGAAAGGGGGTCTATTTTCACAATGCTTCTATTCATACGGTGCTGAAGACTACAAGGGACTTGTTGATGAATGGAAAGCCAAGACTTAGATCAATAATTCGGGCCCTCTCTTTTCCTTTTTTCAGTTTTCTCCGAATCGCCTTTATATTGTCCATTGTATTCTTTGATATGCCATGTTTGATTCTGTAATAGGGGTATTCTAGTGCATTACAATGCAATCTAAAATTTTGTTCCAAAGCGTTGAAATCCGTCGTTATACCGACCTAGGTCTCCGCCACCAATGAAAAGATCTCCAGTTTTTGCATTTTGGCAAGCATAATCAAACCCATCAGCATGATATATTTTCCACGAATAGTTCCCGTCAAATGAAGGAGCATTTTTCGCAGGGTTTTGGATACTCATTTGGCCCCTCCTTGGCCATAGAATTCCTCTTAAGCCAGGCAGGAGTCTGGTAACGTATCCTTCGGTGCAATGAACTATATGCCTTGCTTTGATTACTCCTCGGCGTAAGAATTAGGTAGACACTGTCGTTAGCGCTTTTCTTAATTTCCAGCGCTGGCGTATGAGTGTCAATGCTAAGTCTGTCGGGATATTGGGATAGCCCTTCGTGGTCGCGGACATGGAGGCGACAGTCTGCTTCTAACAGATTATTGTAGATGTAGGCCTGGATGGTGACATGAGGGCTACCAGTCGTATCGATGGTGCGACTTTTATACTCACTGATATCGCCGATAACCCCTCGATTCGCACGGAACATTTCTTCCTAATGACAGACCTTCATGTGTTTCCTTGTTCCTAGAATGCAATGCCTGTGTTGACCGAATTCAACATTCTGATTTTACTATCCAGTTACCGGCTGTGGTTAACTATCCCGACGACAGAGCTTTGTACCTAATCGAGAGACTCACCCCATTTCTCGGTCAATATTGACCCGCGGTAGTAGTAGCGTGACATCATACAACCAAACCCACCTAACACATGCTGTCTAGCCTTCATCAATTGAACACCGATTGGTGCAAATAAATTTCGCCGATGATTAACTGAGGTCCATCTGGCAAATGAATTACATAGTTTACGTTTCATTGAAATATAAAATTTATAAGTTGCCGGCACTCTCAGCTTCTCATCCCGGAAAAGAATGTCTGCTACAAATGGCTGAAGATTATATATTATCTCTCGATAACCTTTGACCAAGCTCAAAATGCGGTCATCCATTACAATTTGGACGCTGCTTTTTGCAACACTCTTTTCATTTACGATGGCGCGTAAGCCGGCCGCGTTTTATCTGGCGGGTGATTCTACAACAGCTGCACAGTCTTCCGATGGGGGAGGCTGGGGCGTCGGGTTCCTGAAAACTCTCGCTCGCGGAGCGATTGGGACGGATCTTGGCTACAACGGAGATACAACCGCTTCCTTTGTATCCGGAGGCGCTTGGGCGAACGTGATCGATGCTGTTTCTAGAAGCAAAGCGGAGTTTGAGCCATACGTGACCATTCAAGTGAGTCTCCGTTTAAAATGGTCAGACTCAGTTTTGCTCATGATTAGGGGCTCCTAGTTTGGCCACAACGATCAGAAGAATAACTCCGGTGTCACGCGTTCAGAGTATCAAACAAACCTCCAAAGTCTCGCCGAGAATGTCACAGCTGCTGGGGGAACGCCGGTGAGTCAGTGGCCAGGGACTGGAGTAGCCAAAAGAAAAATAAATTATCGAATTATTTGAGCTCTGGCTTATACGATAGGTGATGTGATAGGTCCTTGTAACTCCCCTGTCCCGCCGCAACTTCAACTCGTCCGGACTAGTGATTGAAGATCTTGCTGAGCAGCGCAATATCACTATTACAGTTGCCGAATCACTCGGGGTCTCTTATATTGACCTGAACAAAGCCAGCACAATGTACCTGGATGCAATAGGCCAAAATCTCTCTGCAACCTATAATCGTGTTTCCGATGACTATACTCATCTCAATGCTGTTGGGAGTGTTGTGTTTGGGACCTTGGTTAGCTGGTTGTTGCTCACGACAACGTCCCTGGGCGGCGCTCTCGAGCCTTACACGATACCATCTGCAGCAATTATTGATGCTATTGAAAACGGCACTTATATTTACCCAAGCTAGACTTTTAGCAATATGGGAACAGATGTGTTTGAACTGTGCATCCTGTTCTCGATTCTCGTTTACCAATACGACATGGCGTGGAAAACGCTGGGTTTTCACCCCCCCCTCTTTCTCATTAGTGTTGAGGTAGATTATATATCGTCCGGGAAGTATAGGACCGCCGGAAGTTGCACAGGTGAATCCTGATCTTCAACCTATCCAGGATTCTTTTTGCCATTTAGCCTTGCCCCGAAAGCCAATACATCCCTGGCCGACTGTGACATGGTATATATTAACATTAGTACTAATAGGTTGGTGGATAGTAGCCTTATCTGGTAATTGTGATTGGGTACTTACTGCACTAGTACGCATGTACCTAAACTTTCACACTGTCGTTAGCTACCTCTTATCACAAGCTTTCTCCGACCGGGCAACTAACTTTCGTCAACATCCATTAGCAAGCGAACAAATTTCATCTATTCAAGCCCGCACTATGTCTACCACGGATGATGACGTTGGTTCCGCAACTCAGCTTTCCTCGCGTCCTTACAGATCGCATAAATTTCCTGCCTGCGATTTCTGTCGCAGGCGGAAAACTCGATGCACTCAGGAGTCATTGAACCAGCCGTGCATAGAATGCGCCATGCACCGAGTAACATGTTCAAGAACTAGTCTCGTTCGCGATGCATCAGTTGTAAGCACCGGGACCAGGGTTCGAAGAGTACGACGAGTGTCCGGTAGGAAGCAGGTCGCGCGCCAGCCAATGTCTCCAGCACCACCTGCTGAAACCTCTGCTGCTGCCGAAAGCTCTCCTCCTCCTTCTCGTCCTCTGTTTGCACCAAATATTTCAAGTAAAACCCAGTCCACTCATATTGTCGGGCCGGCAATGGCCCGCGACGCGCAGGTTCTCGAAAGCTACATGTCCCCTGCTTATAATACAGCTGTGTCGTGTGCCCAGCCAAACCCGTACAGTATCTATTCTCGCGACCCTCGAAATCCTGTAGTGTATATGAAAGTTCCACGCCATCGCAACATTGCACCTTCTGGAAATGGTACCGCCGGATTCAGACAGTTTGAGGTCATGGACAAGATTGTTGACCCTTTGGGTCCAGAACTGTTCCGTGTGTAAGTCGTGTCCTTGCCCAATACATACATGCTAAGACGTTACTTTGTATCTAACATCCACATATAGATATTTTGACAATATTCATCCACCCTTTCCCGTACTTGACGAAAGTGCAGTTATTGAAACCTTTTCACGCGAGGGCCTTCCGTATACCTTGGTATGCGAAATCTACGCCGTGTCGCTTATTCTTTGGAAAACTTCCAAAACAATATCAGCCACAGGACGTCAGACTCCAGATGTTCGGTACATGTGGAACCTGGCAGTGAGTGCGATGAATGATGATTTCATAGCACCTGACTTGTCAACGGTGTTGTCGTGTATCCTAGATCTTCTTGGCCGGCCCATAACCTCCATCACGTACAATGCTGTTAATGTCGGTCGCGTCGTTGCCCTCGCTCAGAGTTTGGGCCTGAACCGCAATCCGCTGAACTGGGACTTAGCTGCTCGACAGAAGAACTTACGCATTAGGACATGGTGGGGAATACTGATTCATGACCAATGGTAGGCGTGCCGTGGTTACACTTAATGAAATGTCTATTCTCTGACTGACTCACATTTTGAAGGTCGAGTCTATCTCATGGAACTCCACCTCATATTCACCACTCTCAGTGGGATGTTCCGGTGCCTGACTCGAAGATCTTGGGGGTTGATTCACGTACAAATCAAGAGTCCACATCCATCAATAGAGTACAAGGAGCTATCTCCTTTACAACGCTTTGCCAATTAACTAAGATACTAGGAGATATTCTTCCTTTAATCTATGCCTTGCAACGTCAAGACTCGGAGCAGGTATTTAGGGCTTTGCGGCGTCATGAAACGGCACTGGACCAATGGGAAGAGAACCTACCCCCTTGGCTACGTCCTGGTAGTGCATCCCTTGACAGAAAAGCTGCTGGCGCTTTGAACCTACAACTATGCTACTTGGTATTGAGAATGTGTCTTTTGAGAGTTGGGCTTCTGGTAGAATTGTCACTTCTCCTATTCATTCTACGTCAGAGATTTTGGTACTAAGTGAAACAGGAATTCCATCGGTTGGACGCCACTGATATTACGGATGACAAGGTATATTATCAATCGAGATGCAGGAAAGCAGCGCGAACTGTGATAGAGTTTGTTACTAGCCTAGAAAGACGAGAGCTCAATTCTTTCTGGCTACCCTGTGAGTTTTCTTCTTTTCGTGAGGTATAAAGTTTCAATATGGGAGCCACATTCATTGATTGCTAATCAAAGATACTACGTATCATTTTACTTCCGCGACGACACTTATACTTCGGTGTGCCCTTGAAGCTGAAGACGCCGAGACCGCGCAAGAATGTGTGGCGAGCGCAAAGAAGTTGATGGATTTCCTCCGGAAGATGAAAGATGAGGCAAATTGGGATCTAGCAGATACATGTCTGAATCTTTGCGAAGCCATAGTCGAGAATTTAAGCGACAGACACAAGTTAGCTATATGGAGGAACAGTCCCCACGGCAATCACCATCCAGCTGGAGGAGAATCTACAGACAATTTCTTTCCTCAATTTGATAACCAACACTCACAACGACAATCAGAGGCTACGTTTTCTCATGTAGGCCACGATTTTTCCAATCTTGACCCTTGGACCATTAGAAGTCTAGAAGGAATCAATGCGGGGGCTATCAAAACAGCTTTTTTTCAGGACGTCATGACGTTTGCATCTATGCCAGGGACTGTCGATGATAATACGGGATTCTCCGATATGATACAGACACCGTATCTAGAAGGGTACCCATATCCCAACGCCTAGCTATCCTTGATTTGTAATCTGTCTAAAATGGTATTGGGCCTTGTTCTAGTGGTTTCTGGATAAAACTATTCCTGAGGTAACATATAACGAGCAAGCAAAAGCAAGCTTGCATCGGCTGGATAAGTCTTTCCCTGACATTGTTATGTTCAAAATTCATAGTACGTACCGGAAGTGTGGGTTCTGTCCCAACCGTATTTGCAGCTGCAGCATCCCTCCGCTTGTTGCGGTGAATGTACAGCAAGCCCAGACAAATAGTCAGGAGTTCCTGAGCAGACGAACAAGCTAGGATGACCTTGCATCCAGTTTGGTAGATTGGGGCTTCCTTCGCTAGAAATTCATGAGGTCCGATTATATTTCTAATGCAATGCGCGAGGACGACTAGCCAAACACTGGTTGTGTGCTTTGTGTAGCCACCAAGGTTTATAGCAGGCATTTGTAATGCAAGAACAAGCGAGCACACATACGCGCCGACAATGTAGTAGCCAAATCGAACTCCCACCTTGTGTGTCTTGTGTGACAGCTTCCACGTTAGGCATGTCCCAATGATAGTCGGCATTAAATACAAGAACATAACGATGGTCCGAAAGTTAGAAACCCGAGACGCAAGATACGTTCCGGACAGGACCCAGAAGATCTGAAACGCGCCAAATGGAATTCCTAGTGCAACTGATGTGAGCGCGTCGCCTGTCAGTCGTTTGATAATCAGCTTGCTGAAATTCGCAACACCGCCATTGATCGCCTCGTTGAACAGCACGAAGGAAAACGTCATCCAGTGTTGGTATTTGGACAGGGCAATGAGGAATTGATTAATGGCGACATTGCACCAGCTGCAAAGTTCGAGATGGATAGCTGGGGCAGAGAGAAAACGGACTTCTGGTGGTCCAAGGTCGACAAATCGCATCTGCGTTGATGTAAACGAGAGTATACCACACACGCTATGTTTTTGTATGGCCGTTTCAGTATTAGAGGATGATGTGTCTTTCTCTACCTAGGTACAACAACAAAATTCATTCATATCATCAGAATCCTTCATAATGAATATGTGTGCTACTTATATATGTGCACATATATGCGAATTCGACCGAGTAGTCATAAAGAGATTACATGTTGGATCAATACAGTATACATATCGCTCCTCAAAATATCACCTACATAAAAGACAGCGCACCTAGCATAGGTACTACACTGTCCTGACCAGGTGTTTGACATAGTACCTACTACCAACAAATATCATATCAACCGGCAAATAACCAGCAGATTTTGCCGACGGTAATCTACGTTGGTGATTGGACAGATTGACGTAAATTAGATAAAGATGGCGTCGAGGTTTTCCGACGGAAATATCCGTCCTCCACTTCTCCGATAAATGCAATCAATGCGACAAATTGGAGGATAGTAGTTCAGTTACTTATTGAAAATAGCCATAATAACAGACGAGGCCGCTGGATCGATTGATATAAAGGGTATGTCACCCGCTTCTTTGTTTTTCCTTTCAAGCAAGGTTTTTGATTGCATGTATTCCGAAGTTATACAATCAGATATATGCATATTAAATACGAAGAAATGGCAACTGTCCAGCTTCCCGAGCCCTTCGCTAGTATTTCTAGAGAATCATTTCTCTTCGGGCCCTCGCCCATTCAATATTTGCCAAAGATCACACAAGCCCTTGGCGGAAATATTGGTGTCTATGCGAAGAGAGAAGACTGCAATTCTGGCTTAGCTTTCGGGGGCAATAAAACCAGAAAGTTGGAGTATGATTCCTCTCCATTGTCCATCTTTGAACAATCGTTATGCTTATCCCTTAGTTCAGATATCTTGCTCCAGATGCAATAGCACAAAGATGCGACACTCTGGTCAGCATTGGCGGCTTTCAATCCAACCATACACGACAAGTCGCAGCCGTTTCTACAAAGTTAGGAATGAAAGTAGCTCTGGTCCAGGAGAAATGGGTCAACTGGACAGATCCCGTATACGACAAGGCCGGCAACATCCAACTTTCCCGGCTGATGGGCGCGGAGGTTCGACTAGATCCATCTCCATTCGGTATTGAGCATAAGGAAACACTTCAAAATCTGCAACAAGAAATCATTGCCCAAGGTGGTAAACCATATTATATTCCTGCGGGGGCTTCTGATCACCCGCTAGGAGGACTTGGTTTCGCACGTTGGGCTTTTGAAGTAGAACAACAGGAGAAGGAGATGGGCATCTTCTTTGACACTGTCATTGTCTGTGCCGTCACCGGATCAACAATGGCGGGAATGGTGGCAGGCTTCAAACTGGCCCAAAAGCGTAATGGCTCCAAACCTCGCAAAGTGATTGGAATTGATGCCTCAGCGACTGTGCAGCAGACCTTTGACCAAATCTTGCGCATTGCCAAGGCAACCGGCGTGAAGATTGGATTGGGTGAGAATGATATCACCGAGGACGATATCATACTTGATGATAGATACCACGCCGGTGTCTACGGTATTCCCGATCAGCAGACAATCGATGCTATAAAGTTCGGTGCATCAACCGAAGCTTTTATTACCGATCCCGTCTATGAGGGCAAAAGTCTCGCAGGTATGATTGATATGGTTCGAAAGGGAGAAATTCCTGTTAGCACCAATATTCTCTACGCACACCTTGGAGGACAGCTGGCACTTAATGCATATACTGGGATGTAGCTTGAAACTGCTCAAGATTCTTGTCTTTACATTCTAATTTTGATAAGATTTCGGAGCCAAAAGAGATACGTTCGACTTTCTTATGTCAATAGAAGATCTTCAAGCCTGTCATTCTTGTCGTTAGTTCTATTATGCGACTGTTTTACAATGCTATCAGCCTTCTCAAGGTCCCTGCTTCAGCGCCGATGAAAAGATACCTAAACAACGACATGGGAATGGTCCTAAGTGGTCTAAGTGTAAATTAGTAGTTTGTGAGTAAAATTATTGGGTATAATCCACGTTGAATTTGTATGTTTGCTGATCTAACAAGCAAAGTTTCTGTAGAGAGCAAATCTCCCTCATACATACAAACACCCCGGGTCACTCGTGGACTAGATCCAAAACTGCATTCACTATGTCTAGCCACACTGATAGATAGGTGTTTCAGTGGCCCAATATGCATACAAATTTTTATTTCCCTTCCGTTCAATTCGGCTTTGCCTTCGTCTATCTTCTTTCTGCGTCTTTTCGGTGTGCCTATGTTGCGTCGCCAGTAGTGAGCGCTGCTGAGGGGCGGGTAAGTGCATCAAGGCATTTCGATCATTCGCACTTATACTAGTTAACTGATATGTTACCATTGCCTTCTCTCGTTTCTCTCTCTTCGATAATGTCCGTGTCTTGACTTTATCCGAGTTGAGCGTTTCTGTGTCGGATCCCTCCACATCGTCGGGCTCCATCAGGGAATATTCTAGTTGCGACGCTCTGTTCCGTATCCGGCGATGCAACTGAGTAAACGACCGTTCTGATTGTGCTGAGGACTTTTTGGTAATAATTTTACCCGACGGTAAATGAATTGATTCCTCACCAGCCAGCAGTGGCTTTCGGGTTGAGCTTATGTCTGCCTCCTCATAATTCCTCGTATCTCCGTCGTCCTCCATCTCACCTTCCGTGTCGTCTTCCAAGCCAACGAAGTCGTAGAACTCGGCGAACTCTGAGTCTTCTTCTGATACATCAAATTTACAATGACCCTTGCCGATCATGTGCTGCTGTACAGCTTGTATGGTAGCTCTCTCTGTTCCGCATTGTATACACTCTCGGTATCCGAAGATAACGAGATGCAGGTACCTGAAAAGCGTCTCGAGGTCGACTGCTAAATGTTGATGATGTGGAATAAACAAACCGTGTGATTTTTGCATATGTAAGACGCTGTCTGCAAAGCTTGGTGAGAGATTGGAACATAATAAGCATTGCCCGGGTGTGAATGGTTGGATATCCGCGTGAGGAGAGTCGATTGACTCTATAAAGAACGTGGATGTCGAGTTGGTTTTCGAAGTCGATGATAGACTCATTGGTGAGGTCGGTAGCTGCGTAGCTGTGGCTGAAGTCGTTGTCACTAGTATATCAATCAATAAATTGGAAGCGGTCGTAGCTCTGGATATATTTCAGCTCAAGTCCAGTGCTTGTACTCGGTCGTTGATATCTTTTACCATCGGGGGCTGATACAGACTCTGTTTTATATAGTTGGCCGAGGGTGAGCATCACAGCCTTCTCATTGGTCAATTGGGCAACGCCCCACTGCGTCGCCACCAGAACTTCATACTTTGACTCGTCACTGAGGGATGATTCATCATGAATAATATTGCTTTCATTATGAGTTACAGCTAGCATCTCTGTCTTATACCTAGGAAGCAATAAGCGAGACCCCGCAAATTAAATACAGTGATATTAGCTAAAATGGCCCCAGGAAATCAGTAATATACATTTAAAATCATTTAAAATTTTATGGATTTAGACTATTATATAGCTGAATTCTAGATATTAATCATTTTGGTTCTCACAGAGGTAATGCTTAAAAGCCAATTGTTGCTTGCTTTGCCGGCCGAACCATCGCACCTACGTACGAGCTTTCTTACTATTTCGCGCATGACTCTGTAAAACTTGCCCAATTCTACTCTGTGATAGTTTCATCTTATCAAATCTAATTGGCTTCTTTGTTACACAACGGTCGAAGTATAGCTGTCGGTGTACGCAGTCGCCCGTCTGTCGGCGAAATCGGCTCTTCATCCCCCGGTCGTCCGGGATGCTTAAGCCATGCGAACGCGAAAGCCGAAGTGGTAGCATTAGTCAACACTGTCTTTGCTGCGAAGCATAGGGCTCAGCAGAATTCCATTGATTACCTAGGTACCTCAGGGCATTTCGGTTTGCCAAGGACACCGCGCCAGCTCGATGTTGCGTCGTCTCGCTTTTAAGGCGTGGTTTATATAAATCATACGAACCGCCGCCTCACACTTCGTGTAATGCAGATTGCATTTTATATCTTCTTCGCACCTCATTGGTTTAGCATTCGGGCAATCGGTCGTATCCAGTCTTTTAGGGGCCTGCACTGATACTTGAACAACGACTCGTTTTGGGGAGTTTGCATCCTCCGGTACACCACAATTGCTGGGAGTGATCGGAGGCATATTAGCCTCTTTGCTGATAGTAAGTAATTTTTGCTTGCTCAGCGTTTTAAGAGGTTCAGAATCTAAGGCAATGGGTCAAACAGTTGATTTTATATCGCGGCTTGACACCGAGCATTCCGCCAAATTGTTGAACTTGTTGAACTTGTTGATCGCTTGCAAGTGTATGCAGAAGAATCCGTGAGACGCTACGAAAAGCATCTGTTACAGAACCCGACCAACCCAAAACAAACTCTTTTTACGAAGCTATACAAGGCAGAAAAAGAAAATGGTCTCAGTCGCAAAGAAATAAAGTCGAGTGCACAGGTATACATTGTGGCGGGGAGCGATACTACCGCCATGGCATTGATTTATATGATATATGCTGTTTGCAAACACCCAGAGATTCAAGATCAACTCATTGAAGAGTTGAAGTCGATCCCGGAAGATTTCAACGACAAGCACTGCCGAGATCTTACGTTTCTAAACCAAGTTATCAATGATACCCTGCGAGCTTACCCTGTGGTTTCCACAGCTTTGCCGAGGATTGTTGTTCCACCTCAAGGTGCCATCCTGGCTGGGTACCACATTCCTGGCGGAATGATTGTTTCAACTCAAGCGCACAGTTTACATCGTAATCCAGATGTTTTCGAGGCCCCGGAAAAGTATATATATCTTGGATTCTAGTCAAATATCAAGACACGCGCATGACTAACGGCATGAGTCAGATTCCATCCCCCCCGTTGGGAAAATCCGACGAAAAAAATGAAGGAATCATTTATGCCTTTTGGAGGCGACTCTCGCAGTATGCAATATATTCTAAATACCTTCATTCAAACAACAAGGACTAATACAGAAACTTCTTGGAACAGATTGTTTGGGCATGCATCTCGCTAGGATTGAATTGCGACTGGCAGCAGCGCATTTCTTTCGACGATTTCCAAACGCACGAATGTCATCGAAAGAGGGTATGTCTGATGCTGATATGGAACTAGAAGCTTCGTTTCTTGCGCAACTAAAAGGACATCGATGCTTGATCGAGGCTTGAAGTTAGCTGTTTCACACTAAATAATCCCATATTTGACCCAACCCATCATTTAGACACGCTTGGATACGGCTGAAAGCGGTATAAAAACTTTCCTACATCTACTTTAATAATCAATTATTGAATCAATTGCTAGACCTTCCGTCTTGATTCAGTGGGATATTACACTGGATTGTTGTAGCCTACTAGTGGGTAGAAATCTCGGAAACTAGCTCCCTGGTGTTATTATGGAGCCCCGTTATCGTACAATGTTTGTGGGGTGGGATGAATTAATATGTTCCTTTGCATGTTCCACGCGGGGGGGAGGCAAAAAGCAAGGGGCTGATCGATTCTAACCTTCATTGGGTTTAGATCCTCCACTTCGAGCGGATCCGGGGAAGAGTGGGGGCCAACGGGACCTAGATCTTTCCGCCTTTGGCAACTGACTCAACATGAGTCATCGCGAGTCTACTTAACTAAATGTGGGCCATCGTATAGCTTTAAAATCCAACGGACTCTACTTATCTTCTTTTGTCTTAAAGCCCAAGCTTAATTGGCCTGAAATCACGCAAGTCAATACTTTTCGTCGGTCATCAACCATGGCGGCGCCCTCCGAGTCCTCCGAAGCCATGATTTTCTATGACATTGCCATGGCCACACCATACGCACCGAATCCCTGGAAGTCACGATTGGCGCTGAACTTTAAAGACATTAAATATTCGACCACGTGGGTTCATCTTCCTGATATTGCCCAAGTTCGTCGCACTCTCGGTGTCCCGGCTTGCCGAAAGTTTAGCGACGGCACCGACTTTTATACTCTCCCCATTCTCGTTGACCCCAATACCAAGTCCCGAATCGGGGACTCCTTCGACATTGCCATCTATTTACAAAAAACATACCCAGATTCAGGCGCAGGCGATCTGTTTCCCCCGCAAAAGCTCGAGTTTGCCTTCAACAATGAATTTGCCTCGCTTGTGCCCCTGTCTGAGCGAAATGATATAGAGTATGTCGACTACTCCAAATTCAACACATATGTCGACGCGGCATTTACAGCTCATGTTTCCCTGGTGGTGCATAATCTGCCGTTTCATCCTGCCACTGCTGAAGCAACCAAGGCCGAATTTGTGCGCCGCGCCGGTGTGACGTCTTGGGATGATTTTCAGATAAAAGGAGAACAGCGACAGAAGTTTAAAGAGTCTTTCCATACCATGCTAGGTGATCTGGGAAAGCTATTTCTAAGAGACATCAGCGGGCCTTTTTTATTGGGTAAGAAGGCTAGCTATGCTGATCTAATTGTTGGTGGGTGGCTGCGCATGATGCGTGAAGCTCTCCCGAAACAAGAGTGGGAAGAGATAAGTGGCTGGCACGGGGGTATCTATGGACGCTTGCATGATGGCCTAGAGAAGTATGCAGAAGTGAAGTAGGAATCAGATTTGATCTGCTTACCTCTGGGCCGAGGCTTCGCTTGACGAGATTCTTGATGAACTCGTGTCGAGCATCGACAAAGGTGTGATATATTGAATTTTACGTACAATTGCCAGGAATAATGAATGGTCTTATCAGTATATTGACACCTTTAGCGTAGATCGTTAGTTCTAACATGAGACTGTCAATGCCGAGGAAGAGCATTGTGTTTCTATACGTCTGTGGAAGGTTGACAACTTCGCTAAATCGCACACACTAAGACTGTAACCTCCCAACTGGCCAGTTGTTTGCCCAAGGTAGATTACTGGATATTGCAAATACAATGCTTATGTACGTTGCATGGGCGAAGTATGAGACTGCGGTTCAATCACATCCTGGGCTGGCGGCAGACGTCGGATTTTAATACCCAGAGAATTTTCAGTCGCTTGCACGTGTGTGACAAGCCTAATAAGCGAGGATAGAGTCTAAAGGAACTGCAGACTGTTATCGTTGGCATTTTTTGACTTATCCTTTGTGTTTGGAGTGAGAAGATCATATTAACACTGTGCTATCTCTCACCCCTGTCCATTCGGAAGGCCTCAACATCGCCGGTTGGATAGTTACACTAGGCTCTTAATTTCGCTACGTGGAGTCGAGGACCTATAATAAAAAAGGGCTTGATATAAATTCATTCTAAGTAGCTACTTGGTGATTACACGCATATTATCATAGAACTGCGTTCTTTCAGGGTTCACTGAATATTAGCACAATTATCACGACATTTGATAAACGCATATTAGACGACAAGTAAAACCAAGATCATGAAATGTTCCAGATTCATTGATTTCCAGTAATAATGCCGCAACCTGATCTCTGATCTAGCTGACATGCATCGAGTCTTTGTGTCATGTTCCAGAGTGGGTACAAGGGATCATGGAAATTCATATTGAGCACGTCATCCAGGAAACCTCAAGCTCTAGCCAGCCGCGGCTTGAATGAAGTCAGTAGAGGCAATATATCTTTATATCCCACTGTAAGCCTCAAAATATGAAGAACGCTTATCTGGGGTGGGAGTAGAAAAGCGTAGGATTATTGATTGACTCATACTGAGCATCGAGATAGAATTTTAGAAGAGATAGCTTTCCTTTCGCTTACTCGTTTCTGTCAACCTGGTACCGATTGTCGCAGCAACTCCGCGTCTTTGTATCAGATAGCGAAGCAAATCCTCCACTATCGTCGCAATGTTGGCGCATTGGACGGTAGCATCGCCGGATTCATAAAAGCTAAATGCAACGGAAGTGACACACTCGGTGCACAACTGTAACCTGCCGAGAATATGGTGCAGGGGCTGTATGCTGGGTTAACACAACTGGTAGTGGCGTAAGTAGTTATCACCGACACAGCTGGTGAAACGATGGTTGTTGTAGGATTGAAGGCCGAGGTCGATGCCAGGGCCAGCTGAACCCAGACAACGAACAGTGGGAGTAAAACGATCATTGCTTTATCCAAAACAACAAGTTGATGAAGGAATTGGAGGATGTTGAGACTGGCTCAAATAAATAGTAAACATCCTTTCCCCCTTGGCTTGCGGGTTCTCGGGTATTATTTCCTCTGTATGGGGAACTACTGAGGCTATCGCAGCGTGGTGGAGCCTCCAACTCCAAAGCATGGTTATTTTTGGAATTTCGAGAAAGGAGAGAATAATGGCAAAAGGCTCAATCTTGAATCTATTGATCTTAGGCTTATTGCTCCCTCCACCCATGAAAATTACCAACTAATTCAACATACACCACAGTTAACCAATTTGGTGGACAAAGCTATAAGTAGGCCAATCCAATATAACTACTTTCCACGCAATCCTAGTAGCATAAGAATACGCAGTGTAGATTCAAAAAAATGTAATGCTACAAAACGAGGGCTGCATAGTGAGATGCAAGCTTACTTTGGAACCGTTGAGCCGTATTAATAAACCTAGCATTTGCCACAGTCCGCACTGACGGCCAACAGAGCTTTTACTATTCGCTGCACCAAGAAAGTCGGTGACACGCCCGACGAGCAAAAAATAATTGGTGGGCAGACGGGGTTGATGAACATTCACTAGACAGCTTTCGACCCGCACGCTAGATACGCTACCATTCTCCGACAAATCGGCTTCGGAAATTGCGCCAAAATCGCAAATCGGGGCTGGCTTCCCCACGGGGTATATATAACGATCATATTTACTATGTTTAGTACTCAAGCCTCGCACCAGATAGACGGTCTTCTTAAGTCCATATCTCTCTAGGCTTTTTATTCGAGAAAGTCTGCAATCGTCGGCCGCCGCACTTATTAGGAAGACACTTTATATCCCAGTTGACCAAAATGGAAATCGATACAGAGAAGACCATTGACGAGCACATTGAGAACAGCACCGTCCTCAAGGAGGCGTCTCGGGTCCCGGATTTCAAATACACAAGATCACCTCAGGAACGACGGTTGATTTGGAAACAAGACCTTCTAATTGTGTCTCTTCTTGCAGGATGTTTCTTTTTTGCTTACTTGGTGTGTGACTATGACTAACAGTATCCGGTAATATTGAAGGTATTGAAGGCATAGAGTTGCTAACGATAGAAATGAATCCAGGACCGTACGCAAATCGGCAACGCGAGGATCATGGGTCTTGAAGCCGGTTTGGGGATCTCGAGTAGCCAGTATTTCAACGTCTTAATGATGTTTTGTTAGTCGCGCCATCGCATACTAACATATTTGGCCTCACCATGAGCTAATGCAAGTACTGGATTAGATGTCGGTTATATGGTGTTCGAATTACCCGCAGCCTTGATTTTGCGATACCTACCTCCGCCAGTGGTGTTTGGTTTCTCAGTAGTTCTATTTGGTGTCATCTCTTGCTCCGTTGCTGCTGTCCACTCCTACGGGGTTCTCATGTTTCTTCGGGTCTTTCTTGGTCTGTTCGAGGCAGTCGTTCAAACGGGCAATCTGTACCTAGCACATTGGTATTACCCTAATGAGGTAGGAACGAGATCTGGTAAGCTTATAGCTTTTGTTCGATGCAGATGTGAATAATCGTCAACTGACCGATATTTTTCATAGCATTTTTCTATCTCCCAGCACCTATCGCTGGCGCTGTTGGAGGCCTTATCGCCTATGGAGTACAGCGGAATTTGGAAAATAGCCACGGAATCCCAGCATGGCGGTGGTTATTCATCATTGAAGGTGCTCCGACGATATTTTGGGGTCTGTTAGTTGTTGCCCTCTTACCGAATTTCCCTGAGACCGTTGCAAAAAAGCGACACTGGCTATTTCGACGACATAATGAACGGGAAATGATTTTGCAAAGATGTAAAACAGGTACAGCCCCGTCACAGTCCCATCTTACCCGAGCTCATCTCTGTTTCTTTACTTTTTTTTTTATTTTCTCCTTATTAATTTACATTCTTTTATCTTTGAGAAAATTGTCCTGACTGGATTATATAGCGAGAAATGAACCAGGTTCGAAAGCAAAATCTGTCCAGGTTTGGCTTGCTATAAAAGACCCCAAAAGCTGGTTGCAGGCTCTAGTAGTTGGGGCAGTATGTCTCAACGTCGCAGCCTTTGGGACATTTTTGCCAACATTCATCCAACTTTTCGGATTCTCTGCTTGTAAGTTTAGTAGACATGTTCGATTTGAATTGACTTTATAATCTTACTGATGGCTTCTCTGTCAAGTAACGACACAAGTATACACGATCATTCCTTACGCATTCGGCGTCGTTACACTCCCCATTGGCAACATTCTTGCAGATCGATACGATAAAAAGGGTGTACCCACCCTCATATGCCTCGGAGTATGCCTCATCGGGTATATTCTACTGCTGTCTAGTACAAACAAGGTTGTATTGATCGCTGGATGTTGTTTTGTTTCCGCCGGGGCCTATCCGGCCGTGATCCTTTCGAGTGCCTGGGTTCTCATTTCCAACGCTGGATATACCAAGCGAGCCACAGCATGGGCTATTGCTCAAATCTTCATCCAGTGTTACAGCATCATTAGTACACAGGTCTACACCGACCCACCCCGCTTCTTCAAGGGACACGGGACATTGCTAGGGTTGAATGCACTTGGTGTCGTTGCAGTTATGATCACCATGTGGATATTCGATCGCGAGAACAAACGGCGAGATATAGTGGCTGCTGATTTTGCGGCTCGTGGAGAGATCAATCCAGATAGCAATAGGAGCTATGAGGATCTTTGTGACAAGCATCCGGACTTTCGATATACCTTGTGAAGACTCTCAAGTAGTCATATGTCAGCTGTGGCTTTTACCAATGATGTTGTTTTGGCAGAAACTTTGATTATATCTTAGTAGTGCGCATCGTAGGAAATACGGTTCAAATGCCGTTTTATAGTCTTTGGTCGTGTTTTATAACATTAGATAAATGTATATGTGATACTTGAAAACATTTGCTCTATATTTGATTGCAATTAGTAACGTTTTTAGCTCGCATTATTGCCTCTCGAGGTTGACTTGTAAAGTTGTCAAGACGCGCAACAAAATTGTCACCATGTGTGTTTTTATTTCTTGTCATTCAGCAGAGAAGCATATGCAAGCTATAAACCATCGTTGGTTTCTTGATGAACTGGAGTTCCGACCATGACCGCGGATCTTCTTCACACTAGCTGATATTATTCCGGACAGGGTCTCAAGAATGTTGGCCCTAATTGGGTGTTGTTGTTTGGTTTATCAAACCATTGCAGTAAATATCTCCTATTGTCAGGTGCTACGCTTCTAAAAGTACGAATAACCAACCGTCTGGTACTCGGTGAGAGATACGCTAGATGTGATTCGCCTTTGCAAAAGCCGGTTTTGTTCGATTTTCCGACTCCACCCAGAGTCAGACCGTGGGTCTCTGAGGCCAATTGAACCGATTGGCTATGGGATGAGAAGCCCAGCCAAGTTTGTTGCTATCTGACCCCGGGCGACATGTCGCGAGATTACGTGGGCTTTGATACCTACGTATATATAATGGCAACCATAAACTCTAATCAAGTAGAACAGTGGCCAATTCAGTCAGTTGACGAGGTATTCATTGTTCACGACTGTCAAAGAAAGCTCTTACAGATCCGATCATGTGACGGGCCGAGCCCTATGGCTGGCTCTTGAAGACACGTGTAGTGTTTGCGTCACACGATGCGAACTAGATGCATATAATGGGCACATTTTTATGAACGCTTGCATGCCCAGTGCGTACCAAGGAAGAAACACCAAAATCCTACGTTATGGATGACGTTGGCCTCGCGGTCAATGATGGGGATCTCGCAAATGGGCCCCCCCTGATTGGCTGGGCCGGGGTAGTTAGTCTGCGGGGTAAAAATGCGGAGACGGAACCCCGATGAACGTCGTTCCCGACTCAACACCGAGTAGCACGATGGATTGCAACCCCCCAACGACAGGCATGAATCGTAAGAACAAGCCCGGGAGAGCAGTCAAAGCATGCACAAACTGTAGGCAGCAGAAAGTGAGTCTAATGATTAGTACCCGGGGTCTGGGGAACCTAATTGCTAACATCTCATCAACCTCTAGCTACGATGCGATGCAAGCGAATGCTCGACACCGCCGTGCTCCCGATGCAGGAGAATGAGCCTGGACTGTATTGTCCTATCGTCGTTCAAAAGAGAGAAAAGGAAGACGTAGGAATTGGCCCTGGAACTGCCTGACTGTGCCATGGATCCTTCTAACAGATAATCAGAAAAGCTGAACTGCAGCAAGAAGTTCAACTCCTGCGACAGCAAATGGCTATGGGATCTCGGATAGAACCGATATTGGATGATCATCATATACAGACAAATGTTGATGACAGGGCCCGCTCATCCGTTTCTCTTCTCTCAGGCTCCCTGCCCCCGGTATCCGAGATCTTAGAGGGCAGTCCGGGTCAGAGCACGTCGGGCAACAGCCATGATTTTATCTGCTCAACTCTTGAAGCAAGCACAGGCCTGGAGAACCTAAGTGATGCTGGCTCTAAGACTGCCCCGCAGGCACTGAATGCGTATGAGGTGGATGCGCAAAAGATTGACGATTGCTTCGCTCTGTAAGACATTTCCTTTTCTCTTTGGGTTTACGGTAATGCATTTCAAATACTCACAAGCTTTTGACGTTACTTAGGTATTTCAATAACTACGCACGCTTGCTACCGATTCTTAACCCTCGGTTATCACCAAACACATACTTTTCTCGATCGCCTCTTCTCTTTTGGACTATCGTCGCGGTCGGATCACGACGGTATGACAAAGATCCAACATTATTAACCCGACTAGCACCGTCAATTCAAAACATGGCCTTGCTTTCCTTATCAATGCGTGAGGCAGTCATCGAGGTGATTCAAAGCCTGTTACTGCTGTCCATATGGCCATTTCCGTTCAACTCTGTTAATAAAGCCATGGCTCACATATTCTGTGGCGCAGCAGTCAACCTTGCACAACAGATTGGCATGCACGTTTTTGGTATCGGCCAGGATTTTGCTCGTGTGAAATTGTTTCCGAATGAGGCCGAGAAAGCATATCGGGCACAACTATGGCAGCACTGTATTATAATTAACCAGAGGTAAGGCTTTTTTATTTTGAACGTGTAAATATCATTCGTACATTTCTAATTTGGTATCGAATGCTCAGTTCAAGCTATGCCGACGGCTTCATCCCAGGCGTCCTTCCTGTTCAGGAAAACAGTAGTGACTTCTGTCAAATCGATCTACTACTCCCCTCGGAGTTGAAATACTACAAGCAAATCCATGAAGTCGCCATAAGTGCCACGCAACTATTGCAAACTGCAGATATCGCAAAGCCAAACAAATGCAACTCGGGACACTTGCACTCATTAATCGAGCTGTCCGAACGAGAACTTTTTCGTATTTCGCCTCCTCCCACCAACTACAGTGACATCGGTCAGTTCAGACCCGTCTCATGAAGCTTTTGATTTTGCATGTTTGACTTGGCTAAATTGAATCTGCCAGGCAACATTTACCTATCCTCGGCACGACTACACATTCGATCATTCTGCTTCTTTTGCGAGCAGGGCCCTGAGAACTTCGCGCCAATCCTCAGCCTCTACGCCGCTGCACTTGAGACTATCAACGCGGTTGTGGCCGTGGATGGCCTTGCTATTATTTGCACTTTCTATATTCACCGTATGCTCATGCTTGCAGCACTTAGCATTCTCAAAATACTGCGGAGCGATTTGCATCGATCTGTCGTTGACGCCAAGGCGGGAGAGAATGCGTACTTTAGCGTGATTAGATTCCTCAAACAAATGTCCATTGCACATGACGATTTGAGTGCGAGAGGAGCGGATATTCTTGCTCAGTTATGGGCCAGTGATGCTATATTCAGACGCCCTGATGGGACGCGAGATAGTCTGTCGCTGCGGATTCGTAGCCGGCTAGCGATGAGCGCGGTTTACGATTGTTACTGGTGGTGGCGTGAAGAGTTTGCGGGCATTCCAAGCCCCTTCAATGAGGATCAAGACAAGGGTTGGTCGTTCTTCTCCTTGAACGTATTATTTTGTATCTTCCGAGAGTGGCTAACTATCTTGCAAGCAGACTCAGAAAATGCTACTCAAAATCTTTCCTTCTTTGGAACGACGTTCGATGACTTTGCAGAATTCAGCCTTTCTCAGGCATTTGATGGGAGGGTACTCGATAGATCCATTCCAGGAAACAGCATGCTACAGAGTCCTATGTCGTGAAGTTTCTTTTATTTAACCGATAACAGCTTAGAACTATGTACAATATACTGTGGCAGGTTATATTCATTTGCAGCTGACTATGTACTTCTACGTACCTCGACTTCCAGAACAATATGATGTAGCATCATATTCCCCCATTTTAGGAATTACTACCAGGGGTCATATCAAATTTCGTCGCATCATCCAGTCCACACAAGCGATACATTTCCGACGGTAGAATATGGACATTTTTCTATCGCCTTGACTATTGCCATGAACTAAACACGAGATGCTATCGCAGGGTAAACTATACGAAACCCTAACTTCTTTACCTGGTCGACAGTCAGATGTGGCGACACACCTCCTTGCACCATATTGTACAGCACTGGTCTCGGAGGAATCACTGGTAATACCGTCTTTTGTCATGGTAGATGCTCACCCGTCGCTCATTCTGAGGGTTGTCTCACGTTACTGTTCATTATAAAGAATATGTGCCACCACAGTATGGCTTGGTCGGTTGTAACATCCACCGCGGCTTGCCATCGTTGAATCGATAGGTCTGTGGTTCGTCAGATTACGGGCATGGAGGTATCGAAAACGGATGTGTACAGTATCTGCCTTCCATTGGGTCTGATGCTTGTTAAGGTGTAAGTAGGTGATTTGATGAAAACCGGCGTCGACGATATCTCTCGATGCATCGGATTTTAATCTATCGGCATTCGTCCGCACCGAGCGGCGGTTAATGGAGGGCAGAGTATTGATCCCGGACGACATCTTGGTTAGATAGATATTGTGGTCTAAAACATCCGTGAGTTTGCCATTCGCGCAACCACTAATGATGCAATTTGGTGGTGGTGCTCACCGGACTCGCACTTCGCGCTGACATAAGGTCCTTCTGGATATCTCTGGGCAAATCGCTCTGTTGTGTCAGATGAGCACAGACTACATAGCCAATACCAATGTCCTCACAATTCCATAGCGGCCGTAAAAAGCGGTATAAGGATTGATCAAGAATTTCTAGCGTCCATACTTCATAAAGTGCTTACGGACTTAAGCATCTAAATGCACCTAACTTGGACTCGGCCGTATAACTCGGCTTGGGGTTGTCCCGAGTGGACATGTAGTCCTAGATAACATATGACTGCCAGTATCTCCAGGAATCGAAAATTTATATGAAAAATTCAATTGCTAAGCACTTACTTTACGAGGACACGATTGTCTTGCAAGAAAAAATCACCATGTCTACATTTAATCCTGCAACGGATATCCCGTCCTTGACCGGCAAAGTCATTTTGATTACTGGCGCCAACACTGGCATCGGCAAGGAGACCATCATTTCCCTCGCGAAGCACAACCCAGATAAGATCTACCTCGCATCTCGTGATAAAGGTAGAGCAAATCAAGCGATCGATGACATTCAGAAGGCAGTCCCGGGCGCCCCAATCGAATTTATTCCGCTCGATCTAGCATCCTTGGACTCGGTCCGAGATGCAGCAGCCACATTCCATGCACGAAGCAACCGACTTGATATACTTATCAATAATGCCGGCATTATGGCTGTTCCTTCTGGTAAAACCAAAGACGGCTTTGAAATTCAACTTGGCGTCAATCATTTGGGCCATTTCTTTCTTACTAAGCTTCTGCTCCCAACCCTCCAGAATACAGCCGCCCAAGCGAGTTCGCCAATGGATGTCCGCGTCGTCAATCTCTCTTCGATGGCATACGCCTCTACACCCTCTGATGGGATTCATTTCAAGAATCTGAATGTGGGACGCAAACCATGGGATGTATGGATGCGATATGGTCAAAGCAAACTTGCGAATGTTCTTTTCACTAAAGAACTTGCTGGTCGTCATTCTGAATTCACCACAGTTGCTGTCCACCCTGGTTTCATCAATAGCGATTTGTGGAGTACTCATTGGACTGCTCAGTTCACCAGGTGGATGTTCAACGGGACATGGTTAACAGTAGAGAGCGGTTCTCATAATTCATTGTGGGCTGCCACTTCACCAGACGTGAAGAGTGGTAATTTCTACTTCCCGGGTGGCAAGCTGGAAAATGGAAGCAAACATTCTAACAATCCCAAGCTGGCTAAGGCATTATGGGATTGGTCTGAACAAGCCGTGGAAAAGTTCCAAGGTAGAGCAGATGGGCAATCGAAGAGGGTTCAATGATATCGTGTGATTATGTTGTTCAGATGACCGTTATTTCTACTTATATTCCCTTTTTAATGCGTGAACATAGATGGCTTAATCCAATTGAATGCCTATCTTTGAAGAATGTGAATGATATAGATGTTCATCAGGCTCAAATATACATAGTATTACCATCACGACCAAGTGGTTCAAGGCAAGGGGTTTTGATATTATGTCGAGCTATCAACTGAAAACGTATGTGAAGCTGTAACCATTCCAAAGAAGGGAAAACATTAAAATGCTCCAAGGACGATTATAATGTCAAAAAGTAGATTTCCGTCGTTATGGCTTGTCTTTCTTCGAGGTAGGCTCTGTTGTTCGACAATTATGGTTGATGCGATCGACTCTATAGTGTAGGCTCGGCAAATCAGGTCTCAAGGTCTCCAAAATAATCTTCGGTTGCATGAGTTATGGTAACTCTGAATGGGGAAAATGGGTTCTAGATGAGGAAGCAACTTTGCCTCTGCTCAAAGCGGCTTATGATGCAGGCATCAATACATGGGACACAGTGGAAATCTATTTAAACGCCCAATCTGAAGTGATCGTCCGAAGGGCAATCGAGAAATTCAATATTCCCAGCGAACGGCTGCTTATCCTGACCAAATGTTTCGGTGCGGTGGATGAGGAAAATATGAGCAATCGCTATGGACTGAGTCGGACGCATAGCTTTGACTCAGTTGAAGCAAGTGTGAGAAGGCTAGGTACCTATATCGATGTTTTACAGATTCACCATCTGGATCCGGATGTCGAGATGGAGGAAACTTTGAAAGCTTTGGTTCAATCTGGAATGGTTCGATATCTTGTTGCGTGGTTGGTCTGGGTTAAAATTACTTTCCTGAACAACGCCGATGAATAAGTATTCAGACGCTTGTGCTGACTCTATACCGTTGTCGTCGCAGGAGCCTCGTCCATGTACGGCTTGCAATTCGCCCAGCTTCAATTTACAGCGACTCTAAACCACTGGACATCGTTTATATCAATGCAGGGCTTTCACAATCCTCTATACCGTGAGGAGGAGAGAGAAATGATCCCTTTCTATGATTATACGGGCGTCTGTCTGATGGCTTGGTCACCCGTGGCACGAGGTCTTCTTACTCGGCCATATGAGCATCGATGTTCGTCAACTCAATCAAAAACGGAATCTCGGATTAATTCTCCCTTCATGAAATATGATGGGACCTCGGAGGGAGAAAAAGACCCGGAAATATGCAAGCGAGTTGAGAAAATTGCGAAAATGAAAAGCGTTCCGATGGCGAGTGTCAATTTGGCATGGATATTGAAGAAAGGAAACATACCGGTGGTTGGACTGAGTCAGCTATCGAGATTAAATGATGCCATTATCTTCTTGAGCGTGAAGCTGGATGCGGAAGAAATGGCTCACTTGGAAGAGCTCTATGAGCCGAAAACCGTGAGGGCTCACACATGACGGAACTGAGACTGTAAACCTAGAGATTTATTATATATGGTGATTATGACAGTCGTAATTGTAACACTCATTTATTCAATTGGATCATCAAAATCTTTTATTTTGAGTGAAATAGAACTTAAAATTGTGACATCATGGCAGTGATGTAGCTCATCCATTCTGACTGCTGTAGCTGTGGATTCATCAAGTCTAATGTCTTGCAGTATGTGAGGTCATTCTAGATACTAAAGGTCAGTGCTGCCAGGTTTCATTACATGCACACGAACTTTAAGTCTCATCAGCTTTTGTCGTCCATAATTGATAGAAGCAACAGGGCCATTTATCTAGGTAACTGTTCTTTCCAGGGTCTACTTCGATTCATGTTTCTATCATGATGCGAATAATTTCAGTAATGGAAAGCTCTGAGTGATAGTAGCAAAAAACAACTGCTACAGAATCAAGTAATGAAGACCCCTAGAACTATATTTACGGAAAGTATACTGTGTCGTACGTCGATGATTGCTCACAATGACGGCTATCAGCATACCATAAACGTAGATCCCGTAATCAAAAGTGGTTTTAAAACCAAGAGCTGCAAACATGCTCCGATTCTTGAAGATGCGTGGGAGTAGGGTTGCCGTTCTTCAGCGACGAAAGCAATTCCTAGAAGTACAGAGAGAGAAAGGAGAGTTTTGTTTTTACTGGCAGAGATTCAATCCATCACCAAGTCCCAAATCCCAGGCAGGAAACCCGCAGAATACTGCTGACCACCGACTTAGAGCGCTAGCAGAAGTCATACCCGCATGCTGTTCACTCCAGAGACTTATTTAACATTGCTGCCGCCAACTCATAGGCCTCATCTCTCAGTTTCATGCTCAAAGGATCACTGGCATTTTTGTCCCAACCATGCCCGTACCCTTCAACGCGGTGAGAAACTACATGTTTGTTGCCAGCCTCCTTCTTGATCCTCTCAGCAAGAGCTGCGCCCTCATCAGCCAGGTAATCCTTGGCCGGAGTCACCATCAACACATTATCTGGGAAATTCTCCGCAGGTGCATAGAAAGGCGAGATCCGCGGATCGTAAGGATCTTTATTCTGGAAGTAGGAGCCATCAAACACCCTAGCAAGCCAGGGTGGAATACCTTTGCCTGTAGGATCCGGAGCTGACTTTTGTTCTGGTGGTGTAGCCATGTCGGCTGGTGGATAAAATGCGATGACGCTCCGAAAAGTGTTGGGCGGCAAGATCATTGACGACGCAGCGAGAGACAAATTTGCACCGGCACTGAATCCGCCGATGCTCATACGGCTAGAATCGTACAACTCATGATGATCAGCAGCTTGAACATACTTCACGACATCCTCAACATCGTAGAGCGCGGCTGGGAAAGGATTCTCGGGAGAAAGCCGGTACTGAATGTCAAAGACCGTGAATGGCGTTTTAGTGCTGATATAGCGGCAGTACAAGTCGTCACCACCATGGAGAGGCAGCACAAATCCAGAGCCGTGAAAATTCAGAAAAACCGGGCTGGGCGATTGACTGTTCGCATTGGTAGCGCGGTATACATGCGCTTTTATCGAGCGGCCGGCATCTCGTGAGGGGATCCGGAGGACGGAATCCGGGTTGGCCAGACGCCGCGGGGTCTTTAGTCGCAGGAAATAGACAATAATCCTTCGACGAAGCCTCAACAAAAAATCAAAGAGGCCCATATTGCGAAACAGTGTGGTGTGATGTTGAAAAGTCATGATGTGTTGTTTGTTTGATAAATTCAAGCTCCGTCGAGTTGCACGGGCAGCGGAAAAGATTATAGCCGGCAGGATGTCCTATCATCCGGCCAACAACATCATTGTGTAATTCTCTTGCGTATGACAGATACGATGGCAGGGATGGAGTGGCTACGAGAGGATGAACAGGGTGCTCTGAAATATCACATCTTGAGTCGTATTAATCTTGGAATACCATGTCTGATGAATGTACCTAGTACATCATATCATACAGTACTGAGAACATTAATGCCACCTATCTTCCAGTTTAAAACGAACTCGTTACAAGGTCTACTCCAAGTTGAACTGGCAATGATGCATTGTGAAAAACAAACCAACGATGACATTCGCAGCTGGTTGAAGGCTGGTGCTTGGTAGACACACATTCGCTATCCATACAGCCGCGTCAAGCCGCAGCCCTCAGTCCGGTGTATTTATTGACACATTGACTGTCTGTGCTTGGGAGATAGCGGAGATGTACCTTTTTTTGCTTTATTATATTTTGAGTTCTCGCTTAGATTCGCTCGGTAGCTAGTGCGGACGGTTCTTCGGGCGTTGAACCCTCTTCCAATAGATATTCCCCAAAGTCCTCCTGTAATCGCATGCTAGCGAGCGGATCGCTCCAATACAACGAGTGCCATTCTGACAAATGGTCCTGCCATCTATATTGATCCATAGCTGTGTAGCGCCCATGGAGTGGTTCCTCGCTTGTAAGTACTTGAGCCCATTCTGACTCCCGTGGCTGAGCTTGTTCGGCGACATTCATCTCAGTTCCAGCATAAGAATTTGGGGAAATTTCTTCTAACGGTATCGTGCCCTGCGGCGCTTGCACTATGGTTGCATCCGAAAGAATGTCTTTAGTCGAAATGGACTCGAATAACCTCCAGACCGAAGATGCGAACAGCCAGTACTGGGAAAGTTTTCTCAATGACTGCATTCCAGATTGATACTTTTCATTTGCCCTCATTGCAAGAATCGGATTTTTGTATCTTAGCTGGCCTCGGAGATGGAGCAATGCTGTAAAAAGAGGGCTCGGAGTCCAGAAGCAGCACAGTCGCAAGCTTGACTGCTGGTCTAGACGCTCGAATATTCGAACGATATTTGACGTTGCTTCATAACAAATCTCTTCGTCGGCTGTTCCATCTGTTCCGGTATCACTGCCAGCTCGACTTGCCACTGGAGACCGGTGAAATAAGACCAATACAGTGTTAAATGTCAGATGCAGCAACAGAGGCCACGGATTTCGCTCCTTGGAAGGTCGTAATGCTGCGTCTTGTCGAAATTCGAGGGGTAAATTAGCCAGCCACTGAGCCAAGCTTGCATCGACCGCATCTAACCTTTCTCTGCGGCTATCTTCGGTTTTGATAGCTCGAAGAGAAAAATGAGATTGTACGAGCCGAGATACCAAGGCACAGAGCTCGCTATGATATATGACGAAGTTCGCTTCTCTGGTACCCTCCGAAGCGTCAAAATCCTCGGGAGTCAGAGCCGGCACGTCGCAGTCATCCAGATTGCTATTTTGTTTGTTTTCAGCTTGTTTGAGCAGCTGAAAATACAGTCTCGAACATCACTTACATATTCTGGGGCCGTCCATAGCACAGTGAGACCAAACAATCAAACTGAACAAGGCACCACCACATTCTCTTCCATGTCTTTTTGTCAGCGTCTGGCATCTTGCTGGGGCCAACTTCTCGATGCATCCCGAGACCAATAGCAGTACGCGAGGCGACTCCAATCCACCACCATGCATTAGCACAAATGTCGTCGCCGCCATCAGAGAACCAAGTCAGAAGCAAAGCCGCCTGGACCATTTCCATCCGATCCTCTTCGTACCGCCCGTCAAAAAGGGCCTTGGCTCGTCGAAAGAAAGACACCTTAAAGTCTTGGTTGTTCTTGAAAGCGGCAGTAACATGACTGCCGACGAGGCAGATGGCTTGTAGCAAGAGAAGCGAAGGGACCGACCGTGGCTCGTCATACAGAGTTAGGAATCGATCTTTGTCGACAATAGGAAAGCTTGGGTGGACGTCTTCAAAGTAGGCTGCAACAAGCACATCCGATATATGTTTAGGCGGTATGATGAAGGCATCCTTGGGGATGAGGCTCGGCGTTGTAAGACCCTGAGAAATCTTTTGCACACGTGGAATGTAGGTGTTTGAGCAAGGATAATGATAGACATTGTGATTCGCCGAACGCTGGCGAACAAGATAGTTAAGATTGGCAAGTTCACTGCCTACGTAGGCCAGTCGCGTCCGGATGGGGGTTTCTTGTAGATTTTGGCCGAAAAAGTTGACCAAATGTTGCTTTGCCAACTCGTCTTCTCCATCCGCACCAGACTGAGGGGCATCGTTGCCCTCACTATCCTGGTTTACGGGCGACGTAGGTGCTATCTCCAGTGTTTGGCCAACATCCAGCGAACGGACTCCCTCCGCGCTGCGATTTGCAGCCGCCTGCCTGCTTCTTGCTGGGCCACGAACACGCTTCCGCCGAGCTACAATGGCACACTCGATGTTGACAGATCTGCAATTACTGCACGGAAATCCATTGACGGCGCCGTCGCATCTGACCTTTCTAGCATGACAGTCAACGCACGCCCTTTCTGTTCATTCCGTTAGACGTCGGTTAGCTCCGCACAACGAGACGGGTGGTCTCTCTCACTAATCGGCCGCAGAGACCGTCTTGGATTCGCAGTGCTCTCCATGGAGCCTCGTAGTACCGACTCGAACTAGGTGTCTCGGCGAACAACGAGCCCAAGCAGAAAGTTATGTCCAATGAAAAGATGGACGCAAGGAGACGAAGAGCAAAGTTGTGGGGAAAGTTCCCGAGAAACCGAAACGCCGAAATCCCGGGCTAAGATTGCGCCTACAATATCTATCGTTCGTGCGGCTTTCAGGGGTTTTGTTGCGAACAAGCGTATGACAATACGATATATATCATCTGAAAAAGGGCGCCGAGCAGAATGCAGCTGCGTAATTCCCAAGGCACTATTCTGCTCACAGCAGCGAATTTCCTACGAGGGAGCCCACTCCGAGCTGGAAAGTCATGGCAGAGGTACACCCGACAATGTTACTGTATCGATATCCTAGAGCTAAACAATACGTAGACAAGACAGGAGGTTCTCAAAGTCAAAATCCCTGGAACTTGGAGACTCCCTTGGGAATTCCTAGGTTCATCACAAAAGCACGTTACAAAAGAGCCCATAACCAACGTGAACAAATGGCCGTCGAGCTGTAGGCTGATTTGAGTTGATACTTGCTGAAGATCCTGCATTTGACCATATAAAATTCAACTTTTGTCAAATTCTACATGGTTATTAGTCCTTAAAATGATTCATCAAACATCAGTTGGAGAAAAGAGTTGTTTAGGTTACTTTTGTCTTATTTTAATATCTCAGAGATCTTTGACAGGCACCAAATACCAAAGGGGACGCTCTTTTTGTCACATATTCCAAATTAATTCGTTGGGAATCTATCAATCACTCGTCCCTAGACAACTTCTCCCAATGTACACTCCATGTTTATGACAATTGCGCTGTACATTCTATCTGAATGTTTTCCGTAATCCACCTCGATCGTCAATTGCAGCTTCTTGTTCTGCTTTGGTCGACGATTGAGCAGATCTGTGAGTCATCTGGCATCCCCGCATTGTATCTGGGCGTGCTTCACGATGGAGAAGTCTTATTCCGCGACAACTTTGGTTTTCGGAATATTGATGCCGGCATAAAGCCGGACTCAGATACTTGGGTGGCGGTCTGCTCACTGGCTTGCATAGCGGATTTGAGCAGAGCGCTCATGATGGCAAAATTCTAATACGATCGATTCAGGTTCAACAGCGAGTTGACGGTGCACTTTTCCCTTCTGTATTTGAAGGCCAAGGTAGCTTTTAGTTAGTCTTCGGACAGTAAAACCATCTTTCATTCCATACATAGGATATTGTTGATTCATTCTGCCCTTCAACCGAGACGCCGAAACCACCGACCTTACCGAGAAAGCTCCGAAGAAGACCAAGGCATTGGCCGTAAGACCAAGTGATTCCTTTGTGCCGGGGGATGGTATCAGGTCTTCGAACATCTACCAGCACTGTCATCTATCACTGACCTCCGTGTTACTATTGGATTTTGTATGAATCGGCGCTGAGCGGTGCTACACTACGTATTATACTCATTTGCACTTGCAAGATATTTAGTATTTCGAACAAGGTTGGGCAAAGGTTTAAAGAAGAGTTATGGAGATTTTCATCGGTAATTGCTATATAGCAAGTCTCTATTAGAATGCTTCACTTCCAAACCACCAGTCATCTTATTCTCCCCAAACATTTTGCAGAACAATCCCCACAATGTATACCAAATGAATTTATTGCAGAAGTTAGCACACTAACGAGCCATCCACCCCCCATCGACCTGTCAAAAACTTAGCCAATTGCGACAAAATCTCGTTTGAAACAATGTAGCAGGGACTCACCACGATAATTTCGCCTGTTATGTATGAGCTAGCATCAGATGCTAGGAATACAGCCGGGCCTTTGAACTCTTCAGGCCTTCCCCATCTGCCCGTCGGGATTCGCGTCAAGATGGACTCATAATACGTCTGATCGGGATTGGTGCGTGTGTCAATATTCATGTCTGTTGCGATATATCTAAAGTTTCGATAAAGTATTTGTTAACACAAAGATTCCGAACAAAAGGGTGAATGAAGGAAATGGCGTATTAATTACCCTGGAGCAATGGCATTGACACGAATACCATAACCGGCCCATTCATTACTCAAAGCCTTTGTGAGCTGACCAACAGCTCCTTTACTGGCAGAATATGCCGCCATGCGAATTCCCCCTTGAAACGTAGCCAAACTGGCCGTGTTAATGAGACGACCGTGCATTTTGTTGGCGATCCAATATTTCCCCATGTCTCGACAGAGTATAAACATGCTATTGAAGTTCACGTCCATCACTCGGTCTAGATCTGTCTCGGAGTAATCAGCAGCGTCACAGCGGCACATTATGCCAGCGACATTGACGAGGATATCAATTCGATGTGACTGGATCACCCTGTCAACTAGGCCCTGAACTGCCTTGCGTTCACTGAGATCAGCAACGACAATGCTGCATCTGCGGCCTATACCTTCGATAGCCGCTTTGGTAGCAAAATCGTTTTCGTTCCGCTGTTATAACGTTAGCTTTAGACCATCTTAGCAGTATATAAGATACTATAGCCACTCACCTGAACAAGAACAATGTCAGCACCCGCATCGGCTAGACCAATTGCCATGGCCTGTCCGATACCACGACTAGCCCCGGTTACGAGGGCAGTTTTGCCTGCGAGGGAGAACAAATACATTTTTTCCGAATTATTTGGCTAGGAGTTAGATGTGAGCAGTAGGTATTGGATGATGAATGTGTATAATACAAGCGAAGTTTTGTGGAGGACGCCAAGCACATGAATAAACATTTTCGGAGTTTCGGCGATTGTTTGAACAGACTTTACGAGTCGTGAAGGGGAAAAAAACAAGAAAAATAGAAAGAAAAAGAAGAAAAATAGAAAAAAAAAGAAGAAAAAGAAATAACGTCGGTCACCTACATACGTAAGACACCATATATACTTGATGATCAATGGAGACTTTCGGTTAATATTTTCATATAGAAAATGCAATCAGGTAATCTATTAATATGCCATATTATCCAAATACGTAGTGTAGTATTGATCGAACATCAATACATATGCTCTATTTAGAACATGAAGCAAGGGTATGATTATGCAGTATTTGTTGCAGTGCTTTCAGAAACCAAAATACCCTCAACAGCTAGCACAAACGTGTGTTTTGCAAGTGCCAATCCTCTAGGGAAGGGATTCCACAACACATATGTCCCGGCATAACTTCTGGATTTATCTCTGGTCACTATTTCTCTGACTTCTCGGATACCGAATTTTCGATATCCGCTTTAGAAGACGGCGCCACGCCCTCAATCTCCTGAGCCACTCTGACATGTATCGGGGAGATGACTGTGTCTTCCTTGAGATAGTTCGTGTCACTTGTATACTTCCATACAACGAAGTATAAGATTGGCCAACACAGCGTGGAGAGTGCAAAATAAGCGGCGTTTTCGTTCTCATATGGTTGCGCTGTGGCGTCTACGCCAAAAGACACGGCTGTGCCAGAACTAAGCCCTGTGAGTTGGAAAAGGTTGAGTATCAGTAATGTCCATAATTTAATGTTATGTTAAACTTACAAGCGACGAAGAAGCCACCGATAGTTGCCGATTTATAAGGGTCATTTGTTAAACTCCCCAGCACATACATGACAACATTCTGAAAGATGCCATATTGCGCCGCGTAGAGCATGTAGATAACAACAGCACCTGCATAGGCTGGATCGGTACAGTCGATCGATGGGCCTGCCACAGACCTGTCAAACTTCCAGCTCGAGAGCCAGATAGTCTGGGCAATGTAGGCACCAGTAATCCATACAGCGTCAAAGGTAATACCCAGAAAGGCACGCTTCCTTCGGCTTCTGATTCTCTCGGTGTCAAGTAAAAGCCCTACGAATAAGGTGACCGGAATCTGAATGAGATTGTTCAGCAAACTGTTAAGCGTTCTGGTCCGGAGATCGAAAGCATATGCATTCATTGATGACTGAAACGGAAAGAACATTTCCGGCGTGAAACACGCAGGGATCATCAACACAATCCTCCAGTCCCTGAAGAGCCCCATTGTCATTTTTAATGAATCCCACAGCGAGATGCGTGGGAAGGATGCTAATGCGGTGCCGTCTGTGCGGCGCAACTGGTCAGACGGTAGAAGCAATAGAGCGAAGCTAACAGAGCAGCACTGGATGACAATGAAGGCTATGTATACCGGGTGCGGAACAGAGAGGGACGTGCTATTCCAACTAACTCCCATAGCGACGCTGGCACCAACGGCAGATCCACAGACGTTGCCTAACCACTGGATAGCGCGATACAGACCCTTGTCTTTCTCCTCGGCATATGCGTTGGCAATATAGGCGGCAGTTGTCCAGAGACATCCAGCTGTAAGCCCCAGGTAAGCACCAGCCAGAATAGGATACCACATGTGGCCATAACTGTCATAATACCACATGGCACCGATATAAATCGGGTAGCCGGTGATGCCAAACATCATAGTTAGGCGGGGACCGAGAGTGTTCAGCACAGAACCTGCCATGAGCGCAGAGAGCGCAAAGAAGCCATACAAAACGCCGTTGCTTATATTGGCCATGTTGGTTGATGATGCTCGACCACCGCCAGCACCGAGAAACTAAATATTAAGAATGTTAGGGATTTTATTTGTCCCACCCTTTTTTTTCTAGTGGGGTGGCAGATTGTACGAACAGTTATGGCCAAGTAGAGGCCTGGATTACAGAACAGACATCCAGCTGCGATGATGTTCTGGATGAACGGGCTGACTCAGGTTAGAAATGATGAGCGGCCTCAAAACCTCAGTAAATCACGTACTTGTTCCGCCTCAGGAATGGAAGCTTCACGACCGCTGTGTCCATGTTGAGTGTTGCATAAAGATACAGCTAGAGAAATATGTCGCAGCTTCAAGCATACAATACCTGCCTGAGAAATTCTGTAATTTTGTCAGGGTCAAAAGAATTCTTTCAATATATATAAAAATAACAAGCCTAGGCCAGCCTCATGGATGTAAGAAGTCAACCCTTGCTGGAATGTAGGACAGCTGTACGGCGGACTACAACTATACCATAGCAGCGACATGCGTTATCTCGGCGCATAGATAAGCATATGCAATGCTTGTCACAGAGGGTGATCAAACGTGCATAAAACTCGCCACCGGAGATCATAGTCTTGCTTAGCTTGCATGGAACTGATAACGGAGCCAGATGCCATGCCACGAAAACAGTTGAGCTTACTTATCAGGGAAGCCTCCGGTGGATGAGAGCAAAGGTATTCATCTGTTTCTGTAGGAATATCGCATGTTTGCATACTTTTCATGGCAAGTCATTAGGGTTGTTGTTATCGATTAGGTATAGATCCCCAAGCTGATTGGCTAATTCTCCCATATTTCTCCACACTGGTCCTTGCGACCAACGAAACTCCTACTAATCAATCTTCAGATTTTTTCTTTCCTCGTCACGAAAACAAACTGGAAACCAATAGAGGCAGGTTTAATTGTGCTTGAGATGAGATTTACATAAGTTAGTTGAGTTTACTAGGCCGCTGGCTGCTACGCTCCCAATGCCTCTGATAACTACGATAAGGTTGTGTTGGGTTATTTGATTCAGGTCAAGTACTTCATGGTGGTCGTTGTTTGAACTGGCATTCCGCTAGTCTTCCATGTCAACAAGTCTCCTCTGACATCGCGACTAGTATGGGAATCTTTGCGAGAATCGAGACAATTTTTATGCATCAGTCACGGACAAGTCAGATCTGCGTACCTCGGAGAAATTGTAGTCAGCACCCAGGGTCCTGGGTGACTGTTGCTACAGCAAGAGGAAATTGCATAGGATGCATGGTGTGTTCATGTCATACGCAAGGAGTTGTTACTGTTGCATTGGCGGAACACAATCTGGTCCCGGAAAAAGATGTTATTGCATTATCGGCAAGAGCTCAGAAAACAGCTGTCTACAACTACCCTCATGCCATATCAACTGAAAGAAGAAAAAAGATGCTGCTAGAAGAGACTAGGACGCCAAAGGACTAACGTCGATCTCCAGCCCTAACTTGGAGCTTCTTCCCTGTTCAGCAGCCAGGCAGAGTCAGGTGATACGCGACTGCCTTCGTCGTCGCTCAAGATCCTTCTTCTTCTTCTCTTCCTCCACCACCCCTCCTATCTCCAACCTCACTGCAATCAGTGGAACACTCAAATCATCAGGGATGGCTTTCTCTTTCTCTCTTTCTCTGGGTGCTTGGCCACTCAGGAACGGGCCCCCTCACCAAAACCCATGCATCGGCTGGCTGTCTTCCAGTTTTCAGACTCCACGTCGACGAGTCACCCCCCAAAGCAACAAAAACACCTGACCCAACACCATTACCAACAGAGGGAGAAAGCTCCAATATCATCCAAGTTTTTTGTCGTTCCCTTGGCGTTCCTTTTGGACGCCCAACAAAACTCCCCGGCACCGGCCGCCTCCCCGGTTGCAAACTCAACCTCGGTCGACGACCTCCAAGTGGGCGGGGCAAAGATTTCCTACTGGGGGTATGTTGATCCGTAACAGTACAAGATGTATACTAATAATGGTCTAGGGATGCAAGAATTTTCAGCCAGCATATTGGCGTTATTGTTAGTTGTGTTGTCGGAGGGCTCATCCTCCTTATGGCGTATGTATACAACTACTCTTGCTTTGGCTCAACTAGTTCACTAATGGATATCCTAGCGCTAGTTTTCTCTATAAGTTTCTTTTTTGTCCCATTGATTGGAGAAGGGCTTTTACCAGTCACTATTACCGGGAAAGAAGGAAGAGCACGAGACGAAGAACGGAGAAGGAGAAGAAGAGAGGGGAAGAAAGGAAAGACGTGGAGGGGGGGGCCTGTGTATATTATTATTGTGTATGTATATTATCAATCAACTCTCATCATATGATACCGGAGTGCATCAAAGTAGCAAACCTTTCCAACCTAAATCTAGGGCACTATACAACGGGGGCCTAGAGAGCGATTGAGCGAGGCAACCTGGTGAGCACTCAATTTGGTAATCTGGCGAGCTGGACGATTGTTATAGGACTCATTCCTGCGAGGAATATCAGCACTTGCTCAATTTTCAAGTTGACGTATTGACTTTATCCGTACCTATTAAGGCCAAAGTCGTCGGCACAAGAGAAGCGATATTGCTCCCGCTTGACATTCCCTGCGTCCTTTCCGAGGTTAAATTGTCCAAGACACACCTCATCAGATAAGGACACTTTCCATATCCAAAACCAGCGGAGGAATTACTCAGGCATTGAGAAGCCACAGACTGCATAACGGCATCGTTTGGGTCACCGACGGTACGATCGAGTGCATAGCTCCTTGCCGAAATAGCGGTCATCAGCAGCCAGCGCGGAGGATACATCGTCTCAGCCTTGGAATCGCTTCAAACCAGCCGATTAAGTAATCTAACACTCGGTTTCAGTGCTTTTGTTCATCCTGTCGTTAGCTTTTGACATGTCAGAAGTTCAATTCCCACTGGGACGGAGACCGCTGCGTCCTAAATAGTAGTAAACAGCCTGGCGCAAGGCGGAGTCAGCCGTGTAATCTACATGAACAGTTATTTGTGTCTTCTCAGCTGCAAGAGGGCTTTTCGACATGCATTAGGCGAGTATTTATAAGGCATATACTTTTCAGCTTCGGGCGGGGCTGTCCGATCCCATATATTGAACGCATCTCCTGCCACTCTTTATTTTGTTCTAGCGAGGCTGGTGATCTATCTCCGGAAAATAACCCATCTGGCGGCGCCTTGCACTGTTCAAGGTATACATATAAGTTCCGATAATGCTTGTTTATATGCCAATCTAAACTACGACTAAGTTCACCGAGGATTTTAAACATACTGCAAAATCGGCAGTTTGCTTTATCGGCAGATCAACATGTCAGTAAGAAACTTTAAGCGGGCCAACGCCAGTGCACGAACCTCCTGCACCTGGCCATATCTAGCCAAACATATCCCCCCAGTTTGCACTGCGCAGCCAATGGCATTCTATTGGGAACTATCAGCACTATATTTAGCTTTATTTTTTTTTCTTGTTTTTTTGAACATGATAACTACAATACTTTCTCTTATCAGACTAAACACGGAGATATAACCATCTGTAGCAGGAAATAGATTTGTGGGCTAGTCCTAACCTGAAGCACCAGCTTTGGGTTCCTGCAAATAGCGCCTGAACAACGCACTCGGACTGGATTCAATTATTAGACCCTATAAATGTCCGATCCATGGCAGCAGGATTATATATTTCCGATACATCCGTCTCATAGCCTCACCCCACCGAAAATGGATAGAGGGGAATTCAAATACAACCTCCTGACTGGGAACGACTTGAAGAATTGCAAGATTACTACGCTTTATCCATGACCACTACATGTAGTGACCAATGTGGGCGCATTTTAGCCCAGCGCGTGGGTGGGCTCTTCACTAGTTTCTCAGAGCAAAGAGCTCTGTTCTCGGATGCCATCTTCTGCTTGTTGTGATATATGAAAGAAAAGGCACGTCCGAGTATGAGTAATATACATTTTTTGGATGTACCTGCCAAGTAGACAAGCATGATGACACAAAAGATGAACACAGCGTGGGCATCTTAGCAATACTTCTATTAGCTAGAGTCCGCCAGGTTTGCCCTTAGGCTCAGCTCTCGCTATACCAGCGGGCTATGCTTCGGTGATATATAATCCGTATACAAGTCTGACTAGTTACAATCGACATGTATGAGCTAGACGGTAAAAGAAGCAAGGATGTTATTCCGTGAGTCCAACTAGCTGTGCCTAACTGAGCAGTTGCATCTAACCGGCACTCTTTGCAGAAATTGACCCCAAGCTGATACCAGTCGCAAATCAAACTGGAAGCGCAACTTCATTCGGCCTATACAGATGATCAAATACCCGTGCTCCTTGAGGATATATTAATGCTCACATTGTCTTTGCAGCCACAATTCTGACATATAACAGTGATAAAAGCCCCCTCGAGATGGGAGAGGACGAATCTTTCACATAGGGATGTAATTTCCGTCTTTCTTCGTGAACCAGACTCGTTCAAGTAGGAACCGATGCAATTGGGACCCAGAGGTTGCACAATCGTTCTATTTCCATTTTCTGCAAGATGTTGAAACAAATGAACAGGATGACTATTCTGGCTTTTCCAAAACGTTGAAGTAATTTCACGGTGATTGAGAAACTTGTAAATATTTCTACACAAAGGAAATAATTATCAACCGTACCTTTCGCAACCCCTCTGGTTCTATGAACTATTCATCATACAGCTTAGCTGGTCTCAACAGAACGAACGGATAAAAGCCGGACGCGTATTGTTCAACTCTCAACGAAGTCAGATTGATTCATCTTCGCTTGGAAATCCCTGTGACATTTTCGAAAATTTCATCTTCGTATTTGGACCATCTCCCCACGTATTCTAAGACATGAACAGAACTTCAGCTACGCTTGCGGTCGAAATTATCTTTCCCGCCTAGTCGCGCAGCCAACGTAACTCCGTCTTCGAAACATTGAATTACTTCTAGCTTCTCGTCATAAGAATGTATACATGGTTTGTTTATATTTCTTTGCAACTTCTTTGATGAATACTTGCTGTTTCTAAGCCAGCGATCTTTTAAGCGTAGCAGTATCGGGCTGAGTGTCCATAACGAAGCCTGGCTATATGTTTTGCGTGTGTGGCTACTAATTCTCCGCTCCAAAAGACTTGCCTCCTATTGTGTTGATGGCTAAATCCTAAGCTACATGTGATATTATCGCGTTTCTGCTACTCAGGTATACATATAGATATTAGGAAATATTAATAGGGACGTGTATCCATCACCAGTTGGAATCATACCTTGAGACAGACCATGTTATTGTCTATTGTGATCTCAACTTCTGCAATGGCTCTGTTCCAAAGAACCCATCTATCTTTGATGTCTCGGAGTGTATTTGGCCTGTACTTATAATGTTTGGCAAAAGAGTACGAATCTGCTAGGTAAGATTGTGTGGAATGAGTTTCTTTCTGTTGATTGGACTGTACTCTTCCCTAGGGTGTTAGGGATCGTGTTTCTTCGACCAGTGGATATTGGATGCGATCACTTTCGTAAAAGCAATCCGTAGATGAAGTTCTTGGTTATGTATTCCTAATTTGGACAAACATATACTTTCCGAGAAATTCATAGATTTTGCAAGCCAGCCAGTTGCTGTGACACGTGCCTGCCTGCCAAGCTCATCTGAAAATGCATGTTGCCTCCCACGTTTCGATTTCCGCGGCTCCTATAGGCCAACAAGTGTCCCGCGCTTGGGACTCGCGCCAAGAAACCCCGTGTTCCGCGGTCCGCCAAGATCCGCCAAGTCCGCCCAGAATCCGAGCTCGCGCCAAGAGTTCCACTGCTATCAGAACAACATTAGCATTGCTCTTAACATCCACGGACGGGTTGCCTCCTTCTGTCGTGACAGAGACGTATCTTACTTGATACTTTTCGCAGTCGTGTCATTCCATTGGACACTCGTCTCGGCTTGCACTCCCGCTTTGACCTCTGATTTCGTCGGAATCCGCCTTCTGGATCTTTCCAGCCTGGAAGCTATGATGTGGATTGGGGGCTCTTGGAGATGTCAGCTGTTCTATGGTTCATTGCAATCTAAGCCCACAAGGATGTACTGACTCTCACCGAGGGTTAGAACGTGTGCGCTCCCTGGGAGAAATGAATTATATTATTGTACATCGTGCTGGGGGAAAAAAAGAATTTAAAAGGGCGTCTCTTCCCTCCCTTCTCCCTCCCTTCCTGCGTTCTGACAACTTCCACCCGACAGCTTAACCGGGCATTTCCTCGCCCGCCTTTCTATCATCATGGCAGTGCTTCACCAGTACGACTATGTCTTTGCCATTGGCACTCTGTTTGCCATGCTTGATGCCTACAACAACGGCGCAAGTGAGTGCACCCGGCCTAGCAACCTAGCTTTGTGATTCTAATATACGTATGATACAGATGATGTCGCGAACTCTTGGGCAACCAGTGTGTCGTCGAGGTCAGTCACTTACAGGCAAGCGATGGTTCTAGGCACCGTCTTCGAAATGCTCGGAGCGATCACCGTTGGTGCTAGGACAGCTGACACCATCAAGAACGGGATCATCCCCAACTCGGCTTTCCGAGAGAATGCCGGTGTTCAGATGCTGGCATTTACCTGCGCCCTCGCTGCCGCATCATCGTGGGTTATGTGGTGTACACGACACTCAGCCCATGTCTCATCGACATACTCGCTTATCTCAGCCGTGGCAGGTGTCGGTGTTGCAACGGTGGGAGCATCTCAGGTCCAATGGGGTTGGAATGATGGCAAGGGGCTAGGCGCTATCTTTGCTGGCCTGGGGATGGCTCCCATCATCTCTGGAGGCTTTGCCTCTGCGATCTTTATGTTAATTAAGCTCGTGGTGCTCATCCGCAAAAGGCCGGTGCCATGGGCTGTTTGGAGCTCACCCTTCTTTTTCCTAGTTGCCGCCACTATCTGTACACTTTCCATTGTCTACAAGGGTTCCCCAAGCCTGAATCTGACCAAGAAGCCGGGATGGTATATCGCTGCCGTTACAATGGGTACTGGTGGAGGTGTCGCTCTTTTGTCCGCTATCTTCTTTGTTCCGTTCGTGCACGCAAGAGTCATCAAGAAAGATCGCACTGTCACATGGTGGATGGTTATCCTTGGTCCGCTACTCTTCAGGCGTCCCGCTCCTATCGACGCGCAAGAAGCCAAAGTTCCCAATTATGCTGTGGTCCAGGAGGAAGACACGGAGACATACCCCGAGTCGCCGGAGCTGAAAGGAAATAGCTTCAGTAAGCTCGACGGAGGGGAAATATTACCTGGCAATTCGGCAACGGAGGGTGAACAGAGAGTTGTTCAAGCCGAGATTACTCAAGCCACATACAAAGAACGACTTGCTCAGGCGGAGGCAAGGTTTCACGCAAAACTCATGACGAAGCGCGGGCCCCTTGGTTGGGCTATGCGAACTCTGAGAGATAATCCAATGGGCCCCGGTCAGATATATGAGTTTCGCAATATCAAGATACTTGTTAAACGCATCCCGGCTATGATTGTCTGTGGTGCTCTTTACGGCGCGCACTACGACATCCATTCTGCGCAAACTGGCATTTCCGGTACTCCGGATGGTCAAAGGATGGAACGCGTATATGCCCATGCAAGCAAGTATCCAAATGAAGTTGAACATACTTATTCTTTCGTCCAAGTCCTCACCGCCTGTACTGCATCATTCGCTCACGGTGCCAATGATATCGGCAACTCGGTAGGCCCCTGGGCTGTTATCTACACTGCTTGGAGTACCGGTAATGCGGCAGCCTCCAAGGCCCCGGTGCCTGTCTGGCAGCTTGCTGTCCTGGCTGGTTGTATTTCGATTGGTCTCATCACCTACGGCTACAATATCATGAAAGGTAAGTCAAAACACACCAGGACATTTTTGGGTGGTTTTAAGCTAATGCCATTTTTCTGTCAGTCATGGGTAACAAAATCACATACCATTCCCCAAGCAGAGGTTTGTCCTTCATCTCATCCTTACAAACACAACACACAGCTCACTCCTGGCAGGTTGCTCGATGGAAATGGGCGCGGCTCTCACCGTCCTGGTCTTTTCCCAATACTCGCTTCCAGTTTCGACTTCGATGTGTATTACCGGGGCTACTGTCGGTGTCGGTCTTTGCAATGGTACCGTCAAGGCTGTTAACTGGCAGCGAGTCAGTCTCTTGCTACTGGCCTGGTTTGCTACGATTCCTATTGCAGGCACTCTTGGAGGCATTTTGATGGGCCTTTTTATCAATGCTCCGCACTTTTGAAGAAACAGTTAGTTTGGTTGTGTGCATATTATTGACAGGACACGATGTTCCCCAGCCAAGAGAAGCCACTCACGAAAAAACATGTCAAAGTCTTAGTTTAGCTGTGTGTGAGTACTCAAATACTATACTAAATATTGTAAAGGGGTTCCAATGGCGCTTACCAAATCCTTCCTAGTCGGTTGACTCCGGCCCATTCCTTCCCGCACTCTTCTCCTTCCTTTCCCTCTCTAACTCACCTAAACAAAGTTATCATGTCAGACTCTGACGACTTCATTATTGTCGAACGACCAGATCTCTCTTCTGAAATCCCCAGACTGTCCGCCTGGTTGCAACCTACTGCATACCGTGACGATTCTAGCGAGTTCCACAAGCATCTCAGCTCCCGCGTCCCGGGAACGGGCAACTGGATCGTGGAGACTCCAGAATACCAAACATGGCATAATACCGACACTCATAGCATTCTTTGGATTAAAGCCATTGCTGGAGCAGGCAAAAGTGTCTTGACGGCGTCGCAGATTGCCCAGCTGCAACAAATTGAGCCTCAGGCAGCAGTTCTCTTCTTCTTCTGTCGTCAGACCGTCACTGCGAACCATGAATCCCGTGCATTGGTCCGTGACTGGCTTGACCAGCTGCTCCCTCACTCTTCTTATCTACAGGCCGTTCTCAATGCAAGTCAGACGAGCAGCTCCGATGCTGTCATTGAGATGGGCCTTGTCGAACTCTGGCAGATCTTGACTGACGCATTACTGGCCATGCCGAACCCGGTATATTGTGTCGCCGACGCCTTGGATGAGCTCGATGCCAGTGATACAGAGGATCTCTTACAATGTATTGTTACTCTGGGCTCTCAGACGCCTGGTCAAATCAAGATCCTCATCTCTAGTCGTCCACTTCCTCAGATCCAGAAGGTCCTAGGAAGTGTATCTACAGTGATTCCTGTCCGGCTTGAGAATCGGCAAGTCAACCATGACATCGCCCATTTTGTGAATTATCAGCTAGATCAGGCCATAGATATCCAACAGAAAGTCCGCGATAAGATAAAAAACGCCATCGAAGATCGTATGTTTCCGTCCTTTCTTTACGCTCGTCTCATGTTGAACGAGCTTCTGAGTAAACCTGAACGCGCCTCCCTCGACGCCCACATGGTTCAACGGTCGCTGCACTCCATTCCTGCTAGTCTGGAAGATCTCTATTCACATATGTTAAATGAGCATTCGATTCGTGCTGGCGTGCCTCAGGAACGCCAGGTGCTCATCCTGCAATTGGCGACGCATGCCACCCGTCCTTTGCGTCTGTTGGAGATTGCTACCGTGTTGGACTTCCTTGACATGAACGATAGAAATAGAACACAAAGCAACGCGAAGAACCTAACGCGCATGTCCTGCGGCCCCATCCTGGAGATTCTTCCAGATGAAACGGTCTCTATTATCCACCACTCTGTCACCGAGTTCCTCACAGATGCCAGTAGGGCCGACCATGCGAAGATAAACAATCAATTCCCCGTCATTGACTCGGTGGAAACTAACAAACTCATGGCACTAATCTGCTTGCGATATCTGCTAGCTCACGGTCTGACCGCATGGAAAAACCCAAAAGTCCCTCGTTTGCTTCGCGAACCTTCGAAGGACATGCAGAATGCCCAGCTAAACTTTCCATTTATTGAGTACGCAGCCAGTAATTGGTATTTTCACGTCTCGCGCATACCAGAGCTCAATGGTGAATTGCTGGGACTGCTCGAAAGCTTTATGAAACCAAACAGCCCGTCCTTTCTCGCCTTCGTTGAGCTGATCATGAAAGTCGAGCAGCGCGACACTATCACTCTCTCCCCTCTTCATGTCTGCGCCTGGGGAAATATGACCAGCTATGCTAAGGCTCTGATCCAGTCCGGACATGAATGCAACGCCCTCGACGTAGAGAAGATGACTCCCTTGGCTAGAGCGGCTGCTAAGGGCTTTCCAGATATGGTCGCTCTCCTGATGGAGCATGGTGCTACGCCGAATCCAGACGTAGATGGACGTGGAAAAATCCCATTGCACTACGCTGCGCAGAGGAATCATTACCAAGTTGTGCAGATGCACTTACAGGCTGGGGCAAGTCCACTTATCCGTCGGTCAACCAAGTATGATCCACCGCAATGCTGCATCGGAGGCTCTACTCGAAACACCCAATCATCTCTAGCATATGCATGTCAAGCCGGGGCTGTCGAGTCTGTCCGAGCTATGGTGCCATATCTAGCCCGCAAGGACATAGAGTCGGCGCTTGAATATTCGATTGAGGCTCGCCAATTGAACATCATTCAACTGCTCCTTGATCTTCCTAATATTGAAATGACGAGTAACGAGGCAAAAATGTTTGGTCCTCGCGGCGAAAACTAGGAATTCACAGATCTTGCTGCTGTTTCTTGATCTAGTTCCCACATCAGACAGTCCACACCAGAGAAAAAACCTTTTGGTGGCCTTCTGCGAATCATTAGCCCGGAGTAATCCGTACAGAAACGATTCGAGAGACGATGAAGGAGTATGCCTCGACCTAATATTGCACACCGGATGTGACGTGAACGCCCAGTGTAAGAATGGCCGCAGTCCTCTGCATATATGTGTCGAGGCCCAGGCCCCCACACTGGTGGAAAGGCTGCTCAAGCATGGAGCAGACGTGCATGCATTAGATCGAAACGGAGAAACCCCATTATATCTTTGGACTCCGGAGGGGTGGTCCTCAAAAGCCTCAGCTCGCATTCTTCATGCCTTGATGCGAGCTGGGGCGCAGTACGACGTAGCCAATGCAATCAATGGCGGCCGTACGCCTCTTCACGCCTGGTGTAAACAATATGGAGCCAACCAGATGGATGTTGAGCTGTTACGGCCATACGTGAAGAACTGGAACTTGCCTGACGCCAATGGGAATACGCCCATTTATCTACTGTTGGAGGAGGGGGGAAACAAAGAGACGCTCCAGAAGCTAGTGGATCTAGGCGCAGATCTGAATTGGCACAACCGTGAGGGCTCGGCGCCGCTCCATTGCGCCGCAACCATTGATCAAGTCAACTTGCTTGTCGACGTGGGTGCTGATCTCGAGACAAGGGACTACCGAGGGCGTACGCTCTTTCTGCGGACTATGTTCGCTCATGACCCATCTAAGGAGCTTACCCAGCTACTGAACCTGGGCGCCGATCTGCATGCTGTCGACTACGATGGAAATGGAGCACTACATCTACTTTGTGAGCACCACCGCCATGTGAAAAGCCTCCGCGTTTTGCTCGAGGCTGGCGCCAACCCCCACCATCGCAACCACCGAGGAAACACCCTCTGGCACGCATTTATGCCACATGCACTGCAGTACAACTACGACAGCCTGGTCTCGATCGTGTATATGTTCCTCCAAGCGGAAGTTCCTCTGGCAACAAGGAACCACGAGGGTCAGACCCTGCTACATTGCATGTGTGAAGCCGACGTCAACTATCCGGAAAGGCTGCTCCATCCACCAGAGAACCCCATCTATCATCTTCCTGCAGCGGAGGTAGATGATATGCTGGAGGTGGAGGATAACCAAGGGCGACGACCGATCCACCTGGCTGTCGCTCGATCAGAAGCTCTGGTAGCCTGGCTAATCCGGCGTGGAGCAAGTCTCGCTGGCAAAACCCACCAAATGGAGAACCTGATGCATATTGCGGCGGCAGCAAAGGCAAGTAATACGATTGGTCTTCTTCTTGAGAGCTACAAGGATGAGCAGCAGCGAAAGATCGTTATTAACGAGACCGATAAGCACGGCCGCACGCCACTACACATTGCGTGTAGCTCTGGACGTTTGGAGAGTGTAATACTACTCCTACGTGCCGGAGCAGACGCGACTCTTGCGGACCATAAGCAACAGACGCCCCTGCATGCATGTGCAGATTTTAAAAGACAGCCTCGATGGCCCGAGGACGATAGTTCTCGATCCCATCAGGAGAAGTGGCGATCCGTGTTTCATGAAGATGAGACACTGAGAGTGGCAGAGATTATCCATCTTCTTCTTGCTCACGGGGCAGATCCATTTGTTAGAGATCGCCTGCGTCGATCACCTGTGGAGCTAGCTGTTGACAAGGAGAACGCGGAGATGGTCATGGTCCTGGCTCACACATTTCCCTTGACTGCACGAAATCCCCGGCCTGATGCAGGTCACCTGTATCTGACCGCTGGTGAAGACTATGCGGATATCCTAATTGACAGAATATCGCAGACACCTCCACATGATATGATACGTGAGTGCCAGCGACTGCTTAAGCTAGGGGCTTATGGAATTCTCGAACGCCTTGGTACGCGGGGTGTGAAAATGAATCAAGAGAACGTTCGGGGTGAGGGCAGCAAAGACTTCCTTCAATCTCTGGCTCGATGGGGATTCACTAAACTCTTTGAGACTTTGGGCAGGGCGCGAGGAGTTGATGACACGTACTGGATTAACGGGAGAATGTCCAGGCCGTACAATTTCCATTATGACCTCCTTCCGTTTATTTTTACCGCTGCATCACGCACGCTCCCTAATCTTGACATGTTGTGGGTAATTGTCGAGACATTCAATGCTGACGTGAATGTTCGGGCGTACGAGAATGTTTATGCCCCGTCCCTTGGCGAAGACGTGCGTGATGAACCCCATCGTAGCGTCTTACACATCCTTGCTGTTGGGAAACATTGGTGGCAGACCGAGGCGATAAGATACCTGTTACAGCAAGGCGCAGACACGACAATGCGTGATGCCGAAGGCCGCACGCCCCTTCATATCGCTGTGACTGGGGGTTATCGCCGGCTTGAAATTGCCCGCGTACTGCTCGAGTACGGTGCAGATCCGAACGCATTAGACCGGACGGGGATTACACCGCTAACATTAGCAGTTGGAAACAGCGAGATGGTCCAGCTACTCCTCCACCATGGGGCTAGATGTGAGCTCGGGTCCAAACCACTCCTCTTTGAAGCTATCACGGTCCAAGATATTGATACTGTCCGGGTCATTCTCGAGAGCGGATTAGACGTCCAGCAGCCGTTCAAGAAATCACTAGCGGAGCTGGATGTATTTGAAAAACCATGCCATGCAAGAGCTCACCATGACAGCGATGACGATGAAATGAGTTGGGGAAGGCAGCGACGCCAGGCGCAACTGCGACTCCTACTTTGTCGCCCAGTTCACTACGCTGCCCATGGACGATTTAATAATGCTACCGAACGCCAGAAAGCCGTAGCCATCGTGAAGCTCCTCCTGGCTCACGGTGCAGACCCGTTCCTCCCATGTGGAGACAAAACGACGATCATCCACGACGTGCTAAATCAGGGCGGAATCGTGGAGCCACTACTAGCCTTACCCCAGTTGGATTTAGAGAGAAGAGATGGGCGTGGTCGGACACTGTTAATGGCCGCCTGCGAGATTGGTAAGGAAGACACATTTGGTGTAAACCGAGTGGTTGACAACCTGGAACCTCACCCGTCAGCATCGATGCAGAAGAGCTGTGCTGTGAATCGGCTGTGCGAAATGCACGCCGACCTCTCGGTAGTGGATGATGTAGGAAATAACCTGGTTCATCTGCTCCTCGCCTCTAGTGATCACAGGAAAGCCTCGGCAAGCACGATGCTGTCTGTCTTAATAGCCAAGTGTCCGCCCTTGATCCATCAACATAACCAGAAGATGGAGACACCCCTGCATCTAGCCGCGAGAAGTCACCAATGGAATGAGGTACAGATTCTGGTCGACTGTGGTGCGGACCCCCTCACTCCGGATGCGGGGGGCAACACGATCCTCCATCATTTGGCCCGGCGTCTGAAGAAGGTCACTCAAACGGACCTATGGATGAATTTCCGTCGATTCCTTGATTACGGCCTAGACATTAACAGGCGGAACAACAATGGCGACACTCCCGTCTTCGAATATGTCCGGTCCCTATCGTGCAGGGATCCTCTGCGCGGGCCGGTATTTAATGATCTTCTTGCTTTAGGCACAGACATCTTCGTGCGGAACTATGATGGAGAGTCTTTACTACACCTGGTGGCTAAGTCACCCTGCATCCTGCAAAACTACTGTCGAGGCAAGGAGAAGATTGTCGAGTCGTTCACTTATCTGATAGAACTGGGGCTAGATCCGTTGCAGGAGGATAGCAAACAGCGTACAGCAATGGTATGTTTCTTCTCTGGTACGTAATGAATGAATATGCTGATTTTTTAGGATGTTGCTGCTGTCTATGGCAAGGAGGATATTCTAGCTTTGTTTAAGAAATAATTTCCACTTCTAGGTTTACCAGAATGCTCGTGCATCCCCCTCGGTCCATTCCTATCAGGAAGGTCAAAAAAAGAGAGTGTGGAAGGAATCACATTAGGGAAGACAGCACAAGTAGTGTTTTCTCACGACGCCATCCATCACGATGATCTACGACAATCATGGCCAGGCTAACGGTTTCGAGCCGCGCCTCATTAAACAATATTTTCTGGTCATACAATTTACAGTTCAAGTGTGAATTAATCACGATTCTTTAGAAGCACTCACATCGTTCCCATATAGAACATAGCTGCCACCCCCAACCTCCTCTTCTCTCAAGGGCATGTGCAGCTTCATTACCAAAGGCATTGGCATAATTAGAATAACCATGTCGACAGCAATATCAGTAACACATAAAGCAAAACGAGCATGAGCCTCATGAAAATCCCTATGCTAGCCATCCGCATTATAACGTTATGTAATGTCTGCAACATCAATGTACAAAAGTCAATATGATCCTCACTTGTTGCGGACCAAAACTCGGACTCTATAAATTTTCGTCCGTGAAAGTATAGTCATCCAGCATATTACTAGGGTCAAAACTCAAATGATAGTGGTGACGTGATAGCAGACGTTCATGACTTTCGGCTTCGGGGCCTCGGGGCACCTCGGTGCTCGGATGCAACCTCAACCTTGGGCTGTGGGTGAAGGTGAAGCCGGACTTAAACGGGGATATACCTCCCATGCTGACTTCTAGAGCCCATAAATACCTTGAAGTCGTCGCTACGTCAAAAAGTGTGAACCACTGAGCACCCCAAATTAACTGTTCATCTCTGACCCTACTCCTTCTTCATCCCTCGAGCGCCTTTCCACGAAACACTCTAACGATGGCCCCTGAAGACCAAATAATCCTCATCACAGGAGCCTCTGGTTTCTTGGCTTCCCATGTTGTGGACTATTTCCTCCGCGCTGGATACCAAGTCCGAGGAACCGTTCGGTCTTCCGCAACTGCTGAAAAAGTCCGACAGACTTTCTCTGGCTACGCGCCCCAATTGACCTTAGCCATTGTTGAGGATGTCGCTAGGCCAGGAGCCTTTGATACCGCCGTTAACGGTGTTCATGGAGTGGTCCATACAGCTGCTCCATTCCAGGTCTTCGGAGTTGAGGATAATGAGCGGGACCTACTCAAACCGGCCATCGATGGGACCCTCAACATTCTCAAATCTGTCCGTGAATTTGCTCCCCAAGTCAAACGTGTTGTCTTAACTTCCTCGTTTGCTGCTATGTTTGACCCTACCAAGGACAAGTGGCCTGGTCATGTCTACTCCGAGCTGGACTGGAATCCAACGCCCTACGAAGCTGCCGCGGCTGAAGGTGCTCCGGCCGGGTTGGCCTACTCAACTGCGAAATCGTTGGCTGAGCGTTATGCCTGGGACTTTGTTAAGAGCAACAAAGTGAATTTTGATATCACGACAATTATGCCGCCAATGATATATGGCCCCAATATCAACGCCACTGCCGACCTTGCCAAGTTAAATACTTCTTCCATGGATATTTACCGCCTAATGTCGCCACAGTCCAAATCCAGCGATCCAGTTCCGGAGAATATGTTTTGGTCATTTGTGGACGTGCGTGATGTGGCTGAGGCACACTTGCGCGCTTACCAGGTGGTTGAAGCTGGGGGTGAGCGTTTCTTCATTTGTAAGGGCAACTTTACCTACCAGCAATTTGTAGATGCTCTGCGGGCCCATCTTCCTGACATCAAGGCCCGAGTGCCTATTGGGAATCCTGGCGCGGGGGAAGTTCCATCCGATGTTTACACTATCGACACATCCAAATCGCAAAGAATCCTGGGTTTGAAGTATCGTCCCTTGGAGGAAACAATTGTCGATGCTGCACGGTCTTTGCTAGATCTAGAGGCTATGAGTGCTTAGATTTCTACAGAGTGTAGCGTATGGGCATTTAGTTCTGGACGCCTTTGTTCCTCTTTGCTGATCGTGGCTCTCTTTTTCCCGTATCAACAGATTGTCTTTTAGCTTTACGCAAGAATCTTACTGTTGGTTGATTCTACACGGTCCCTGACATGAAAATAAATTGATAATTGATAATTGCTTTCTAAAACTATCTGATAGGGAGGATGTGGCATACTCATGACTAGATACTTCAATCTAGATTCTTAGATAAAACTATGGAATAAAGGTAGATATAAAGCCTCTTCATATAGAGTTATTATTAATAGAAATATACAGGTCTATGTTATGCATTGTGCAACGCTCAAAGCGCAGCGTGCGTATGGGAGCGTACATACGGGGCAAGGAGGTATCCTCCGGATGCGAATATTGCACACATACAAACACTTACTTTGTAGAGCTACATAAGCAAAAAAAGTAGTTCAATTCATAGGAACTATGCATAGCACTACCTACAACTTCCCAAATTAGCTATGTGCGCACTTTGCTTGCCACCCGGTCACTAGCGCGTAAGCCTGGTGCATATATATATTGTTTACCAACTTGCCAGCCAAGTGGTGATTGGCAGAGTTCAAAACAGAGCGGGTTCGGCGCCAGAAAAATGAAGTCGGATAGACTGGATGGAATATTGTGAGATATGCTGACGGCCTTGGTTCCAGATGCTTTGAATAGGTTCCAAATATACCGAGCACGGACATATGAGTAGAGGATCCTTTTTAAAATTCCCTCATTGACACTCTCTATCTATTTGTGACGTCTGAGTCCATTGTCTTCTTGTAGCCTCTGTAACGGGCGAGAACACAACTCCCACCCGGTCTGTTCCTATTCGCCCCAGTCCTCGGCTTACAGAGTACTCTACGTCTGCGCTACTCGCTGTCTCGACTCTACGACCAGACACCATATTCTCATTGAGGAGATTGCCGGTAGGGTGTACCTGGCCGCAGATTATTGTCCAGCGGAAATCAGTCTGTGAGCACAGGTGCCGTCCTTGCTCGTTGACGCATTTTTGGGGGATGGGAGGAAGGCTATATATATACTGCGGTATATTGGAGATGATTACCGGTCTGAGCTTGGGTTGGTGAAGACAGTTGTTTAGTGTGACCTGGTCATTGGGGCTATTGGGTTCCTATTGAAGCCTATTTGGTTCATTCATGTCCAGGAGAAGGAAGATAACGTATTTCTTGAGGTCGTTTGTCACTGTGCGGAGAATGTATTGCACACGAGCCTACTTATATAGTCATGCGTCAGGCTCTTTCTCAAGTTGCTGCTCTTTTTCTTTTCCCCCTCCACCCTTCTTTTACTCTGCTCCGCACTTTGGCTTCAAGCCGCCTGTTTCAAGCTTTATAATATCATCAATTCTCCGCATGGGACATCGTTCTCCTGAGATAAGAAAGGGATTTCTAGTAATATAGTAGCGTACTAGCCGTAGATGAGGTACCGCAGAACCGTCAGATAATTGACGATGGCACGAGACTATTATCGAATCCAACAATAGTCACCATCCCAAGTAGAAAATCGGACCTTGGCATCGACCTTAATGACCAACCATCGATCCAAAAAGAGCGTTGAACCTCTCTCCAACCGGCTTGGCATCATCCACGATCTGTCGCATCTCCTTCAGCTCGTCTGCCGTCAGTTCGATGTTACGTGATGCCCAGTTCTCTTCCAAGCGCGAGGCACGGGTTGTTCCTGGAATAGAGATCAACCCTTGCGCAGCCACCCAAGTGAGGGCGATCTGCGCGACCGAGCAACCCTTGCGAATGGCCAGCTTTCTAATCAAGTCGACGATCGCCTTGTTCTTATTGAAATTTTCGCCCTGAAACTTTGGGACTGTAGATTTTTGCAAGCGAGAGAGAGAGAGTCAGTTTTGCGGATCTGATACGAGATAAAAGATGTAGAATCCATGAGCCTAAACAATGTGTAACTGAGGTTGACATACCAGTGCGTCGGAAGTCACCTAGTGCGAAGTCATCAGGTGTCTTGAACTTGATGTCATCGACAAGCCAGCCGTGACCCAGAGGGCTGAATGCCACAAATGCCACTCCTAATTCCTTGGCCGTCTCGATCAGGCCGCTGGTCTCGTGACAGGTCTCAAAAGCAGAGTACTCAGCTTGAACGGCGTCAATCTTGGCGACTTGAGGGTATGTTAGCTCGAACTTTCATTTGTTGTAGATAACCGATAGTAGATAGATAGTACGAACTTGCGTTTGCCTTGCGCAGGGTTGCAGCTGAGCATTCGGATAGACCAATGTATTTTGTTTTTCCGGCACGGCGAAGCTCATCCAGGGCACCGATGGACTCCTCGAGGGGTGTGTCTTCGGTGGGGTTGAGTCAAGTCAATATACTCAATAGAATCGCTTTTTGAGGGTGAGCATAATTATACGCACTGGGGTCAATTCGGTGCAGATAGTAGAGATCAGGCGTGAAACCAAGTCTGTCAATCGTTCCCTCAATATATTCCTTGATATGGGCAGCGGAGTTGTCCACCTTGCGTTCAGGCCCAAAGACGGCGAATCCACACTTAGAGGCGACTGCGTGAACACGACTATGAGCCAGTGATGAAGCAAATAAATGCAGGAGAGTTGGAACGACGACATGGCTTGTGCTCACCGAAAAGCTTATCGCGGACATTGTGCTTCTTGATGAACTCTCCCAGCAGTTTCTCGTTTTCGCCATTTTTGTAGGCTACCTAGGGCCGCACACGGAGTCAGAGACCGGTTGTCGTTGGTTTGCTCGGGGAAGAAACACCTTACCGCGGTGTCCCAAAAAGTACAGCCGAGCTCGATGGCTTTTAGAAGAACCGGCTCGGATTGCTCGTAGTTGAAGTCAGTCCCCATGCTGCTATTAAGACCCATGGCGCCATAGCCGGGAATAGGGACCTGTAGGTCGCCGAACGGGAGCGTCGTGGACATCTCAGTGGATCGTAATGGATTCTACTAAACGATAGTATGCAAAGCTGGAACTGTGAAGGCGAGATAGCCAAAGCTCGTCAAGCGAAGAGGTCCGTGGAGATTTATATCTCAGCCCGGCTGGGGTATATTGCGACAGTCGAACTATGTATGCTTCCAAAGCCTGGTCTACGTCACCAATTTTCCGAGAAGGGAAAAAAAAAAAAAAAGAAGATCCACATGTCATTCGTTGATAGCAGCCTGGCCTGGCCTATTTTCTATCCATGGAGAGATAACTATGTCTTCTGTAGTATCCCGTACACAGATTCTGCAATGATAGGTTATACACTATGTATCTCTTGAAGGATATTCTTGCCGAGCCTCACTACTGATTGCAGAGATGCTATGGACTTCACTCTCTAACTCTGGCATTGCATCACTAAACACCCCTAGAATAGTTTTGGTTGATTGCGAAAGGGTTTCGAAAGCAGGCTATTCTATTGGTGCTAGAGAAGTGACAGATTGATTACGCGCTAATGGTGGGTCTGCTCTAAGTTAGCTTACGTTAAAAAGTTAATCGAAGCCGCTAAACCCGGTATTGCGATTGATGGGATCAATTGCCACAAGCCAAGTGTAGGCTTTATTTTCTCCGGATTTAAGGGGCTTAAGGCCATGGTGGAAGCCATTTACTCAGTGAAGTTGTTTTACACTGCGTTATCTCCGGAGGCGCCAACCCAACTGATAATCTCAGCCAAAGCACCAGGTTCAATTCCCCTCATCGGAGGTAATCAGCCCAGCACTCACGAATAACGCATGGCAAGTTTCGGTGGTAATTGTTCGACCTAATACAAAAAGAAGGATAGGAAGGAGAGACGCAGGCGTCGAAATCTACTTTATCAACTAACATGGCGTAAGTCTCAATTACAATGACACAACTCTCTATATTTACGTGACGTCTTCTGCTTCAGGCGAACGGCAGCAGATAAGCAATGAAGCAGCTCTTCTGGCCAGAAAAACGCGCCTTGTAGAAGCTCTATCCTATCTCTCGACGTTACAAGATTGCTATCCATCCATGATTTCGACTAAGAAGGGCTTATGAATTCCGGGGGACCAATGGTGTCGGATCGTTCCCGTTGTGTGCTACCCAATCCTCATCGCTATCGGCTGATAGCCGTCGTCGAGGCAGCGATCTAGCAGAGCTAGCCGGTGTCCCTCAGGTCCGTCATCTTCTCATATTGGTCAATTGACTGTCATTCATGCGAGTGTATGTAAAATTGCAGTGCTGGTATATAGTTGGGAATGGTTGATGGATGGATGACGTAGTTTACTATTAGTAGGCCCTCTCTAACCCGAAGGCTCCTGCTGGAGGTGAATCTAGTCTGCGCCAGACACAACTGCAATACAGCTAGCCTTATCATCCTTGGGTTAGATCTCTTTCCCTTCGCACTCTTAAGAGATGCTCTAAATTGGAACGAGAATGATGCAGAAAAATTCCTAGTTCTGTCATGATCTTATGTACTTCTGGATGATGTCCGGGGCGATCTTATGGAACCATGCCGACCACATGACAGCCCCGAGGCTTCTAATAATCTCACGGTCAACTGTTCTAGATATAATACAAAGAAGCGGGCGTTTCATGGGATGACGAAGTGGAGCATTTCTTTGACGTTGATTTTAAATGCACCAATTTCAATGACTAAGCCCATGAGCAGCTGAATTCTAGCACAGTCCTTAGTCAATTTTGTTGCTAATCTTGATCCATATGAGTAGTCTAGACGAGGACGATATGTTAAGCCGGTGTGTACAATTCAAGGACCAAAAAACTTGCAGTTGGATGCTAGTGTCTCAACATATGTAGAATCTGATCCCTTGCGCAGTGACGGGATCAGTCTTTGGCATAGGAACTACAGTGCTAGAATTAACGAAATGTGTAAGATAAGATATATTTATGCTGCGATAACACTGCTGGTGGGCCTTATATGACGGATCGGCCCGCTATTCTTGGCATATCTTGGCAAGTCGGCGCTCTATGGGACACGGATCTTTGTTCTCCCGACGTTCCTTCGTTTCTGCCCTGTTGAGGTCAAAGCCTCGATTAACAAATGACCTAACAGCTTGAGCAGGTACTGGTTCCGTCCCTTGTCGACACTTATGGGATCTACAGGAAGAATGAACACTGGCTGTTAGCTCTGTCAAAAAGATGTATTTTGTTTCACAGAGGAAAGCTATCCTACGGCTTCCAATGGCAAGTTTTCGATGGTTTTGACTTTATGAGATACTGCTTTGCCTAAATTTTGATGTCAGGATTGTCACGCTTATTAGCTTAGCAGACCAGAGGTAGATTAGTTCCAGGATTCCTGGAGCCAATGACGTCTTTTTAGTACGGTGGTAATCTCACCACTAGCGGTTATAATTGGGGGCCGAGATGGCTACGAATCACGCAATAATGAAGAAATTCTGACATGAGTGAATATATTTTGCTCCAGATATCTTTACTTTCTAGAACAGTGTCAATCCGAGCATTCAGCCGTCAGTTTAAATATTCTGATCATAAAAATCGCCCTTGGAATTGGAAATTCCATGATTTTAGCATCTTGAACCCCCACCTTCCCATTCCGGTCTAGAGAGAGCCCCCAAAACCCACACCGACAACGACAAGTGTGCACAAACAAATGTCTGATCCAACCACCTTTAATTCTCTGCTGCTGCTTTTATGTCGAGTCGTCGGCGGTCAACAGAGCTGGTCTCTCTAAAAATCGCCTTCAATTAAGCACATTGGATCCTAGGCCAGCGAGATGAACATGCCGTCAAGACCCGAGCACGATGACGCTAATCAGGATGATTCTTTTCAACTTCTGGCCATGGACGAAATAGGGGAAGAGCCTTTATATCTCCCTCCGCCACGAAGTGTCTTATATATGCTTGTTCTGTGTAGTGGATTCGGGACGTAAGTAGTTGTCCAACCAGCAGAATATTGGGGTTCGGAACTAATGGCCTATTAGACTACAGCTTGTATTCGCCCTTTTAGCTTCTTATGGATCTGTATTTTCACCCTTCAAAATTGATCTAAATACATTAGCTGACAACTATTCACAGGCACAACTGTTGTCCGTCGGCGTCAGCCAGGCGGCAACGGGATTGACCTGGCTTGCCGGACCCCTTGCCGGGACCTTCGTTCAGCCTTTGGTCGGTATAATGAGTGATAAATTTGGCCATCACAAATTAATCGTTGCCATTGGTCTCATTGGTCTCGCTATATCGCTTATAGGGCTTGGCTGGGCACCAGATCTGATGGAGACAAGCGGTATACTAAGTAGGACTTTGTTGGTCCTCTTCATTTGCACTCTTAATATTGCTGTTCAGCCGGTTCAGCTCGGTCTGCGTGTTTTGATCATCGAGAATTGTCGCCCACAACAGCAGAACACCGCATCGGCCTGGGCTGCGCGCATGACTGGGATAGGGAATATCCTCGCACAGCTCGTGGGTTCTGTTGATACAACAAAATTACAGCCCTTTATGACGGCTAATCATTTCAAAAATTTGTGTCTACTGACATCCATTTGCCTTGCTCTCACTACCATTATTCTGGGGGTTTTTGTGACAAATAAGGGGGCATTTAAAGAAGCGCCGGAGAAGCAGAATCAGGAGAGCATGCTCAAGGGGGTCTGGGAGGTCATGCATACTCTTTCCCCGGAGGTCCTTAATATCTGGAAAGTCCAGGTGTTTTCTTGGATGGGCTGGTTCCCATTCCTCTACTATGTTACTTCGTGAGTAGTTTCTTGTTTTATGTATCACATGAACAGGCGGTTCTAACTAATATTTTAGTTATGTCGATTATCTTGGTAGGTTTACCATTATTGCACTTTCTAATTTGGCATTTTTACTGATTCTAGAATGGCAGCATTTCATGATCTTCTACGACATCAAGCAGTGACAAATGAAGAAGCACAGCACACTCTCAAGAACGAGTCTCTGCAATTCGGATCAAGAGCAATGCTTATAAGCGGATGCGTGTCATTCATTTCCAGCATCTTACTCCCATGGCTATTCAAGCGTAGCAGTGGCATACAGTCAAAATTCAGGCATTACTTGTCTTTATCAAATCTGTGGATGATCTCTCAAGCCCTATTCGGAGTATGCATGATATGCACCCTGTGGGTATCTACAGTCGTCGGCGCAATAATCCTTACTAGCATTCTCGGCCTGAGTTGGTGCTGTACCGGATGGATTCCTTTTGCACTGATTAGTACAAAAGTCTCAGCGGAATCAACTAGTCTCTCACATTCCCACGGTCCAGGTTTGATAATGAGTCTACACAATGTCTCTATTGCAGCACCGCAAATTCTGTCCGCTTTGATTGTCGGTTTTACATTCTGGGTTTCTCCGGACGGTGTCAATGACGCCACATATGTGCTGGCTGTGGGTGGAGTATTTGGATTAGTTGCTGCGTGGATGGCAAAGGATTTGAATAGTGCAAAGAACCCACAGTAACCAATTCTACTTGCATTGAATGTAGCTTTATGGGTAACTATCTACGTCTAGTATACAAGTATATATATCCGCCAGTGTTTACAGAATATTTTCCGTGCCTATATACTTGTCAATTGGCTTTTTTACGGAACACAATCTTGGAACCTGATTATGTTCAGGACTGAAGATTCCTCAACATATACCCCGGGGCAATTTTCAAATACCCCCAAGACACAACTCATGTTAAGAAGATAGTAAGCACTTCTTCTAAATTCTAAGACATGTTGTCAAATGTATAGTAGCATAACTGTAATCCGTCTCATTCGATGAGCTCCCCTAGCAATCGACTGTGACATAACAAACAGTTCTCTATGTGCATGTAAACAAAGACTCAATTTCCTTTCTTATCACAGCCTACCCTGCTCAACAACTCTTTTCTATCACGAGGACTTCTGAAGCTCAAGCCGGATGAACATGCCGTTTTCTCCTGTCCGCCACACGCTTCGACAGCCACGAAACATCAATCTCCACTGTCAACTCAGGCAGTTGATGACCTTGCAGCCCGGAATCGCTTTCTGCATTATCTATATCGCTGCTGTCGTTATCGCTGCGAATATCGTCTGCGCCAATACCCTTAATAACGCGAACGGCGACCTGAACGATTAAGACGAACCAGAAGACGGTAAGGAGCTGGAGAAAGCCTAGAGCACCGAGAAATCCCCACCGTACATTATTACTGTAGCAAATGATTCCCGAAGGATTTCGAAACGGTTCCAAAGAATGCAGCCAACCGTGCTCCGGGAGTGGAATAGGGCCAGTGAAGTTATCCTGGGCCCCATGATAGCAACCGATGGGTATAACTTCGGCCATATGTTTCCATATACTCCACATTGTAATCATATAAAGGACGTGACGAGCGAGAAACCATGTCAGCATAAATACTCCAAACATTATGTCTCGCAAGGTAGAGAACCCGAGGTATTTCAAACACTTGGCAAGCTTTCATCGGCATTAGTGCTTGTCGAAAGAAGCAGATTTTGATGAAAAGACTGGACTTACCGGGAGAAATATATCAACTATATCCATTAGGATTAAGACTAGATTCGCCACTCGAGTCAAATGCAAGGAGTAGGAGGTATAAATCAGTAGTATGGTGATAATATGATGGGCTAGCATTTGCCAGTGGTCTTTGCGACGCGCTTCAATGTTAATGATAATGATCTGCTGCAGCCAAAACGCCCATTGCCCCAATATATATGCTTTTGTTATCAAGGGGAGCTCCCGTGTAGGCCAATCCGTGAACATCTCCCTAAGATTCAGGAAGTATTTCGAAGTGCAATAAATATACTAAAAAGATTAGAAGACTGTTCAGGGCCTTAAGTGGGAGAGTGAATATATCGTTACATACCAGACCAAGCGTCCAAAAGAAAGAGTAGTATAACAGAAGCCAAGCTTGCTCAGAGAACCTGGTAACATCCCGGATCTTAGATATCCCCCATCGTCTTGCTAACGGCGCTAGAAAATATTTCATGATGCTCGCACGGAGACCGGTAAGAAGAACAATGCAGAATCCTAGAAAATAGAAGTCACTACCGCCGACTCCGTAGTTTCCGGTATTAGCATCATAATGCGAGATTGACAAGAACTTCGATGTAAGTCGGCGCGTCCCGGGAACAAAAATGTGGACTAAACAGATGGAAGTGATTAGATTGAGAGAAAGACCTAGACAGTGATGGAAATCGTTAGCTTGCATACTTCTCAACATCTCCAATGTTCTTCATAGGTTATGAAAGAATAGTATATGAGGAGAGTGGAAAGGTTTGGCAAGTCTACAGAGAAGTTCTCAGACTGCTACTTCTGCCAAGTAGTTTATTGAATAAACAGAACAATTCTCATGACGTACTTTTGTCAGAGGAGTGCTACAGAATCGTTCATGAAGATATTGTGGGGGAGAAGTATTCAACGTATGGCTAGTTAGTTACATACTGATTTGATGACCAAGCAGCCAACGAGAAAGATTCTCCAAAATGGATGCATCTTTCCACTTGACTTTCCGGGTGCGATTAATTTGGTTGTGCAACTTCGCCGGCAGCTTAGACATAGGTGGTTCGTTTTCATTTGTATCGTATCCTGATATGTGTGTCATTGGATCCATAATCAGAGACATGTACTGCAAATGTTGTCTTCAGCGTTGTAAATTGTAATGGCAAGGCTACGGGCTTCTAAATCACAGTGCTTAGTTAGTGTCAGTCCTTGTTGAGAGGGATCGAAGTCAACATTCGGCCGGTTGCTTCATAAAGCGATGAAAGGGGCCGGAGTATATCAGCTCTTTGTCCACATTTTATGAATAAAAGGACATCATTCTCTGAAAGAACTTGATGTTTGATTGGCCTAGGCGTGCCACCTCAGGGCTTGAAATGGCACCGACAATGGCCTGTGTCGTGAAACCGGAGTACATCAAAAAGGTGGCCCATGCCCAGGGAACTGTAGGAATTGTGTTTCGTAATAGGTGTTTGGCAAAGGTCCATTGCTTTTTTCTGCTCTTTCACGCATATCGTGTCGTTCAAGCATTTAAAAACGGTCGGGTCACGTCTCGGAACGCTCTTCAACCAGATTTCATCACGGTTGAGCGCCACTCTAGCTTTGCCTAGTGAAGTATAAGTCAAAGCCTAGCATTATTTATCTCCTGACTTACTGTCCCTAAGATTAGCTTGTTCAAGATCCCCTTGCGTTTTGCTATCTTTCTTCCGGCGCTTCATGGTTCTCTTACTACCGGCTTTGTCGCTCTCTATTAGCGCTATCTTGAGATTTCCCGGTGCAATTCCTATCTTATTGATGACTGGGATAACTCTGTTGATGTCAGTCTCAATATCCTGCATGTCCTTCTCGCAGACCCGCAAGCTGGTCAGGAAAAAGGAAGGTTGTATATATCAACCTGATACGTCAAGTACGTATCTCAACCAAGACGAAATTATGCTTGCTTCTGTTTCTATACCTAGGTCTTTACTTCCTTTGTTTCCTTTTCTGGTTCTAAAGATAACGAAGCTAATTCATCATAAAACTTTGCAGGCTCGAAATCCAAACTGCAGGAACTCTCCATACTTGGCCTGGAAGTCCGTTAACCACTTGAACTCTGGCCTAATCCTACACCTAAAAGACCTTGCACTTGACAGTGATCGAGGCTTAGTCTGGCTCGTTCCAGCGCGGGGCCAAGCGGGGGAAAAGCTATAGTCATCCTCGGAAACTAGAATGAGGCGAAGGCAAAGCAGAAAGTTACGGTGCAGAATCACGGTGCAATTTGGCCAATATTATTGGAATGTATTTTAGTTTCAAGACTGCCAAATAAGCGGACCATTGCATATGTAGGAAACCCGAAATGAGACTCTAGACAGATGAGCTACGACTACTACCATGCGTCGGTACCATGTCCATAGGGCACAAAAACCAATATTATCATTAACGCAACAGTACCTTGCACCCTTCATTACAACTGCTCTATTTTTCTCTACAGCCGTACCTTAGTGGAGCACGCAAGTATATAGACTAGATCACTTAGAAGCCAGACATTACAGTGGTTCTTCTTGAAATCCAATATACGTTGTTTTTGCTATTAGGTTTCTCGCTGTCACCGAGAAACGCAGCTGTTCTCCGTTGGTTTTGTCTTCACTTTCTGAACTCCCGTGGTATAGTCTTCTTTGCACTCTCTGTAGAAACCATTGATCCGGCTGACCTCCAGTCACCCATGCATCCTCGGAGATGTGTCGCGTGGAGGATTTACAAGATCGTAGTATCGACAGCTTTTCCACATCTCCAATTAAAACCCCCACTTGTCGAAGTTGAAACCTTATGCCTCACGGGACCGATGTAAAGAAAGAATGAATGAAAGATGGACTACTATCTAGGTAAACAACAAAGAGTCGTACCGTGAACAAATGTTAATTCAGTTCATCTGACAAGTATAAACACAAACATTATTGCCGTTGTTCCATTTCCATCTCCATCGTGGCGTCATCTACAAGTTTGTCCAGCGCAATTTCTGTTTCCTGCTCTGTCTCCAACGGACTAATATCCTTTGGATCACCTAGTCTGTGCCTAATTTCCTCTCCCTTGAACATCAAGACTATGATGGGAAGGAAGCCCAGTCCACTACCGAGAATAGCGAACATGAAGAAAGCCCACTGATACCCAATCCGCTCGCACAACGCAACGACATAGAACGCAAAAGTCATGCCGAACTCCTGCCTGATTAAGTTGATGAGCTGCGAAGTCTCGGAACTTTGGGCACGGTATGAATCAATGCTGTAGGTGTAGCAGGTGGTTGCAATAACCTGGAGCCCAAAAACGGCGAGCGCCATTGCGAAAAGCGGCACAAACCAATAGACGTGATACTGGAGCGTGAAACCGTAGATAATCAATCCAGCAGGTACCAAGAGTGCGCCAGTCCAGATTGCTTTCAGTCGGATTTCGGGGGGCGGATTGGCGCCATTGAGCTTGTGGCGAGCGCGGTTTACGATTGAATCTAGCACAACGCCACCTGCTACTTCACCGAGCACACCTCCGATAGTCAGGGCGCCGCCATAGGCAAGCCCAATTTTGAGCGTGTTCCAGTGGAAGGCCTCGGAGAATATGCTGGCAACAGTAACTGCGGGAAGGATTGAGGCAAATCCATACTGTGCTGAGTAGTACAACGCCGGAAAAAGGACGGACGGGTACTTGGCCATTCTCAAGGATGGGATGACGAACTGGTTCCAACGCAGCTTGAGCTGTGGGAAAGAGGAGTATGCTTTCAGTCGAGAAGCATACGTCCGAGGCGTGAAGTCGACTTCCCGCTCGTGGACAGTACGAGCGAGACGAGTTGGATCACGTATATACAGGGTTTCTGGGAGGCAGAAGATGATCACGAGCAGCATGACACCGTCGAGTATGGCGGCAAACTTGAATGTCCATCTCCAGCCAAGGTACTGCCCAATAAGTCCTCCGACAATGGGTGCGATATGTGCCCCGCTTGTCAATATCACGGTGAAGAGACCCATGGCTCGTCCTCGCTGGTGGTAGAAGAAAAGGTCCACGACGGTAGCTGGGCCGAGACCAAGAGCAGCCGGCCAAAGGCCATTGAAGACGCGGGCCACGATCAACTGACTGAAATTACGCGCATATGCAGACCCCAAGGAAGATGCAAATCCAATGAGAGTCGTCAAGAGATAGATGGGTCTTCGTCCGTACACGTTTGCCAGTGGAATCCAAAGAAATGGCCCGACGCCATTGAGTGCAATGACTACAGTGGTTTGGTAGGAGGCGCGGACTTTGGTAATACCGAATTCGGTGGCCAGGGGACCATATGCAGGGTTGATAATTGCGGTATTGAGGGTTCCAAGACTGGCCAACAGACAGACTTGGGTTAGAATAGCAATCTATCAAGGAATATTAGCATGCGGAAGCTTGGACCACGGTGCAATCGCTGACCTTCAGCCAAAGTGGGAAGTTTAGAGGATCGTTTGGATCATCCGAGGGCCTTGGAAGAAAAGTGTCTCGTTCTTGGTCCACTGCAATATCCTCCGTCTCAATCACGTTGCCCCGAGGAGGATCACTCTTCTCTTGGGATTGCGCGGCTCTAGCCATGCTGATGGTATGTGATAGATCTTGAGGCTTATCTGCTTGACTGGGCCCGATTTATGTTTGCCGTTGAGTGAACAGTAGCGTAAGAATCACCCCGCGAAGACCGGGGGGTGACAATTTATAGCCGGCAGACATCATTCTCCTCACCCCGGCCTTCTTCCCGGACGGTACAGTACAACGTGGGTGAGATTTGTAGAAAGCTTAAACCTCCACGTGGCCACCGTCCCAATCATCAGTCCCGGAAAAGAATTAACGTTGACTAGCCTATGAAAATGGTGGAGAACTGTGGGGAGATAGTAAGAAAACTGGCGGTCTGAATGGGCTCGGGCTGGGGAACTATCACGAGGCTGCGACTCCGGGGGAGATTGTGGAAATTAGCAGCAGAAAACGGGGTGATTACTAGGATAAGAAGTGGCAAATGCCGAGGAGACTTGCCGAGTCCCGTTCATACGCAGTTTTGGGAAGTTTGATACTATCCCAGGATTGGACACAATAGTAAATGCCATCATTTCACACATCAGACACGCGGTTCGTCGTATGAATACTAATTTAATACTAAGTTAGTATCTCGTACCACGCAGTACGTACTCATCCTCACCGATTGAGTACTATTGCACCATAAATCCAACTTCTTCATTGCGCAAGAACTAGGTTTACTAGCAAGATGGCAAGCGACACCAAAGGCTTGTTATACGTGTTAGTGAGTCCCGGCGAACTGCTTTCCATGGAGGAATTGCATACCTGGTTCCACGGCCAATGTACACATAACCAGCCTGGCCTGACCCTCCTAAATGCGAATATCTACGAAGCGGCAGATACACAAAAGCCGGAGTGGCTTGCGGTGTACGAGCTCGAAAGTGTGCATCAAGCCGAGAGGTGGCTTTACCAGTTGCAACCGCTGTCTCGTTTCGAGACAGTCGAAGCCAGAATATATAGATTGTTCAGCGAAAAAATATCGCCCTTCTATGACGCTACATCTGCTCCGAATCGAGTATTCCGCACCGTGGCATTGCAGCCGGGGCCGGAGCTTTCGGAGAAGAATTACAATGAATGGTACGAAGACGAACATATCCCTCTTCTCTCGGCTGTGCCAGGCTGGCTCAAGTCGACGCGGTGGGAGTTGAGAAAAGTACTCAGCTTCAATCAAGGCACGATACAAGATGGGAAAAGGCTCTCGCAGCACCTTGCTATCCATGAGTGGCAAAGTGACCAGTCATTCTCAACACCAGAGTTCAAGCATGCTACGAGCACGCCCTGGCGAAACCACATTATGCCGAGGCTCGACAAGGAGTTGGGTGAGCGGCGGAACTTCAAGCCACATGCGCGGATGTTGTGAAGATGTCAAATATTTCTCGATTCCAGCTATTGAATTATGTCAAGAATGGCAGTGTTTCCGACGTGCCGTTCCATTCCTGTTTAAAATTTGTGAATCACGCTATAATTACCCAGCTTATGCATTTCTAGATATTATGAAATATACTGATTGTCAAAACAACTCAGCAGCATACTGTGGCTAGCTTCAAGACTTTCTATCGCCTCACTCCGTCAGACTCGTCCAAACAGCGAGAATTCGAATATTCATCTATATATTCAACAAACTTACTATGTTTACTGGTCTGTGGTTTCTCCTTGCCAGAAGTTGCATTTGTTTGATTTTATTTTATTCAATATATTGGCGGAGTATAAAATGCTTGATACGATGAAAAGTGTAAGCGGGATACATACATACATAAGCGGACGGCAACATCCATGGATCGTTCCGACTCGCGCTAAAAGCGCAGCAATTTTCACTCCGCCATCAATTATGGCTTTGCCCACCCCAACGGCCATTCCGTCTCGCCATCCCGATTGCTGCCTCAGTTTCTCGTCTACCCTGCTCGACATCCTCACTTCCACTCTGCGTGAAAGCATCCACTCCGGCCTCGTCCTGTCCGTCGGCAGTGGCACCGGCCTGCTCGAAGCGCTCCTTCACTCCAAATGGGCGTCATCACCCAATTCGCAGAACGAGCAACCCTGGATTGAGGGGGTAGAAGTCCTTCAATCCACATCCTCCGCGTCCTCGTTCGCCACGAGATATCTCCCCGAGCAGTGCTGCGAGACGGTCAAGGGAACTTGGGAAGTCTCCTCCCGGGCCGAACACGCCGCCGCGATTCTGTTCGTATATCCGCGCAGCCCAGAGCTAGTCCGACGCTACATGCAGAAGTTTGCACATCCCTCGAGCAGGTTACAGGCGGTGATTTGGCTTGGGCCGAACTGCGACTGGCCAGAAATCCAGCCATGCTTGGCCCATGGTGAAGGCTGGTTGCCCGTTCACGTCTTGCTCGGGGCGGAAGCGGGTTTGGTTGACTTTGAGATGATGGCCATCATTAGGAGGCCTCAGGAAATGCCTTGAGGATAACATTCCGATATTCCGGTTCTTAAGTGTGCCGATTCAGAAAGGCCAAGCCGATAAAACCGAGACAAGCGTGGACTACTGCAGCTGAGTAACGTTACAACTGCATGCATGCATCCCGCATACAATAAGCTTATATCGTCTCCTCGCTCTGAGGGCAACATCTGTATCGTTTCGCCTTGACCGCGAACATTCCATTGGTTTTCAATACCATTAATCGTTCGTTAGGCTGTGCGTTTGGTTAATTTGAGTGCGTCTAGTCCTGCGGTGGGGCTTGAGCTTGGTATCCATTGTATCAACATGTTGTTCCAGCCAAGTCAATAGCGGATTACTTGCGAGTGTCTATTTCAATGACCTGTAACACAAGATCCCGTACTGCATCCCTGCATGAACCATATATCTAGGCTATTTCTTTCCTAGCTGATCATCCGTCCAAGTCATCCCGAGGAACTCGGTCTTTCAAATTTGCAAACTCTCCTGTGCAATTATTATCACCGCTTCTGAATAAAACTTCTTCGTGGGCAGCGCTACAACAATGAGCAGTCGATCCAGAACGGGTCTCAAGCAACATGCAGAGAGCCACGAACTGCATGCATCGGCTTAGAGATGAATTACACTCGCGGTGTCCTGTCCTGGCTATTGGGCGGCATCCCGCCAGCATATACGATAAGGAGCAAGGAATCTACGATATAAACGGCAATAAAGCCGGTGACTCCTGTCACAAGAATAGGCTGTACATCCCTCGCCAAAGGAAGAGCTGTGATTGAGGTAGGAAGGATCGGAAAGGGTGGGTACCAACTCGACTATATTCTTCAATCCCGGCCTTTGTAGATGCATTTCTCAAACTGCAGGGGGCTGTACCTAGATTTTCATTTCATTTACAGTCAGACTCTTCTATGAACGTCAGCTTGGGCAGCGATCTTACCTTGGGAGTTTCCTATTCCCTTTCCTGAGTTAACCCGTGACAATCGGAATCATGTATGCATGCAATTCAGCCTGATTGCTTCTGTGCGAGGCTCCGCGTGAGCACTTAGCATTGTGACAATCTTTGGGGGACTAGCAGACAACGTTAAAGGGCGTATGGTCATTTGCTGGGAAATTTCGGCGGTAGCGGATTGTCGGCGACAGGAGCAGATATGCACGCCCAATATGTCGAAATATCAGAACGTATTATAGTTTTCAAAACGGAATGCTAAAGGTAGAGATTATTGTTAGGTTGTCGATGCTGCCAGAGAGTGGATTGATATATATTTGAGTGATGAAAACCAATTTTGAATGATCTTTCCTACGCAAAATCATATGTCTTATTGGGAGATTCGTTTAGTGTAGTTAACTCGTTTGCCCGACATGATCTTGGCTTTCACTTGCTTAGTGCTGTCTACTGCATTGCTTCCACCTGTCCTGGCACAGGCGACATGTGCTACATTGTGGTAAGGATATCGATATATGCTGATTTCTAACGAAAACCCCATTGCTAATCGTATTAGGGCACAATGTGGCGGCAGTGGATCCAGCGGCTCGTCTTGTTGTGAGAGCGGTTCATCATGCGTTCAAGTCAATTCATATTATTACCAATGCACGCCAACAACCCAGGTATGCAAAGTTTGACCCTTCAGAATCGAGAGACCTAGTAATTACGGAATGAATTAGGTTTCAACGGTCTCATCTACCGGCACCACTTCTGTCTCTGGAACTGCTTCTCTGGTTTCTGGCTCGTTATATACGGCAACAGAGCCCCTGTCTACATCCACTTCGACGCAGGTGCCTTATCCTGCTGCAAATGAAAGTAGTTGTGGAGATTCGTGGGCATTGGTCGACAATGTCTGCTGTCCATATTACTGCACATCCAACAACGAGTCGGAGACATGTACTAGTCCTTGTTCTGGTGGCTGCGGTTCACCAGACTCTTCTATGTGCAAATCAGGAACAATGTGTAAGTTGTAGATATCGAACAACCAAAATCAACATTTTTACTTAGTTCCAGCAAAGGGGGTGAGCAAACGACCGTTGGGTCCGACGAAGACTGGCACTACAGTGTAAATGGCCCTTTTTTTATTTTTTGAAATGTATTGTTTACAATCTTTCTCCGACGGATCTGACAATATATTCTACGCATCTAGCGCTCCACGCACTTTGGATTGACCGACGCTGGAGCCTGTGGGTTTGGTCTCTATGGTCTTTGTACAAAGGGCAGCAGTACAGCAAGCTGGACAGATCCTATGCTCGGTGATACTTGCGATGCTTTCTGCACGGCCTACCCCCTTCTATGCCAGGACCCGAGCAATGTAACTCTGAGAGGTAACTTTGCGGCCCCAAACGGGGATTATTACACGCAAGTAAGTTCTTCCTGCGATACGAGCTCGTTTATATGTATTGACATGAGAAATAAAAAACAACTAGTTCTGGCCTTCGTTAGCAACCGAAGGGAACCCAGACAACTATCTTTCCTGCGGGGAGTGTTTCGAATTAGTCCGAACCAAGGATGACGGAACAGACTATGTGGTGGGAGAAGATGGATACACCGACCCAATCTATCTCGAAATCGTGGATAGTTGTCCATGCGATGCAAACCCAAAGTGGTGCTGTGAGTAGTTGAGACCGTCCCTTTTGTTCTGGAAGAGAAATATCTGACATTTTCATGTTTCAGGCGGATCTGGCGCAGACCACTGCGGAGAGATAGATTTTACCTATGGATGTCCTATTCCAGAGGACAGTCACCACATGGACCTTTCGGACATTGCCATGGGCCGTTTACAGGGCAATGGAAGTCTGAACGAAGGCGTTATCCCTATTCGCTATAAGCGTGTTCCATGCCCCAAGCCCGGAAATGTATACATCTGGGTACGAGACGGTGCCGGCCCATACTACTTCGCATTGACAGCCGTAAACACAAATGGTGTTGGCTCTGTGGTCAGTATTGAAGTTCAAGGGTCCGGCCAAAGCGACTGGATGGCGCTTGAGCACGATCCAAACTACACCAGTAGTCGTCCACAGGAGAGATACGGGGCGTGGGTCATACCACAAGGGTCAGGCCCGTTTAATGTACCTATTGGTCTTCGTATTACATCGCCAGATGGCCAGCAGATCGTGAATACAGAGGTAATCACATCGTTCACTGCGCCAGCGTCTGCGCCCTCTGGATTTTGGTACATTGACATGGGGGTGCAGTTTACTTGACTCTACCACATCTGCATTTATCTAGATATCCAGGTTTACTATGATCTTACGAAGAGTACTGGGAGAGTAAAAGACCCAAAATTACAATCAGGCAAAAAGTCAAGTCCAAAAAATCAACGACTGAGAGATTAGCTCTTGCTCCCTAGGGAACTTGCTGTCATGAATTAGAGACCCAATCCTAGCATCGTGTATTGTTAGTCGAGACCAATGTTTATCTAAACTAGCTTAGGGAGGCTTACGGCAAGCACGTTAACCATTCCGTCAAGTCGTTTTACTCTCCGTCGATTGTCGAGTGCGATGTCTCTAAAATTTCTGCCTGACGCTTTACATCCAGACATGCAAACTATCACCATTGTAATGATTACAACAACTTCGAGCAGTATACTCTTACTTCGAAGCCTGGTTAGCACTTCCTAGCTAGGTATGATGGTGCCAGCTTTCGTTTCAGAGAGAGAGAGAGAGAGATATATATATATATATATATATACGGCAACGATTCTTGGTTTGATGTACCAAGGACCCAGGCAATTGATCAGACAAGCTCACTGGCGGTTGATTGCAAGCAATTATGGATTAAATGATGTGATGACTTATAGCTCACCTAGCGAGCTATATTCTTCGAAAGCTTCATAATCGAAAGAAAAAGAAAAAAAGAGGGGGGGAAATTCCACATGGGGTACTACTATTGAAGCATAATATATCACAGTTCATGATGTGTTACCCCGCAGCAACCATGAATCCCCTTGCAGAGGTAGTGCAAAGATTAATTGATTGGCAGGTCTTGACGTGATAATTCTAGTAGAAATCGAAAACCCAAGAATGGTATGTGAATTCATGGAAAGTCTTGATCCAACACGATGCGAAGAAATTGCAACATATGGCTTGCAGGCCACGCCATTCTCTACCACAGCCGATCGACACGCAGAGCACGCCATCCACTTGGGAAAGCGAATACTTAAAGCGCGATGTTGGCATAGAAACGAGAATGCGTTGATATAGTCCACTTGTGTAGACGAGAGAGAGGACAAAACAAAAAAGGAACAGTGTATTCTTTCTATTCAAATAACATGGCTGAACGAGCACAATTCCCAGCAACAGATCCCGTGGTCTACGACGAATACAGAACCAAATGGGCTTCCTTACCGGAGAACGAGCATGGCTGGCTGGCACGAGCTCGTGAGGTCGCCCAAGTCCTTGCTCAGGACTCCGTGAAGCGCGATCAGGAAAACAAGTCGCCCGTTGCGGAAATCGCGCTGCTCAAGCATTCGGGTCTACTCAAGACTCTGGGTCCCCAAAAGTATGGCGGCGGTGGCCAGCCGTGGAACGTTGGATATAAAGTGATTCGCGAGGTTGCCAAAGCCGACGGGTGAGAGAGCATCTCTCCTTGTACCCTGTTCAATTGCGCTGACTGCAACAGATCAATCGGCGCACTTCTCGGCTACCACTTACTCTGGTCAAGAGTGGCGGACATCGTAGGCACAGCTGACCAGAGTGACCGTCTCGACCAGCTTATCATTACCAACAACTACTTTGTCGGTGGTGCAGTCAATCCGCGCGACAACGACCTGCAAATCAGCGTCGATGGAGACAACAACATTGTCTTCAACGGAGCCAAACATTTCAACACTGGCGGCGTCGTTTCTGATCTTACTGTTCTCGAGGGCATCCTCGAAGGAACAAATGACCATATCTTTGCCGTTGTCCCCACGAGACAATCCGGAATCCAGTTTGCCCATAACTGGCACAATATCGGTTTGCGATTGACCGAATCCGGCAGCGTGAAAATTGAAAACGTCAAAGCTCCTTGGACAGATGCCCTGGGCTGGGATGCAGTTGAGCGCAAACCTTTGCCCAGTGTATTGCAAATCCACTGGGGAAGTCTGCTTCTTCCTGTGTAGGTTTAAAATCCGCAGGAGAACTAGAGTGGGAAGCTGACACAAACTTATTACAGTATCCAACTTGTCTTTAGTAACTTCTACCTGGGAATTGCCATTGGTGCGTTGGAATACGCTGCCAAGTATACCACCTCGCACACACGAGCCTGGCCCTTTGGAGGGGATGTCAAGGAGTCTCCCACGGACGAGTTCTATATTCTGGAGCGTTATGGCAATTTATTCGCCCATCTGCGCGCGGCTGAAGCCCTTGCTGACCGTGCTGGCAATCAGGTGGCTACTCTTTTCGCTCGCCATGGCAGTAATCACACAAAGTTGTCTGCAGAAGAACGCGGGGAGCTTGCCGAATGGGTTGCCAGTGTCAAGGTTGTTACGACGGACGTTGGACTTAGGGTTACCTCGGGCGTTTTTGAGGTGACGGGATCAAGGGCGACTTCTTTGAAGGTGGGATTGGACCGGTATTGGCGAGACCTGCGGACACACACTTTGCATGACCCGGTTGCGTACAAGAATCGAGAGTTGGGCAGATATGTGCTCCTGGGAGAGATTCCGCAGCCGACGTGGTATACTTGATTGTATCTGCCATTGAAGATGATATTATACCTACTTCCTTTAGTTACTTGCTATTGAGGTATCCGATGTGTATGGTAATTGAATATGATCATCACGTATCGCAAGTTTCATCGGAGGGAGGAATTCGGCTTCGGTATAGCTTCTGCAAAATTTCTGTACTCTATATCCGACAGATGTCTCCGCGGGACAGCAGCCTACTACACAGCTCCGCCATATCGATCTGGTTTGACTAGCAGTAAGGTAATTCTATCTGATTCTAACACCAAAGAGTCCGCTCTCGTAGATAGAACTCGATTGTTGTAACCTTGTATATAGCCTTTCAGAGAGTCGCAGGACTAGACAGCTAGTGAGCTATGTCTTACTTTCGAGCTTGAAAGGTTGCACGATCCATACGACTCCCGTATTCATATGACCTATCACTCTCACCGAAACTTTTCCGAGAAGCTTCACTCATGGTTGGTCCAATGCGCTTATTCTTTTGCTGTCGTTCAGTTGAGACGATCGGATGAGCCGATCTTGGTCTACACGCAATGCCGACGTTTGCCGATGGCTCCATCGACCGACTTTGAATAATTCCTCGCCCTGTTTATTTATAATTCAGTTTTCCTTTTCATTGAAAACTACTTTTTTGCATGGACTGTATCTTCTTTAACGAGATACTGACCTGTCGACGTTGAAACCATGGCCTCCTCACTGCCGGCACCGATTAACCCCAAATTCCCTCTCTCACGGCTAGACGACGATTTCATCGAGTACTACAACAAGTACCTAGCAATCAAACCTGCTACCCACAACATCAATGTCGAGGAACTAAAGGCAAACCCCCAGAAGTATGCTTCTCCATGGGCCCGCGATTTCTCGTACGAACCGTTCGTCAATGACATACAGCTCAAGTCCGATGATGGACATGAATTCACCACACGATTGTATCGACCAGATCCCAGGACCTCTCCTTTTGGCGAAGGGCCTTACCCGATACATGTGAACTTTCATGGTACTTTGAGATATCCCGTCCTCCTCTTCCTCGCTCTCCTCGGAGAACATCCGAGGAATTGACAGTCTTTTGTTTTAGGTGGCGGATTTGTCCTCGGGGATTTGACGGGTGACGCTGAGATTTGCTTGTTGATACGGAATCGAATCGGAATTATGGTCTTGGATGTTGATTACAGATTGTGTCCTGGTGCGCCTCTGTTGCCTTGCCTCTGCGTGGGGAAGATGCGTCGCATTACTGACTCGTTTGACCAGAGCATCTATTCGGAAAGGGGCACGATGATGCCTGGGCAGCCATTCAGTGGGTGAGGGCGCCAAACTCTTATCTCTTCCAACCATCTTTTGCTGACACAGGAATATCAGGTTCACGAGCATGGTCCGGAAATAGGAGCGCGCCCGGATTCAATCTCAATCGGCGGCATTTCCGCCGGTGGTCATATCAGCGCTGTTTGTCAACAGCTTGCGCGTGATGCTGGCATCGATCTCAAACTAGGTAGACATGTTACACCCTATTCGAAGTAGAAACAACAAAACGTGTTGACAAATTTGGAAAAATAACAGCCGTAATCGCCGTTCCTGCAACGGTAACAGGCGACGGCAAACCGGATGCCGCGGACTCACCCTTTCCATCTGCCGTCGAGAACGAGTTTGCCCCTTGCCTCAGCTGGCAGCGCCTCGAGTTCTTCAGGAATATCTACGAACCCAAGTCTGAGGAGGTTAAGCAGGAGCTCAATGCCCGGCCAGTGTTTATCAGAAAACCCTTGGAGGGCAACCTACGGGGAGTTTGCGATACCTATATTGCCACTGCGGACTGTGATCCGCTGCGAGATGAAGGCGAGGAGTATGGTCAACGACTGGTGAAGGCTGGGGTAAAAGTTACGACGCGCAGATATACTGGCGTGCCTCATCCGTTTATGCACATGTTGCATATCAAAAAGGGACAGTTGTATATTTCCGATATCTGTACGGCGCTAAAGGCGGTGCATGGAGCTTGATTGCTATATATATATTTTTTTTTGGCACACACGTGGTTTCTCTGAGACGTTGATAGATAATAGCTGATTGGCAAGGTAATTGACTAGAAAATGCTCCGATCGCTGTCGTATCCTATGTCGTATCCTGGATGAACCGATATTGATAGTAGTCACTCCATTGGGGAATGTCGGTTTGGTGGAAGTTGTGGTTCAGATAACCAAGCCAAGATAAAGCACTAACCTTGGATAAGGACATAAAAATACAACCTGATTCGAGATCATTTTTGCGTGCAAAATGTATCACAATAGAGTGAGTTCCTGTAGCTTTGATACTGCTGAATCTTTATAGAAGTAGGGATAGGGTTATACGTGCCAAGACTCCGCGCCGAAGAAGCCCGCGTTCCGAAGACGGCGCGACGACAAACCGTCCATCATCTTTTCTCGTCTGTGTCGATAGGCCATCTACCACTGCCTAATGAAGTAAATAAGTCTCTGACGAAATGCCTTAGGTGAAATTATTTATTAAAGCATTGAGGTCTCCACTGGATAAAATATGCGGCCAAAAGAGGCCAGCGTATATCAGCGCACCCTGCAGGCCTGTCGCACATGGTACGTTGGCCCTCGCATGCATCATCCAAATCTAAATTTCGATTGAATCTATACATACATGCTCACCACAGATACAGTCGCCGAAGGAAGACAAAGTGTGATGGCGCTCGGCCAAAGTGTCGTCACTGCTCATCGCGCAATATCCCATGCGAGTGGCCTGGTGGCGGTGCTGCAATCATCACGCAGCCAACTGTGCTCTCGCCAACACCAACGGCACCAGATCTAACGCCAGGTCAAAGCGTATTGCCTGAGACCTCGTCATATTCATCGTCATTAGGCCCTGAGGCGCTGTCCAGTATCTTGCCAAGCCGAGAAGCCCTTCAGCGATGTTTTGCTATCTTTTACGAGAAGCACCTGGCCACCGACTTCTGTTCCTTTCTCTACAAACCCCAATTCGAGGCTCAAGTGGCCAGCAACAAATTTCTGGTAACGGCTATTATCTGTTTATGTTCCAGATATCTCACATACGAGGAAGCTCGTGTACACTACGGCCGGGCCTCTGCCCAGGAAGTTCAGACATCTTTCACTAATATCTCAAAACGGCTTTCCCGTGAAGCTATGGATCAGCCTTCTGGTATAGCACACCAAACCTGTCTGCTCTCTGCATTTTCGTCTTATTTACATTAGACCATTCACAGTGCCGAATATCCAAGGGAACCTTGTGCTCTCCTTGTCAGAATTACTAGCTGACGCCGGGTCGGGCCATTGGATGTATTCCGGAGTGGCCATTCGAATGGCTCAAATGATGCGCCTAAATAAGGAATACCACCAAAAGCACTCCGAGCAGGAGCGTGAAATTAGGCGGCGAACATTCTGGGCCTGTTTGCTACAGGATAGGTTTCTTGCATACTACTTAGCCAAGCCGCACACACTGGCAGTCAGAAGTATTGCTGTCTGCCTTCCAAGTAACGATATCGCATTAGCCTATGGCGAGGTCACCCGAGGAATGACGTTGAACAATATCTTGGATCAATTCAATGTCAACCCGCTCTCGGACACTGGCATTTTGCCGTACTTGCTGAAGACATTAGAACTTTGGGGTGAGATGGCCGACTGGTACGTCTACAATGAAAGAATTCGCGGTGACCTTTCTCCCATCGATCCTTTAAGTCGCTTCGCGCGACTTTCCGCTTCCCTTCAGATCTGGGAAGACACATTTTCACCACCGTTACGCTGGTCGGATGCGAACTACCAAATGCATACAAAGCTTGACCAAGGCCGAGCTTTTGTTTCGCTACACTGCCTTTTACGAGGTGGCTGGTGTATCATGCACCAGGACTACCTGCCCCAAACAGATGGCGACTCTATCTTGCTTGACTTCACCGATCCGGCGGGTTGGTCACTTCTTCACAGAGAACCCAGCCTGATAAGCACATGTCTTTCCAATGCGCTCTCTGTCGGGGAAATCGTGGCTTCGTACATCGAGTCAGATCACCAACCATCCATCTTTGTTGCCGTTGCGATCCTCTCCGCTGCCAGCCCTCTTCTATGGATACAGTACAACCAGGACCCTCAAGAGTTCCACGCTGAAAAAGCGCGCGCAGGCGATTACTTTGACAACTTTTTATCCCTGTTTATGTCTTGGCGGGATGTATGGAATGTAGCCGGTGAATGGACGAAGCAGCTCGAGAAGATGCAAGAACTTTATAGGTATGCCTATCTTGGGGAGGTGAATTTTAGCAATTCAACAGCTACGGAGTCTGCTACTTCTGCAGAGGAAGCATCGATTCCGGAAAGTGTGGCACAGACCTCGTCGCCAGAATATCGACCGAAACCGGGAGATGGAATTCCACAGGGTAGTGCGCCATCTCTTTACATGCTGCTGAGAATGAATAGAATTACAAACCTTGATTTGAGAGCGGAGTATGAGTCGTCTATCTGGTCTGCGTTGATGAGAGAATCATAGCCAGGATTTTTTCTTAGAACAGTTCCAATCAGTAACGAATAACATACAACATTCAAGGACAACGATACGGCAAAGAAAAGGTTCTTATTGCTCGGACATGAGGTACTCTGATGGTCATTTGACAGAAAAAATAATTTTTCAAACAAATATCGTTTCGCCTCAACCGAGGAAATTGATCTAATATTTAAACCGGAAATTCATATCTCGCGTGCCTTTTACACCCTCACTTCTAGCTGGGACTTGGCCATGAAGCCTGTCCCGACGGCGATTCTCCCACCGCATCCAGGCGCCATACGTTATACCTGCCAACGTCATAACGGCAGACATGGCCAGGTTCGTAATCAACATGGTGATATATCGCGGGGCCTGGCGCTGGATATAGATATTGCTTGACAGCAATCCCGCGCAGTTTCCAACCGCCACATACAGCCCGTTGGTCATCGCTCGTGCGTTCAGGTCGGGGATATTGGCCATTGTCCACGAAGCGCCAATTGGGATTTGGGGATAGGCCTGAATTTGGGTTAGAGACGGGATTGCTTAATCATTTCATAATTCCTTTTGGAAGGGTTCTTTTCTGGGAGGATATATTTCAATACGTACCCCCATGGTGCACACAAAGATGGCAAAGTATAAAACGCCCGTGTCGTAAGGGTCGACGACGGTTAGGAGAATATACCCTACCAAGCTGATGATGGCTGTGATCGTGATGGGCAAGCCATGCTCTTGAAAATGACTGGAACATTTGGAAAAGGCTACCAGAACAACAGCTCCGACGAGTGCTGGGGCTACGGTGTACTGCATTTCTACCAGTTAGTTTACCGAGGCTGCGAGATGCATTGGCAAGAAACATACCAAATTCGTCTTCACCGTGCCAAAGCCCAGCCTTTCAACAATGATGGCTAAAAAGTTGGCATTACTTGTCAGAATAGTCCCGCCAACAAAGGCAAACGCCATACGAATGTAGCCGTGCGGAGTATAGAACTCGCTCAGGGCCTTCTTCCAATGGAAAGTATTGTCAAGTGTTGTCACCGAGTCCTCCTCTAACCTGATTTGCGCTACCTTCTTCTCGATATCGGTCAAGAACCAGGCGGTTTGGGTGTTGGATGGCAGGGTGAAGATGAACACAAAGCCCCAGGTCAGAGTCAGTCCGCCTTCTAGAAAGAAGAGGTAGGACCATCGGAAGTAATCGCCATGGAGTTGGAACATTCCATATGCAAGGAGACCCCCAAAAGCGGATGATGCTACTAGGGCAGCATAGAATATACCCACGCGACTAGCTAGCTCTTTCCGGGTGTACCATATAGACAAATAATAGAACACTCTAGTGAATGGTGAGTTTTATTCTTACCACATTTTTTCCTTTTTCCCTTTTTTTCTTTTTTTTTTTTTTTAGAAAATGGAACTAGGAGGGTGGACGTACGATGCGAGAAAGCCACTCTCAGCGGCGCCAACGAGGACTCGACAGGCAACCAGGCTCCCAAAGTTCTTGACGAATCCTGTTGCCAGCGAGGCAGCGCCAAACACCAGCATCATTCCGGGAATCGTCCAGGCGGCGCCGACTTGCTTTGTGACCATTGCTATCACCGGTCCCAGGACGATAAATGGAATCTGATAGTATGTCAACACCTGGTTGTACTGGTTCCCGACCAGGTGGAGGTCCTCGCTGAGGCCGGCAGTATAGGCATTTGACATGTTGCTGCGGTCGAGCGAGCTTGAGAACAGTCAGTTGAGATCCGGTAGGCCACAAAATTGGTAGCACTCACTTGAACAAGTATCCAATGGTTAACAAAGGGAGGAGGATAAAGTCTGCCTTGAGCTTCAAACGCTTGCTGACCTGCGGATCGATAACCTCGCCCACAAGCGCGACCTCGTTTTTCTCGTTATCCACGGTGCTCAGCTTCATGTCGTCGATGGACTCCATTGTCATATTATCAACTAGACGTGTGTGCTCAAATTGCATCGCACCGACGACACGCGCACTGTTATATAAAACTAACGCTGCTGTCGTCTTGCTGTATACATGCCTGCGCGCTTATCAACGCCAGAATCAGCTTTCCCCAGGTTTCGGAGATAAGGACCGAGTCCAAAGTGAATGATCGGTTTGGCCGATCTCATGGCTTTTTTATAATTATTGGCGATTGGGCGGGATTCTTGTTACCATCGGATGAGCCGATCGTATGATCGGATGACTCTACCACGGAGTCATATCGTTTATGCATCTTCATATGTGTTAATCCTGAAACTACGAGCACTGCCTAAACACTGACCGTACCAGAGAGAGAATAGTATTTTCGTCTCTTGCTACTACAGCTGCATGTCGAAGAGATGGCACGAAATTCAAACTCCTCGACGGTTGTGGTGATTGGGTATGTAGACAGTTTCGTGGTAATAATTATTGCTAAACATTATCTTCTAGAGCCGGAATCATTGGACTTACCATTGCATTGAAGCTCCAAGACCTGCTGTCAAGTAAGAGCGCGGTAAATTGTAGCAGGGTTCTTCTGGTCGCTCGCGAATGGCCAACCACCATCCCACACGCATCGTCAATTACCCTGAACTATGCTTCCATGTGGGCAGGTGCACATGTTCGTCCAATACCAGGAACGACAGCGCAGCTCCGTCGAGAAGCTGCGTGGCTGAAGCGGACGGTGCAAGAGTTCTCCCGCCAGCTCAAAGCCCAGCCATGGACTGGTATCAGCAAAACGACAGGAATAGAGTTTATCGAAGCTCCCAACTGTGACTATGAGAAACAGACGTCCGAGTCGTTTGCGGCTGAATCGGGATTGCCTGGGTATCGAGAATTGGTATCCTCAGAGAAGCCTGCCGGTACTTGGCTCGGTTATGAATACGAGACTTACTGCGTGAATGCACCTATGTATTGCGCAAACCTGCTACGCACATTCGTGCTTCGCGGTGGTAGGACATTAAATCGGAGTCTCAGGAGTGAATGGGAAGCGTTCAGTTTAGAGGGTGATGTTCGTCTCGTTGTGAATGCTAGTGGCATGGGGTTTGGAGATCCGCATTGTTTCCCAACAAGAGGTTTTGTCTGCTCTTTATTAACACTTGTACACCGGAGAAAGTCGACAGGAAATACTAATTGTGAGACACAGGGCAAACCGTCCTTACGAGCCTCGACGTAACTACCAAAACAGTCACTAAGCAGGCCAAAGACGGTTCGTGGAGTTTCATCATACCGCGAGGGTTTGACGGCGGAACGATTATTGGAGGCACAAAAGAGCCTGAAAACTGGGACTCGGAGCCAAGCCTCCACACTCGGGAGCATCTGCTTACGGCGGGACAGGGACTCCTTCTGTATGCATGCGAAGCTTCTAAGAATCACGATGATGCACTGTCTAGTTGGAGAAATAAACGAGTCATAGCTGATGTCGTGGGACGAAGGCCAACTCGACAGGGCGGAATGAGGATTGAGCCAGAAGAGCGGCTTTTAAGCAATGGAAACAAGAAAAATGTTATACATGCCTATGGCGCCGGGGGGCGAGGGTTCGAAATCAGCTGGGGAGTCGCGGCCGAGGTGGCGGAGATGGCCAAGGAGTTGCTTGGGAACGACAATTTGGTGTTGAGTAAATTATGAACTGTGGTACTGTGCTGTGGAGCATATAGCCACACTTACTCTGTGCGGTGTGATAATCTGTTTCAAGAAATTCAGTCACATTCGTGAACGACGGTTGATGTAATGCTTTCGAGAATATGTTGAAATCAACGAGATGATTTCCTGTCTCCATGATATATCATGCAACCCGAGTGAGAACATGCCTAGGTAATTCGCCGCATCTTCAAAACATTATTGACAGAGGTGAATGCAACAGACCGTGCTTATACCTAGGTATATAACAACACACCTCTAAAACCCCACATCGAGAGCATATATGTACAGTGAATAGTCTACAATGAGAGAATGCGAGACATGCACAATGCTCTACTTGTACCTTGGGTTCATATAAGGCGACACTCATTGCCCTTCATAGCATAGAACAAATACTACGTCGTACTTCCTGTATAATCTGCCCCCACCTTGGCGGGTTTCAAGGAGGAAGAAGTACAACTGCACCTGCATTAGCATTGTAGATCGTGACATACGAGCCAATCACAGTTCCTACTCGTGTTGGTTTAGTAGTACGTTGTTGATTGGCGATTTGGAAATACAGCTTGACTTGTTGAAACCCGTATCATGATTTCGAATGCGAATTCCGACGTGACATCAACAACCAGATCAGTTAATAGATAAGAATAATTTACCAATTAGCGGATGGCTTAAGTATAAGAATCTTACTTGGTCCTTGTCTAGCTGGTCTTTTCTGAGAGAACCTTCCTCTTCTACTTGATCAAGGATCAGTAATATTATTATTAATCAACCAGTTTTTCATTTTATGTCTTCATATACCGCTCTCCTATTCAAAAAAAAAAAAATAAAATCGTATGTCATGAGGCTCTGGTTTCTCCCTTTGTTGCCATCATAGCGTGTAGCATAGCCAGTGATTAAGATTTTACGCCCAATGTTACAGTAACTTTGCGGAGATCGGCTCATCCAGACTAAATTAATAGTGCTTATTCATAACGTGTACTAAACGAGAGTTGGAGTCGATCACAAAGTCGTAGTAACCTTTATGCAATTACCTGGAGAAAGTTGGTGTTATAGGTTGGTTGCTTTCATAGCCAGCTACAATGCCCATCCTGGAACAATTGGTTGATATGCAACGTGAGCGTTGCGGTCTTTCAGATTGTCGATCATTATTGTCGGTGTCATATGCCTGAGGATATTGATAGGTGTACTAAATAGCACCCATTAAAGGTGCAAGTCAAATATATTAATACCAGATCTGGATGAGGCATAGAGTACCTGGATATAAGAACCCTTCCAAGAACCCAAGAATCTGGGACATGTAAGACTATCAACGCCATCAGATCATGGCTGAAAGCCATTCAGCCACTGGAACTTGGCCATCAATGAGCCGCATTCTATTCTGTCAAGACATTTTATTGAGGATATTGTAGCCCAGTCTACACGCATGGGGTGACATGTATTGACAAGTTTTTGGTCGTAGACAGGTTGCACTACACCTTGGGTAGCAGTCTGTGGCTTGTGGCGCTCAATTAAGGCATAACTTACACCCCAAATGGGATTCTTTGAGATCAATGCAAGAAATTAGGGTAGGGCTAAATGTCCGGGGACCAAGTTAAAGAGAGTTACATCGCCGTGCCGCGGCGGTTCGTAACCATACTTACTCCTTTTCTCAGCTATCAAACACAATTCTACATACCTGCCGATCACTCGCACCTGTAGTCTCTTATCTGATAGTGACTACTCCCCAAGACTATGACAGGGACCTTGCAGTTGAACAGAGAGTGTAACCTCAGGAACCAACATCTGCCACCCCAGTAGCTTCAAGTACAATTTTTAGCCATGCCAAGTTGATCTATATAAGACGGCTCATGGCCTACACTAGATCTTTATTTTGTTCCTTTCAAAATCAGGCTGGGTCGGAAACCGGCGTTTATATCATCTCTGGAAGTACTGGTTACTTTCCTTGACGAATTTCCTTTCGCCTGAAAATTCTCCACCATGATGAAATCCATCCTTTGCTTCTCAACCCTGCTAGCAGGGCTGGGCCTTGTTCAAGCTGGCTTTGATGCGGACAGCCAGAACAATGTTGCTGTCTACTGGGGTATGTACAAATCAAAAAAAAAAAAAAAAAATAAAAAGGAGAAACTTGGTGGGAGCGCTGTTAACCAAGGCTTTCACCCACAGGCCAAAACTCCATTAACATTGCCAATGGAACCGAGGCTCAGAAACGACTCAGCTATTATTGTGAGAGTGAGTAATCTCCGAGAAGCAAGAAAAAGAGGCGATTTTTTTTATGGGAGATGAACAATGCTAACGTTCTTGTTTGCAGCTGGTGATGAAGTAGACGTATGAATGCCTTCGATCATCGACTTGTACGTCAATGCTAACAACAATGATAGGTTTTCATTCTGTCTTTTGTGACCAAGTACCAAGGCACTGGCGGCTATCCCGAGCTCAACTTCGCCAATGCTCAAAACAACTGCACTGCTATTAACGGAACCGGACTTCTAGATTGTCCCCAGATTGCGTGAGTTTTATTCCAATATATCATCGAATCACAATGACAACAGATCCCTGTCGCTAATCAAGATTGAAAATCTAGCGAGGATATCGTTACCTGCCAAGGTCTCGGAAAGACAATCCTCCTCTCAACTGGAGGCAGCGCCTACACTGAAGGCGGATTTACGAGCGAGGAGGCCGCCACTGAAAGTGCTCATTTGATGTGGGAGCTGTTTGGACCGGTGTCTGATAACAGCTCGGTTCCTCGTCCATTCGGAAAAGCCGTCATCGATGGATTCGATTTCGATTTCGAAAACATCGAGATGAGCAACATGCCTGCATTTGCAAACGAACTGCGCAGTCTGTATTCCGATGACACTTCAAAGACCTATTACACTACCGCTGCCCCTCAATGCGCATACCCTGATGAAGCCGATGGCCCCATGCTCAACGGAACCGTTTACTTCGATGCTGTCTGGGTCCAGTTCTACAACAATGGCTGCGATATGGCCAACTGGGTTCCAAACACTACCACTCAGTGGAACTTCAACTTTGATACATGGGACAACTGGGCAAAAACTATCTCCCTCAACCCCGATGTCAAGGTGTGCATGGGTGTTCCGGGCGACACGTCGGCTGGTGGCGGCTACGAGCCCCCCTCCACGATTGGTGAGATTGTCGACTATATCGTCGACCAAAACTACACGTCCTTTGGTGGCATTATGATCTGGGATGCTAGCCAGGCGTGGAATAACAGTGGCTTTGTGTCGTCTGTGTACTCTTATCTGCCTGGCGCCTCGGCCTAGTGCTGAACCAACATCCACAGCTTAGTTGGAACGCCACAGTGTATTAGGCAGATCAATCCTCGTTATGTATATAGTTATTCATGAGGGACCTACCTACGTAAATATATATCTATCTACTTTTGCCTAGGCTATGGACTTTTAACTTCTACTGCATTCCAGTATCTGTAAACTACGTTTAATCCATGCCGCAGCTCATCCATTTAGTGAGATCAACTGTGGCGCATTAGACAAATGCCACAGAAATATTAAGCTGTTCAGAACAACCGCCGGACCTTGTAACCGTGCCAGGTGCTAACGAACAGTCATTACTACGTCGATTCATGGTTAGATACCTGTGGTCCATTATATCAACTAGCTACCAAAAGTTTCAAGTTAAACCAAAATAGGTTATTGATTGTTTTGACCTATCTACTTCTTAACTTACCTCTGGGGTCTCATTACACAATAATCTTTTGTTGTCAATATGGCGTAAGCCAGCGTGAATATACTTGTCCAACACTAACAAAGCATGCTATAGTTACACGCACTACTACTAAATGAAGGGAGCTAAATCGGCCGAATGGAAAGCAGCATGGCTAAAACTCATCTAAGATGCCAAAAAGATAATTGATGCGTCGGATGTAGACATAGCAGGTCCCGATGGAGAAGAAATCAACGAGGATGAAGAGGTTGAAGAGGATGAAGAGGTTCAAAGAAAACGACAACCAATCATTAGTGTGGACGAAGTAATTCAACTCAACGGTTTGGGCAGTTCGGCACATGAACCCTTGATACTGAGTCAAGATGAGGAATGGTCCTTTGTCAAAACGGAAGAGAAGCCATACGATGTTGTCGTGGCTTGTATCCTGTTAAGAGCTCATATGCTTGTTCCAGGTAAATTCGATTTGGAGTATGCGAATTTTCCCCCACATTGTCAATAGGCATCCAATGACTGACAGAGTGGGTTGTTTGTAGCACTGATGGTAATTGGGACGAAGAATGGGTGGCTGCACGCGATCTGTATCGTAGTCTGTGGCCAGAGGAGCAGCTCCAACAGCCCTGGGAGGAAGTTTAACAATACGTGTCAAGGGTATCTACTGAGTCTGTCTTGGGAATTTTTATATCTCCTGGGATATTTACATGTATGTATATTGGAGCTATAAGTTCAGAGTTCAAAAAGAAATAAACCGCACGTTGCATGTCAACGGCATTATTATCGCATAGACATTACACGGTAGAGCTGTACAAGTCTAGAGTTATGGCTGCTGGACATCAACATCTACCCCCCAAGATATATTGGTTGGGTAAGCCTTCACGTTTTGATTACCAGGACGCTCTGCATCGAAATCTAAGCGATCCGGAATCTTCATTCCAGCCTTCAAGTGGTTACGAACAAACCAGACAGAAACACCGTCGCGGTATAGCCAAGGGTCTTCTGTCCGAAGCTGCCATGCTTCAAGCTTTCCCCTAAGGTCTTCTAGTATACCCGCATACTGGGGGTCTTTAACCAAGTTGTGTACCTCGTTGGGATCGTTCTCCAAATCGTACAGCTCCTCTGGAGGACGGAAGAAATAATCTCTCAGTTTCCGACCACCAATCAGTGTGTCGCCCTTTGTTGAGTCAATATTACGGATATCTTCCCAGGACAGCGAGCCATAAAGGTCGGCTGCAAAGGGAAAGTCCAGACGCCATGCGAGATTGCGATGATACTTATACCGCCGGTCTCTAATAAACCGCGTCGGCCAGTAGTTGGTCACTTCGTGGAAGGTGTGGGAGCCAAAGACTTGGTTCCAGCCGGGCAACGTGGAATCATTTCCCAGAAGCGGAATGAGCGAACGACCAAGTCGTTTCTTGGTATCATCGACGGTGGCTGGATGACCTGCGTAGTCAAGCAGGGTGGGCAGTAAGTCAACGTATGAGATCATGTTCGGACTGACTGCTGTCTTTATTTGAGGATGCCTGATGATCAGTGGTAGTCTCACTCCGGCGTCGTACAGCGTCGTCTTGGAATTGATGAACGGCGGTCCATTGTCACTGACGAATATCACCAGCGTGGATTCGGCCAGGCCAGAATCTTCGAGAGCCTTCAAGATGAATCCGACGCCTTGATCAAGCCGATGGATGGAGTTGTAGTACTCGGCCAACTCCAGTCGTGCACCTGGAGTATCGCTGATAAACGGAGGGACCTCAACCTCTTCCGCCTTGTAATGAGCCTTTGTAATACGGCTGTCGTATTCTTGATCATTTCCAAACCCGCCTCTCGTGCTATCTCTATGCGGGTCATGGAATCCGACAGTCAGGAAAAAGGGTCTGGTCTCGGTTTGCGATTGTTCAAAGAAAACCCTTGCCTGGTCAGCAATCACCGCAACATCACGCGTTGTGCTTTCCTGTCGTTCCTCCCAGGGGTACACGGCTGTTGGCCCAACATGTATCTTGCCGAGTATCCCGGTACGATATCCGATCTGGTTGAGGAGGAGAGGGGCGGTTTCAACGTGGTCAAAAGTCACAAAATGATGACGGTGGCTGGCGAGGCCATACTGCCCGTTCTGATGCGTATGCAGGCCCGTGTATATGACAGAGCGACTGCCACTGCATGACGCGGTGCTGGCAAAGGCGTAGTCGAACCTAGTGCCCTGGGATGCCAGCCCGTCGATGTTCGGTGTCTTGATCACCGTTGCGCCGTAACTGCTCAATTGTTTCCCCAGGTCATCGGCAATCAGCAGCAAGACGTTTTTCTTGTCTGCCATGGTTACAGAGCCTTTTTCCGGGTGTACTCAATGGGAAGAACGACGCTGCAGGAAGAAAGGTAGAAGGTATTTTGAGAAATGAAGATATCGCGGGGCTGCTACAACCCCGCCATGCCTCACACTTTTATCTAGAAATATTGCATAGAACGGAAAATTGGCTAATCCCCGCGCCTCAAAGCTCGCCATCGGCCTGGCAGATGATGCATTGAGCACTAACAACTTTGTGTTCGGCACTAGCACGTTAGCTGCTTGCGTGGATCTTTCTTAGAGGATTTGAATGTTATAGCGCGGATGTTGCCATGTTAGAGCCCGGGGAACGGATGTGAAATGTCGTCTATATAGAGGTATCTATCTATTTTCTGGACTGACTGCTGAGTGGTTGAATACATTATGGCGAGAGGCGATGGGGTTTGATACGATAGTTCCAAGTCTCTCAGGCACTCATAGAGGTTATCTATAACTATTACAAACTTGAATGCGAGAGAGAGGACAACTGCTCAACCAGCAAGAAATACGTATAAGGGCGGATGAGCCAGCCCTATAGTCACACGGCTTTTCTCAAACTTCCATCATAGCATAGTCGTCCTCATCAACATCCAAGCTTTGCCTGCAAATTTGCTCTTTTGTAGGATTTGTCTTCCGTATCTCTTAAAGCGCCACGGACAGACACAACAGAGCGTGGAGATCCATGCCAGGATGAACGCAGCAACATTTGATCTTAAGATTTTGAACATCGACGTAGCGAAGAGCAGGAAAGTCGCACGAAACACGGTCCGTGTCAGGGCTGTTAATGCCCTTGCAGACGACTTGTAGATAGTGTAGCTGTCTACCAAATAACCCCCGAGAACAGTATCCTAAACAACCTGCAACGCCTCCGTGAACGAATAGATGAGACAGAAGCAGTGGCGCTCATAAAAGACACTAGGAGAACAAGAGGCTCGGTGAAGATAAACCAAATTGGCCGGAATAGCCTGTCTTTAGCAAAGATCTTGAGATCCGGTGTGTGGTCTGGGTTCAAGGCAAGAAGCGAAACGTCCTCGGTGGCTTGACGGCGGATGGGAACTCTACGTTCGAGGAGCTTTGAAGGACGAAATTCTCTGGTACCAAAGAGCATGACGGTGGCAACGCCACAGACAATCGCAGTAATGTAAAAGAGCCATCTCATGGGCACGATGTCAGCAGTTGCAGAGAGTTACTCTTATCGGGAAAGTCTTTTTGCACCGTACCAACCGAGTATACACACCAAAGACTGGTCCTACGATAACGCCAACATCGGCTGCCACAACCCAGTAAAAAATCATCCAGATACGTGTTCCGACTGGATGTATGTCTTCAATACTACCTGCAATAATGGAGGTAGGAATACCCGAGAGCAGTCCTGTTACGAATCGTCCAATACTGGCGGCGACAATCGAAGGCACAGCGGCAATGATAAAAGCAAGAAGAGCATATAGCCCGGTGGAAATTATGTATAGCTTCTTTCGTACGAGTGCCTCCGAATACGGGGCGAAGACTTTGCTAGAATCTGAGTTTCATAGTTATAAAAATGCGGCCCGGACAAACCTATTGAGCCTATTCCCTGGCCGATCAGGTAGCTGAATATCTCAGTCTGGCAAGAACAGATGTTGAAAGATGTAATACTTACAGTGAAACAAATAAAAATAGGGCCAATATCTGACTCAATCTATACTTTTTGACACCGCATCCGCAGCAGGTGCCTTTGAGGGAGATTGTCGGAGCTCTATGAGAGGCATTGCACGTACTCGTGCGGTGCTGATCGACGAGTTACTTTAAGACTCAGAAAGAGCTGGCCAGATCCACATTCATGTTTCGGAGTGAGACTTACGTGAAGAAGTCAAAAAATATTGTCAATGACGAATCGTACAACTTGCGCAAGTTTGACCAGTTTCGTAGATGATGCCTATTTCCTCGTGCCCAACTCACTCGCCCATCAGTGTTCCAGACCAAGCCATGGTCCAGAAGAAGCTGTCCCAGGTGGATGGGTGTGGTGTTTGTCTCCTCTGTTTTGGGGGTTGCCATTGTATAAAGGGGTGACATGAATGCAGTATAGCATCAAGCAGGGCGGTTAGATGATGTGGAACCACCGGAAAGCCACGCGAGCACGGAATGAAATAGAGAAGGTAGAAAGAAAATATATGTTGATTGGATTGCTTTATCCTGCTCTCACAGCTTAGTACAGAGGTTTGGCTGCGCTGCTAGCCAAGAGCTCGACAGTGCAGTAATCATAGGTCAGTTAATTGACTGAAAATAAAAGATTTATGATATCCATCTGTTCATCTATGGATGACGTTTATTTCATGTGTCATAAACAATGCATGTATTTGCGAATAGCTTCAACCTGCGGTCCCAATGAAACTACTCAAAGCGAGAATGATATGCGAATAATTACTTCTTGGAACCAGAGCAGCAGGCCAATTCTTTGCCTATTATGGAAGTATCCTTGACAGATATGTAGTGGGCCGAATGAGCAGCCCGAAACAGGGGTCTTATAAACTGAAAATAGAGAAAGAAGTTCTGGGTCAACAGGCAATTATCTCTCGCAGATTATATTGATCACCGTTTAGCAGCTTTGACCTTTTATAAATGTGTTTTCAATGACAAATATAGTCACCAGGCCCAATTGTATGGAGATTATAACCAACCAAATCTGATGATCGCTGTCTCGCTCTTTGATATGGTTAAGAGGAAGACTAGCCAGCAGTTTATCCACTCATTCAGACATTCTCTGCACCAAGTTTTTAATTTGGCTGTGGCCACCGTTGGTATCATCATGTGGTTTTGAATAAATAGACGTCGCGTTTTGGCCAGCCTGATATTCTCTGATCATTAGATACAATCCCAAAGCTCGTCATCGGTCTGAGGGATTATGTACTTGGCACGAAGTGCTTAGCTTTGTGGATCATTTTTTGTTTTTTAGAAAGAGGATAAATGTCATGTTCGTATTTTATAGACTAGAAACTATCTTAAATGATACTTATTTCCAACGTGGACAAGGTATACCTGCGTCTCATATAGCGCCTATGCAGGAGTATCTTCTCTTTTATTGGATATAAGTTTGCTGAGTGGTCGGAAGAATTATGGCGTAATGCGCCGACTCTGATACACCCATTTTTAAGCTCTCAAGACAATATAAAGAAGCCATAAATCGTGCTCGACTTATTATTCGCACAATTTACATGGAAGCAGTAATCAAGAATTCAGGATTCAAAATCAGGCTAAAATGAAATTGTTAGCAAGCCTCTCTTTGACTGCCCTTCTTTGGCAAGCCACTGCAGCCCAGCTCATCGGGCCCGTCGGTCCAACGACGAGCTTGAAGGATAAGAAGATTGAATGCAATATCCTCGACTATGGAGCCGTTGCTGACAATACTACCGATGTATCGACTGCCATTGAGAATACTTTTACCGACTGCGTTCAGAAGAACCCGGGTAGTCGCCTTATAGTACCCGACGGCGAATATCTGCTCAACCGAAGTGTTGTTCTGAGTAACGCCACAAACTGGGCTTTCCAGCTTGATGGTTTGATCACCGCTGCGTACGGTGGCAATTGGACAGTTGACCGTCAGTTGATCCTCCAGGGGTTTGCTGGAGTAGAGGCGCTCAACGATACTATTAATGGAGAGGGCGATGGCCAATTTCTGTTGGATGTGTTTGTCATTGTCAATGGTACGTTTTCTTCAATGACAATTGCTTGATAGTCAAAAAGCTGTTTCTATAGTTGGCTGACAACAGACTATAGCTGTGGATTTCGAGTTCTATTCATACAACGGTCGAGGGGCTTTCCAAGGCCATGGTTATATCTACAGGAATCTGGACAAGTAGGCCTCCAACATATTGAAACTGATATGGATTACGCTGAAATAATATGTCTAGCACCAACCGACCACGTTTGGTTCGACTAATTTCTCCAACAAATGCATCTGTTCATGATTTGATCCTCGTCGACAGTCCCAAGTTTCATATTGTTCTAGACTTTGCCGTCAATGTGGAAGCATACCATCTGACTATTCGTGGTGCGAATCTGGGCAGCTACGATGGAATTGATGCTATCGGCACGAATTACTACATCCATGACAGCGAGGTAGCGTTTCTCCCGATGGTAAAGTTTCCGACTGGACACTTGCTCATATTGTTGCCTCAGGTTACGAATCGCGATGAATGTGTTTCAGTCAAGTCCCCTTCTCACCATGCATTGGTGGAGAATCTGGTCTGCAACCAGGCTGGCTCTGGGGTCTCGATTGGTAGTTTGAATGTGTCTGCTGAAATTTCCAATATTGTGAGTTCGTTTATTATATATAGCGTGTATGAAACGTCACAACGCTACCTATGTGATTGTGCTCACTCTAAACCATACAGGTGGCGCGGAATATCAGTATCATCCAGGGTAATAACATTGCTTTCATCAAAACATACCCCGGGGGATCTGGTTACGTGACGAATATTACCTTTGACAATTTCCGCTCACTTTCCAGTCTGTATGGTCTTGATGTAGACCAGTACTGGCAAAACACCTTTACGCCTGATGACGGATCAGTTGCTTTGAGTAATATTGTTTTCCGCAACTTTTCAGGTATTTCTCTTTAACGAATCAAGAAGTCCGTATAAAGGAATGACAAGCTCACTCGCCAATATAAAGGATCGATTGCCGATGGAGCTCGTCGCCCTCCCCTCTACTTGATCGCCAGCGACCTGACGTTCGCGACAAATATCACGGTAGAGGATTTCTCTATCTGGACCGAGGCAGGCACGTCGGTTGTGAACAAAATCAACAACGTCTTTGGCACCGGCGATGACAGCTATGGCCCCAATAATGGTATCTTGTCTCTTAGCCCCGGCGAGGCGCCTTACACATACACCAGTACCTACACGATAACTGCATCGCCCACAAACTGGCAAGCTCCGACGAGCCCGACCTGGGCCGCCCCGAGCACGGGCTATGGAAGTATGTGTGGACCTTCAGCTGGTGACTTCTATCACGCCTGAGAATATTGCTAACTTCTGGTTTCAAGCTGCCTCTCCCATTCCGGTATACACACCAGCTCCGCTATGGCGGCCTGGCAGGGTTGACTACGACTTGCACTACTGGGGATCCTTCTAAATCAATACCATATATTCACTGATAGCCCGTCCAGAGACAAGTGAAAAAGATGGGAAAATATAGTTTGAACCAATTAAATACACAAGCTAATTGACTTGAGTTTTCAAATCCCAGTACTCATGTAAATAACCAACACCGAACGCCAACCCCTGGATAGCCGCGAGTCCATAGAGCGACGTGATATTAGTAGACACCCAATTGGCTTCTTCTATAGGGACTGGCACTTCGCTTCCATTGATACATTTCGTTCTCCATGGCAATGATCTGGCGTAGCCGTCGCCTTCATAGAATTCCTTCCAAGCCCGGCAAGCAATCTCCGGATTGTTCAGTAGCTGAGCCGCATATGCTGTCAAACGTGAATGTCCCTGTCGAAGAATGAGTTTGGGGAAACTAACATCATAGCGCGATATTTGCGTGTCGCCTGGCGCATTGTAGTAAAAGCAGTAATCTAGCCAGGCGGATCGGAATTCTTGCGGTAAATTCCTGCCACCCTGCTCGTCAAGGTCAATGTCGACAAGTTCGGCGCAGGTCTCCATTAGACCAAACATGGCCGATAGGTGAGATACTTGCACATGTCCTTTATTCTCAACATCGGCAGGAGGCGGACTGATCATCCCTGTCTCTATATGCAATCGCGCCTGGCCCGTAACAAATCCGTTCTTCAGCTTCACGATGCCCTTCATGGAAGTAATCAACTTTCTCCGATAAGTCTCCCATTGGGGACCCCTTCTTTCCCATTCCATCATCCAACCCGCAGCTAGAGCGGACCAATCTGTCCCCAAAGAAATTAAGAATCCACTTTCAGGATCTTGAGCAGCATAGCTCCGATCTTGACGCACTTTCCTGTATGGATCTAGCACGCAGAATGTCCTTTCAACTTCTAGCGTCTCTCGGATTACTTCACCCATTCTCTCGTCCCCTCCCGTCAAATAGTAGAAGTATTTCCGGTATAGTACGTTTGAGACTCTGGCTTGCTTGCAGCTGTCGCTCCAATGTTGAACCCCATGTCTGGTCCCAAGACCCTTGAATCGACCGAGGTGGTACACGTCAACCTCTGAGGTATGCCGGGTTAGGTTTTCAGCAATGTAAAACACATCTTTGCGTCGTGTGCAAAGAAAGTAGAGCCATAGCCATAGATCCGGGGACAATTCTGAGTTGTCCCAAGCGTAGCCGCCGACATCATACCTCCAGGTATGTCTGTCTGCATCGTATGTGTGCATGATGTCTCCGTGGTCCCAAAAGCCGTACCAGCGGCGTTGTGCGATTTGCTCTTTGTAAAATTCGAATAGAAAATCGAGATTTTGCAGGATTTCGATTGTCCTTGAGCTAAGAGCATTGCCTGAATTACCCAATGTAGAGAAGGGGATCCAGTATTGTCCTAATGCCCCTGTTCGATGGATATACTCCGACTCTGCAACCAAAAGAGGCGGGTTGCGCATGTCTCTTGTTATTCTTGACAAATCTTCCACAGCTGGTGTATGCTCGAACGCATACAAATAAAGTTCATTGGTTCTCCCTATGCCGTAAGGGGATCCAGTGCCTGGCTCCCAATCTTCGTAGGTAATTTGTAGCGCATCTAGTTGCTCATCGTATGTCTCTAGACCTAGACCGTCGTGGTAGGAACGCATGTCCAAGGGCTCTGCTGCAGGACTGTAGAGCCATATGGTTACTTCTCCGCGATCAGCATCAGCATTGCGAATATCAATCTGTGTAGGGTACCTCTCCCAGAAATGACGCATCCCAATACCTAAGCCGCCATTTCTTGCTCCGCCGAGATACGCGAGGCCGTCTGCCTTGGGTCCCCCGGGGATGTTGACCCAGCTGTGGCCTGCTTTTGTTCGCTTCTTCATGATATAGCCATCAGGTGATAACTGTGTCAATGTAAAGTCATTCCAATGAGGAACCCACTGTTGCCGAGACAGGAATTCCGGGCTCCAATGCTCCGAGCCGGGTGTCGGTTGACCGGAGACTTGTGCCTGTCGAACCTTCACGCCTGGGTCTTTCCATAGTCCCGTGACACCTTGCACTGCTTCGGTAAAAATACCGCCGTCTACCCCTGCAAATCGTACGTGCCGGTCGTAGGTAGCCTCGCCTTCGAGAGGGATGTTAAATCTCACCCCGATTCCCCGAATGAACTGACTCTCTGGATCTTGGTCGTAGAGAACTGTATGTACAATTCGAATGCTATCTGAATTGGCATAGAGGTAAACGCGTAGAATAAATGGGAGCCAGTCGGGTGATGATTCATCTCCATCGGAGTCGGCCAACTTTTGATGTCTTCCTTCAACGCGTACCACGACCCTGACATGTCCTTCATTCTCAATTTCTGCTTTTGATATGCTCCCCCTTAGTTTATATAGCTTTGCGGTGGAGCTGGCTTGATCGTCCTCGAGTGGCAGTGAGCGTTGACTTTGCAGCACTAGATGTCCATTTTCGGCAACCACCTTCCCAGAATGGCAATTTTCGATCCTTTCAATGACCGAATTGCCCGACGTTGGGAAGACTACTTTGATTGTACCAGTGTCGATTTCTATTCTATCCGAATCTGATAATGTCCGTATCGGTGTTCGCGCTTCGCTTGGGACGGAGGATGCCTCCTCGGAAGGCGAAACAGAACCGACACAATCAACATAAACACTAGTCGGGTACTGCGGCAGACCAGGGAGTGCATGGCCTGTCCATTTGACTGAGCCATCTGGCCAGTAGGCAGTGTTCCAGCACTGCGAGGGCAGTCTGTGGCCACTCTGATCAAGGCAGTAGACACTACTGCGCTTCGACCGGTATTGTCCTTGAGCCCAGGGCACCGCAAATGTGAGCCCGGTGTTAGTGGAGGGGCTATTGCCAACCCAGTCAAGCTTTGGCATGGCTATTTTCGTTCTCTTCCTGGTCAAATCTCCTGGCTGTAGAACGGCTAGTTGTGAAGACGGGCTGGATGGCTATGGTCAATTCCGCTCCATCCCTATCAGCATAGCGAATTCGCCATTTTAATCAGAGAGATGGATACTTCCTCACCATTCGCAGCCAATGAAGCCCATTAAATTATTTCCACACCAGGTCCAGCACGAATGATTTTTCCACCAATGTGAGCGAGTATTTGCCTGTGCGTTATCTGATCTCTTTGCCGAGAAACGGGACTTGACGCGCATTTAGCACAATTGATGCCATCCGCGCTTACATGACGAGCGCCGCGATGCACGCTCCAGAAGGAACTTTGACAGGCAAACTTTCTCTTAGCACGACAGCCAAGACGTGGCGGCGAGCTTAGAGCTTTAGCACACTCAAGTAAATTTGCCTGGTGGATTTGGTCCTCCAGTATTGGTATCTCACGTCACGCTCCACCCAGGCCACGATCAAGATTAGACTGTGTATGGCACCATGGCTGGCGCAAAGCACGCACTTGGGTTAATTCTCCGGTCGTCTAACTGTGCTCGATAAGCTAGCAAGGCCTGGATTATTTATATGCTCGCCATATACATCACAGTGAACCATCAGAGCTTCGGACTTCCTAGTCTGCAACAACAAGGCATCTAGGGCTCGGTGGTCGTTACTTTCTCGTTGCCATGGCATCCCCAACCACCAAGGAGGCCATTGAGTCTCATTCCGAGCTGCGTACCACGGAGGATCTCAATCACAAGGTCCAGTCCGATGCCACCCTAGTCGAGCCCGAGGAGGTACCCGAGTATCAGTCGCTGTTGTCAGCACTCTTTCGTCGTCGCAAAATACGTGACCCGGATGCCATTGCCACAGTCCGCAGCGTATTTGACGATCCGGAGCTACGGAAATACTACATGCCCCAGCCGAAATACGAGAATTTGCACCGATTCGACATTGACGCACGATGGACGTACCGCGAGGAAGCGAAAATACGTCGAAAGACCGATTTCTTCATCTTGCTCTGGATACTGGTCATGTTCTTTGGCTTGAATCTGGACAGAGGAAATCTGGGCAACGCGGCAGCGGACAACCTACTAGAAGACCTCAATCTCACCACCGATGATTACAATAATGCGCAGAACATGTACCGTGTCGGCTTTATCATTGCTGAGATCCCGTCGCAGATGATCGGTAAACGACTAGGACCGGATCGGTGGATTCCAATTCAAATAATCATCTGGAGTTTGGCATCTGGCGGTCAGTTCTTCATGCATAATCGAGCTGGGTTCTTTGCGTGCCGGTTCTTCATCGGTTTGTTCATGGGTGGATTCATTCCGGACGCCATCCTGTACCTGTCGTACTTCTATACTAAGACGGAAATGCCTTTCCGTCTCGCATTGTTTTGGTTCACTGATTCCATATCTGGAGTGATTGCGTCGTTTATTGCCTATGGCGTACTGCACATGCGTGGTGTTGATGGACGCGCGGGTTGGCGATGGCTCTTTCTTATTGAAGCCCTCATAAGTATTGTCATCGGTTTCTTCAGCTTTCTGTTCCTGGTGCCTGGTCCAACACAGACCAAGACATGGTGGAACCCTAGAGGGTACTTTACCGAGAGAGAAGAAACAATCATAGTCAGCCGAGTCTTGCGTGATGATCCCTCCAAGGGTGGCATGCACAATCGTCAAGCCTTGTCTCCAAAGATGCTTTGGCAGAGCTTGAAAGACTACGATTTATGGCCCATCTACATCATCGGCATGCTTTTCGAGATTCCTACCTCGCCGCCCAAGTCGTATCTTACGCTTTCTCTCAGAGGCAATGGCTTTTCCACGTTCCAAACCACCTTGCTCTCCATACCCGTTACTGTGTTTGCAGCGATCAATTTACTACTCATCACGGAGCTCAGTGAACGAATTCACCAAATCTCGTTTGTCGGTCTTCTCACTCAACTCTGGTCTCTCCCGCTTCTCATCGTTCTCTACACTTCTGCTGGGAAGTTATCGAACTGGGGGCTCTACGCCGTCTCTTTCGTCCTTCTGGGCTGGCCAAACCCGCAAGCCGCACAAGTCGGCTGGTGCTCGCGGTTGAGTAACTCTGTTCGAACTCGGGCCGTCAGTGCTGCTGTATTCAATATTACCATTCAACTATCTGGCATCGCTTCTTCAAATATATATCGCTCTGATGATTCTCCGCTCTATCATCGTGGTGATGGGCAGCTGATTGCGATCAATGTTGCCACCATTGTGGCCTATATCCTGGCAAAGGCATACTACGTGGCGAGAAATCGCTGGAAAAAGAACAAGTGGGACAACATGACTCCACAAGAAAAAGCAACATACCTTGAGACGACTAACGATCAAGGCAATAAACGGTTGGATTTCCTGTTCGATAGCTAGGTTATTACATTGTGGCAGGTGCTTTAACTGTGTACCTAGAGATTAGCTTTACGGTTTAGACTTGTGATGAATTGGGATTGCTGCTAGTACTACTAGCTCGTCATCCTTTGTAGTGTATCCTATGTTTACTGAAAAGCGCATATTTATAGTATTGCTATCTGATAGGATTTTTTATTCCCTGGACTGCTAGCGTCAATAGAGTGTTATATGTCAGTACCAATCTCAACTTGCTAGGTCTTTGTTGCCATCTCCTAAGATGCGATTGTAGCAGGAATAGTTAGATATACAAAAACGAATAACGCCATACTTTTCAACTTTTCTTCCCAAGGCTAACAATCTACTAGGATGGCATCCCCCTTCTACTCATGCACAATGGTAATGGAATACACGTCCACCTTGCTGTAGTCGTTGGTGCCTTGGTTGTAATCACCCACTTTGAAATAGCCGTTCGGATAGCCAAGCTGGCTAGTGTCGAAGGTGGCCGGGGTTCCGCCGTTCAATGCAAAGGACAGAACGTAGTCAGAGTAGCTGAGTTCGTAGGTAAACTTGGTTCCCTCGGGGACAGTTGCAACCTGTGTAAAATCCGTATCTCCGCCAGTAGTTGTCTGCTCTACGCCCATGAATATATTACCCGACTGCTCATAGTACAATTCGACAACAGGTTTCGAGTATTCGGCGGAAAACACCTGTCCGATCACGGTGCCATGACTACCGTCGTCCGCTTCGGGGACACTTAGGGTCACGGTCATGGTGTTTGTGCCACTTGGTGACCAGCTCGACGGGTCTTCCTCGCGCAATTCGGTGCGGCAGTGCTTACTACCCGGTGTTTTTGCGCAGTCGGTTGAGCTTGGGGGTGCGTTCATGACGAGATGACTGCTCGTCTCATTCCAGTAGAACCAGCTGGAATTCTGGTATCCGTCACAACCGCTGAGCTCCGAGCCAGACACGTAAAGAGGCGTATCATCGGTGCCATAAGGAAGCTGAAGTTGGAAGTTTGCAAGGATAGGCATGTAGTAGCCAGGCGCACATGTCGCCCACGTCGTCATGACATGCAACGCACCAGCAAGGAGGTATTGTTTAGGTGACATGGCGATTGCGGAAGCTTGAATTTGCAAGCAAATAAAGGCGAACAAATTGAGTTTTTGTAAATGTTTCTCATGACGTCAAGCCAAGGGGGGTTGTCTATATTTATATCCATGTACATGTAAAAATTGCTTGGGTGTATCCCATCTGGAATACGATCCCAAAGACTGACCCGACTGTGCTGGCGATCCGAGACTCTTTTTTTGGGGGGTTTGTTTGTTTGTTCTTATTGGACGTAGGAACGCTAGGGTGACATCCGGACATGAAACATGCGTTATTAGGGCTAAAAAATTCAGAGCGCAATTTCCTAATGCGGAAACTGTTAGGCCAGCATAAGAGAGGTACGGGCCACTATTAAGCATGGGACTAGTTCAAAGATTAAAATCTGTTGTAGGGCTGGTTATCCTATTGGATATTTATTGTCTGGGATATAGCATTTCGATTACCTACAATAATTTCACAAGCAGATAAAAGGTTGTACTTGCTCTTAAAAAGCTTAATTACAATAGTGATACTGTGTATTAGAGTATTTCAATTGTAGATCATTGCATTTTTGTATACGTGCAGTTAGTTTGGTATCTCGGTCGATAGGTAGTGCGAAGCTTCATCTACGAACGCCTCAATGTAACTCAAGACCGATCCGGCCCCTAGCAAAATCCTCAAAACACCAGGGATGTGGATCCGGGGCTGCTGAGCATCGTGAATACTTACTCATTCTTCTTTCAGCTGCCACCAGAGTCATTTATAATCATTCCTATCTCGGCATTCCGGGGTATTCTTGACTTGCAGCGCACCTAGTTATCTACTAGTTACCTACACTTAGATGGCAAGGGTCATATAAACAACAAATATGGATCAAGGTAAGGACACATGTGGGAAAAATCCTTAAATACCGAAGCATGGCATGCTTACCGCATGCGTAGTTAAATATAATTCTAACAGTACACACAACCTCCTGGTTCGGGCCACACGCACCTACGTAATTTTCATATTGACAGCGTGTAATAATTAGGTTGCAGAGCTATTTTGCATTGGCACACTATGAACGTGTTAACCTCTCTTACAAGATTTGCTCTCCATTCAATAGCAAACGAAAGCCTTCCCTCAAGAGTTTCAATTGACACTCACTCAGTTCATCATCTCCGAGTGCCCAAATCAATTGGTAAATGTCCAAATATTTGAGATCATTTTCAATATGCTCGCTGTCATTCTCTTCTATTTCGGAATCTCTATCATCTTGGAATAGAGATGAAAGTTTCTCCCGAACGACAATCTCGATATTCTTCACGATATTTTGAAGAATACCGAAGGTACAGAGAGGGTCGAGCACAGCGATATGGATATTCTCACAAACGACAGAATTTCGAGTCAATTTGAAACTCATTTCTGGGGAACTGGAAAGAGATCGAATTGATTCCGCATAGATCGATCTGTAGCGACGCAGTGTTTCCGGAGAGTCCTCCCACAACCCCTTTGGCTTGATACCACGCTCCATACCTTCGTTCCAGCCGTACATAGCAGGATCCCAGTCGCGTGTGAGCCAAGATGGGTATCGTTCATTTCCAACGCTTCGAGGCACGGCGCTAACTCCATCCCAATCGATTATTCCCTTGACCGTGCCGTCGTCTGCAACCAAGACATTCTGGATATTCAGATCCCAATGGGCTAGGACAAAGGGATCGTGTCCAGATGTCGGTTCCGGCTCGGGAATCCAATCCACGAACATCTGCAGGAGCTTGAGCTGGCCCCTTTCATGGTCTGCTTCTGGTTCCTGATGGCTACTCAGCAGAGCAGTATAGTATTCTTTGGGATCCGAGAACGGTCCGTGTTCCACGAAGATTGGTAAGCGATCGTAGGTGTCATCATGCAACCGCTGTAGCGTAGAAGCAAAGTCGTTTTGTCGTAATGGGCCGATATCGTCATCATGTAATTCATTCATCATTATTGATCCGGCGTGCTTGAAGGAAAACGGGCTAAGCTGAACCATAGCAGCTGCAAGATCTTGCAGACACCTAGTCCGTCGGGCGTGAGTAATTTCTTTTGACCCTGTTTTGTCGAACCAGACTTCATATAACGATTTTCCGTCAATGTACTCAATGAAGATAAACGGACAATTGAGCTCGTTATAACATGTGTCACTGAATGAAAACACAGTCGGAAGCGGAATTGTCGTCTTTTGCTTTATGTAGCGCATAGTACGAGCCTCGGAGCGCAGGGCTCGAGCATCCATCTCAGTGAATTTCTCCTTGGTCCCATTCACAGGGACCTTCAGTAGCCAGCGAACTCCGTCATTGAATTTGACCGGGTAAAGGACGTGGTAAGACCCGAACATTGGTGACCCGATTTCCAACACCCAAAATTCTTGCCGGTCTTTCCAGTAACTACATCGCTTGCGTGTCTTGGTAGCATATTCGGCAAGAAGATCCAGCCTGATGCTTTCCATCACAGCGGCAAAGATCTCGTGCTCTTCCTCATCTGATGACGAATCTGAGTCTGAGTCTGAGTCTGAGTCCTTGTCATGCGGCTCGTTGTCTTCCAGGATGGATGCCATGATGGATGAACACAGGGATGGATCGGTGTCAGATTTCAGAGATAATTCGAAGCGTTAAGATAGATTAAGGAATTATATGAAATAGAGCAGCAGGGAATTCGCGGAAACTATGAGCTCGCCTTTCATGAAATCCCTGACAGATCACATGAGAAAGTAAACAATGAACCCGGTTGTTTTACAAATTTCTGTCTTTATCACTTGTGCTTTCTGAACTAACAAGTCTTTCATTGAACCTTGTCGCCATTCATATGTTTCATGTTTGTCGCTTTCTGACGGAATACACCAATATCATCACCGCGCCGATGTGGATTGGGGCTGGCTAAGATGGTGCACTACCACAAGCAAAGCATACACTATAATTCATAAGGATAGATAGCTATTTGTTTTCTCGGTATCATGTTTAGCATACTAAATATCAACTATTGCGGCATTCATTGCCTGCCGCATTGCTCTTCTCAGATCGATGTACCGCTAGCTTCAATCATGAAAGATGTTTCACACTTTATGGAAAGGGCAGAAAATAGAAGAAATTGTTTCATGTGTTTGTTCCATTTCAGTTTATTGTTCCCCTCTATGACCTTCAAACATTTAATGTAATACAAATCTTTATAGGAACGCACCATTTGTTCCCTGCCAATGTGTGAGATAGCGGCTGTGCAGGCAAGTTTGAGGTATGAAAGATACCGTCAAGGGCATTCTTTGCCTACAAAAATATTAAATCGAAGAACCTTTGCCACATCTTTTCTTTCGAGCCTCCAGTAGTATAATAGGCTGATCTGGTTAAATAGAACCCTCTTTTCCTAAGTTCAGACTCCACCAGACTACATTACACAATCATACACTTCGTGCTAGATTTTTTATACTAAATCCTGCATTAATAATTTTACAGTTCTGCTTAGCCAAGTCTCTGGTTCCATCATGGCTATCCATCACTGGTGAGCTTTTAATTCTATTCACAGCATCGCCTAAGCAAACTAATGAGTTACTACAGCCCAACATGTTACAAGGCCTTGAGTACCAGATGTGTATACAAGGAGCACGTTCATACATGCGAGATCCACAACAGAACTTACGTGCCTGGTGGAACTTGTGTTTCTTGCGATCAGGAAGCGAAGAGAGCAATCCTGAGAGAACAAAAGGAACGCGAGGAGGCACGTAAACTTGGTGTAAGTATATCCAGCTCCAAACTCAACTCCAGCTTGATTTTTCATACACATTTTGACTTTACTTCATTTCATCAACCAACAGAAGGAAATCGAACCGTTCTTCTGGATTAGAAATAAGTGGAAACCGTTGGAATGAGTGCATTCGAGTCAGCTTTTCATATAATTAGATTGAGCGCTCTACAATGACATTCTGATTTTCATGCATTTTCGAAATAATTATGCTCGGCTCATGAGAGATGTCACCAACATTCCTGAGTTAAATATCACGACCTATATTCGTAATAATAGATTTAGTGAGGACCTATTTCTTGACATATATTCATATTCCAATTAAGTTCACTTTTCATACAAATGAGTCCTGTTAAATCTCAACTTGCGCCAAGGGCACCATCATTAATTAGCCCCTTTTCACTCCTTGCCATCATAATCCGTGATATCTATCTCCTCCATTGCTTCCAACCCTTTATCGGCCCAGGAGATATAATTGACCTCTTCTGCGGTAGAATGAACTTCAGTGGACAATGGACAATTTGGCTCTCTTGAATCTGCTCCTGTGAAGGGAGATATTTGCTTTTCGAGAGTGCTGGGATCAATTTCATTGATAGAGGGGTTATCATGAATTGATACAAAGACTTTGTCATTGAATGATAACGTAGGAAGTCTGGGCTCAAACCAAGATGTTGCTGCGTTGTATATAGATCCAATTCGCGTAGCAGTGCGCTGGAACATGGTACGGTGATATTGACCAAAAAAGGCCGATAATGCAGGTCCACAACAGCCTATTATCCCAGTCAAGGCCCCCACGTTTGATAGAAGACTCAGATAGCCTTTGCCATATGTCAAGTCTGTTGATGAGACTAGATGTAGCTCCTTCAGACGGAGAACTGTCACTACTATTACCCTTTTCATAGTCGTATGGTTAGCGAAAATTTAGTTAACATAAAGGAGTAGAAAAGGAAAGGAAACCCACAGGCCCCCGACAGAAAATGATAGTAAAATCCGACATTTCTGTTTTGTCGGTAAGGCAAGGCTCCAAACAGGCACAATAGGCAACGCCACGATGCTAATATCTAGCCCCAGCCCAATGGCTTCAAGGGATACATAAGACGGTACTTCATTGCAGGAAGAATACGGATCCCAGGCGGTCGACACAGGTCGACACAGAAGAAGCGAGGTCAGCAAGAGAATAACGCCCAGGGCCACTGACAAAAATATTCCGATGTCTGTTAATAGGCGTGCCCAGTTTATGACACCAAACAGTTTGCGTGAGAGGATAAGCGCAGAAACTCGAAGTAGGGTATTGACGCATCCCCAGAGGATCTCGTTTGCAAACACGCTCTGTTTTATTGAAACGATATGTTACATTTGATAGAATTATGTATGCAGGAATCTTCCCAGCATTGCCGTGACACTTACCTTCGCAACTATCTTAAAGTCATCATATGGATGGCCCAATAACTCAGACTCGGGCACACCTTGGCCCTCGTCGACCACTGCCCATGTCGTCTGCGCGACAAGAAGGATCGAAATGCCGAAAGCAATGAATAAAATATAGTCGTCCAGGCCAACGGAATGTCTTTTTTGCATGTGTAAAACCTGGATTAAGACGGAGAGCGTTGCAAGAGCAGTAAAGAGCCAGGAGCACACCAAAGTAGTACGAGCAATACTTGAACTAGCCATATTTCTTCCGCTCAGATACCTACCTCATGGAAAGACATCAAAGAAAAGTCAACAGAACTAATCACGAACGAAATAAATACAGATAAAAGTCTTGGCTGATCAGCAAAGGCATATTTTGCATGCTGTCGACAACTAGGTAAAATTTTTACATAGCCACAATTGATCTTAAGTAGAGTCGAAAATGCCGCCTTGTAACTATCTTCAAGCCAATGACGAACCTTAGCGCATGTAGCCTCATGCAGCATCATGAGTCATGCATGCGTTAGACGTCTAACACCCGACACAATTTTGAAGGCCCAACTACAACCCGATAAGCCCTTGGGGATGAATGTACTCAGTAAATGCGTTTCTTTTTTTTATTTAACATTATGGGTGAGCTTTTTGGTCCTGGGTTGCTAGCTTAGCCAGAAGTGTTGCAAAGACGCGAGCTTCACAGCGGCTATTAACCCACAAGAATAGAAAACCATATATTTAGATTCTAACCGATGTACACCAAAGAACAATAATACTTTTGATGAAATAATATCTAATTTGTACGTGGTAGTTACAAATGAGTTTATTAGATTATCGCGCCAGGAAAACATGCAGCTATGGTAAATCAGGTCTTGAAACACTCCTTAGGCAGCGTAAATTCTGATTTTGCCGAAGTACATAAAATAAAGGAGCCATAATTATTGTTATGTCCCGTAATGGTCATATGAAACACAAATGAATGAGTTAATCGGCTCTTGTAGCTGACCACAAGAGTCAAGAGAAACGGTGCTTCACCATAGATGTCCAACGCCTCAAAGACTTGTTCTATATATTGCAATTTGTTCTCCGTTTGCTGCTTTACGACGCTCTCGGTGCCCATCCTTGAAGGTACTGCTAATATCTTGGTCACGGTCTCATAGACGACGAAGGGCTCGATGAAGTCCCTTGGCCACTGCTTCATCCGTGAGACCCTCCTTCTCACTTCCGCTGATGTGCTCCTTGGTTGCCCTCCGTCGGCGCACCCCCATCCGCCTTCTTATCTCCCTCTTCTTCTTTCTGCACCTTTTTCGCGCCTCTGCCTGTTCCTTCCATTGCTCTTGTAGTTCCTCCATTTATATAGGAGCCATTGATGAATCTCGCTGTAAAGGCGCCACATTTTGGTGCTGAGCGAGTGGAATGCCTGTGTGAACTATCCAAATACAATGAAAAGTACTTCCACCATACAGGAAACCGGCATTGCTTGGACAAGGCTATTCTTTATACCGAACAAGCAGTGGGTATGATGACACCCTTAGATCCCAATCGAGCCTTTGTCTTAGCCCGGTTACGGGGCCATATCCTTGTCCGCTTTCAAATATCCAAAGGTAACGAGAACCCGGACTATGGTAGACAGTTCAAAAAGCATCCATTAGAAGCTGTGCCATATACCAGCACATTGCGGCTTCAAGTCATATAAAATGTTGCCGCGACGACTCTTTTGCTCTATGAGCGCACATTGCTATCGAAGCACTCGAGCAGATACTGCCTACCTACTCGACTATTGGCAATGTCTATGTGCCATGTTCTTGCAACCTCGTCCTCTGGTTCTGCAATCGCGCCAAAGGAAACCATCTGGTAGACGTGTTATCACATTTTCTCTGCAATTCTGCATCACCGACGACCCTGCCGACGACGGAAGAGTACTCGATTGTCTTAAGGAAGGGTGGGAGTTTCGCTACAGCAACCCCAGAGAACGTATAAAGATGGCCAGGCTCGGCTTCTCTCACAATCACATTAAGTTGGGGCAGCTCAGGTCCTAGAAGAGGCGATTTGTTTCCTACCAGCCGTTTGTCCAAGGTTCTTGAACAGTCGAAACAGACAATAATTTCTTGCAGGTCCATTTAGCCTAGCTTCAATGGCTCTTTCTGTGTCACTAAGCGTTGGCAAAAGCCCTTCCAATGTATTGGCGACTCTGGAAGCTGGACGTGCAGTCATATCTGGCCTAGTATTAGATACACGAGTAGGCCTATCTGAGCTTGAGGGAAAGTACCCCGAGGGGGCATTGAAATTCAAATATCTTGGAGAAGCTCTCAACATAGATCTAGAGATAAACAAAGGCATTTTCGGTGTCCCGAATGTTCCGGACATTATCCAGTCGCATACTAGTCAAATTAAGCGGAGAATATATCAGCAGCAAGAATTTGACAAGATCATAGGAATAATTCGCCAGAAACCGTGGTTCTCTAGCTTCCTTCTACCCCGGGCTGAAGATGAAATATGGCAGCAGCACATGCTGGAACAATCGCGTTGATTAATGTTGGTCCTAATCATCTGACGCGATCTTTATTGAGAGACATACAATCCGAACTGTGCTGTTGAACAGTCCAATCTTTATGCAGGCTCACACTAATTCCGAAGTCCTAGTGGATCCGAATCATACCGAACTGTTTTCCCCGGGGTTTCTTGCCACGCTGCTAGAGTGGATGTGGACAGAGGTTGCTTGTCTTATCTTGGACATCCTGGAAATACTATCACCCCCAGCAGATGATCAATGGCCGCACATCTAGTAGATTCCTGCTAGTCCACTAACACATCCCCCCCTTTCCTTGCGTACCTCCTTTCCTGCTCTACTAGTGCAATCAAAGGAAATATTCTGACTGATGAAGACATCCATCTCATAAACGCCTGTCAGTTAGCAGACTTTCAACACACTATCGCTGCGCTGTGGGAAGTTTCAGACCAAACTGTGTCAATGTGGCTAGAATCGTGTACGGGACATCAAAATAAGAGCATTGGAATGAAAATGTGGATCAGGAGGGACCCAGGTTACCCCACGGCTCCTCGGGATGAAGCGAGACAGCCAGGATTGGGCTGACCTGTATACCTTAGTACACATATATATATATATATATATATCATCAACGACCATGTCATGGACATTATGAATAGCGTTATCCGAAATTCTATCTACGTACACTCCGTATCTGGTCGTTGTGCTTTCAAGGCTTACCGAGTGCGGAATACTTCTGTTCCGGCCGCAGCTTTGGGATAGAGAGCGCGCTCTGATAATGTATGTATACAGCCATGCACGCTAGTGGCCCTTGCTGGCCCCGCTTTTATGCATGAACACTGCATGAGATCTAGCGCTAGCCTTTACATAGACTAGTGCGGCTGTTCGTGTATGTCTGGGTGGGTCCTTATCCGCCCCACCGGGGCATCACAAGCAGGAACGGCCATTGACCACGCTAGCAATAAGGAAGACACCGTGATCTTTCGTCCTACACCAATTGGGACCTCTCGTAAGCATTTGAGATGAACTGTCCTGCTTCTAAGTATCTCTCCGATATCCTAAATGTCCGTGATCCTCATTTTGTGGACGGTCGACTACATACTCTGCTCAATACCTCCCGTCTTCGCTTGTAGCATGCACGTTTTATATTCCTGATCTTGCGCGCTTGCCCACAATTATTCAGCTTCTTAAGTGGCTATTAGTATAGTTGGACTCTTTCCGTTCTCGCCATACCCTTTATTTGTCTTTCCGGGTAAGTGGTGCCCCGGGATCAGGAAAATTTGGAAGGACCCCAAGTTTGCCGAACTTTTGCTGGACGGAATAGTTGAACCGGACGCTATACCGAGTTGGACCAAGGCTAGTAGATTCAGAACTGAAATGGCAAACAAAAGGCCGTCGATTCTGCGCCTCGTCATATATATCCCCCGGCTACTTCTGTAACGTTTCATAACCAGGAACGTCATGACCACTTATTCGACAAATCGAAAGGACCGTACATCCGGAATTTTGATTTTTATGTGGAAGGGCACTTGTCATATACCCAAGACGAAGTCCAATCAGCATGCAGAGCTCTCGGTGGCTGCTGTGCATATGACTGTGGCTGTTGTTACAGGGAGAGAGAAACGCATAGAATGGACAATGTATTTATGCATTGCACGCGCGGGCACTCAGAGAAAGCTACCGATTGATGAAGAAGATAATTTTACGATAACATTAAGAGCTCGGGATATAATTGTCTACGACTACCTCTGTGTCAACTCAATTAAGAGGAGAGATTAAGCGGTGATCCTACCTAGGTAGTTTTCGAACTATTTGCATTGCTATAATAGCATCTTCCGTTACCTTTTCATTGTCCTCTTCCTCCATATTCATATTTATGACCAGGTTCAAATCGTACAGCAAGCACCATTGCGTACTTACCTAAACCGGATAACTAGGCTTTTTATAATCGTCATATACAGTTAAGGGTCACCAGAAGTTGGTAGCCTAGGTAGTAAACATTATCGCGTGTAAAAAGAAAAGGCTACGAAGGCCTCACGAGGAGCGGATGTATCCTCCTCGTGAGGCACGCTATGTAATCCGTAATCGGTATGTCGATCGACTTCACTTTTTTTTCTCTAGATACTGTTCAAATCTCGGATATCTCTCAGCGGCCAAGGGAGGAATTCGGTCAATCGGAGCCCCGGATACATGCTTTACTGGAGTTCAATCCACCGTAGTAGTAGTATTCATACCCTTTCCGTGAGCCTTTACTACGGGCACTATACTGGTGGAGCTGGGCTCTGAGAAGTCAGCGTTCCTATCTATCTTAGATATATCAAGAACGCTAGTAAGTAATAAGCAAGTAAATGAAGCAGCAAACTAAAACAGTACCGTACAAAGGAAATGTGTAAAAGAAAGTAAACCACCACCTCCATAGATTATTATATATGCTTAGCCTCTGTTGCAAAGCACCTAGGATTTATATTAATACTACGCCATAAACTTATTTCTATAGTTTACAGACTTCATGCTGAACAGTCTTCTAAATTAATACTCTTCTCCGCCATCTGACTCCAACTTACAGCTATCAAGCTGCGTGCATATAACTTGGATTGCTTTAAACTGCCCAAGTAACTGTGTGCATACCAGAAAATCAACAACCAGCCCCAATCCTACGCCGTATCCGGAAGTGGATTCCTATTCGATCCGACCAGCTAAGTCATGCGTAGATAGACTGTCTCGCAAACATCACTAAACACAACTCAGATTGTAAACACGGTATGTAATTGAGACTCTGAATGACATGAAATCCACTACAGATATTGTAACAGACTTGGAGATGATATCTTAAAGCAACAGAAATGCAATTATCAAAGCCGTGGAAATGCTTCCCAGAAACCCTTCCGGATAAATTCTCATGGCAGCACCCGTGGGTGTTGATGTGGCAGGCGCCGTGCTTGCTGCTGTACCATTGGCCTGATACGGTGCTGCCGTAACAGTATATGTCTTGTTTAGAAACGTAACGGTCATGGTTTCACCTCCTGGAGGGCTGGTCAATGACGATGTCCCAGGGGTATTGCTAAGAGTCTGAGTCTGATTCGGTGGGAGATTGTTGACATCCACATAAGTGCCATTGTCTGCCGTTGGAATGCCGAATTGACCATAGCAAACATCATACGTGAGCGCATCGCATGATCCGTTAGCTGCAATGTTGGCTTGTCCTTCCTCGACCAATGTGGGGACACCTAGGATGTCTTTTTCCGTACCAGGGCAAATGCCATAGGACCTGCAGAGAAAAGAAACACTCGTTAGTGCAAACCTTACGGCTAGTCGAGCTTTACTACATAGTCAAGGGGAACAACACATACGCGCTGACCGCAGCACTGTAGACACAGCACTGGCATTCGTGCGCAAGCGTCTCATTAGACATGCCCCAGCACGTATAAAGTGTATCGTGGTTCTTGGTAGCGTTGATCAAGGAGTTACCGAGGTTACAAGAGCAACTGTCAGGAGAATTGGCTGGAGCTGGGTAGAAAGGCGCGCTTTGAATGTGGTCACGATCAATTGCAAGAAGGTATTCGGAAGTGATATATTGATATGCGCAAGTATATACCTATCTTCCCATTTAGGTCCAGATTCGATGTCTGTATATGACGTTAAGAAGGATTGAGATAGAAACTAACCTTGTTCCAGCAGCTGCTATAGTAACACAGCATCTCGTCGACGAGGCTCTGCACTTCGCAAGCAGTAACAGTCGCGTTTGGTTGGTTGGCACATTCTATTGCAGTTGTATTGGCCGTAGAAAGGCATGTCACAAATGCAGTCGGGTCGATACATCCTTCGGGGTCAGGCGTTGTCACGTTCTGTGCTTGAACACTATAACAGGATAACAGAGCGATAACACTGACCAAAAATGTGCCACTCATTTTTTAAAACTTTGTTTCGGCTCGTGAAGGAATCCTGAAATATTCCACGACTCTAGCTATACTGTCGTAGAAGGGGTTTGATTATTATTTAACATCTTAGTCTTTACGTCGAATAAGTAATCATTGATCTTTTAAGTACTTGGTTTTTACAAACCTCCCCTGGCATTGTTTGATGGCATACTATTACTAGATATTTGCCTCTAGCCCCCAGAAAATCATAGATATTAATTCCTTTCTAGCGTTCTGGTAGATTACTCCATCCGCAGTCGCCGGGAGACCAAGCCAGTCATGCATAGTGCGGGCCAAAAAATATCGTATACGTAGGCTAAAACTCCTGTTCACGAACGTCCCGAGATGTTGACAACCCAAAATGGTGCACTGTACATATGAAGCAAAACTTCGTGGTATAAGCACGGGGTTTGTCATCTGTAAGTCCGCGCACTGGACCTACTTTGGCCATATTTTGCCTATTTCGGAAATTAGGGCCAACGAAGGATCGGGGCTAGCACTAACCTGTTATGGAAAGGCGACCCCCATGCGGGCCGGAGTTTCTACCAATCCGCCCCGCAGATGCAGGGCTGTATACAGCCTCCACGTTGTGACTACGCAGTAATTACTTATGCTTATGCAGATGTTTCTCTACCAATTAGGAGTAATTGCGATTGTTTTGTCCACCAGATTGGATTAAGCTAGACACAAGCTTCCCTTTTTTTTTCTGTCAACCTCTGCTCCACCCCTCAAGAACAGGTAGAATGATCATGGAAAAAATCCCCAAGGCCAGAGGAATGCAGCTGACTAGGAAGCTATATGTGCCAATCGGCTATTTTAGACCAAGTAGCTACTACTAACTAGACTGCTCAAGTGTAAGTTTTTACTAGGACTCTAGTCCAAGGTTCTTCTGGAAGCATGCGGCGACCACCAGCGACAGCCACGAGATTACGATTTCGTGTCTACTACATGTATTTCAAATGAAACTAGGAAGACAACCAATTTCTCCGAAGGAATAAATTTGTCGCAGCCGATTTTTCAGGCTAATCTGTAAAAATTGCTCTGATTGTTGGCAGGTTTGCTTATTTTAAGTATTGCGATAGACCTTGGATACAGTATTTCTCGTGGGCAGACGTTTTTAATAGTCCTGGGTTATGAATAATGAGTAGCTAATATAAGCAGATCGTATATACAGCGGTAACATGTCAAAATTGACAGTTGAGACAATGTAATCTCGCCAGAGGCATGTTTATCTAGTGCAAAGCGGAAAATTCAATCAACATTCTCCTGAAGATCCTTCTCCAACGGGGACAGTTTGAGGGTTGTGGAATACATCACGAGGATCCCACTCTTTCTTAATCTCTTCCAACCTGGGCAAATTGTCAGCCCAGTACAGCTCCGGTCCATTCGTAAGGAGAGGATCAACGTAGCCAGCATAGGCATAGAAAGTCTCGTTGGGGAATGCATCGTAAATGACATTGTTGAAACCATCCAGAAAGTCGATCGTGGTTTCAGAAACTGTACCATTCGTCGATGCATAAGCGAAGATCCAGTACAAGACATCACGGTGTGGGAAAGCCGTAGCGTTGCTAGCAATTTCTGCCATAGCGCCGGACACTAATTGCACTTCGAGCTCGTACGTCAACGCGTCGTCAGGGGTCGTAGTGAGGTATTCAAACATAGAGTCAATGGTGTCATTGGAGAGGAGGGCATCGGGCAGGATGTCCAAAGACTTGGCGTAGAAGTAGGCCGGCTCCTCAGCGGTCTCGGACTCGGTGGCCCATATGGCAACCATATCAAGCCAGTTGGGGATAACTGTGACGTTTGCAGCGGGCGGGATACTGAACGATTGTTCTAATCCAAGGGCATTGAAGTCATCCAAGGAGCCGAAGAAGGCACCAGTGATTTCAAGTACCTCAGGGAGACCAACCATCATGATATACAGTTCCCAGGACAAGTCAGGATTGGAGATAAATGTCTGGAAATCCTTGAAAACTTGAGATTGAGCGCTGGCGTTGAGGCCTTGAAAAGCATATGTGTAAGAAACACCTCCGACTGGAGCAGCTTCCGTTTTGAAAACGAATTCTGTGACCACAAAATAGCTAAATCCAGCTCCCTTCAGCGCCCAGAACAGATCGGGGTTCTCGGTCTCTGATACGGTAGCGATTCGTCCATTGGCGAGAACAACAGTGGCGGATACAACGTGGTCGATGGTTGCTCCCCACTGTCTCGAGGTCGGACCAACACCACCAATGGTGGCGTGACCTCCTATACCGACATCAGGGCATGAGCCGTGGGCAATAGCACGTTTTCCAGAGTTGTACAATGCGGTGGTGACAGGTCCCAGCCGAGAGCCGGCACCAACGGTAGCATAGCCAGTTGAGTCGTCGTAAGAATATCCGTCGAGGTTGGCCAGGTTGATAACAATCTCTCCACTCTCGCCGCCCCAGCCTATTCTCTCTTTGTCAGTTGCTTTTCTTTTTTGACCTTAAGACTGAGGTGGAAAATGGATAGTATCTCACCGTAGTTGCCGTAGCTGTGGCCGCCACTTTTGGCCTGCACCTTGTAGTTTCCTTCGGCAGCGCATTTCACAATGGCCGCAACTTCCTCTGTGCTACTTGGGTATGTGACAGCAGCTGGATAGATGGGCAGGTTTAGGTTATAGATGGCGAGACTGCTGTTATAGTCGGAGGAGCTAGGGGTAACCAGCGCAGAATGGTTGGCACTCAAGGCCGCCAAGAGGCATATTGAAAGAGCTGCAGGCATTTTGACGTCTGTGGAAAGATAAAACAAGACTTTTTAGAGACGCTACGTTACTTCACTTGAAAAGTTGACGCATGCCAGACTTCACATCTGCTTATATATGGGTTCGGATTTCAATGACCTTTTACTTCGACTCACGAACTGCCTTTCTGGGTTAGGATATCGTAAAATATGCCAGGTAATCATACTGCATTAAAATGTACAAGCATGCACTTCGTGTTGTAGCAATAGCCTCAGCCTGTGCTGCGCGAAATATAGAGGTCTATAGCAGTCAATAAGAGCGCGCCGACTAATTGTGTCGTTCTTCCCGAGTGGCCGCAAAAAGGGGCCAAATTGGCTGGCAATCGTACAGGAAAACTAACTCCATACACCGAGGGAGCCTGATCGGAGTAACGACTGTACATCGAACCAATGACGGACTCACAAATAGCCTATAGTAAAAACTGAGAGCACATAAAAGCGTGGATATGCGCCAACCGGAGAAAATGGGTAGATGGCAAGGTTAACGGCCCCATGGTTAGAAGCCGTTTATTATGCATCAGGTTATTGTCGGGTCGGAGTTTGTGCTTCGTTGACCAGCCTCGACCATAATACATGGGCTGATAGGTCAATGCGAGCTGTTGCTGGTATCTCCACAAATTAGATCTTTTGCAACCTAACACATTTCAATGCATTTCTGTACCAGCATAGTTGGATGATTACGCCCGGCTTCAGACAGCACGCGACCCCATGATTACCTTTGCATAGTTACGTTTGGTGTTGATACTATGTTGCTTATGTGAGCTAGTTTGATGATTATGGAAGTGAAATAAATCAAACTTATACTTTTACAGTTTATATTTATTATTACGTTTGATAAGACGTATCTACGCTTGCTGACGAGCTGACTGCGCTTACTACCAATCTTCATGCCTCGAGCTCCGTTGCTAGTCCCATAGTCGTTGGCAACCTTAAAATTTGTTCATGAATCATTGCAAAGAATTTTGTCAACAGACGACTTCCACTGATCCGTGGCGCAAAGGCTGGGTCTGATGTCCACATTGATACTCTGGCGCTGATCAAACAGCCGCACCGGGTCCGGTCATAGAAGTCGTTGGCTTATGAGGGCTGTTGAAGAAGACGAGCATGACAGTCAGGGCTGTGGTAAGCATAAACAGCAGCCATTCGAACGCCCCGAACACTGTCGCCGCCTTGAGCAATGCACAAGAATTCTGTCCTGCCGAACATGTGTAGGTTGAAATTTGAACAGCGACAGCAATAAACCCAGCAAGCCATGAAAGAACAGCAACAGCCTCAACAGCGACACGAATATAGCCCATCCACGCACGGTCCGTGAAGCTTCTTGCCGCAATGAGGTGGAAGATGATGACCAGGACTGTCCATGCAGCACAGAACATTAGGAAGCCCCATTCATTAGGGACGCCGTAGTAATCGTAGAAGTTGCCAAACACAAAGTGTTCGTAGACAGTGTGGCCGCGAAACACATGGATAGCTAGGCGATGCGGTCAGTCTCTCACCAACAGAATAGCAGGATGCATTATCTCTGCGTACCATAGCCGTCTGTCCGCAGGACTATATGCTGAACGTGAGCTGCAGCGCTCGCAGGGCGTAACTAAGTGTTTTGTTCGCCGCCATGTTCGAAGCCATGATTTGCAGCGTAAAGCAAGAGCGAGACATCTAGCGAACATAAAATCATAACACTTACTGCAGCAGACGGAATTGAAATTATTTTAATTATTCTCTTCATCTGCGACAACATGTTTATGCCCGCCAGAAACGCTGGTGCCTGAGTCGTGACTGACTATGTAGTGAGTAGTGGAGCGGGCAGGCATCAGAATTCCAACACCAGAAAATTTATTCACACTAACCAAATACATACATGTAAAAATGACAGCCCCGCCGACCTCACTCAACATCATCCACGCCATGGTCAACCAACCTCCGTCACAAATAGACCAGCAGCAAGCGCAGGATGCGACCGACATCACCGGCCAAGAGCTGGTCGAGAACGACGTTCCCCTGCCTGCTTACGGCGAGACATATGGCGAGATCCGCGACGAAAAGAACAGCGCCTCTCTCACCGTGTCAACATCCGCATCGGCCACTTCAATCGCCATCTGTCTCAGATCCTGACTCCTGCTTTACATCAGCACGTCCAGGATGTCCAGGATAGTGTGCCGCTCCCTCCGTACGTTCCCCCTTCCCTAGGAGGAGGCGGCGAGGACGGAGCTCGTCCACCTCCGCCCTTGAACGTCGTCATCCAGGCCGTGGGCTCTCGCGGAGATGTACAGCCTTTCGTTGCCCTGGGAAAAGTCTTGAGAGACACTTACGGCCATCGCGTACGTCTCGCGACTCATCCCGCCTTCAAGGACTTTGTTCGGGAGCATGGGCTGGAATTCTTCAGCATTGGCGGCGACCCTGCCCGCCTAATGGCCTTCATGGTCAAGAATCCCGGCCTGAGGCCGGGATTTCGCAGTGTAGTTAGCGGAGAGATCGGCCAGCGAAGAAACGATGTTGCCGAGTATATCCAAGGCTGCTGGCGATCATGTTACAAAGCCGGCGATGGCCTTTCCGAGCCCTCTGGCAACGACATTGGCTGTTCGCCTACAGCAAAGCCCTTTGTTGCCGACTGCATCATTGCCAATCCTCCAAGTTTTGCACATATCCACTGTGCCGAGAAGCTCGGCATCCCGCTTCATATCATGTTCACCATGCCATATTCCCCTACTCAGGCATTCCCTCATCCACTGGTTAACATTCAGTCCTCAAATGCAGACCCTCACCTTACCAATTACATCAGCTACGGCATGATCGAACTTCTCTCATGGCAGGTCCTAGGTGACATTATCAACCGGCTTCGCACAAAGTGTCTTGGTTTGGACCCTCTCAGTATGATATGGGCCACCGGCGTGCTCCAGCGTCTTAAAATTCCTCACACCTACTGCTGGTCTCCGGCCCTGATACCTAAACCCAAAGACTGGGCCTCTCATATATCTGTCTCTGGCTTCTCCATTCTTAACTTGGCCTGTAACTACACACCTGCCCCTTACTTACAGGCATGGTCCACCCCCTGTCTATATAGGATTCGGGAGCATCGTGTTGGAGGATCCCAATGCGATGACGGAACTTGTTTTCAGTGCCGTGAGAAAGGCTGGTCAGCGTGTCCTTCTTTCTAAAGGCTGGGGAGGTATAGGCACAGGCGAGCTTCAGGTCCCCGAGGGCGTTTTTATGTTAGACAACGTACCGCATGACTGGCTTTTTAATCACGTCTCGTGCGTCGTCCACCATGGTGGCGCAGGAACTACGGCGGCAGGCATTGCCGCAGGCCGGCCCACTGTAATCATTCCATTCTTTGGAGACCAGCCTTTCTGGGGCGCCATGGTCGCGCGAGCAGGCGCAGGCCCAGATCCGATCCCCCACAAACAACTCACCGCGGACAAGCTGGCCGATGCTATCAACTTCTGCCTGGAGTCCAAATGCATGGACCGCGCCAAAGAACTTGCAAGCAAGATCGCGGCGGAGCGAGGCAACGGCATGGCGGCTCAGTCGATCCACCAATTCCTCGAGCCTGAGCGACTCCGTTGCATTCTTGCACCATCTCGAACCGCTGTGTGGCGCGTGAAACGCACCAAGATCAGGCTAAGCGCTTTTGCCGCCTGTACTTTGGTGAATGCAAAACTTCTAGACTTCAATGACTTGAAGCTCTTTAGAGCACAGGAATACTACGTCGACGAAGGTCCCTGGGATCCCATATCTGGAGGCTTCACGGCATTTCTGGGGGCAGTCGGCGGCATGATGATGGGTCTGGCCGATGTTCCTTCGGAGGCATGGAAAGCTTTGCAAATTCCAGCTGGACACGTCCGACAGCAGTCGAGTAAAAGCGAGGTCTCTCTTGCTTCCAACCTCTCCGGCCGGTCAACTCCCTCTTCGAACGCCGGATCAATCTCTATGCCCGATTCATTACAAGACGAGGCTAGCCCAAGTCGATTCCGCAGTCGAGAGGAATCTAGCTCCGGTAAAGACCCTGACATGCTGCGCCGCCAGGCTGGCGTGCATATGAGCAAAGGCGCCGGGAGTTTCCTAAAGGCGGTGGTCCAGGTACCTGTGGACCTTTCAGTGAATTTCACAAGAGGGTTTCATATTATCCCGAAGCTTTGGGGAGATGATAGTGTGCGCCCTCAAGAAAGGGTCATCGATTTCAAGTCAGGCGTCAGGGCAGTAGGGAGAGAGTTTGGCTTTGGCTGGTACGATGGCGTTACTGGACTGGTTACCCAGCCATGGAAAGGCGCCCAGAAAGAGGGTGCCAGCGGCCTTGTGAAGGGGGCTGGTAGAGGGATAGGAGGATTTATAGCCAAGCCCGGAGCAGCCGTCTTTGGTATCCTCGGCCATACGATGCAGGGTGCAAGCAAAGAGGTACAAAAATTGTTTGGCAGCAATGTGCAGAATCGCATCGTCTCGTCCAGGGTAGCTCAAGGGTACGAGGAGTGGCTGCAGAGCTCCGATACAGAAAAGCAAGAAGTCATCGATCGGTGGAAACGCCTGAGGGAAGCGGGCAACTCTGATGAGATGGCGCGAGAAGCCCAGGAAGCACAGCAAACGATTAGCAGAGAAAACCGACAAGACGGCGGACAACCTGCGAGATTCGTCCAGCCCTCCAGCAATGCAGAAGATCTCGAAAGCACCACGCTCGCCGTTGGTGGTTCACAGTCTGCTTCGCGCGCTGCCAACACGGCCGCCGCCGGAGAATTGTTGGTCGACGGTCAGCAAGATGCGAGCGACGGTGAATTGGATTCAGATCTCAGTCTGGTTACCGAGGACGAAGAGGAACTCGAGCAGGAAAGAGACCAGTCCGAAAGAGCGTCTGAGAAGGCAGTAGTCATTGCTGGCGGGTCACTTCGTCGGACTCCTCGCGGGTACCACGCAAAGTGAATTCGAGCCACAACAAAAGAGAGAATATAATGAGGAAAACACGATGGAAGAAGAGATTGTGATGGATTACGTTAAAAAGCAAAGCCTTTCTGAAGTGCACCGTCGGAACAAAGGCAAAGGCCGTGCGAGCGTGATGGAGAATCAAGATGATGATGAAGTCTTGCAGAAGGCGTTGAAACTGAGTATGCAAGAACACAAGGATCGGTATGGGGAGGCCTCAGGGGTTTCCTGAATGAACGAAGTCGAAATCAACAAGCTTAATGGCCTAGCCTAGGCGCGTTTCTTCCTCCTATCATGTTTATGACGCGCAGTTGTCGAAAATCTAGGCAGTCCAGCGTTAATGCGTCGAGCGAGCCTCAAGGATGAATAGGAAAACTAGGAGATGACGAGGCGTACACTGCAAGCGAGAATTCTAGCGGTGGACAGGTACGCATTAGTACGTCGGAGCGAGCAGATATTGGTAAACTATAAGGAATAGAACGCAAGAAGTAATTTCCCTCTCTATTAGTTAGGGCAATGGTTCTTGCAGGAGACTGACTAGACATGTAAACTATACACAAAATGAAACAGTCTATTCACATTTTTAGCGCATTAGAGATGAAATACCATGTAATATTCAATCACTACTGAAAGGAGCTCTACCAGGATCAAGCTTGATATTGTCAAAGTAGAAAAATGACAGCTCGTTTACGATACTCCTCCGTCGTTTGCTGTAACATCTCGTCAATGTCGTAATCCCAGATCTTGTGCGAGCGCCAGTATACCTCTTCACTGCACTTGTCCTTGTCGTTTCCTGTCGGTTCATGCTGCCAGTCATACAGCTCACCCAGGATACGACTGCTTTCGACGAGCCACTGGGATCGCTCCAGTCGTACTGTATTGTACGTCTCAAAAGCTGCGTTCAATATATCCGATTTAGAAGCTGTTCCAGACTCACGTAATGTGGACTGTGCCAACTCTATCACTGCTGCGAGCACTGTAGCGTCTTCAATTCCAGCACCGGCACCGGCACCGTGATGAGGAGCGGAGGCATGAGCGGCGTCGCCAGCAATAGAAATGCGGCCTTTGTAGTACGTTGAGGCTGGGTGATCGTAATAATCAAAAATGGCCCATTCATCGAGGTTTTCTGACAACAGGCTCATAATCGTTCGGACCGCTCCTCCAAACTTTGAAAACTGGGCAATGGCTTCGTTTTTGTCTGCGGGGGCAGATAGTTTATCTGCATAAGGCCATTCGCCGGGGTCAGTGACAAAGGCTACCACGTTCATTAATGTTCCTCCGGCGACAGGAAACGTCAGGGCATGCGCATCCTGGCCAAGATGCATGAATCGTGTATTCACTTTTGCCTCGCCGAGGGCCGGTAAGGCCTTCTCCATGGGGATCAAGCCACGGTAGGCCTTTTTATGGCTGTAGCCAGGATAGGAAGCCGGATTGTCTTCGCCCAGGATCAATTGGCGAACACGAGAACGAATGCCGTCGCAGCCGATGACTGTCGGTCGTTGACCCCTGTTAGCGAACAAGCGTCACATAATCAAAATGCAGTGCTAGACTAGACTTACCCATGTCAGCCTCAGCCGTTGTACCATCGTGGAACTTCATCACAACTCGTTCATCACCAACTGGATCAACAATGGTCTCGAGCTGGGCCCCGTACGTAACGCAGTCTTCTGGAAGACAGTCGACTAGACATTTGAGAAACTGTGCACGGTGGCAGCCCTCAAACCCACGCTCGCCCAGATACAAGCTGAATAGTGAAGCTTCGTCCACCGTTTCTTTGTCGCCGTCAACACTGCCGTAGCCATCTACATATTGAAACCAATCCGACGCATTCTGGGACGCAACGCTCTTGAAAGACTGGTGAATGCGAGGGTCCAGAGCCAGCATGGCCCGCTCGGCATTCGGGGTGAAACCAATGCCTGCTCCAATTTCGCGCAGACTGCTTGCCCTTTCGTAGATGTGGAATGGAATGCTTCTGCGTTGCAGACCCAATGCTAGGGCGAGTCCTGTAATTCCACCACCAATGATGGCGACTTCAATGGGCTTTACTTCCGCCATGCTTGTCGACTAATCAGTGGAAGTGAACGAAGGTTGTAGAGATTGCAACGAAGCAATGCAATTATAAGTGCAACGGACAAGTAGAAAAAATATCACACAATTCCTTCGGACCCAACGGGGCGCGCAAGGGTGAACCTTTAAGGCTCCGGAGAAGCTACTATGCTTAGCTTACTGATTATCAAGATTGGAGGGGCCGTGGCTGTTTATTCGTGAACGAGCAAGCTGTCCCTCGGCGATAGAGAAAATAATAGTCCGGCCGAAAAAAAATACGAGGCCAACATAGGGTTTAGACTACGTGTGATTAAGGATGGAGACCTGTCACTTTCAAGCTTCGGTCTGCGAGATCATAGCCCAGCCGGCGATCAGGCATCTAAGAGCCTATCAAAAGGGGTCATTCTCCTTTTTTCGATCCATGGGTTACAATTTGTCGGTTCAGAGAGTCAGAACTCATGAGGACAAGATGTCCAGCTGATGGGTACATACACTCTGACCGTAAGACCTTGAAGGAGACATGTTCCGCTGCAGCTCGCTGGTCAGTCTCTTAAAGTTTTCCTGTAACAACTAATAGCATACTTTAGTATTTCTGTCTTGTACAGCAGTATATTTGAAATATACAGATACTTCTAGTGAGTAGTGAGTGGTTCGGAAACTCCGAGTCCGATAGATCCAAGAGCCTGGTCAATCAATGTAGATCTCTCGATTCACTACTAACTTTATTTAGGAGAGCTTTCTTTAATTATTTAATCCACTAGCTAGCGCATGTACGTATCGATAGATCATTCGAACTCAACTACATACATTTTATGCATGACTTGGTTTTATCCCATCAACAGAGCTAAAGAGTACCTAGGTATGGCCCTTAGCCGACATATTCAACACGAGATGTCCACTCTGGGTCGCCTCGTAACGCTGCAATGTCTGACTCTCCAAGGCAGACAAGTGCATCAACATCGCCCTCTACTGTCTGGGGCATCACATATATAGTGCTTGGGATGGGCGTAAACGTAGGTCTGCGAGCCAAGGTTGGCTTTCCCAAAAGCCCAAAGTCTGCGTGGTATAGCGGAACAGAGGCCATGGAGGATGTTCCCATGTCTGTCTCAGGGTTGAACTTGCCTGCATACGCGATATTGCTCTTGTTCTTGTGTCGTGAAACAAAGGTAGTAAAGCTGCGGACGAAATCGACGTCGATCTCGTTGAGTGTTTTGCGCAATTCCGAGGCTACTGCAGCCAGTGGTAGGGTTGTCACTTGTTGAAATGAAAGCCAAGTGCTGGCGTTGCTCACTGATACGCCCATGTAGTCGAATGGAATTCCCATGATTTTGCGGATATCAACTGCTCGAGTAAACTTGGACAAATCATCGGGCGTTTGGCGCCGACGAAGGCGAACAGACGTGATACGTTTCCAAAGGAACGCACACAGCGCATCGTCCCGTGAGATGAACGGTACTGTCAAGTTTGTTGGATCGCTGGCTTCGGCCTTGATAGCGCTTAGATTTGAAGCAGAGAAGCGGAAGAAGCACCAAGTCAACGGTGAAGGGGAAGGAGGGCGCACTGCCGGGGGTGGAGGTCGGATCAAATGGCTGTGATCGAGTAGCGGTTCATCAGGTCCTAGCAGTGGGATGATTGTTCTGCGGTCCAAGTTGGCAGCTTTGATGGCGCTCTCCGGTAGCTCTTGTCCTCTTAGAGCTGTTGCAATCAAGTTCAGCATCGCTAGAATGCCACCGCCATCCGAGAGGTTGTGCTGAGCCGCGACATCCAGTATTAAGCCCCCTTTCAGAAAATTGGCCTGAATCAACACGGCCGGCGCAGGGTCTGTTTCGGACTCTTGGTAGCTGAGTGGGAAGGCATTCTTTGGTCCAATCACATCTCCGTTCAGCATCGTAGTTGGCCCTCGTGCGGCCACAATCTCGGGGTAAGGGGCTAAAAGATCTGTGCAGTCTTTCACACGCAGAATGGAATTTGGAGGCGAAAACTCGGGGCAAGGAACGCTCTGGAAGAGACCGCTGCTGTCTGGTCCACTGCCGACATTGACGACTTTACCTCCCAACCAGGGAATGGCAGTAGTGAGCTTGATAGTCGCCGACTCTAGTGCCTGAACTATCTTGTCGCGATCGATGTCTTCTTGCAGTGTGAATCCCACCATGATGTGGTTGTATGCTTTCAACAAAGGAAGCTGACCCAAAACATCCTGAGTTCGTGCTGGGTCATCCATTTTCAATGACTCTTGGACAGTTATTCCACTTGTTTGGAGTTCTGTGGTTCTTGTTTCGTGACTAAATTCGTGTGCGAGAATCTTCAATTACGTTGCAGGAATCGTTATATACCTGGGCAGTCGCCCAATATATATCAACCTAGTCGCCATAATGTCTGGTGCTGTTGAATCCAAGGTAGTGACTGTCTAGCTTTAGTTTTGGACCCTACATTAGTATATACGAGAAAGTTGAAGCCAAAGTCACGAACCATGCACTCTCCATGGGTATGGCAGGCTATACTGTAGCGGACAAAACTCCGAGGCAAAACTCCGATCCGGCTCAACAACAGTAGAAGCTCCCTTGATTGACAATAGACAGGCCTTCGGATACCGTATACATGAGGCCTTCTAGGGAGTGATAATCTGGACAAATAAGAAACGAATTAATCCATATATACATGCTCATAAATCCCAAACTTGGCTAGTTTATGCACTCATACGGTGCCCGGGACGACGCCGGAACGCAGGTTAGTACGGTTAAAAAATACTAATAGACGTGTATCCTAAGCATCAGTCAAAGCTGCATAGGTATTCATCATTCATATCTGCGTATTCGCCAAAATCAGGCTGTTCTTTGCTATTCACAAGAAGACATAAGCACCATGCCGCCTCCTCGTGGAACACAAAACATCCTAGAAGGCCCTGGTCAGTATTAACATATTCAGCACTAGATATAAATCTAGTTAGAAGGGGCTGAAGCTGATTTTCGAAACTAGGCGACTACGATGTGACGTCAATCGTGCACAGCGATTCCTACGCAGCCATCGATCCTCGCCAATTCGACTTCTCTGGCAAGGCTGTCTTCGTCACCGGTGCCTCGCGAGGCCTCGGCCGTGAGATGGTCCTGGCATATGCGCGAGCTGGAGCTTCATTCATTGCCGCTGGTGCACGCTCGGATATGTCTCAACTGGCGAAAGATGTATCTGCGGTGGCGGCGTCGGCTAAACGAAATGCTCCAAAATTCTTGCAAATAGATCTTGACGTGGCGGATCCAAACAGCGTACAAGAGGCGGCAGTAACGGTTGAGCGAGAATTTGGTCGCTGTGATATCGTTATCAACAATGCCGGCTTGCTAGGCACGCATGGAGGCATTGCTGCTACTGATCCAGAGGAGTGGTGGAACATCATGACTGTTAATCTCAGAGGTCCATATTTGGTCGCTCGTTCGTTTCTCCCATTGCTCGTCAAAAGCCCCAATCCGTATATCATTCAGGTCACCAGTGTTGCTGCCCACCTGCTCAACCCAACATTGACTGCCTACCAGACATCCAAGGCGTCCTTGTTGCGTTTCACCCAGCTTATTCACGCGGAGTACGGCAAGCAAGGTGTTACTGCTTTTGCCATTCACCCAGGTAACTGCCCAACCGACATGATGGGTGGGCCGGAAGGGTTGCATGATTTTGAGAAACATAGTGAGTATTTCCCCTTGTCCCATCATTGGATACCTAGATATTATGTCTGAGGTGTTTACGCTCCATTCGATCAGAAAAGCAGATGTGCTAACCTTACATTTTCTTTGCACCATAGTCTTCGTCGACTCGCTGGACCTGGGTGCCAACACCCTGGTATACATCACTTCGGAGAAACGCGAGTGGCTGGGCGGTCGATACATTAATGCAACCTGGGACATGCCTGAACTAGAAGCAAAGAAAGATGAAATCGTCCAAGGGGACAAGCTCGTAAATAAGTTTGTCTTCTAGATAGAGCTGAATGCAGTAGACCTCAGGGTAAGCAAGGTTAAGACGTCTATGTGATCAATTATACGCATCGAGAGATCTACTAAACTGTCAATGTGCGTGAAACGATGCATACCCGCGGACATCGATCTCATTTCTTTACATATAAATTGTACACAGGAAATACGATCGCTGTTTAAAAAGAAACGAAGATTGTTTGCTTTGCTCTATTTGTAGTAGGTCTAAGCCATACGTAACTACCGTCAATGCGGAACTTGATGCAATTGAACTTGACATTTTGTATAAGTTCCTACGCGATCCATTCATAATAATAAGAATAGCACCGACTTATGGCTACAAAACAGTTAGCTTATCCTTTTGTTCATGATGTGTGAGGCCCACCAGATTTTCAACAAACCATTCCACTAGTTCCGTTTCTTGCCCGAACCAAGATTCTTGCCTTGGTAGAATGGAGTCGTCCGAGAAAGTTTGAGCACGGTCGAAGTCGATCCACAGAACCATGTCTTCCTAATCCGAGACCATCATATTTCTAGGCATTGGGTCGCCGTGGAGAACTTTCGCCTCGTGCATATCATAGAGGATTTGGAGGAGCTTGGCAAGACGTTGTTTGGAAAAGTTGGAAAGATCTGTCTGTTGCAAGTCCGGGATATATTCGATGACAACAGCATTAGGTGGCAGCTCATCATTCAGAAACATATCTAGACTTTGCCAAAGTGCTGGTTGCAATTCTGTAATCACTCCGTAGAAATCGGGGATAAGCCTCCTCTCGCAGAAACCCCTCGCCTTCAACCGTCGATATGCGGTGGATTTTCAAATAAATGCATTGATTTCGCGAAGCGGTAGATGCCGTTCAGCCGGTACAATGTCGCGGTACTCTCGCACTTAGTGACAGGTCCTGAATAATATAGTTATCCTAAGCTTACCACCTTCGTAATACAGGGTCTGTCGGAAATAGTCACTTTGAAAACCGCCGAGTCATCACTCTCCTTCAGCTTTTTGCAGGAACCTGACCTGTGAGGGTTCCACCTGAATTTCGTCGCACATCACGAGAAATATTCCGTATTTAGCACCGGCTTGTTCGTCGGTGATTGCGAGATGATACTGTTAGAAGCTAGCTTACTTAGAGGATCTACCTTTCAAATCTCTTAACTAACAGTGTACAATGCGCCAGTACCTGATTATCACTAGTGACCTTTAAACAAACACGTCAGCAATAGCAAAGCTGCTGCGTTAAAATCGTCGGATACCGAAGGTTGTGACACGAGGCTATTTTGGGCTTTTCAAAAAATTTATTTCTCTCACTGCGTAGTGAAGAAGAGGTACAAATCACCACAACTAGTGTGCTTTTGTACATTAGACGATCCGGTGATATTCAAGGCAGTTTTAGAGTGGCCCATGGTGAAGAAAATTGCCTAAAGAGGCGAACCCTTATCGAGACCTAAATGGGCCGAATCAATACATATCTAGCAAATTAGAAATTCTCCAAATTTTTAGCAACGGTGTATACTATCTGCCTACTTGTCCATTTTTGGGTAGTCCTCGGTATTTTGATACCGAATTCACAGACCTCGCCTATAACTACTCCATGGACCCAACACTTAGAATGTGGGCCGATGGCTGCTTAAAGACCCCATTACGCGGTGGCTTATCGCACTTGAGTAGGATTGAGATTCTGTGAACTATGATTCGTGCCATGCGCGCGAATCAAAATTATCGTTCACCAGTAAACGGCCGTTTGCGTGAACTTCTCCTGTACACGGAAAGGTTCGAAACAGCCTTTGTATAACATCCATCATTCCATCCTCAGGCGGGTCCCAACTAGTCGACTTGAACTCGGTATATTGTATCATTTGCCATTTACCGAAGGATAAACCCTTGTATGTCGTGGTGACTGCTTGAGAATCCTTGCCGGTTTCTCTTTTAGCCACCTTAAGCCAGGTGGGTAAAAGTTGCACTATGCAATGTTTTCTCCGTAATTTTGAAAGATTATCAGTCATCTTCATCGATGATGCAGAATTCAGAGTACTCGACCCGCCATGACCAGGGCTAATACATGCGTTAACACTACGTCTCCGGTAACAGTCAAGACACTTGTAACTGCAGCAAAATAACTAGTGCATATGTCTAACAAACTTACTCGGGCCGTTCAGATTATGGCGGGAGCTACTGTAGCATTAGGACTCGGATTCCAATGTCTAGATCTTCATGTTCAATGGCTAGTCTTGAGAAAGTGGCAAGGAAACAACTGCTCAATTCGTATTTCCGATATAGACCAGAGCAAACGGGTTAAAGATTATACCACTTCGGGTGGAATTTCCAGAACGAAAATACATAATCAAGTGTCAAAAGTTGTAAGTTAAGTTGCAAGTTGAAGGATTCTAGTACACTGCATTGTACATCCTTTTGGCTCCCTAGTAGCGAGAAAATAGGATCATCACGGACATATTGACTTTCATGGTTTACCTTTTTGTAGTTTTATATTCTAGGGTGCCTAGTTGCAAGAAGTCTTATACATGAAACTATTCTTCAGCGATATAATGGATTCAGATGAGAACTTACAAAACACAAAAAGCATGTTTCTATCTATGCCAACCTTGGAAGTCTTCTGTAAGGTGAACCTTGGGGCGTATTTATTTACCACAAATGAATAGAAAAAAGAAAGATAAACACAGGATCCCCACGAGAACACTCCAAGACCAAATTGAAGTTCTTTTCTATAGCAATCCCATGAAGTCGTGACCATAAGAATAGGGCAAGATTCCAAGGGAAGAATCACAAAGCAAACACCACATATTGCGGGACACAAGTAAGTACGATTCAAAACCCACCGTAGCCAGCTTGTCCCATATTCCAGTGGAAATCTATTTGTCTATCATCTATTGGCGTCGAATATTCCATAGTTTCTAAAGCGGCAAATGGCGGAATTTCGATGGATGCAGGGTTAGAAGTGATCTGGGAAAGATCCAAACTCTCACTGCCAATAACCAGTGATCTGCTTGTGCATGTGCTACCATCTGACTCCAGAGCCAGAAGAAAGTTCCGGGCTAAGTTGTTTACGGACTGCAAGTTGCGTAGAGCATCCGTGATTTCTTTCAGTTGAATGTCGAAGTAAGAGCTGTTATCTTCTTCTCGGTGAAAAGTGAAGAATTCAGCACAGATGTAAAGGCAGATCGGGGTAAATGGGTGTATCTGAATGGAATCGTTAGCAAGCAGCATAAGGCTAGAATGCATCATGCCAGTCAAAGGTGTAAACAAACCTTGCATTGGGTGAAGAGAGATAGTGCTCTTGTAATATTAACAATCTCATCGGCGGCTTTTTTGGCTCGTTGTTTGTATTCCATAAACTTGACAGAACTTTCAAGCGTGTGGCATGGCATAGTATCGATGATTTTATACAGGAACAAAACCGCAGTGTTTGCTACCAATTCAGTGAAGATTAGCATTGGGTCAATATTCTGAGAAGCCGGAGGATATTTCAGATTCAAAATCTTGATTCTTTGCGTGAGAATGTTGTCAATCCAGCAATGTCGATCCCAAAAGTCCTGGGAGACGTGGCCATAAACTCGCTCCACAGACGCACAATGCTTATGTAGCAAGGCGCGTCCGCAGATAGTCGCCAGTATAATACATTCAGAAAAAGGCGACAGCGCTGTGGGATCTAATGCAGTAATTTCTTCTGACAGGAATCTCATTTGTACACGCTGTACACTTTGAAACTCGCTATCGCCCGCAGGCAATCTTGTAAGAATCTGTAAAGGACAGTCAATAAACGAAAGCAGTTGGTGCACGTATAGTTCTTGGGCCGGTGACATACTACTTGTTCATTCAATGTCAACGGTAGTCCATTCTGCACGCTAATGAACCGATCCAGCAAATAGGCCATCCAAAATGTTCGCCTCTTTTCCTCGAGCTGAACCCAGTCATCTGTTAGAGATTGAGCCAGCATTGTATCTGATCCGTCAATCTCGAATAGCCGCATAAGTTGAACAAGTCGAAAGGCGCGCCCTGCACTGATCCAGCCGCGGCGTGAGTGACTGTTCGTGACCTCATACAGCACCAGAAGAATCCAGGCCTGAACCTGCTCAATATCAATGCCGTCGACTTCATTGTCTTTTGTATCAAGTACTTCAAGCATCTGTCGTGTTTCGTTATACAAAATGTCACATACACTTTGGAATTGTCTCGAGCATGATGCTGCCAGAATCCACATTGTATATTGCAGACAAGTTCGTGCCATGGACTGGCCTGGTACCCTAGTCCAGGTAAAATAGCGTCGCTGATGTAGCATTGGAACAACAGGATGTACTCTATCGAAATAAATCTGATTCCTGTAAGATCAAACCTTAGCAAATGTCGACTTGTGCTAGTATCAAATGCTGGTGCATACAATTCAGCCTTCATCCATGTAGGCAGACGAGTTCCAGTTGTACCACCATCGCTTTCCTGCAAGGTCTGTTGTGGTTGAGTATCAAAATCCTTCTCAGGGTGTGACGGTGGATCTTCTGCAGTATCTTGTATAGCCACCAAAGCTTCAGACTGGATGGAGTTGATGGCCTGTTCTGTTAGACGGCTTTCAAGAGCCGCTGTATTTGTCTAGTTAGCCATGAATTCCAGTGAAGCTTTGTATTCAACATTATATGGTGATTTCTTACCTACTCGATTTTGGAGAGCCTTGAATTGGCCTCGCTTGGGCCCCCGCGGTGGCCGCAAGGGCGTGATGTGACATTCGACTCCGGTTTCTGCACACACGCCGCACCGTGGTTGTTGACGGTCACAGCGCAGCTTTCGGCGTCGACATTCCTCACAGGCTGACCCGGGCTGTTGTCGAGGTCGAGGAACTGCTCCTTGATCTGAGCTAGGTGAGGAAGACATGGCGGATGGTGGAACAAGGAAAATTTCCCGGGATGGGGAGAAAAAGATCGCAAGGACTGTTATATCTGCTAGTAATGCCTTGTTATAAAGAAAGATGCAATGAGACACTCGGATATCAATGCAAATATGTCTAGACAGAAAATATAAAACTTTGGAAGATATGACCTCGTGGACAACACTACCTAGGTAGTTCAACTATATTACAGTCCAAGGTCGGAATGCCGTTATGTACCTTTCTTATTCCCGTACGTTTAGAGTGTATGAGGGCTGAATTATCCATCACTATTAACAGCTGAATACCTGGTTCAAGAGACATGGGTTCTTTTTGGGGCCATCTTGCGTCCCACGTGGATGTTAACAGTCGACGAGGGTCTTTCTGTCATTCCATGTAAACGCCTCATCCTCTATGCTCTAGCCCCATCACACGAATGGAAAATCACCGTAGACGACCAGGCTGCATGTATGGTCATCCTCTGCGTTAATAGGATGCGCTGTGGTGCAGAGCCCACACCATTGAATTAATTAGGCTAGGAGTAGATACACGGGCGGTTTGAAGATCCCGAACGGCTCTAGTTTTAGAATCTCTACACATTGAAATTTTTCTATTGTAATCAATACACTTACAAGGCGATTTCAAGTATTTTCGGTTCGTATACTGACTATTTGAATAATTGATATTAGAATTGAATCGGTGTAGTTTACCACAACCATAGTGTAGTCCTTGACTAAGAGTCGTCCTTCAGCTAAAATTTAGCCCGCATGTTTAGAAACGCATCTACTGAAGAATTCAGAGGACGAAGTACCATCCCCGCTTTGACAGTATAGATCAAGCTATCTCATGGGTCAATGAATAAACTGCAAGAACACTATCATGCTTTGAGTTCGTAGTATTTCAACATGGATGCTTCAGCTCTTGGCAAGACGGATATAAACGGAGACCAGATTAGCCTATACGTACGTATGAGAGGGTAAGTTATCCTGTCGATGGGAAGTAAGTTACGTGCTGGTTAACTATCATGTAAAAGTTCATTCCCATCCACCTAGATATCGATTCCCATAGCCCGGTCGATGTGATAGGTAACAAATGTTGACCCACCACTCTGCTTGTCATAGAGGACAAGATGACAGCAATACGAGCAGATTTTCTTGCATCAAGATAAAAAATATTGTCCAATGAAGCCGTAGTATTAGGTACTTCCCACACATTTACACTATCTCATTCACTTTTCATATCCTAATTCCTAGGCTAAACCCCCAATGGACAACAGACTGGAAGCAAGTACCTTTGGGAAAATAAACTTTAATTCGTATCTGAATAAACTGCTCAATAGCCGTCTAATCGACAGAGACAAGGACAGCCATTGTTCGGGCGTTTTGAATTGGGCGGGTAGCAGAAAAACGATATATATTCTATATTAGGTAGGGACACGATATACCTCAACATGTATAGTCAGATTGAGGCGCACATCGTAATTATTAGGATACGGAGTACTTCCTAAGATGGTAATCCGTCTAAATCATGATCTATTCATGCCGCCAAGCTATAAGATACGTGTGGAATAAGTATGTAACCTTACGCGTATTCCATACGTTCGCAATGTACAGCGTATTGTAACAATACAGTAATAATATACACCATAAAATACGTACAGCAACCCTAAATAGCTAAATGGAGGTGTGGTGGACCCACAGCGTGCCTTAGCGGCCGCAGTCGGGTCCAAACTCCTCAACTTTAAATTGGATCGCTGTTAATGTTTTGGATTTGCCCGCGCGCAATCGATGAGTAGGTGCAAACTCAAATCCTTAATTTGGTTCCCCGTATAATATAGAATTGTGGCCGAGGCAAAATTTCCCTTTGATGTGAGTCACAGCGCGTCGTATAAAACTGTCTGTCGTCCTATCGGCATTACATTTCCTCCGAGGAGGCGCGGCGATCGCGGAGCAATGCGCGGAGGATCGGCGTCGAGATCAGATCTATGAATATCTCTCGGTTGACCAATCAGATCCTGCTACATATACGAGCTTCTCAGACTACTTCATCTTGGCACAGCGTTCTGGCGTCGGACAGCGTCGATTTATTGTCGAACGTACGAGCATCCGAAGCGCCACAATATTTCATCGCATACCCTTGGCGGCCCCAATGCCTAGACGTGAGCAACAGGTAATAGCTGTCAGAGAATAGTCTTGATACTGATGACCAGATACCGACATTGCCGCTAGAACCCGCTCCCCTGTTTTTACTATAGTTTCTAGCTGGGGCTAGAATCTTCTAGGTGAATATCCAGAAATCCAACGTCAGCCGTTGTAAGAATATACCATTCCTCCGTACATCCGGCGTATCTATATGTGCCAAGTTCCTAATTAATCTAATTTCTTAGAGAGCTAATAAAACTCCGCAATTCTGTTGGGTTTGTTCCACAAAAGCTAAATGTTACTTTGAAAAATAACCGACAGCACCACTGAAACAATAAGTGCAAAAGCAAATCACAGAAAAAGACCCCATCTTTAGGGGCCAACTTGCCCCAAAATTTTACTAGATGACCACTGCACCTGCAGCATCTCACCTAGAATTGGACTCTGAGTCAACTCCAGAGCTTCCTGCAAGTATTCCTCATCAATCGAGAATGGCCTTGCCATGACATTAGGGATCCACCTTCCGAGGAGACGATCCAGGCGCACGTTTTCTTCTGGGATTCTCCGCTGTAAGATCTTGCGATACGAAGCCACAGATTGACGGAGAAAAGACGAATGAAAAGGCACGTCAATTCCCGGAATTGGAATTGTCCCCTTGCCGCGCTTTAGTCGGATGGGGCTAGGCAGCTTGCGTGCTTCTAGAAGACTCCCAGATATTCTTTGACCAATTGTGGTTGTAGCAAGGTCATCTTTTGTTGTCATAATTTCTCCCAACATTTCTGCCCCATGGGGCTCTGACGCTAGATAGCTGAGCACATTTTCTAAAACATGCAGGTTGTGTAACTGTAGAAGCGAGGGAGTGAAACAAAGCAGTTAGCTTTTTTTTCCGACCCTAATGATGTTATTGGCAAGAATAGGAAGCCAAGCTTACAGTTCCTGCACAAACATATTGCTCATTCTCCACGTTCAAGTTGACTGTTTCGATCAGTTCGTTGCTTTGTGTTGCAATCATGTGAACTATTTGACGCAAGGATTCATCGTTGAAAACTAAAGTCACACAAGCCACACATGATTAGCGCTTGATAACATAACTGATAAGAAAAGATTGCATGTCATACATTTTCCTACGCGCTGTGGATTGGCTGCTATCATGCCGTAGTTTGTCTCTCCATTTGCATCTCTTTCCATGGCGAACTGCAGCGATAAACCACGATAGAATGCAAGCTCCATTAACTCTTTGGTTGTCATAAACCCCGAAAACGCGAGCAAGGCACCATATTCGCCGAGCGAGTGTCCTGCAAAGAATGAATGCGAGGGAACTAACCCCCGACTCTTCATGTCTTCAAACATGATTTTTTCCACCAACACAATGGCTGGCTGCGCGAAGCTCGAGAAAAATAGCAGACCAGCGGGACAGGAGAAGGTGTAGGACTGTGAATCTCGCGTGAGGCCAGGAAGCAAAGTCTTTCGAATTGTGCGCCCATCTGGCGTGGTAATTTCGGTCTCCATTGAAAGATAGTTCTCACGCAGCTGGTGACCTCGTCTGCCTCCAAAATGGATCGTCATGGTTTTAGGATTATTTGTGACAATGTCAATGACGGACCAGCCTATGGACAGCAATAGTTAGTAAAGTTATTCAAGGTAAGATGGTTGAAAATCGTACCGAATCGTTCGAATATATGCGCATCTATTTCATCCCATATCTTCTGGGCTACTTCGCTGGTCTTGTAAAGTTCCATGCCCATGCCAGGAAGCTGGCTCCCCTGTCCTGTAAAGAAAAACACAGACTGGGGTTGTTCCACCTCAGCCTCTGCTTCCAATACAAGATCTTCGCTCCCTGCTTTGAAAGCAGAAACTTTGAATACCAGACGGCCATCAATAGCCCCGACGTGCTTTAGACGGACAAGAAGACGGTCCCCGGGAAGCACCATGTCGGTAAATGTAGCGGAGAATCTTCGTAACCGCTGTCGCTCACCATCCAAAGATAAATGTTCCACGGCACTTACTGCAATGGCTGAAGTAAACATTCCTTGGCTGATAGTGCCGGGAAGCTCGGCCCAGTGTGAGTAAACAGATGACATGTGAATAGGATTGTAGTCCCGGGATACACGTGTGTACATTTCGTTGTTACTAGGCATCTGGACCTCTACTGAGGACACTCCAGCCCAGCCTGGGCTTGCCAAATCCATCTTCGATACATATTTCCTTCCCTTGCGCTGTAGGAACTCAACAATAGGGTTCCCTATGCATTCGCCATGCTGGAATTCCACGCAACCAATCTTCTGGGTCTCCCCTCGGTTATTTCTCCGGGATATTGTTCCTGATACATGTAGAGTTTCGAATATCGTTTTGCTCTTCCAGGTAACTTCTGACCGCAGCTTGAATAGCAGCGTTTTTCCCACTAGAGGAATCGACGGGTCATCAAGATGGACCCATTCACGATCCCTGATAACTGCCTCATCTTGCTCCGAAGCTACTTCTAGGATCATATCCGGCTCTTCAGTATCACTGAATGTTGACTGGAAGTCGTTAAACACGCCCTTGAAAAGGAAGGTGGATGTGACCTTCATAACTGGGCGATCAGAGCAGATAATGTGCCCTTCAACGGTAACATGTTTACCAGCATCCTCAATATATACAGCCCGAACGTTTCCCTTTGATTTGATAACGTCGCCAACCCGGAGAGCTGGAGCGCCAGTAAAATATTCAAAAGTGTTAGATTGATGGACGAGTCGGAGTAGATTTCCCGGAATGGTTTTGAGAACGATAGGTTTTGCAACAGCGTCCCATGCACCAATAATGCCGACACTTATAGGGAAGACATCAGAACTACCGAGAATATTTTTTCCGTTGGGGTATGTCCTCCCAGTAGTGTCAACAATGTCTTCAAGTAGTCTTGGTGTGAGCGTCAATTCCGGGCCCCAGAATGTGGAGCGGATATCGGTCGTCGATTCACTCACATCCTCTCCAAACCATATCTTGCTATAGAATGATTTCATGATAATGTCATGCCCAGCAGTAACCTCTTTAATCCCGTACGGAATTAGTGTGGAGTCGTACTGGAATTTCAGTGGCAAAACAACAGGCTCGTTGCTGTGAGCGCTAGGCAAGCTTAACTCAACCGAGATATCTTTGTCGTTGTTGCATGTAATTTTAATGACAGACTTGCTTCCTGAGCTGTCCTCATTCTCGATACTAAAGGTAATTATTGAGGATTCAGAGTCGACGTCAACAGTACCCCTAGAACCACGCTGGATAAGTCGCCGGAATGGGTTGACTTTGCGATCTGTACCGTGGAGAATGTACTCATCCATAAACAAAGACCGGATCCATGGATTGCCCATTTTCGCCAGAATGAAAACAGTAGAGAGCATCAGACCTTCTGTGTCCCCAGCAATACTGTCCACTGGGGTCAAGGTTTCGCCCCGGAAGTCTGACTCTGGAGTAGCCACGTACCAACCCTCGGAGGAGAGGCTGGCATTCTCCGACTGAGTTGTCAATCCCCCCGGGTAGAAGTCATGTCGGACTTTTTCAATGAGCCCATTGTGTATTTTGTCTAGTATATCCTTTGCAGACTCATCATCAGTCTTGCAGTACTGGGCTGCGACGGGTCCGTGAAGAATGCAACACCGGCCGGCATCCTGACCGATAACGGCTTCAATATCTTCTGATTGCCAAAGAGAGTCTTTCTTAAAGAAAGTTTCGAAGTCGTCATCAATGCATGGAATAAAGTTTACCGGCTTCTGTCCGCGCGATTTGCATCTGAGAATGAAGTAGGTGATGTCTTCAGGGTTGGTCAACTTCGTAGTTGCTTGCGGGCAGCATCGAGTGAAATCTTCGATGAAATGGTGAGGGTCTTGCAAGGCATGGACAGAAATATCAATTTCTTCCATGCTTGGTAGTCTCTCCAACGTACGAGTAACGAAGTCTATTACCAACTGGGTGTATGAAGGGGAAATCCAGCGGTCCTGGTGGCTAACATGCATGAGTGACACCAAACGCCGCAGGACTTCAATATATGTCATCTCTTCGAGATCGACGGCTTCGCCATCAGAGTTCTGACCAAACCAAGGCTTAGCAAAGTCTGCATTCAATCTCTTGATGATGTATTGCTTTTTCTTCAGAAGAGCCTCGACACGACTCTTGCGAGGAAGACTGAAGATTGTCTTATCAAGCTCGTGCCAGAAGAGAACGCCTCGTGTGGCTAATTTATGAATTGGTTGACCCATTTCAGAAATAACAGTGACGACACCACCCGCAGAACCATCATATGTTTTCTCCCAGTCTGCTTCATTGACTCCGGGGGCTTCTATAATCAACTTCTTCACTGCGGGGGACGTATGGGCCTCGCGGGCAATCATCATACGACTTCCGAGAAGCACACCATCAAATGGCATAGCAGGGTATCCCAGACGAGTAGACCAGCTACCAGAGATATATGGATATGAGTCTTCATAACTGCCGAAACCGCTTCCAGCTACCAAGGTAATATTCGAGCATCTGCGAATGCTAGAGTACGTGCGAAGAATTGGGGCATGGAAGTCTTCATAGGAGTGATGCCCCCCACCACGGCCACCAGTCCACTGTAGGATAATGGGAAAATGTGGTTGCGCTTTAGCAATTTCGATTACTTCTCGGATAGCAGGGACTGACCCAGGCTTGAGAGAGATATGTTTTAGACCGAGACTGGTAATATAATCGTTCATGATCTCTTGTGAGGGCACACCGGCGCCAATAGTTAGACCGTCCACGGCAACACCTTGTTGGGCTAACCGACGAAGCATGGCAATTTGCCAGGTCATCGCCTGGGGGCTAGAATATATCAAATTGCATGTAATACCTCTTCCCACAGGCACGCTGCTTTTGACCTTTTCAATGGCAGCTGACATTTCCTCGGCGTTGTAATAGCCACCGCTGGCGAGCTCGGTGTGATATCCAGCGTTCATGATCGCAGATACAAAGTCCCAATGGACGGTTGTAGGCGTCATGCCAGCAACGAAGACTGGTGGAGTTCCTATTAATTTACTAAGTTTCGTCTCCAATCGCACTTCTCCCGATGCAGACTGTGTGAGACGAGGCTGGTATTTCTCTGCCCAGCTTTCGACTTTGGTGGATGTGGCCAAGAGCAACGGCGAGAACAAGTCCAGTTTCGTGCCGATTTCTGGGTCTCTCGTCTCAAACTCGCTTCCGCTAATAACTCTGACCCCTTTCCCATCGACAAGTTTCATCACCAAGTCTGGCACACCCCCACTTCCAAAGGTGATAATGTGTGAAGCAGTTGAGGGCTCCAGGGCAGCTGGCCAATTGCAAGCCTGTGAGCAAATGGCATCAACCAGCTCATCGAGCACATTTGTTTCAGGGGCGTGGTAACGCAGGTCGTTACTATTCCTGTTGTCATACACAGGAATCTTGAGCATCCTAGGAGTAATGTTCAAAGATTTCAAACGTTCCTTAACGTTCGTGGCTGCTGTGCAGAGGTATTTGGTGTGAAATGGAACGCTTATTGGAAGAAACTGGCATTGGATTGTTGGTTTCCGCTTACTGTACGGGATGCGGTTTTGCCCCATCTCATGGTCGACTTTAATCGATTGTAGATATCTGGCGAGGAACACGAGAGAATGCGCAGGACCACCGATGACGAAGTTATCACGGGTGTTGGTTAGAGCCACATCTACTTGAGTAGTTGGTGGCAGCGTCTTATTGAACGTGGAGAGAATCTTGTCCAGACGATGTTTTTCTAGTCCGACAACACTCAACATGCATGAAGGTTGACCTTGGCCGTTGCTGATGCTCTCTTTGATCATGAGAGGCGACACAGATGACCGCGGAGATGCCTGATGGCATTCAAACCCGATCCAGAAGAGGGCCTCGGCAGCCATCAGTGCAGTACTGTAGAATGACTCCCATGTGTCTGCAATGGCTATGGCTGTGGCAACGACAATACCCTGTGAATGGCCAGTAGTACCTTGCAACAAGCCCCGAAGCTCACCAGGTGTTTTGCCAACAACTTTGCACGCAACGCAATAGTGAGCTAGACCTAGAACCCCAATAATTGGGCAACTAACTGTCACCGCTGAGATGAACTCGGTATTTGGAATTGCGGCGGGATCTCGGAGCCATGTCTGTAAGTCTAAGTAACGGCCACAGTAATGCTCGCGTGTTTCAGGTAGACGTGACAAACGGCTCAACACCGGGGCTATGGTATCAATGAGGTCTCTAAGGAGGGGTGTGTATGTAGTGTAAAGATCACTAAGTTCCTTAAAACTTGTCGCATTTGCTGTTCCCTGTCCACCAAAGATTGCATACAGATGAGCCTGTCCAATGTTGGCAGCTTCCAACAAGGCGCTTGGTAGAATATTGATGGATTCCGCTCGAACGAGAGAAACGGCATTGTAATAAATGTTGAGCAGGGAATTCCGAGATTGTGGTGAAATCCTTGACGAATTCATTAAACGATGTGGTTCGGATTGAATAAGGAACTTGTTCTCGAAGCCTTGGAGAAATGAACGAATGGAGGACGAGGAATGACTGTTGTATACGAGATATTGAAGAAATATCAAAGCTAACTCGACTTCTGAACCGACAGGCTGTCGAGCGGAAGAAGCCTGTTCCGTAAGGAACAAATCTCTTTGGTCTTTTAGATGCTCCAGGTCCTCTTGATTGACGGGAATCTTGCTTTGGACATTGTCAAGCACCAGAGAGAACTCCCCATCGAGAATGCTAGGGCATATCTCAGACGATGGCGTGTCCATGGCGCGTTCTGAACAATCAAGCTCATTAACAAGAAAGGAAGTTCAAGCGGAAGGATCGGTTGAGCATGGACAAAACGAAAGAAGATTATTTGTAAGTCATATAATTTAAATAAGTGATAACTGCTTTCTGATGAGGACAAGAAGTGCCCTTACATGCAATCTTCTATCTGCGGGTTCTTAAGATCTTCGTTCCCACGTGAGCTTTGGGGCTTTTTGCACGAAACACTTGAATGCCAGCTCTTTCAGCCAACCACGTTTCTTCGATCATTCTGTGTGAGGCTACAAACACTGGCAACTCCGTATATCGCTACTTATTCCAGACATTATTCAGCCAGCTAAGGTTGAAACGTAAAAGCCCTTACAGCTCCGCACGTGGTTATTTGAAGATTGTTCCACTGCAGCTAGCTCTCGCATGGCCCTGGCAGCAAACTCAACTACAAACGAATATCTCCGACGGACCGGAGTCCTTTGCTGTCAAGCCACTTATCATCGCCTACTCGTACGTACTGTCCTAGAGATACCTGCGCTCAGCTCCGGGGGCCGGGTTCGGAGTTTGTGCCGGAGTTTTTGCGCATCCGACCCCAAACACTCGGTTGCCAGTGCTAATTGGGAGTTTAGAATCCTTCTAGAACAAATTAGAACTTACACTTTTAGGGTATCACCGATACGAGGTACGATAGCGTGAGATGCATTGAGCGTGGCTACTGCTTAGCCCCATGTAGATATCTGATGATATGCGGCAGGCAGATCTACCAAATATTTGTTGATATGGTCTCTACCTTCTACCTATAGTATCAAGTTTACAACCCTCGCGTTTTCCCAGTGCTGAAGAATAAGTTGGTTTAATCTTTCGACATATTAACTCTTTTACTTTGCGTATTTGCATTTTTGAAATGCGTTGAGCTTGATTGGACTCGCGCTCGAAGATCCCCAAGATGACTCAAAGCACTTTCGTTGGCGATGCTGGTTTTAAGAAGTCTAGTACCGAGAAAGATGACAGAGCAATTGCTCACAAACTCCTTATTGAGCTCCTATCGTGAGTTTATCTTTTCTCTATCTGTGTGCACTGCAGTCAATGCTAATAAGAAATAGGTACCAGCTCTCACTTCCAGTACGATGGTGAGTATAATCTTTTAACTATCTCACTTAGGAGCTCTAAGATTCTTATAAAGTCTAACCTTATGGTTGTAGGATTGAAACCCAAAAGTATTTGTTCAACGCCCCTGAATCTGTGAACAAATATGTCGAGATCGGCGCCAAAACAACGCTGGCTACCATGGCCAAACGTATGGCAGACCGACAACCAGCGGCGGAGCAACTATCAAAGTCTATGGATATACTTTCATACAGCGACCAGAAGGCAGATCTGTACTACGAATATAGCCCCGAGGCAGAGATACAGCTACAAACGTCGACGTCCTTAGAACCCCAAAATGTTACAAGCGAAGCTACCAACACGACTATATCAAATTCTGCCGTAGCTCCTGCAAAAGTTTCTCCATCTATAGCTCCAACTCCTGCCAGCTCTGCTGATGCTAAAATTTCGACTTTTCCCAAGGGCACAACAGATAATATCCCTAATATCTCGGCGACTCATATTGTTATAGCACTTACAGCTCAGAAGGTTAAAAAGCCCTTTGAGGCTTTGCCAATACAAAAGTCTATTCAAGAACTTTCTGGCGGTATGTATCCATGCAATCAAAACCAATATTCTTCTTACAAGAATGCTGTTTGTTTGGCGCTTGTTTCTATTCAATTTTGCTGATGAAATTCAAGGTAAATCAACCCTTCAAAATGAATTGATGGGCGATCTCGTCGTTGAATTTGTTTCTGTTCCAAATGGTGGTGAATATATGCCGTTGGAAACATTGGGTGAAACCCTGCAACAGGGCTTCAGCGGAAAGCCCGGTAAACAAATGTCCACTTTGATATCCAAACTCATATCGAGGAAAATGCCAGGCGGTTTCAATCAATCAATGATGCAGAATCACATTGAATCACATTGGGGCTTGAACAAGGGACAGTCAATTGTTCCAATCTGTCTTGCAGTTACCATGGAGCCACCTGCCCGTCTGGAACATGTGGAAAACGCTAAACAGTTCTTGGACGATGTTGTGACTCGATTTGCGTTGTTTTCTGGAACATCACTGTCTCCTAGAGCAACCGGTGATGGAGGTGCAAGTGACAGCCAGTCCACTGTCATGGTCGACTCTGCAGCTCTAGACAATCTTCGAAAAGAGCAGCGGGACTTCCAAATGAAAGAATTCAAACTTCTCGCCAAGCACCTTCAAATGGAAGGTAAGGACGACCAACAATTACAAACTCTGATAGCTTCAGGCAAAGCTATAGAAGAAAAGCTAAGCCGCTGGAGCGCTGAGTTTGACGACAATTTCTTCGACGGTATTGGCTCTCTGTTTGATCCAAGAAAGGCCAGACAGTACGATTCGTCTTGGAACTGGATTCGAGAAGAAACCGTTCGACTCTTCAATAAGCTCGCTCTTGGTCATATAGATTCCGAGGATCAGGGTCTCCAAATGCTAGCCCGGAAATGGGACGACAGTTGTGTTGAGATTGCACAAGACTTCCTCCGGAATATAGCTAGTTCAAAACGTGAAATTCCGATCAAAATTCAGGGAATTATTCAATTGAACTCGTCATTTGTGACTACTCAACCAGTTTACCGCTACTCCGGCCGAACTATGACACCCCTAACATATGTGTCTTCCACTACGGGCAACATTGAATACAAGGAGCTCCCACGGGACGTTTCTGAATATGTTGCCTTTTTAAAGAAAGGTCGCAGGACGGTCCACGGTGAAGACGTACCTTACGTGCATCTCCGAAAGCGACAGGCTGGCAATGGCGAATTCAGATATGACACGTCGTTGACAAAGATTTTCATAGAGATGTTAGAAGCTGGGGCCAGCTCTGGGCTCACATTTTCTGGCAAAACATTTCTAGTGACCGGCGCTGGACCCAAGTCAATCGGAGCTGGCGTGGTCGAGGGGCTGTTGAACGGTGGCGCCAAAGTAATAGTTACTACAAGTCGCGATATGTCCAACGGAGCTGACTTCTTCGCCAATATGTATCGTGCACATGGCGCACAAGGTTCATCTTTGAGCGTTATTCCGTTTAATCAAGCCAGCAGGAAGGACTGTGAAGAACTAGTTGAATACATCTATGGAGCCAATTCTCCCGTTGGGGGTGATATTGACTATATCGTTCCTTTTGGCGCTATTCCCGAGAAAGATGATATCAGCAAATTGGACAGCATGACCGAACTCGCTCATCGCGCAATGCTTACCAACATCCTGCGTATCATCGGACTCGTATATAAAACTAAAAGAGACCGTCGTATTGATTCCAGACCGACTAATGTTGTTATTCCCTTGTCATTTAATCAAGGTGGCTTCGGCGGTGACGGTCTATACCCAGAGTCTAAGTTGGGCTTGGAGACTCTGTTTAACCGATTCTATTCTGGCAACTGGCAAGAGTATCTCACAATTACCGGGGCTGTTATCGGTTGGGTTCGCGAGACCAGTTTATCACAAGCTCTAAGTTTGGTGGGCTACGCAATTGAACAGATTCCTGGACTCAACGTCTGCACGTTCTCTAGGGCGGAGATGGCTTTCAACATCCTCGCGTTGATGACTCCTGAAGTTACGGAGATGGCAGAAGATCATCCTGTCTATGCCGATCTGACCGGTGGTGCCAAGGAAATCACCAACATCAAAGACATCATGTCAGACTCGAGATCTAAGTTTACTACTGAGAGCAATATTCGGAGAGAGCTACTTGCGGAAAAGTCAAGGGAGCAAACTGTTCTTCGTGGTAGCGCGTCTCATATCGAAACAGACAAAAGAACTATTTCCCGCATTCGACGTGCAAACTTGAATCTTCAATTCCCAACATTGCCTGATCATTCTGACTTGACTGCTGATGTAGCGGAGTTGGAAGGCATGATTGACCTCTCACGGACGGCTGTCGTAGTCGGATATTCCGAGCTCGGTCCATGGGGCAATGCACGAACACGATGGGATGCGGAGCTTCGAGGAGATTTCACTCTTGAGGGTTACGTGGAAATGGCTTGGATTCTAGGCTTGGTCAAGCATCATAAAGGGCAGATCAATGACCAGGTTTACGTTGGCTGGGTCGATGCGAAGACGAAAGAACCTGTCCGTGAGGACAAATTCAAGGAGTTATATGGAGATCATATCATGAAGCACTCCGGCATTCGTTTCATTGAGCCTGAGTTATTAGGTGGCTACGACCCATCCAAAAAGGAGTTTATGCAAGAGATTGTGGTAGAGGACGATCTTCCTCCGTTTGAAACTTCTAAATCCAGCGCGGACGCCTTCAAGCTTCGTTTAGGCGAAAAGGTCTCTGTGCAACCTGTGCAGGAGTCAGAGGAATGGCAAGTGACTGTTCGAAAAGGAGCTCATTTTATGTTACCCAAGTCAGTACGTTTTGACAGGGCTGCGGCTGGTCTCCTACCCACCGGATGGGATCCTCTTCGATACGGTATCCCAGAGGATATTGTGCAACAGGTTGACCCCGTCACCTTATATACTCTTTGCTGTGTGTCAGAGGCTCTTCTTTCAGCTGGTATCACTGACCCATACGAGTTCTACAACCACATTCATGTTTCCGAATTAGCTAACTGCATTGGCACCGGTGCGGGTGCAATGTTAGCCAGTCGTGGGCTATACAGGGATCGCTTCCTTGATCGCCCTGTGCAAAGCGACATTTTATCTGAATCTTTCCTAAACACTACTTCTGCCTGGGTCAACATGCTTCTCTTCTCATCATCTGGGCCGATAAAAACACCCGTTGGAGCTTGTGCAACTTCTATTGAATCCCTGGAGATGGGTTGTGAGGCAATCAAGGCTGGAAAATCCAAAGTTGCTATTGTCGGAGGGTACGACGACTTTCAAGAGGAAGCATCGTATGAATTTGCTATGATGAAAGCCACAGTTAGCAGCGAAGAAGAGCTTGCCAGGGGTCGACGGCCAGCAGAGATGTCACGACCCAGCACTACATCGCGTGCTGGCTTTGTAGAATCCGCTGGTTGTGGAGTGCAAATTGTCATGAATGCTGAACTCGCAATAAGAATGGGTCTGCCGATTTACGCCGTAGTCGCGTACTCCCAAATTGCGGCAGACCAGAACGGCCGTTCTATTCCAGCCCCTGGCCAGGGTATCCTGACTGCTGCCCGAGAATTTCCAAACCGTCATGAATCAAAGTTGTTGGATCTGAGCCACCGACGAAAACTCTTTTATGACGACATTGCTAATATTGACAAGTGGTGGCACGAGAAGAGCCAAACTGCTGAGCACTGCGATATTAGTCTAGACGAGATTCAAGCTGCTGCCCGCAGCAAGATCAAGCAAGCACAGTACATGTGGGGAAATGATATCCGATCTCAAGACCCGCTTATTTCACCTATCCGAGCAGCTTTGGCAACATGGGGATTGACTGTGGATGATATCCAGGTAGCATCCATGCATGGAACGTCAACCAAGGCGAATGACACAAATGAGGCACAGGTTATCAACGACCAAATGAAGCATCTCGGACGTCGTCTAGGCAATCCTCTTCTAGCAGTGTGTCAAAAGTCTCTCACGGGACATCCCAAGGGTGCAGCAGGTGCATGGCAAATGAATGGTTGCATCCAGATGCTGCAGAACAGGGTTGTGCCTGGTAACCGAAACGCGGATAATATTGAAATCAAACTCAAGCAGAACAAATACATTGTCTACCCCAAGGAGGCAATTCATATTCTAGACGTCAAAGCCACGATGCTTACTTCATTCGGATTTGGGCAAAAGGGAGGATTGGTTCTTGCTGTTGCGCCCAAGTATCTGTTTGGCTCGGTAGCCGCTGAGACATACGAAGAGTATCGCAGGAGGGCAATCAAGCGACAACGTACTGCTAATACTGCATTTATTTCTGGTGTTCTGGGTAACTCTCTGGTCAGGCTTAAAGATCAATCGCCATGGGGAAAATCAGATGACAAGATGCGCAAAGTCTTCCTTGATCCGACATCCACTACCTTTTAATATGAACCGAATCTGATGTATTGCTTTATTCTGATTATTTAGATATTATTTTATTTGCTAACAATGTCTGGCTAGTATATTGGTTATTGTTTTCTTCTCTGCCGCAGTTCCATTAACTTTTAGGTACATCTTCGGGTTTATAGGAATGTTTTCAACTATATTAGTCCACCAAGTTCAGTAGATGGGTAGATTAACTCCACGAAGTGTTAAGGCGTATTTTTGTTCCCCGGGCCCTGCGTTCTGTGGTAACTACCTCAGTAACAAACTCGCATTTATGTCAAAGAAGACATGTATCTGTCAAAGGGCACACACCCGTAGACATAACTATGTCCTCAAATCATTCAGCGTGTTTGTCTCCCAGTTAATAATGACATTCCCACAGCGATTTCTGATAGATTCATTCGGAAGACTGACGAAAAATTTGAACTAGTCTGTTCTGTTCATTCTGGATTGAAAAATATAGATTGACCAATCAACACTCACGGCATGTGAGCCAATCATTTTCCGGCTGCGGAGGCGGCAGACACTGATGCATTGGTCGATGCACCCCTTACAAGCTAAGCGACTCTCACTGCAATAGAAAGTTGACCAAGTAAAAACGAAGTATGGAAAAGGCGAATTATAAGCATTTTTTCAATACTGTGGACAGACTCTACATAATGTCAAGCAATAATAGGAAATAAACAACAGAGCTCAGTGGATATCGAGATATAAGCATAATGTCCATGGGATATCTAGTCCAGAACCCATGGGTTCGGGCAAAACAAAATAAAACAAACGTAAATTATGACAGGAAAAAGTAGGATAACGAATCAAAGAGGCTATAAGCAACATAAAATCAAAAAAAAAAAAACATAGATCTTTACAGCTTGACAACGATTTTAGAGGCAGAGACACCCTTTTTTTGGATGTCAAGAGCCTCCTGGATGTGCTCCAGACCCTTAGCAACGACCTCGGCCTTCGGAGCAGGAGTAAAAGTGCCAGCGGCAAGAGCCTTGGGGAGGTAATCAATGAAGATACCACGGCCGACTTCGCTGTTGGTGATCATACCGGCGTTGAGGAGGTTGGACTTGATGCCCTTGAACATGCCCTTGACCTTATAAGAGATCATCCAGGAGACGAAAAAGATAACGGTGCGCAAGAAGATGAGACTCTGAGGTTCCTTCTGGGGCACGGGAAAGGTGGCCATGGCGACAAATTTGTTACCCTGAGACTTGTCCAGAATTTCCATCAACTTCTCAGCGGCACCCTGGCCGATAGACAAAGCACCGGCTGTAGTCTTGCCTTTCAAGGCCTTGACCATCTGGGCAACAACGGAAGGGCTCTTGTAGTCAAAAACCTGGCTAGCACCGAGAGACTTCAGATATTCATGGTTTTTGGGAGAGGCAGTAGTAAAGACTTCGTATCCAGCAGCAGCAGCAAGCTGGATGGCATTGACACCAACGCTGGTCGAACCACCCCAGATCAAAACAGTCTTGCCGTTGGCGGGCTTGGCGGGCTCAGAGGGCAAGTCGAGCCCCAATTCAGTTTTCTCAAAAAGGCCGGCGGCAGCAGTAGCAATACCGAGAGGAATGACAGCGGCTTCTTCGTACGACATGTGGTCGGGGATGTGGGAGACCATGTTGGGTCGGAGCATAACGTAGTCCTGGAAGCCACCCTCGGCCGGGTCGTTGATCTTAGGGTCGCTTCCACGGGTAAAACCGACGACGCGGTCTCCAACATTGAAGCGTTTAACGTCCTTGCCAACCTCGACGACTTCACCGGAGACGTCGGAACCAAGAACGAATGGGTAGGCAAGGTGCGTGAACATGATGTCGCCTCGGGCCTGGATGAGCCAGTCAATTGGGTTGATGGCGACGGCGCCATTCTTGATAATGATCTTGTCGGCATCAGCGGGCTTGTAGGGAGCATCCCTGACCTCGAGGGAGGGCGCTTTTTGCCCTGGTTGGTAGGCAGCACGGTTGGAAGGCATTGCGATGTGTGATGGTGATGGAGGATGACAAGTACACTGACGAAGGATTCTGTTCCCAAGGAATCAGGAAGATTATAAATGCGTTCAGACCAAGCTTCGAACAATCTTGAAGCGTTGAGTAGGGAATAGGAAAAAAATAGCATGAAGCAGCCTTGGAATCCGGAAAAGAAACTGGCAGTTTATACCACTGCTTCTACCCTGCCGGATCGGCCGCCCCCAGCTAAAAGCCAATTATTCAAGCTCGCCGAAGCCATTGAATCACAAACTGGCACTGCAGCGATTGGCCGATGGCGTGAATCCGCCCGTTTTGAGGCAAACAGCTTTGAGGATGAGCCAGCAGCGCGCGGGGCGAATAACGTCCCGATGCGGCCAAACAAGCGCGGAGCATCGGAGCGGAGATTCTGTCACGTCCGTACAGCTCTGGCAGCAACGGAGTCAGGCAATATTACTCCGCCTATCGCCACCAAGTATGAGGAATGCACAAAGAACAGCATTCCTATTGCTAAAACACTATCTCTCTTTTCTTTGATCTTGCGACAAAGCTTGCTTACTGTCGCGTCCTTTGAGCGTTAGAGTCGGAAGTCGGAAGAACGTAATTGCGAGTCACGGGACTGCTCTTTTGGGTCAGTAAATTACGCGGTATTCTGACGGTATCTGAGAGCGCCGACTAGCCAATTGCTTGGACCGTACGGTAACACGCTGCATCGAAACACAACACGCGGGCCGTCCTTCCTCACGCCAAACGACATCCCCAGACTCTCTAGGTCGACACCCTGGTTATTACATAACAACTGTCTTCCAGCGCTTAGCATTTCGCACTGTTACAGTTGCATGCCTTTCGACCACCTCTTTGCAACTCGTCGCGGACTTGCTGACCAATGTTGTGATGGCTGACGGGCAGCCATCCCATTCACAGCCCCCCGAACAAACCCAGCCGCGACCAAGTAGGCGCCGTGAGAAACCCCAGCTGTCGTGCACTTTGTGCAGACGACGAAAGTATGATGATATTGTCCCTGTCCTTTCCCCTGGCACCATTATTGAATAGTATCCCGAAGATCACAGCAAGCAAGTTGACCAAATACACTACAATGATTCATATCTGACATTTTTGAACAGGCTTCGATGCGATCGAGGTGAACCATGCGGGACATGCGTCCGCCGCGGCCTGGCGGGGTCCTGTGTTTATGTTAGATCCAATGTGCAAGGCTCGCAGCCTTCTCCTCCGCCGGCCGTCAGTAGTGTGACTGATCGTATCAGCCAGCTGGAGCGACTGTTGACCTCACTTGTAGAGGGTAACAAGAACTCAGCTCATCCTAACGGCGACGGGTCGTCTCCTGTGAGGTCAATGCTCCCGCCGTCGCCGGGCAGGCCAGCATACAGAGAGACACCCTACACAGCGGCGGATTCCGGATGCATAAGAGTCGAGAACAACTTGACCACCTACGTGCCGGGCACTCACTGGACTGTGATACTAGATCAGGTAATTACCGATCTTTTCCTTGTTTGAATTAATATCTGGATGCTGGTGATTTGAGCATAAGGCAAGAACATATATCTGTAAAGCACGGACTGCACATTATTGGCTAATGAAGGTTACTGGCCATAGGTTACAGAGCTTAAGAACATGTTAACCAATGATTGCAGCCGCACCGATTGCAGTGCCTCCTATGCACCTGCGTTGGGCGTCGAACATGATGAACGGGATTTGCTGTTTGGAGGACACAATGGCGTAAAAAGCCAAGAGATCATGGCTGCTGTGCCACCAAAGTCTGTTGTGGACAGGATGGTTGCAGGTTATTTCCTCGACAGGCCAATCGTCCCCGGTATGTGCAACGAAATTATAGTCAGTGCGGAGAAACTAAATTAAGAACTAGTTGTTTTACACGGTCCAACGTTCCTAATCGAGGTGGGTGATTCATTACTTGTCGCTCGGAATCTCTTCTCCACTTGTCTGTTTTTATCTTACCTTAAAGCATGTGTCGACCACAATATCCAACAGCACCATGAGATAAATAAAACCAAAGGGCATTTGCTGACTTAGGTAGTATGAGCGTTTCTGGGAGAACCCACTAGGGACATCCTTGATATGGGTAGGTCTTTTATTTGCAGTCATGTGTCTGGTTGTATCATATCGACCAGAGGTAGTTCCGATGGTGTCTGATCCGGCAAGTCTTGCGCGAGCGTTTAGACAGAAGATTGCGCAGTGTCTGTCCCTAGGGAAATATACTAAAGGACAGCACCATAGCATTGAAACACTTTTGCTCTACTTGAATATTGAACTCCTTCGAAGAGAAGATGCTCAGACTGAACCGTGGATGATGTTTGGAGTGACTGTGCGACTTGCATACCGCATGGGTTATCATCGGGATGCGACGCACTTCCCTCAAATTTCCCCGTTTCAAGGCGAAATGCGGCGGCGTATTTGGGCGCTGATTGTTCAGCTTGATATCTTCACTTCAGCCCAAGTGGGCTTACCCCGAATGACTCGAGATGACCAAGCAGATGCAGCTGAACCGCGCAATCTTCTAGACGAAGACCTGCATCAGGACATGCAAGAGTTGCCCCCTTCACGCCCTTCCGCTGTTCAGACAGAAATTCAATACACCTTGTTGCAGACCAAACTGGTTTTAGTGTGTGGTCGGGTTTTTGACTGGGTGGGAGCGCTGTCGAGTAAACGGACGAATTTGTCCTTTGCGGAAGCCGACGTTGCGCGACTAGACAAACAATTGGATGACGCATATGCGGCATTGCCAGAGCCCCTTCGCATGCGTCCAATGTCAAAGTCATTGGTAGATAATGCGGAAACTATCCTCCGCCGGATTTCTCTTTGTCTGCGTTTCCAGGGAGCTAAGTGTCTATTGCACTATCATTTTTCATCTCTTCTTCCGTCCCTTCTCCAGGGCCAGCACCTCAATGGCCATGACACAGGTTCTCACGAAACCACTATTCGCGCTGCGTTACAAATCCTTCAATGCCAGCGGATTTTATACGAAGAAACTCAAGTTTCCGGTCGGCTCTATAAGGATCGATGGAGAGTCTCATCATTGCTTAAAGACCCTTGCTTGATGGCTACCGCCGTGCTGTGCTCAGAACTCGATGGGCCGCATGGTAGACCTCAGAGCTCACGCGAAGATGGCGAGCGTATAATAGATACCTCAGATAACATTATTATGACCAATCCGGCCCTTCCGACTCAATCACGGCAGAGTGTGAGAGCCGAGATTATTCAAACTTTGCACGATTGCTGTCTCGTCTGGACTCATCTCAGCGGGACTTCGTTCGAAGCCTCGAAAGCAGCAGAAGCAGTCCGCACGGTACTAAATAAAATGCAAGATATGAGTGTCGACTTATCGCCGACAGTCGATACGAGATCAATTGTGGATTTTACAATGAATAACAGCATTATGGTTCCTGGGAACAGTATTGCTGAAAATTCTTCCAGAGGTATGCACCATCGAAGTTTTTTCTTCTGTTTCCTTTTTCTGAACAGACCTACGTACTGATTCATTTCAACAGGTTTTGATCTTCTAGACCACGGGGCACAGAATCTAGTATCGAACATGCAGCATGACAGTACCGCCCATCAGCTTAATGAAGTGACGAACCACACAGAAATTGGTCAAAATGCTCAGATGGAATATAACCCGTTGTCCCCGTCTCAGCTCAATACGGTGAGTCCCATACCTGCATTAAATATTTTGACAAGTGGCTGAAAAGGAGACTTGGTAGTCGCAGAGAGCGGATCAGATGCAAAGGATCAACAGGTATTTTCCAAAAAAATTTGCGTTTCCTATTTGAGGCACTGCATTAGATGCCGGCAGACGGTTCTATTATTTCCTTTCAGGCATTAGCTAGTGGAGCTTTATGGGGCTTGACGAAGTATTGATCTCCAAGGTCAACCAGATTCCATGACTTGGGAACAGATAGTATAAACAGGCTACCACCTCTTTCCTAGAAATATGATGAAACTGCTGGATTCAGCGAGCATGAAAGCTCCGTTGGGCTACAGCCCGCCTTCCCGTCAGTATGGAGATAGATGTATGATATTGTCTTACATTACATCGTATGGTATGTTACTGTTCTGTCAAGAATACCGCGCTGTTACTGTCAGACTTACCGTTATAACAGTCCGGTTAAATAACCGTACATCCGCTCTGTTCCTCCGTTCCTCCGCGCACGTGCGGGAAAATCAATATTGCCGATCCCCCTTGTTCTCGGACTAGGGCCAGCCATCAGCCTCGTTTGGGATCTGTCTCCCTGGGAGAACTTGGCACTGCACATAATATTCTCACAGAAATGTACGATGAATCAAAGGACACGGCGAGTTACGAGTATGGGGCCAGCAAAAATGCCTGTTAACTACGTTGTTGGCCTCGTATCGGGCATAATTTCTTTTGCGGTGCTTTTCAAGATAGGAGGCTGGGCCTTTTTCTTTTATGCCTGTTTGTTATCATCGTTGCATACTTGTGCGGTCTGGATTGAAACGTTAAGCTACATATGACCAATCAGAAATACTCCTGTCTGCAGGGAGTATCGTATTGATGTTATCCCCGTGCTACATGTAGCCTTGGCTATCTAGGTAACCAGCCCAGCCTGATTACGAGATAGGGAATTCATTCAGTGTTTTACTTCAGCATGCATATCATACGTCGATATATTCCGTGTACTGAAACTAGTTATACAGAAAATATAGCCAACCTTCTATATTCGTGCGAATTCATTTGTTCAACCATTAACTTCCTATTTCGGCAATTTTCTCGCCCGCGCCGATTGCCTTCTAGGGCAAGAAGGGCTAAACGTCGGCGCGACGCAAAGCATTATTTCGGAATAGATTGATGCAAGGCTTAATAAGATGCATATCTGCGCCAAAAATCTGATTAAAGTGGGTATTAGTTATGTCAATATTTCAAATGTTAACTAGACTAATTACATGTTTGTACGCTCTCGGCGTTTGACATTGCTTGCTTTTTTTTTTTTAGGTACGACAGGTGTCAAAGCAAATACGAAGAGGCGCTCACTGTACGCATAAAGACTTATGGCTGTATCTTGTATGGAGCTTGGGGGATTTTTATAGTATACTTTGTTATAGACACGCTGTACCTAGGTATGCGATATATGTAATAGAGGATCCTGTTCGTGAACGAGGTGTCCAAGGCGATCTTATTAGTCCCAAGTATGAAACTTTTAGCTCTGGAATAGAAGGTAATAAAACAATACGTGAATACAGAGATGCGTAGTATAAGGTAACTGTGAAACGTGTATTTACACGTAAAATGTCATAGATCTTGTTTGCTACAACTTGAAGCATGGCAGTATGCCGGATATTGGGTTTTTTCTTTTTCTGCCTCGATATCTGTATGTTCACACGTATGGAAGCAAAACGGTCTCGGCGAAAAAAGTTGCAAGTATCTGAAAGATATCTACACCGTGCTCACAAAAAAAAAAGTGCGTAATAAACAAACCTTTAGTTAGTAAAAGGCGGGGGTTGTATAAATCCAAGTAGTGGTTATTACCTAGATATGATGGAGAGAAACAGGGATACTTGGCATATATACTTTATTTGATGTCCAAGAATCAACCATAAGAGGCAATAGCAGCATTTTTTCACCAATATCCAGCCAGTTTTAGCGACCGTTTTCCGCAGACTATCCATCTAGCAATCCAGCGCAATTAATCAAAGACAGCTGGAAAAAAGCGTACTCCAGTCTATAAACAAACCCAATGATATATACCAAATGCAAATTAAAGACAACATCTTCGACTCATAGAATAGCACCACCAAGAGGCAATGAAATTGAGAATCATCCATCAGGCTACATTAACGTGAGATTGCAGCTTCTGAACTGGAAAGACTGTCTCCGAATTGACCTGTTTTGTCAGAACATCCGTTTCATAGGCGACATCGAAAATATTTTGCACCAAAACCATGACATCTTTGGTTTTGATGGGAATACGATGGTTGCCTTCCCATTCCATAACCCTAGTCGTTCCTCTTTCGGAATATTGCCTCAACAGCTTGCGATGCTCATCCAATCCAGCATCAAGGGTACCATGAACATGGATTGTGGGGAGGTACAACACATGCTCTGTGCTACCGACGAAGTTCTCGTCTGGCAAAGCAGTCATAGAGATCTGAGACGCGTCTACCAAGGCAGGAGTCATAAGCAGATTATGGTCCAAAGAGACCAAAGGCCCTCTACCTGCTAGTATGACTGCAAAACGCCAGTTGGAACCAGCATGATGCAATCCAAGTCGCTCGGCGCGAACCTGCTGACGGAACATGAGACTCGCACAAATCTTCGCACCTTGACTAAAGCCAATCAGGCCGACCCATTCGCCACGGCCACCACGACGGTCGTCCTCACTCATAGCCGCTTTGAGGCTGTCATCAATAGCCTGGACAGCATCGTCAGGGTGAATCTCCGGATGAGTTTCGTTTGACCGTAGCCAGCGCTTGAAAGGGCCGAACTCCTTGTAGACAGAGGTAACGTCAGGACCAGCCTGAGATGAGAAAGGTGCTTCGGCAAAAACCAGTCGAAACGTGGTAGATAAATATCGCTTGATGATGCGGCATTGTGCTCGGAAGATTTTGGCGTTGGTGCCACCTCCGTGTAGACAAAGAATACGCGGTAAATGTAGATTCTGGTCTATTTTTGCGTCGGTTTGCTCGATGACCATGATAGTGATGGTTAGGAGGTTAATAAAAATTCGAAAGTGCAGTTGTTTTTATATAACTGGTGTGTTGGCGTAGGCAGAGATATCAACTGCCACTTCAATTGAGTACTGGTATGAACGGTAGTGTACCTATCCAGAAGCGTGATAATGGATCTATAATCTACAGAGAAATTAGATATATATAAGCCTTTAAATAGATAGGACTGAGGACTTACCAATGCCAGCAGCAATTATTAGGAGAACACCTTATAAGTGTGCTCAGCACAGTACCTTGACATCGTTATAGGCTTTTGGCTATTGAGTGACCAGGCGACTGGTAGACGACTTTTAAAGAGAGCTGACATTCCAGCCCAGCCATCGCTACTAAATAATCGTATCAGGTCTATCGGTGTTGTGTTTGCCCCAGTTCCCTAAAGATAATCCGTGGGTATGAATATTGAAGACCTCTCGCTAACACTAGCACGAAAAGATTTCTAGATCTAGGCAGCGAAGGCAAATTGATACTGTCTCGCGCCGTTTCTCCAGCGCCAGGCTTATACGAAACCGGACTGCTTTCGGATTTTTGAAACTCATGTGGCCTCCACGTGTAGAGCAACTAATCATATTTACTTCCGATATGCGGATTGTGACTGCAATGAAAGATACTATGATATGACTAAACTAGCGGTGTTATACTATGACTAACGTACTGCAATCTCAAACCCCGAATGTACGGATTCCAGTCTCGGATGTCGGACTTTCTATCACATCTAGAAGAACTGTCTGAGTTATACATCTCGAATTCTCACCTTATCCAGTCTAGCATTGAATTTAGAATACTCATCGTCCATCTTAAGGAAGTATCTCGTCAGCTTGTACGTTAGGGGTTACATTTTTGTCTTGTCATTTCCATACTCCATAATGGGGCCATGATCAAGGGCCAAAAGTCCGAAGAAACTCCGACAAACAAGGAGCTATCATGACAGGGTTCTATGGGATAGTGTTTCTTGCTGCTTTGAGTGGAGTCAACCTGCAGGAAGTTGAAGATTTCTCAGCTATTTTCCAGGCGTATGCCAGTACATGAGTACATCTAGGATGTCGATGGAGGGAAAATTGGGGTTTGGTGCAAAACGCATCAAAGGCACGGCCCACGCAGCAACTATGTCTTGCAAGCCTTATTAAACTAAGATAGTACTAGATTCTATTATAAAATAACTAGTTACCTATCTATGTTCTGTGTTTGGAAGTGATTACATTACTACATTACTACATAAAGTGATATATGGATTAGTTTCAACTTTTATTGCTGTCCAAGGTGTTTCGCCAATTGCATCTGCAAACTTAACTGGATATATTACAGACGACCACAATATAACGAACCAAAGAATCAAGTCTCAACCATGGGCAGTGCACCAGAACCGAAGAGTAAATTTCCCATCATCCTCGGCGCCGGTCTATACGGAAGCTATGACCGATTCGAGGGTGCTCGAGTCAAAACCGTCGACGACGCCAAAGTCATGTTCGATATTTTCCAGACATATGGCCATAAGGAAGTCGACACGTCACGCATTTATTCCGCTGGATCATCAGAGGAGTTCCTTGCTGCTGCCGACTGGAAAGGCCGAGGTCTGAATGTTCGCGACAAGTTGTATCCAACCAAGGGCAAGCCCCTGGGCCATTTGGGACCAGCTTATAGCCTTGAACCGACAGATGTGCGCAAAGGCCTGATGGACTGTCTTGAGGCTTTGAAGACGGACAAACTCGATATCTTTATCCTGTATGCACCTGACCGCAAGACCCCCCTTGAAGATACGCTGCGAGAGGTGAACAAGCTCCACGAAGAAGGATATTTCAAGCGGCTCGGTATCGCGAACTATATGTCGTGGGAGGTGGCTAAAATCTGCGAGTTGTGTGATCGATACGGCTGGATCAAGCCCAGTATCTACCAAAGTCTGTACAATGTTCTCTCCCGCGCCATAGAGCCGGAGCTCATTCCATGCCTGCGCGCGTATGGGCTAGCTTTGCACACCGGACAGCCCCTGGCCGGTGGTTTCCTCACATCGCGATACACGCGAGACTACCCAGTGACTGAACACGAGGCAGGCTCTCGTTTTGATCCCAAGTGCTTTCATGGCAAACACCATCGGTTCCGCTACTGGAATGATACCAACTTCGATGCCCTTGACATGATCCGTGCCGTGGCTAAGAAACACGATCTTACTGAAGTCCAATGCGCCATGCGTTGGCTCAGTCATCACAGTTTGTTGGATAAGGAGCGTGGCGATGCTATTATTATCTGTGGTGTCACTCCTGGTCAGTTGAAGGAGGATTTGTCTGCTTTGGAAGAAGGTCCTTTGCCGGAAGAGGTCGTGCAGACTTTGAATGCGGCGTATCTCAAAATTTGGGGCCTGGTTGGACCATACAACCATTGAAACGTATAACACCAGAAAACCGACTATGATGTTTTTCTCGGGTTTCATATGCCTTATTCGTATAGGTAGCTTATGGTCATTGTCGTTGTCGGAGAACATCGTATGTAGATGCGACCTAGATCTAGTGATGGTTGTCTTGGTCGGTAGTGTTTAGATGAAATTGAGATTATGAAGAATGAATATGAAAGAATGTAAACACTAAACTAAATACACAAGACAGCTTTTCACCAATTGCTGCGAGAATCTAGGTTATTGGAAGATAAATTGAATGATTAATTGCCATGTATGTCAAACTCAATCACAAAGCACCGAAACGCCCTAACACAAGGAAAACAACACATTGTACGGTGGAAGATGTGACAATATATATGTATACAGCTGTGAACAATGTAAAATGCAGAAAAGCAGTTAACCAAAACCAACCATAACAAACTCAAGAACAACGCAGTATCTATGCATGGACTCTTCCATCAGGTGTCCCACGATTGCTCCGCTCATACCTCCGCGCATGCTGATTATCTGTACAATAGCTCCCATCTATTCGTTTTCTTTTCAAACCCCAAAGCTTGCATAAAACATCTGATATAGCCAATTCTTCATAGTCCGCGGACATCCCGCTATCGATAGGCGCGGACAATGATCAATATCAAAATGCAAGCCAATCAAACGTCAGTCTTCGGTCTATCCGACTGTGCAGGTCCAGCAGGTCGACCCCCCGGAGGCCCATCCTTCTTTCGGATATCTTTCCATCCCATGGCCCACGAAGTCAACCAAGCAGCACATGAAGCGCCGACTGCAAGGTAGAAAACCGAGTCGATACTTGTTGCATAAGCCACAAGAACAGAGTGTAAATCGGCTGATGGAACGACTGTGCGAAAACCGGTAGCCCCGGCTTCGATCACTGCTTCAACATTCACATCAGGGGCTTCCCTAGGAAGCAGGTTCCGGAGGCTGTTGTTGAATATCACGTCGGCGAAACTGAGGAATGTTGCTGAGAAGAATGACTGGCAGAACATTGTCATGGCCATGGCTGTTGGGACCTGTTGTAATTTCAAAGTGTTTTGTACTGCGATGATGGGCTGATATCATGAACGTTCAGTCATCAAACCTGCGTAAGCAATGGCAACACGTCAAAGAAGGGTAAGAAATAAAATCCGAAAACTAACCATCTGTAAGGCCATACCACGGCCTACTCCTAGTATGATTTGATATCCAATCCACCTTCCAGTACTAGTCGAGGTCGAAAAAGTCGAAACCAGTCCATTGGCTACAGCCGCGAGAGAAGCACCGATGACGCTCATAGGCAGGTAATAACCAACCCTCCCCACTATAGAAATTGTTAGTGACTTCGATATTGCAGCACAAAGTGTTCAGGGTGTCCTCACATAATTGACCTGAAAGTATGGCAGAAATCACCTGGCTGATAATACTTGGTAGAATATCAACACCGCTAATCATCGGACTAGCACCCTTAATCGCCTGAAAATAGATGGGGAGGTAGTAAGAGCCACAAATCAAGAGTGAAGCCAGAAACCCGTACGTGACGCAGCTTGCCCAGACCGTGCGGATGGTGAAAATCGAATATGGGATCATAGCACGATCACCGACGCGGTACTCCCAGATCATGAAGATAATGAAAGTAATGCCAGCGCCGCAGAAGAGACCGATAATAGTAGCCGAGTTCCACGGATAGGTGCTACCACCGTACTGTAAGGCTAATAGGAACATGATGGCGGCCGGGGCGAATAGAATAAATCCGATCAGATCAAGATTGCCTAATATTGTACTGACGCTCTTCAAACCCTTGGGCTTGGGGATTTGCTCGGGGATGTTAAGGAACACCAGAAGGATTGCGACTAGTCCACCTACTGGAAGATTGACGTAGAAGCCTGGTAGAAACGAGCGAAATGAGCAATAATCCTTTCGAGACATGCCAATTAAGGGATCTAACTCACACCATCGCCAAGAAACGTAGGAGGTAAAGGCTCCTCCAATCAGTGGGCCAGCTACCATGCCGAGTTGGGAGACTATAGATGTATCGTTAGTATCTCTCTATTCTGGTGCCGATTCGAGGATTACTCACTTCCCATCAAAAACCCCATAAGAGCTACGAGCTGTAGTCAGAAACACGTCAAATTTTTACAAGGATGAGACTTAGATGTCATACCAGGTCTCCTAGGCATAGGCACAGCGCCCGCAACCATCGTGAACGCTCCGTTCTGTATACCGGATCCTCCCATACCGGCAACTGCACGACCAATGATCAACATGTTCGACGAGGTTGCGACAGCGCAGATTAATGAGCCGACTTCGAAGATGAAGAAGAAGGTTAAAAAAGTCCACTGCGCAAAGTCAGCTTTGTTCGGTTGTTATTATGATATAGGGTGTGCCAGGTCCATACTTTGGTGTTAAATGTCGAGTAGAATCGTCCTGTTAACGGTTGTAGGGACGCACTATTCGAGTTTATCAGTTGGCATTTCCATTCATGTATCGAGTGTGCGATATACTACGGTGTTTATGCCAGAACAATGATAACGTGAATCACTTACCTCGCTAACGAATATGCACTACCGTACCAACCGACATCATTGAGCGAGTGAAACTAAAAAGTGAAGCAAACTCTGTCAGACAAGCACTTCAGAGAACTTTTCGATCACAAAACTGTAGCATACTTCGTTGGTAATTTTTGGTGTTGCCTGTGGAAGGAATGTATCATCAGCACTCCGCCAAAGGTCGCGAGATCACAGCACAGCACTTAATCAACTCACAGTTGCAATGATCGATGTATCAAGTAACATGAGAAAGGCAACTAAAGTGATACCGATCATCATGAAAACCAGTTTTGATCCCCTCACCCATTCCGGAGTCTGCGGCGGTCCTTCTGCAGGTGGTCCTCCGGGTGGTCCTTCATGCTGACCTTCAGGAAAAGGCTTTTGCTGGTCGTGCGACGATGCGGAGGACGATGATTCTGGGAATTTGGAGCCATCTTGGAGCTCTATGTCTTCTAGTGGTAGGGGTAGATGATGTGATTCTAATTTCATGTCCTTGGGTTCATCCGCCAATTCGATGCCCAATGGGGATGGCATCTTTTATACCCTCTTATTAAATATCCTCTTCGTATACCTTGCCCACTTCTTCAAAAGCGGAACAGAAGGGTATGCAGACCGTAGAGAAATATTGTCGTTAGGGATTTCAATAAAACAAAGGGAATGGCCGCAAGCAAACTAGGCACGCTAGACGTTGATCAGTCTAAGATATCGAATGTCAAATGTGTTGTCGTATAAACGAGTAATATAAGTGTACAAGCAAACGAAAAACCAGAAGACCGCAGCGTCATCCGCCCCCGTAGTTACGTTAGGGTTATGTTTTGGCTGAGATCAGTCAACGGGCCAGAGCTTGTTTTTCCGCTCACTATGGCATTGAGAGCAAGACACATACGAATTTGCCAATAGCCAATGCTGGTTCGAAACAAGTGGGATCAGGTGCTCCGTGCTGACATTCGATTTATTCCGTACTCCGACAGGCAGCGGAGGTCCTCTTTCATGTCCGGCGATGTACGGTTACGATATGACCCGGCGGCGGGCATCGGTTGTGAACAAGATCTCGATATGCAAAGCTGATTCAAACTTTCGTAACAGAAGGAAAATTTTCCGTCTGGGTCTTAGCTGGGATTGTTTAGGATACCTGTGTATCTGTTTAGTATGAGACTGGTAGAGAGTGGGCTCCGTATTTGCTTCTGGCCCCAATTAGGTATAAGAAAATGGAATCTAAATTTGTAACTTGCTGTTACACAAATCTTTGTACAGTAACTAGGTCTTCTGCTTAGGTCGTCTCAGTCTTGTTAATGCATGTATCAGATCATGCCAGTACGGGCCAAAATCAGGCCGATTACTATACTGTAGAAAACATTCTCTACTATGGATTTCCGGGCATTGCCTCACAAAGGAGGTCCATGTGATATCACGTTTAACCCAAAGAAATCTAACTATAATGTCGGTCTTGCTATCCAAGATCTCCCCACCGTCTATCTCTAGGGCAAGGAAAGGAAAGGCTCCCTCAAAGTCGGCAAGTCGGCGTTACGGTCGCCGGCAAGAATAAGCTCTTTCGATGGCTAGCTTTGGAAGCAACACACGTGGACGACCCGGAGTTTTCGTGGAGAAAGATCTCCCTGGGCGATCTATGCAGAGCGCCAGTATGAACTACGGAGCATGGATGGAGGACGGAGATAACGGGGGGTAGGCTCCGTGCTCCGTCGGATTAATTCTGATGTGCGTTTTTATTTTTCTGCTCTGAGAGGAGCTTGTTGTTAAAATCTTGTATTACAACGCTATGGGTCTAGATTACATGACAGTAGTATTCAATCTCTCGTCTTATTGTAGTGGCCGGTCAAGTCAAAACATAGAATCAAGCAAAATTGGTTCTAGATATGAGTGTCTCAATGAAATTTGGATTTGTAGCAAGAAGTTGTGTCGGGCAACACGACTAGTGACCTTCGACCAAGCAGCGCATTCCGCGAGGAGTGGCCATGAAATACATCAAAGGGTTCATCTCCTCCAAGGTCATGCCTTCGCGAGTCGACAGGTGAGCCTCGGGGAACTTCTTAAAGAAGAGGGCGGCGCCCATGCGGATCTCGATTTTGGCAAGATGCATGCCAATGCAGACTGTGAAAGATGGTTAGTTGATCATTCTGATTCCGAAAACACACTTATAACAGCATGTATATTATGGTAAAAATAAAAGGACCTAACATACCGCGAGAACCACCTCCAAAAGGAAGGAATGCATCCTTCATTTCACGGGTGGGATTGAACCAACGTTCAGGCTCAAACCTAGATATGACATATATCAGCAAAAGTCAAACCTTGAAAAAACATTTACTGAAGGGGGCAGAATACTTCTCTGCATTGGGAAACGCATATTCGTTTCGATGCAAGCTAAAGGCCTGGCTGGAAACAGCGGTGCCGCCAGGAATAGTATGACCAGACAGCTCAGTGCCCTGAGTAGGAACGACGCGTGGCAATGGAGAGGGTGTGGCAGGATAGAGACGGAGAGTCTCGTTCAGAACAGCGTTCAAATACGGCAAGTCCTGCACGTCTTTGTGGACCAAATTGTCCGGAAGATCAGCAACTTCAGCGGCCAGTTTCTTCTGAACTTCTGGATTCATGCAGACACCGAAGATGAGGTACGTCAAAGTCACGGCAGTAGTATCGCTTCCAGCAGCAATGTAGCCAACAGCTTCGCGGACAATCTCCTGGTCGGTTAATCCTTCCTTTCCATCTTTGCCACCATTGTACAGCTTGGTGAAGAGAGTTGGCTTGGGGTCGACGGGGTTCTGGGCAATGATTCCCTTGTATCGCTTGATTGACTGGTCAGCGTAGTTGCGGATACGGGCACCAGCTTCTGTGGCTTTCCTGAACACAGGGAGAGGCAGGACCTTGGACATAATCTCGATGAATGGGAAGATGGATCGCAGAGCCATCAAGCGGGAGACGTTTTGCAGATCGACAATATATTGCGTTTTCTGCTTGGATCATCAGCATGTGTATTGATCCCTTATGCGAAAGAGGTATATTCATTACCTTTCCAAGCTCCAACATACGGAAGGATTCACCAAAGGACAACTCCCCAATCACATCCGTAGCCATAAAAGTCCACCACTTGAAGATGTCGGCGACACCCGTGTTGTTGATCTCCTCTTCGATGCGCGCAATGGTCATGTAGATACGCTGGTTGATAATGGGCTCCATCTTCAGCAGACTCTGCTCTGAGATGGGACCCGACAGCATGCGACGACGATCAGCGTGAAATCTTGGATTTGTTGTGCTGAAGAGTGTTTCAGAGCCTTGATAGCCCAGTTTGCGATACCAGTTTGATTTGAGATAGCCTGCGCCAACCTTGTGGATTTCTCGTGCTGCGCTGACATCGGAAAAGTCGAGCTCGTTGGGACCGATGCGAACGACAGGTCCTGCAGGCGTCAGCAATGACCCTTTTTTTTTCTCCTGCAACGTGAATTATACTCGCTGTTTCTGTTTGAACGTACCATAAATGCCATGCAGATTCTGGATGTAGCGTGGTCGGTTTCCTTTGATGAGCTGGTACTGGGTATACCAGTTGGTCCATTTTGTGATCTCAGGCCCAGGCAGACGAGCTATTGGACTTGTGTATGTCTGATATATCACACGCTATAAAATAGAAGATGAATTTAGCATCAATATGCTGCCTTTCCCGTTGGATACTCTCTGTCCTGGGTTTGATATATTCTTACCAAAACATAAAGACACAACAATCCTCCCAGCACGGCCAGTGTAGGAACAAGGCCTAGAGAAAGGAGCGCCATGGCAATATCAGTTTATTCTCGTCTCTAGGGAACAAGAACGAAAAATAATGTCGAGCAAGTTTATTGGCGTCAGATAACGTTGGCGAGATGCGATATCTACGTACTATAAGCACGTATATTGAGGAACCACGGGTCATATAAGCTCCAACAGCTAGTTCAAACTTCAAAGAGGCTGTCAAACGTTGTACACTGCGAATTCCATTGGCCAACTCTCAAAGAAACCAATTACTCCGAACCGATCAAAGAGCGGACCGTCCGCAGGCAAATCCGCTCGCCGCTGATTGGCTGGTAGCTAGGGCTTCGTGATGCATGGGGCGAGATGGAGAAGTACGAAATTGCACTTTGAACACAATGTAGTCAGATCAACGTTCGGAGTTTCTTCTAAGTTACAGAAGCGTACGTCAAATCAGAATTCCTCGTTCTTATGACTTTGGGGCTGCAAAATTATGTGTGCTCTTTTAACTACGTGTCTTGTACTGCGTCTTATAGTATGTAGACAGCGCCAAACAGAAGTTCTCGATGTATATAAGGAAAGTTTCCTATCTTTCTACAGGGGTGCTCACATAAGATTTACTGTGTGTGTAACCAGGTATAAGACGCATCTTGCTACATCAGCGGAAGAGAAAATCGAATATCTTGAGGAAAGCATTAATCTGAAGAAATGGCACAAATGGTAACCACCTGGACTCAAACAGCGCCAGGAGTGTACGAGGCCAATTTGGATGGCGCTGAAACAGTATATCGCAAGACGGCAACTGTGTTTGCTCCTCTGAGCCGCGAACACTGGCGTCTGCACACTATCTGTCGCTTCAACTTTGGGCCGGACTACATAGGGCCGACCGACAAGGAGACAGCTCTGCGTCAAGCATGGAAAGCCCTGCGCTATGAGTTCCCCGGCATGGCGGTTGCTCCCGACGGCTTCAAGAAGATTTACAAGACCCCCGATGCTCAGACAACACAGCAATGGCTGGACCAGACGTTCTTTGTGGAAACGCAGAGAACAGCTGACGAGATCATCTCCGAGGCTGTGCCCCTGCAGGAAGTTCCTAGCTTGTACTATCTACCAGCCACTTCAGAGATTATCTTCTTCATCTCGCACTGGCGCATCGATGCAATGGGATCATGGATGGTCACGGACCGTTTCTTCCACCACCTCGCACACCCGGCGGCAGACGAGTTGCCCGCTGTTCCACCCTCCGACGAGATAGACAGAATCTCTCCTAGTCTAGAGGATGCAGCGGGTTCGCCCAAAGTCTCAACCCCCGAGATGGACAAAGTGGCTGCTGAGCATATTGCCGCACACCACCGTAATGCCATTCAGATGGGCGGCATGCCCTACAAAGGAGATGGCACCACGCTGCCTGGAAGTCCCCAACGAGAGGCACTAGTTTTCACTACTGAAAGTACCCAGCGCGCCATTGCTGCCTGCAAAGCCCGCGGCATCACCATCACCGCTGCCATTCACGCAGCGCTGGCCGAGACGGTCTTTGCTATGGGATTGCCAGAGTCGCGCGAAAACGATTACGTGACGGTGATGCCAGTGAACCTGCGAAACTATCTGAAGGCTCCTTATAGCGGAGACGGCCATGCCCTGCAGACCTACGCCGGCAGTATTACTCCACGAGTGGCGCGTCACGCTACATTCGCCGAACGCACTGCGTATCTGATGGAATACTACAAAACGAGGTACGACGCCAAGTTAATCGAATGTCTAAGGCCCATTTATAAATACCACGCCGACGCCCTGTTCAAACCGCGGCCGGCCTCGACCACGGCCGCCAATGGAGAGGCGCCCTCAGCTCCTCCTCCGCGGCCCCCGAGCGGCATCTCGATCAACAGTCTCGGCGTGGTTGAAAAGTACTTTGCTGGGAAGTACGGGGATGCGGTGGACGTCGACACATTTACTTTTGGGGTCAGCATGATTACGCGGCAGACCATGTTGTATGTGTGGACGTGGAAGGGCCGATTGACGCTGTCTAGCGAGTATAACAGCGCTTACCATGAGCCGGAGGAGGTGCGGGAGGTGATGTTGTCGATTAAGAGGGTGCTTGAGAAGGAGCTGGAGATTTGTCTGGATGAGGTGGAGAACTAAATAAAGGGTTTTCATTTTGACTGTATCAGACTGGTCATTTAGTAAAGAATATTGTGTGCTCTCTGTCGTCTACTTGCACAGAGGATACTGAACAGTTAGAGCGAATACTTTATCATAACGAATAGTCTAGTCTCTCTGGGGTACACCTTACCTTATGAGGTATAATGCCTTTAATTTTATATGCAAATTTATCTCTGCCAAGCTCTGGTGCTCATAGTGGGTGTACTCCATAACGAACATGCATATGGAAGCCGGGCTATGCCCGAGTAGGCAGGTGGAAAGAAAGAAGAATCTGGACTGTGGCCAATGACCAAGCGGCTTATTCAGCGTCTAACTATTTATAATGGCCTGAGGCCAGACCTTCCCCGCCGCATTTGCGGGGCCAGGCCCCACACATTCGTGGATGACGCACTTGATGCATTCGAGAGCATCAGAAGTGCAACCTTTCTATAGATCAATAGTCCCGGACTGTCTATAGAGCGGTGACATGGTCAATATCTGCCATGTGTCTGTTAGCAGGCGGTGTGGGAGATGATATAGCTACGTGCCGGGCATGTAGATACGCATAGGATGCACCATGACGAGGTCCTTAAGAAGAGCGGTATGAACGCCAAAAAGCACTGCCTGTGTTGGTTCTCGACCAGCCCACATATTCGGCATCCAATAGACGGATTGCACAAGACATGCAGTCATACGTGTCCCAGCCAACGAGCATCCCGATTCGTAATATGCCCAACGACAGCGGTTGGCTCTGTCCAGTGCGTGCGGAGAGAGCACCTAGACCTGCATCTCTTACAAAACCAATAATCAGCTGATCATTCATCCTGCTGCAGAGCTTACTCTCCTCTCTATATTAATCCCCTCCTTCCCCCGCCTTTTGTGGTCTGGGTGTAGGAAAAAGCCCTCAAGTTTATATATAGTTACTCTTCGTGAGGGTAGCCAAACTTTTTATTTATCGTTTTCCCATCAGGTGTTTTTTTTTAAGCATATCACAAGAAGATGGCCGAGTCCAAGTGCCCCGTCCATGCGCGTGTTCTCAATGCCAATGTCGCTGGTGCTGGCACCCGGAATAATGACTGGTGGCCAGACAGGCTACAGCTGAACATCCTTCGTCAGCATACACCTGTATCAAACCCGCTGGGCGAAGAGTTCGACTACGCCGCGGCATTCAACAGCCTCGACTATTTTGCCTTGAAAAAGGACCTGAATGACTTGATGACCGACTCGCAAGACTGGTGGCCCGCTGACTTTGGTCACTACGGTGGCCTGTTTATTCGTATGGCATGGCATAGTGCCGGTACATACCGTGTGAACGATGGTCGTGGCGGTGGCGGTCAGGGCCAGCAGCGCTTCGCTCCACTTAACAGCTGGCCGGACAACGTCAGTCTTGACAAGGCCCGTCGTCTGCTCTGGCCTATCAAGCAGAAATACGGAAACAAGATTTCCTGGGCTGACCTGCTTTTGCTGACCGGCAATGTCGCCCTTGAGTCCATGGGTTTCAAGACCTTTGGCTTCGCTGGTGGTCGTGCCGACACATGGGAAGTAGACCAGTCCGTTAATTGGGGTGGCGAGACGACATGGCTTGGTAATGATATCCGCTATGGCGCCGGCAATAAGGGCACAACCAAACCGGGGACATTGTCTGGTGATGAACCGGGCCATAAGAATATTCATACTCGTGAACTAGACCAGCCTCTTGCCTCTGCTCACATGGGCTTGATCTATGTCAATCCTGAGGGACCTGATGGCAACCCAGACCCTGTCGCCGCTGCCCGAGATATCCGCACCACCTTTGGCCGCATGGCTATGAATGACGAGGAGACAGTGGCGCTCATCGCAGGTGGCCACACCTTTGGCAAGACTCATGGTGCCGGTCCGACCAACAAGGTTGGCCCCGAACCAGAGGGCGCAGATATCGCACAACAGGGATTGGGCTGGAGCAACGCCCATGGGTCCGGGAAAGGCCCTGACACCACCACCAGCGGTATTGAGGTTATCTGGACCAAGACCCCAACCAAATGGAGCAATAACTACCTCGAATACCTCTTCCGCTATGACTGGGAATTGACCAAGAGTCCCGCCGGCGCCAGTCAGTGGGTGGCTAAGAACGCTGAGCCTTTTATCCCCGACGCATATGATCCATCCAAGAAGCACCGACCAACCATGCTCACGACCGATCTTTCGCTGCGCTTTGACCCAGCCTACGAGAAGATTTCCCGCCACTACCTGGAGAATCCCGACAAGTTCGCCGATGCTTTTGCGCGCGCCTGGTTCAAGTTGCTTCATCGCGATGTCGGTCCTCGCGCTCTTTATCTAGGCCCTGAGGTTCCCTCTGAAGTGTTGAGCTGGCAGGACCCCATCCCAGCTGTCGACCATCCGCTCATCGACAGTCAGGATATTGCGTCTTTGAAGGAACAAATCTTGAGCACCGGCATCAACCCGTCCAGCCTTGTCTCGACTGCCTGGGCATCCGCGTCGACTTTCAGAGGCAGCGACAAACGCGGCGGTGCCAACGGTGCTCGCATCCGTCTCTCTCCTCAACGCGACTGGAAGGTCAACAACCAGCCCTGGTTGGCCGAGTCCCTTACCGCGCTCGAGAAGGTGAAGAAGCAGTTCAATGACGCGCAACCGTCTGGAGGAAAGAAAGTCTCGCTCGCAGACTTGATTATTCTCGCGGGCTCCGCGGCCATTGAACAAGCCGCTCACAATGGCGGATACTCCATCAAGGTTCCCTTCACGCCAGGCCGCACGGACGCATCTCAAGAAGAAACCGACGTCGAATCGTTCGGACACCTAGAACCCATCGCAGACGGATTCCGTAACTATGGCGGCTCGACATCGCGCGTGCGCAGCGAGGAATGGCTCGTTGACAAGGCACAACTCCTGACTCTGTCTGCACCCGAGCTGACTGCTCTCGTGGGCGGTTTGCGTGTGCTAAACACCAACTACGACGGGTCGGCGCATGGTGTCTTCACCCGTCGACCGGGCCTGTTGACAAACGACTTTTTCGTCAACCTGCTCGACATGAACACAGCCTGGAAGGCGGTTGGTGGCGATGGTGGCAGCAGCACAAGCGATCTGTACGAGGGCACAGACCGCAAGACCGGCGCGAAGAAGTGGACTGCCACTCGTAACGATCTCGTGTTTGGCTCGAATGCGGAGCTGCGCGCTATTGCCGAGGTGTATGGCAGTGCAGATGGCCAGGAGAAATTCGTCAAGGACTTTGTGGCTGCTTGGGTCAAGGTGGCCAATTTGGATCGGTTTGATTTGAAGTCGAGCAAGTCGTTTTCTCTTGCTCACCGTCTTTGAGTTGATTTTGTTTTTGCTTGGTGATGTCGTTGAGAGACTAGCTCTATAGTAACTAGAATGAAGAATCAGATCCATCCATCCTTCTGACTACTACCCAAATCATGTATCTAATAGTGGCTATACAAGTTGTTGAATGAGCAAACATATGGTCGTAACTGTCACATCACCCAGCCCACTTGTGACCTAGGGTTCCCTTCGCGGATAGTCATAAAAGGTTTATCGTCTCGGATGCCATCAATGGAAAATTGTTGATCAGGATACAAGGTCGACTTCTTCCCTCCAATATTTGAGGCGTCTACGGCTGGAAAATACTAGAAGGGAGCGTATCGCCTGCTCACATTGCGTGGCTGACCAGGCTCACTGCTCAAACTCCTCGACAAAGCGAAGAGGCAAGAAACCGAGTCAGGAGCATTTATTTACGCTGTATTATCGTTCTCCAACCGTCCTGGATACTGTTCGAACCGAATCATTTGGCTCGCGAGGACGGGAAGTGGTTGGTTGCAGGTTATTAGTTAATTACACGTAACTTCAACTAAGTTAATAACGTAATCGGTAAGCGAGCCGTCACTATAAGCGAACCGTCATTTTTTTCTGAACACCAATATTATATTGATTCAAATTATTCAACGCGTCAATATGCCACTAATTCGCAATAAAAGCTCAAAAAATTTAGCTAAGTAAGAAGGACGAATCTTATTAGCAATCTCTAATCTAAAAAATAGATAGATTTTATGTGTGGCTCAAGCTGCAAGGATTTATAATATCCCCCAGATAACTCTACAGAACCGACTCGATGGCACTCAACAAAGATCTCTCGTATACGCCAATAGCTATAAATTAGCTCAATCTAAAAAAGAATCGCTTGTCAAATAAGTACTTGATTTAGATTAATATAGATTACTCCCCCAGTATTCTCTCGTACAAGAAATGGCTAATCATCTTCTCTCACAACATGGAGATCAACAGGTTGAAGAAAAATGGGTATATAACCTCATTAAACAGCGCCCAGAGATTGATTCTAAATTCTCATGAAGATACAACTACGAGCATACTAAATATAAAGATCCAAAGATTATTCAAGAGCATTTTGACCGCGTACGAGATGCTATATCTTAATATAGAATCCTTCCAGAAGATATTTATAATTTTGATGAGACGGGCTTTGCTATGGGACTCTACACAACTGCAAAGATTATTACTGAAAGCGATCGATATGCTCGGCCAAAGCTTTTACAGTCTGGAAATCGAGAATGGGTGACTGCAATTGAGGCCATAAATTCAACTAGATAGGCCCTGTCTTTATACATGATTTTCAAAGTAAAGAAAAATATACGATTAGACTGGTTTAACAAGCTTCCAGATGATTAGAGAATTAATATTAGCGACAATGGCTGGACTATAGATCAGATAAAATTAGAATGGCTTAAAACCCATTTTATTCCTCTTACTAGTGATTATATATTGGAAACGTATACTCTATTGATTTTTGATAGCCATAGAAGCCATTTGACTGCAGAATTTAACTATACATGTATAGAGCATAAGATTATTCTAATCTATATGTTATCTCATTCTTCGCATCTATTATAACCTCTCGATGTCGGCTGTTTTATGGTTTTAAAACGACATTATGGGCAATTGGTTAAACAACAAATAAGGTATGGTTTTAATCATATCGATAAAATCGACTTCTTAACGGCATTCCCACAGGCTTATATGGTGGCATATAAAGCTTAAATTATTTAGAATAGCTTCACAGCTACTGGATTAGTGCCTTTCAATCCAGATTAAGTTATACAACAACTTATTATTTAATTAAAGACACTAACCCCTTCTCTAAGTCAATTAAGTAATATATAATCTTCTTGTTTATAAACCTCTTAAAATATATATTAATTTATATATTAGTTAATAACAATTAAGAAGTATATAAATGAGTATATAAGGAGCCTAAATCAGATAATTAATCAAGCAATTATATGCATGTCAAAAGTATATGAAATGACTATGAATAACCTCTTACTCATACAGAAAGAAAATAATAATTTACGAGCTGTGTATGAAAAAGAGAAGCAAAAGCGTAAGAGATCTAATAAACAGATAACTATTAAGTAAGGGGTTACTAGAGAAGAAGCTTAAGCGCTTATACAAGGTTTAGTTAAGACATCTTAAGCTGCTCTTACTGCTCTGGCCAAGCCCCAGCTCCCAGCTTCTCAACCAATCATATGCCGCCAATTTCAGTGTAGTGGTTATGGAATTATTGGGCATCGAATTAACCAATGTCCTAATCGTACTAGTAGTTAATTTTTTGTATGAGAAATGTATGTGGATTTGCAAATTAGGATTTGAAATCAATATAGTATTGGTGTTCGGGAAAAAATGACGGTTCGCTTACAGTGACGGCTCGCTTACCGATTACGTTAGTTACTTAGTATTTGGTAAGCAGTCCAAGAAATGCGCTCAAACTGGCTCGTTCCGATTATAAATGACGCTTCAGGTTAATAAGTACCTCGTGGGCACGCTGTCTCCTAAGGTACTCTGACTATTTATCTGACTACTTCCTCCCACGATGGGGAATTAGCTTGTTTTGGATTCAACCAACACCGCCATCTACTTGAAATCCAGACTTACATTCAGGATGTACACACTCCCCCCGCTGCCTTACGGCTACGATGTAAGTGTTGAAGGAAAGCAAAAACAGCCCAACCAACGACTCCCAAATGACTCTAATTCTCAATCAAGGCTCTAGAGCCGGTGATCTCGAAAGAGATCATGACTCTGCATCACCAGAAGCACCACCAAACCTACATCAATAACCTCAACTCGGCTCTTTCAGAGCAGAAAATTGCCTCCACTGCCAACGACATTCCCAAGTTACTCTCACTTCAACAGAAGATCAAGTTCAATGGTGGAGGCCACATAAACCACTCCTTATTCTGGCGCAATCTTACCCCACCAGGAACAGAGGAGGCTGACATCGAAGCCGTCGCGCCTGGCATTAAAGCCGCAATTGATGCTCAATGGGGCAGTGTCGAGAAATTCATCACTGAGTTCAAACAGGTGCTTCTAGGTATTCAGGGAAGTGGATGGGGCTGGCTAGTTGTCAAACACGGACAAGAACAGGCCAGAAGCCTGGAAATCGTGACAACCAAAGACCAAGACCCCGTGGTGACTCCGGATGATAGTGTTGTGCCGCTTGTTGGAGTTGACATGTGGGAGCATGCATACTACTTGCAGGTGAGCATTATGATTATGTTTTACTTTGGATACTCTCCCTCTTCTGTTTGTCTCAAGAGACTAACCGTCTGTCTTTGCATACAGTATCTCAACAACAAAGCCGGATATGTGACCGAGATTTGGAAGATTATCAACTGGAAGGTCGTGCAACAAAGGTTCTCGCAAGGCATTCAAGCCGAAGTATCCTTCAAGCTATAGAGTTTGGATAGTATCGTCTTATTGACTACTAGGTAGTCGTCAAATAATCAATTAACATCATGAATGAGATTGTCCAACGCAGATGTGACCTAATTACTCTCCAAGCGCGAGACAACACTTATTCATGCGCCCCACGGTTTCCTATTTCAATTCCATCCAATAACCCCCTTCCCTACAATGTTAAACCTGCCCATACTATCAGATGGCGAGAGTAAAGTTGCCTGCCTTCCAACAATGCCCGATTCGGAAACTCCAAAATCGAGTCTAAATGGAAGTTTGAATTCGATCCGTCCCACCTCCTCCTCATAACGTGGACTCAGGTCGAACGAATATAGTGGTTTGCTTTTCTCCAGGTCTTTTGTACTCATAAGATCGCCGTATTTCCTTGCATGATTCTTTAGTTGGGGAAAGCAGGAAACACGACAGAACGAGAACGATGCCTTACTCAATCCGGATCGTAAACCTTGTGACACTCCGTAGAGCGTGGAGAGTTTGGATATCGGACGAACTCAACGTAGCGTGAGTCTGGTCAGAGGTATCCGGGTTTTTCAACGAAAGCACCAAGGCCGAGGGAGTTGTCGCTTGTTGGCCCTGGAAAGGAAACATGGCTGCGATTAAGCCGCCTTGGCTGACGCGAAAGTTCATATCACCACACATGTTGTCCGTATTTGTGATGCTGAGTATTTTCACAGAAGGCGTAGGTAAACTGCAGGTATGTATACAGAATGAAAGATGAGACCAAGTCTTGTTGCTAAAGCCGTATAATCTACTCACATTCCATACCAACCGTCGGCCTCGGGGGGACGAATCCGTGCACATACAGAATTGATCTTTGCGTGAACGTACCAATACAACCTTACTGGTCCTATGACCGGTGGTTTCTAATTGCCACGCCCTGGCACGATTATTAGCTCAATTATGCTCGTCTGCCAAGGTACCGACCCAGACAACCTTGGTGGCTTAGGAGTCTTCCATCAGGGTGCACAATACACTAGGCTGATTCGAGACATACAGGATGAAGGACACTCAAACTTGCATTGCCAATTACTGATATTGGTTGTTCTGGATGTGCAAACAGAGATACATAAATACATACGTACATACACATATATATATGTAGTCTCGTTCCATCGAGTTGTCTTCTGGCAATCGTTGAAAAGTAAGCCAAACCTTGTTACACGATCACTTTGATAACTGGGCTCAGGGCATTAATAACCGGTGGAAAGACGCATCTTTATCAAGGGAGTCCGTTCATCGATAAACGTCTAGCTATCGTACACTTCCCATCAAAGACGACTCCGATAAATTTCTTCATCTCCAGAAAGGTAAGGTGCTTGTTGCCAGTAATGACACCGCTCAGGTAAATCCCTAACCCCAGACTCGTCCTGCATGGGCCCTACATAATCGCTGCCCAAATTCTGGACCCTTAACCCCTCCGTTGCAGGCGGAAAATATGGCAGTCCATGTGCATTTGGCGTGCCCGTGGCAGCGAACTGGGTGATGTAATGCTGTAATATCATTGCAACGGTCGCGTTAACTCCATCTACTGCTGATTCAAAATCGTAAAAGGTGTATGACAAGTCCGCCCCGTGAACAGCTGGCGGCACCGAGAAATGGTATGCGTATGTTGCAGGCAAAAAAGCCGCTTGGTTCATGTAGCGAGTGTTACAGACCTGGACTGCGTCCGCAATGGTTATGTTGTTTCGATCAATTTGAGTTGTGTATCCCTGACCGCCGTTGAATATGGGTGGATACAATGTTTGTGTGATAAAGGACAGTTCTGCAGGGCTGTCTGTCAATGATGGAAAGACAGATTGTAGGAATTCTCGATACGAGGAGTCATTGGTGACTATAGTACTGGGCACAAAGCGAGAGCCTTCATCTCCCTTATGCCCGGTCATCACATGAACAGTCTTGTCGAATCTTCCTCGTTGCGACAGTTTGCTAGGGAGGTCAGGGACATAATCGCCGTCGACGGTGATACCTCACATAAGGTTAGTAAGACAATGCATAGAATCAAGATTGACACAGGGATTCCCGAATGCATGGGTCTTGTGAAGATGAGAGGAATTTACCGAATGTAAATGTCCCAAAGACAGGCGTGTTCCCAACGACGAGAGCATTGAGCGTCTGCAAGTCGGTTGTTGACATACTCTGTAGATCTGCAATTGACGATACACTCCCATACTTGGCCACGCTGCTCACATAAGAATTGGCGTATGGGAGTTCCGGCACAAGAAACGGGCTTTGTGCAATGGCCCCTTTGAACAGAGACTTGCCATCAATGCGTCCTCCGTACGCTGTCAGATGGGCTTCAACAGATCCACCACCGGCCGACTCGCCTATGATGGTTACATTATCTGCATCACCACCGAACAGATGAATGTAGTTTTGAACCCATTCCAAAGCAAGGCGCTGGTCCAGCAAACCAATATTGGAAGTCACTTCCTCGCCATTCATCCAACCCTGGGAGCATCTGTCATTTTTTTTCCTCTCTCTCTTTCTACGGGACACACTCACAAAAAGATCAAGGCGATAATTGATCGATACCAAGATCACTCCTTCTTGATTATGCCACTCACTTCGTGCTACCAAGCCGTTTCCTCGCCCGCTCGCATCTTTCCAGCCAAGCGTATAGCCACCCCCGTGAATCCACACGAGCACCGGGGCACGTCTTGTTGCTCTTGCTCGTTCCTTCCACACACGTTGGGGCAATAAGACGTCTAGAAATAAACAGTCTTCGGATGTGCGCGGGTTCACCGGTGGAAGGTTCTCTTTGGTGACAGGCACAACTGTGCCGTACAAGAGCCATCCCGGCATAGCCTGCGGGCAGATGACATCGCGTGCATTTTGAACTGTGCTACGGTTTCTACCTGGGACAGTTGGATGCTTGAAGCGAGGGGCCTCGGCGTAGCGAGTTGCTCTGAAAGCGAGTTATTTTTCTGTATGTGTGCATTTATTTTAAAAGGCTCGCCTACCACGCTTTGGCCCTGATTCACTGGCCGAGGAAAATAGAAGATGGCCACAAGGTAAACAGCGCAAGCAGAAAAGCAATCAGTGAGGTGGCCATAGTATGTGAGTATTATTTTATCGTCTATGTGATTGAAAGAAAGCGTGCTAGGTAGGTAATTGCGGTGGTTGCACAAAGCATGCGGTAGTTATAAGCTTACATGGTTGCTGCCTAAGGCCTCCAACTCGAGTAAACAAGGAAATATACACATTCACACGCATGTTTTCACAATATACTAATCAGATTGTAGATTATAGATAGAGAAACTGATTCTTCATACTATTCTGCAACTTGCAAAATTTTGATTGAATTACAACCATAGTGAGAGCTTCGTCGAGGCAAAAATTCAGAAGGAAACAAATAGAGGAAAATAGATGCTTTAACTCATACTTCTTATAACTAACTTCTTCCTACTTAGTAAGCTAGATAATTTGGCCCTGTATTTCTTTAACTGCATCCCATAGTTCTTCGGTGAGATCCAGCACCTTCGCTGGCAAAGAGCCCTTTCGGGCCATTTCCACCATTTCAGATATCTGTGGTGTCTTACTAGCACCCAGAATGATGCCATCATCATTCGACAACGCGGAGTGATGGGCAATCCATCGGATAGCCACATCGAGAGAGGATAGGCCGCATGCTTTGACTTTTGTATCAAATGTCTTCATCGCGTCAAGCAATTCTGCCGCTTCAAACAGTTTCTGTGCTGCTTTACCGAGTGGGTTCTCATCTCCAAAACGAGTGCCATCATGCTGGTTGTTTACTAGTTTCCCTGTAAGGAAGCCTGCCGCGAGTGGCCTAGATTATTTCACGTGTCAGATTATAAGATTGGACCGAGGGTTTGAGGTACAATACATACTGAAAGGCATTATGGGAAATACCATTAGCTCGGAGGATTGGCAAGAGCCTTGTCTCCATTCCTCGTGTGATCAGATTGTAATTGCCCTGGTAGCAATTGGGTTTCTGCCAGCCCTGATGCTCACACAGATCCAAAAACAGCTTGTAGTGTTTCAGGTTGCATATTTGAAATTCCCTACTAAATGTCATCATTATAGGTGCATTGAATTGGAGCAGATCAGTTGCACTTACAGCCTTGCAATGGCCCTGTGATATCTGCCTATTAAACTCTTCTATCTGCTCCTCCAGGGGCGTCGCAGGATCAGGCCGATGTACATAGAGGACATTTACCTATGCATATCATAGCATCAGAGACAAAAGAACCACATTAAGACCCGACTTGCTTACCCCTTCTACCCGCTGAAGCCGCCGCAAACTCGCGTTGACTGAATGCTGTATAGCTTCGCTGCTCAGATCTTCACTGCCATCTGTCTTCGTGTCCGTATATATCTTGGTGTCGACCGTGAACTTGCTCCCCAACTCCTTTGACACCTCGCCAATCAGCTGTTCCGACCTGCCAGGATTGAGCGGTGGGTAGCGGGTGCCGGTGTCAAGACGGTAAATGTCAAGCGTTTCGAGGGTTTGGAGAAGGGCTGTGACTGATTCGGCGTTGTGGAACTGCGTCTGGTCCATGCCGAGCGTGGCTGTTCCAAAAATGAAATGGGGTGCCATCTTCGTTCCTCGCTTGTTTCGTTCTTTAACTTTGAGTGATAACTTGGTTGTTTTAGGCAAAGAGACAGACAGTAGTTATGTTACACTTGATTCTAAGGAGATGTCCGTCAAAAGGGAACAAAGAAAACTTAAATATACATGATAATGTACCGGTATGTAATAGGCATTGCAAAAACCGCAATACGTACTAGTAATTAATACATGTACTGTACTGACCGTAAATACCGAACTACTCCTCTCCGCGCAGTAACCATCCACCATTTTGCAATCCCTAGAAAATACCTTCGGGATCATATTTGTTGGCTATCTCTCTCAGCCGCCCCAGATTTCCCTCACCATAGCCGGACAAGACATTCTGGCCGTCATAGGCATCGTTCATGAACCGATATGCAAGGCTGGCCCCATCGCGCGACGCTGACGCGGCAATGTCGCTGCCAATATGGTGAATGAGCTGCATTACGCCTCCATCGTCGTCAGGCGATGTCCACTGCGCCGTCACATGGAACCCTGTTGCAGCCAAAACAAGTTCTTAGTCACTGGAGAGAAACGCCGTAGGCTTGAGAAGAATTCTATACTAACAGTCCTGATCGACATCGCTCAAGTTGAGTGGCGTGTTCGACGATTCGCGCACGGCGTACATGGATATCGGCTGTGCACCGTAAGCCATGCTCCAGCCGGCGATCATGGCTTGTTTTGCATACGCCGCAAAGGCCGTATAGCTTTCCTGGTACGTTGCTTTGTCAACTGTGTGTGGCAGCGAGACTACGTAGTCCCTGATACGTTGGCGATTAGGAAACCAGCCGCAAAACAGAAAGAAAGAAAGAAAGAAATGGTAAATAAATTACACTTACCTTGATGGGGGTACTCCTGCATCCGGATATTGCAAAGTGTCGAAATTGGCCGTCAAATCGGCGACAGTTCCAACGGTGGCATTGATCATCACTCCGGCCGGATTGATGTTATCGAATGGACTGAACACTGATGGTCCATGTACATTAGGATTGAGATAGAGAAAAGCAACAAAGGACTGTGCCTCTGTCGTGTCTTCTGACAATTGATAGACGATATTCGCATTGGTATCGTTAGCACCCAGTCGCTAGTACTCAACTAGCGCTTCGAGTAGCTGCTCATTCTTGTCGGCGGTATACGGAAGTGCCGCATACCACAGCTTGTCAATTGGCTGTGTCTTGTAGGTAAACGAAATGACGATCCCATAATTGGGACCCCCGCCACGGAGAGCTCAGAGTAAGTCCGGGTTGCGCGTTTCAGTTGCCTGCACAACCGACGAATTGGCCAACACGACTTCTGCAGCAATGACAGATGCTGCAGTGACGCCGGCCTGATTTGTGAACCATCCAATTCCACCGCCGAGTGTCTGTCCACCGACTGCTGGATTGGGGCTTCGAGCGCCATTCACTGACACCCCTGTGCCGTTCAAAGCGCTGTAGACAGCCCCCCAGCGGCTGCCAACGCCGACGGTCAGGCTTCCTTTGTCTGCGCTGAGCGAGATGCTGTTGAAATTAGCCACGTTGATCAAAATGCCATCGTGATTCGTGCTGCTGTGGTTGACGTTGAAATCATGTCCTCCGCTTCGCACTGAGAAGCGCGTCTGCGTAAACCGAACAATAGCCATGATTCGTGCCACTTCTCTTGCGTTCATTGGAGACACAATACATGAAGTATTCTGCCAGCAATTATCTGACCAGTAATGCCGGGTGATGTTTAGGTATAGTGTTGACTGTTGAGTAATGTAGCCGGGAATCGCATCTCGATTATCAGGGTAATGGAATAATAGTTTCGCAAGACCGCAAGCTCTCTGGGCCCTGGAAGACGTGTCCGTGGTATTGAAAGGCGTCTGTGCTGCCTCTTTTAGGGCAGATAGTGTTGATATATCGCTGAAGCCTTTTGTCAGCTGCTGCCATGCATCATCCGCTTCCACGGCGCCGATTGTAGCAAATATTCCAATGAGAATAGTAGAAATTAGTAACTTCATCATGCCTAGACCCCCCTCTTTTACCTATCTCTTTCTTTTCTTTGTTCTTTGTTAATCCTATTGTTTCGAAGGGACCAGATTATCAGAGAACAGCTCCTTGTTACAGCGGATGTTTTCGGATTCTTTCAACTGTCGACGTATCCTATTTATATGTAATCAGGTAAGATTGTAAGAATCTTTGGTACATTCCACTACTTTGCCTTAAAAAAAAGGCAAGTATCACTCTAGCCGCCCTAAGTAGCGATTCTCGTCAGCTGGAGGATTGCTTAACTACGTACATCTGCATGTAAAAAGATTATTTTCACTTGTGCTCAATTCCGTTCACATTCGGTCAAAATGGGATCTCTTCATAGGATGGAAACAGAAAAACATGAATGATTCCATACTGGATGACGCTTAACTTTAGACTGATAGAAACCATTCCATTTGCTCTGATGTCGGATTCAGGGTCCCAGTACCGATTATCTCCTGTACGATTTCAGCCATCACAGATAACTGCCTCGATTGCACCAATACCCCAAGCCTAAAAACTACAAAGTGTTAGCCCTCTTTCATTGAACCTCTTCACTTCAGTCTGGTCGTACTCCTTCTTTGACTAAGACTCTCCCTCTAGGGTGAGAACACCGCTATCACAAGCTTGAAAACAGCCGCGATGCGTACTCCGACATTTTTTATTCAATATCAACCTTACTCCATGCAGCTTTTTCTACATCGCGGACAGACCTCTAGTATCTTCTTAAGAGACTGTCGTTTAGCTTCTGTGCCTTGCCCTTTTACTAGATATATCTTCCTTGATTTCGTTATTTGACTCAGTTACATTCGTTTCCAAACTAGTCTATGCAGTGAGCATGATTACACAAATCGTAGTTGATAAAAGAAAAGCAGCACTTGTATTCCTCATAATTGTTGTAGTCTAAATTTGAAGTCCTAGGTCTTCAGCAATAATAACAGCTGCCTTTTCTCCGATTGCGAGAGCGGTTGAATAGGTATTCGCGCCGACATTTTTCGGGCATATCGACAGATCTGAAGTTTTGAATTAGCTATGCAGTAAGAATGGATGAATGCTCACATACCAGCAACTTTCAGACCCTGAACACCATACACGTTCAATCTGTCATCCACCACACCGCCAGCTTCTTGTTTCTTCATTGCGCAGGTGGCCATACTATGCCACGAAGTAGCCATCCTTTCACGAATAAAGTCCCGGATTATATCATCATCCTCGGGAGAATAGTCAATAGGCACCGCGAAGCACTTTTCTTGCGAAAGAGTATCTACGTACTCATAATTCGCCTTTGAATCGGAAGGAAACACTGGCTGGGTTGACTCCAGGATTCCACGGTAATGAGACATACGTCTCACGATTTCACGCTGCAGCTTGTATCCATACACGAGCTGCTCAATATCTGCTGGATGGGAAAGATATCCAGGGTCAAACACTGGCGGCTCGAAAGGAGAGCTCGATTTGATGTGGATCCAGCCATGAGAATACGGATACGCGTTGTAACATCCACAGGTGAAATAGTCTCCAGGTACAATGGTTGTGTAGTCACCAACATAGCCAGCAAAAAGACCAAGCATCATCAAAGGCTTTTCGGGACGATTTTTAAACTCCTCCTCCCACAATTTTTTCAGAGGTGGAGCAAACGACTCGATGTCTTTCTCTGTCGGCCGCATTTTCCCAAAACAATCCATTCCATTCCAACCGAGCATGTATCGCTCTGAATCGGCTTTCTTCTGGTTCAATGCCTCCTCCAAGCTGAGCCCTCCACTGAGCAGCTCATTTACAGAGGCACTTTTGGGAGCGCCGGACTTGTACGTGTATAGCAACAAGTTATGGTCCTGGTAATTCGAACCTACGCCCGGTAGATCAGAGACCACGGGAATTTGCAGCTGGGAGAGTAAACTTGAATTTCCAACCCCTGACCGTTCGAGAATCTGGGGCGAGCCAAGTCCGCCGGCAGAGAGAATGACTTGCTTTCGAACATAAACAACCTCTGTACGTGAAGTGCCTGTCTCCTCGTTGACCACGTATTCGATCCCGTTGGCACGCTTGGTCTCTCCGTCGAATAATATCCGGGCTACCTTCGTGTCCGTGGCAACTTGAAGGCCAGTGTTACCTGCGTCTAGGATGGGATAGATGAAGCCATGAGGGACATTTTGCCGCAGTCCGTTGCGTTTGTCTACCCACATGTTCCATCTCTAGACACGTAACATTCGCTTAGTGAAGGTTTTCTTTTTTTTTTTTTTTTCTTATTCTTTTTCTCTATGGCTGGCACAAACTTACACCCACAGCGTGCGATGATTTAAAATCCTGCACGTCCGGTGTTACTCCAATACCAATACCGTCGCAGGCCTTGAAAAAGTCCTGCTGAAATCTGGGTTGCGAGTTTGATCCATCCGAGACATGTAGCTCCCCATCGTATCCATGAAGGGTCTTGTCGATGGCGGGGTCAGTATCTTGAAAGTTTTCAAACTAAGGAGTCGTCAGCCAGAAAGTAAAGTCCCTGTCGCAGTAACGAGAGCTCGTCGGCTTCAATTGACATGCCTTTTTGAAGAAGGGAATCATATCCTTTCCCGTCCACCCTTCTGTCTCCCAATCGTCAAAGTCAATCTCCTGCGGTCGCACGTAGACCAGGAAATTGATTGAGCTGCCTCCGCCCAGACATCCGCCTGTATGAACAAAGGACCTACGGCCATTAAGATACTCGGACGGTTCGGACGTGTAGACTGTGGAAGTCTTGGAACCGTTGGCGAGGTTGGTAGCGAACAGTGCGGGGTTGACGACGCCGGGGTTGTCTCGGACATCAGGGCCATGTTCAAGGACCAGTATGGCGAGACTGGGATCAGCTTTGGCAAGTCGCGCAGCTACAACGAGGCCGGTAGTGCCACCTAAGCTTGAGAATTAACTGTAGTTCACCATCAACGAGGAAAATGCCCCGGCGAATGCGCACCTCCGGCAACCACTACGTCGACCTCTTTGGGGATATTGGTGCTCTTCAACATTGTATTGATGTCAGATATATATGATATCAGTTGTGTTTGAAATATTTCAATGCAGGGCCGTTATTGAGATTGGTTTTAGGACTGCAAAGACAGCCTTCCGACTGCAGACTGCAAGACTTATAACATGTACCTGACCTCATGGCCAAAATGATAGCAAATCAATCCAGCGCCAACTGCAACCTTGCTATTCAGGCCTCGCCCGTGAGGGGACGAGTGCATATCTCTTACATGCATAAACGCACTAATGTCCGATTACAAGGAGCCAAATCCCCCACAACGATTGGGCAGCATCAGGTGTGAACCGTGTGACAGAGAGGGGTCTAGGTGCATGATGATGAAGTCTGTATTTGTCTACGCCACAGGAGATAAAAGTAAGACGCTCACTAAACCATCTCCAATTGTCATAAATCCATTACGACGGAGTCCTACAGGCCGTTCAGCTAGCCAATGGAAGTATACACGTTCATCGAAGCGGGGTGCCGTTGCAACAATATGCATGCATGCATGGGCACCACGACTCGCTGTGTGGTGTTCTTGTTTGATAGGCGTCCTGACATTACTCGCAAGCTGAGTTGTAGTTCACTTTTGTCTTTCCGCTTCCGGTGCCTACATACCACGATCCTAGCAAATCATTCTTGCGGGTATTCTGTACGTCGCTGCCTACAACGATGGTATTGCATGATGGTCGTGATTTGGCGAATCAGGGATGATAGCACGTCAGAATCTAGTTTCATACAACCGCATTGCCTTGCATGCGCACTGGCGGCTACACGATTCGATCCCGTATCGCCGTAGCTATTGCGAACTCAGGAGATACTGAGAAAAGAAATTCTAAACGAGAGAGAGAGAAAAAAAAGAAAAAAAAGGTACGGCTAGGTGGATATAGCTAGTCAGCTATTTCGTGGCGTTTGGTGAGCAATGGTCCGTAAGCAAAAGAACCGATTTCTAATGTGGCCTGTTGCCAAATTTGGACATATCCGAATCTAGATTTCATTACTATCTACCAAGTGACTAAGATGCTAAGTAAAGGTAAATTTAGGCCTTTCTGCTCTCGTGCGGCTTCCAAATTTCTACTTCACCACCTCCACGAATAACACCAACACGCATTGTAGAGAGAAGATTGTGGGCGGCATTGGTGTGATTGTAGACACCTCCATTGAACATTGCCGTAGCATCCTTGCCAATAGCAGATTTAATCAGCTTCCCACCAGGGTGCTCCTTGACAAATTTCGTGACATCGTGAACCACGCCGGCGATGGCAATAAGAGCTTTCCCGTCTTTGGCCTCAGCGACGAAATCAGACCACCCCATCACCGGCAATTGCTCAAGCGGGACACCCCAGTCCAGCCTGACTCTTTGCTGGTCCAGTTTCTTTTGTAGTTGTTGAACACGGCCCTTTTCGATTTCATTGGCGCGGAATTGCTTCAGGTTTGTGGCTAGGCCGAGTTGCTTCCACGCCCAGATCGACCATTTAGTAGGATCGTACTGCCACCATTCAATTGCGTTACGGTAGTCGCACGGAAACTTTAAGATATTAGTTTTGTAACTATAAGGTTGAGACACGGAAAGGGCAAAGAGGCATACCTCGTGATGGAAATTATGGTAGCCTTCGCCGAGAGTGACGAGCGCAGTGACAACGTGGTCCCGGGGAGAGTTCCTATCATCAAAGGGCTTGAATATGTCAGATAGAGAGAGACAAAAGAAAGGGCAAATTATTAAAATACAAACCTGCTCTCCAAGCCAGTGAGCAAGCGAGTTGACGCAAAATGTTGCCTGCTGAACGAAGAGGAAGCGGAGAATCCCCGCGTATACTAAACCTCCTTTCCAATCCCCCCAGCCTAATCCAGCAATGAGCATTGGGAACAGCATTCCAAATACCAATATAAACGCTCCATAGTGATTGTGCTGCCAAACAACGACAGGATCGTGATTTAGATCTGAAATATCTGTGCGCCCACGGTTCTTTGGATTCTGCTTCAATATCATCCACATAAAGTGCGAGTACCAGATACCCTTGTTGACACTATACGGGTCTTTATTGGTATCAGTCCATCGGTGATGCGCCCTGTGCTTGCTGCTCCACCAGCGAATGGAACCTTGCACGGCACCACCGCCCACGCAGGCCAGGAAGATGCGGAGTGGTAGACCTCTAAGCCGGGGGGGTTGTTAATATCTGCTCCGGCAAGTCCCAGAAATTTGGATTTCGACGAAACTTACGCTTGATATGAACGGTGTGCCCAGAGTCTGTGGTAGCCAGCGGTAATCCCAAGCCCAGTCCAGAAATAATAGATAACCGCCCAAGCAGCGGTAGGCAATCTGAGGGGGGTCCAAAAGACGGCGATACAGCCAGATATAGGAACAATCAATATGAGAGTCGTGTTGATCCAGTTGACATGCTGATGCCAGTTGCCCAGCGTGACAGGCTGCTCACTGATATGTGGCTTTGAACTTTTCGGTTGATTTTCCGCCATCGCGAATAGATGATCTAGTTGTGTGGAAACAGAACAAAATCGGAGAGAAACCGAAAATTGAAAGAAGTCGTCAGCGGAGGATTATATTTCATGTTGTATTTCCAAGGTAGCCCCCCATAAGGTGAGTTTGTTGGGTTGTTGGGGATGTCTTTTTGACAGCGGATTATGACCGCTATTCCGAATACAGCATGTAATCCACAACCAACACCGTATTTCACAGAGGTACACCTAATTGGCCAGAATAGACATCAGATACGTGTCTTAGTTGACCCCTATTCTAATCATAAATATAGCTTCAAGTAACCCCCTAAATATTCTCTTTAATTAGATATACAGATTATATAATATTCTCAATACTAGCTAATACAGCATTCCAAATCTATTATTATAATAACATATCTTAATAGCATTAAATTTCACTAATTTAGAAAAAAAACTAATTAACAAAATACAAAAGCTTATAAACAGCCAAATTCTAATTATTAAAGCTATTCCTAATCTACATATCTAAGAATCACATCTCTGCCAATCCATAATTCTTATTAAAAATAGATACTAGTAATCTTATTAAAATATTATAAATTTAGCATTAAAATAACAGTAATAATTTAGAAAAAGATTAACTTAACTAAACAATCATATTAATATAATTAATTTAAATTAATTTAAACTAGAATAAGATAAGAAAAAATTTAAAAATATATTAATCTTAATTTTAAAAATCCTAAATTAAATAAATATCTTCTTATTTTTAATAATCTTAAAAATAAAATCAAGAAGGCTAATTATAAATAAAAAATAAAAAAGTATAAAAAAAAAAAATAAATCCTTAAAGCTATTTTTTTTTATATAAATAAGTTAGTGTCAGAGAATCAGAACGTCACAGCCAATGGATCAGGTTAGTCACTACGAGACTAATGCACATCAGAACAAAGGATTACCCACGAAGCCTTAGGGTTAAAGCATCAGAGAAATTAGAAGATTTCTATAATAGCTATGATCTATAGATCAGAGAAATCAGAGGATTTCTATAATAGCTATAATCTACAGATTAGAGAAATTAAAGGATTTCTATATTAGCTATAATAAAGGAAAGTTATATAAGAACACTTATTTATTATATATTTAGTTTTCTTTTATTATCTTGAATTAATTATAATAATTTAAATATATAATCTTCTATTAATTAGGATATTTATAGTCTTATTCTTATTTCTTTTATCTACTAAAATCTTTTAATCTTAAAAATCTATTAATTTTACCTATTTGTCAGAGAATCAGAACGTCACAGCCAATGGATCAGGTTAGTCACTACGAGACTAATGCACATCGGAACAAAGGATTACCCGCAAAGCCTTAGGGTTAGGGCAACAGAGCCGGCAGAGCCATCTGTTAGTAAATGGATATGATGGCTATGATCGAGCAAACAGAGCCATTGTTGGAAAATGGATATGA